ACCTAGCGCCGCCGGTATCCTTGACAGAAATAAAATTAAATAAATGCGAGCTTCCCGCTCCGGCAAGCCAAACCAAAAGACTGCGTGTAACGAAGTGTAGTAATGTGATGCAAATTTATACTCCGGAGAAAATGGTAAGCTACATGCGATCTGGAAGTGACAAGTTGTACCCGGATTTGATGCCGTTGGATTGTTTCCATGAAGATTCGTGATCATCCAACGGCTCATGTAGAGGGACGAAACGATGAATTATGGCGGGAGCGAGCAGTGAGTGGGGAAATGAAATTGATTCGGCGCGTAAGTTAGACGCGACATTATGGGTACTCGCTCGATTCTACCGCTAACGTGTCTCCTTCGCTGCTTGCATGGATCGGAAGGTTCCATAGATGAGTGTTGCAAACGGTGTGGGACCAGAGGGTCTCGTGCAATCTTGGTGGTTGATGGTGTGGATCGTGTTTTGGATGGAACAATGAAGAGTGTGATGTTGCGGGTTTCACTGTGCGTGGTACCAGAGGATTGTGGGTGCTTTTCCGAACGGCTTTGGTGGCTCTGACGTCACGTGCCTTGAATGGAGTGCAAAGCAGCATTCTAGCGGATAAAAAATCATCTACTTTTTTCCTTTTAAAAAATATATCTACTTTTAAAGGAAAAAGACAAACACTAATTAAAGAAAGTAACTAATATTTGAAAAATATATTTATATTTTTACATAAGTTTTTTTAATTTTTATTAAAATTGTATTTCTAGATCAATATTCTTTAAAAATCCATAAATAAGAGTAAAAAAGAAATAAATACAGTATTCAATATAATAATTTAAATATAATAAGTTAACATATATTTAAAAATATTTAAACTTTATTAACGTTTTTAAAAAAAAATCTCTCAAGAAGTTAATGAAATTAAAATATTATTCAGTTTAATTGTACAGTTTCGTAGTCAATGAATTAGATTAGAGAAACTTTCACTCCATACAAGACAGGCAAAGATATTTGGCAAATTTAAACAATACACGTTAAAATAACTTTATTTATGCATGGAAGATCTTTTAATTTTATTTAAATTGATAAAATTAAATATAACTTTTAGATCTCGAAAGTTAAAAATTCAAAATAATATTTTGAAGTAAATTTTAAAACTTTCTTTATGATGACAAAAGGCTAGTTAAGCAAGAAAATTCATCTTTTGAAAAAACGTGGTTATTTATTTAATCATGGAAAAAAAATTATTACAAACATTGATGAAATTCAGTTATTCACGTTACATTTCATAAAACTAACATAATATATGTTAATTGTAAAATACCGATAGCTACCTGTGAATTACTCCATATTGATTCAACCTTTTCGTCCGTATTTGAAATTTATATTACTGTTTTGTTTCTTTAAAATAAAGAAATATGTAAAATAGAAAAGTGTGTGATTGTTTAATGTTAATCTAAAGTTAAATATTTAAACGAGTTAAACCGTTAATTTATATATCAAATGATAATAATAAAGTTGACACATGTCTTTATCAAAATTGAAGTTTGTCAAGATGGTAAGTATAAATAAAAAAAAAACGATATTATGTAAAAATAAAGAAGGTAAATACAACATAAGTATAAGAGTATTGAACTTAGTAACTTTAAAGTTTTGGATTAAATGCGATATCAATGTTTATTTATACTAACCTGTTGATGAAATATCTTTTGATTTATTTGCAGGCCAAAATAAGTGATATTTAAGTAAATTATTTGTTTAAGTAGCAGATCTATGTAAAGAAATTAGTTTATCTTCTGACACGTTTTAATAAGTGGTATTAAAGCTAATAATCCATCTAAGTAGTTGATTTAATATGTGAGAACATTATCATATCAAAACTCTTCATAGAAAACATAAATACTAGTAAAAAAAATCCCTATATCGGGCTAGTATAATTTTTTTTTATAAGGATCAAGAATTAACAAATTAATAAATTTAAATGCAAGTAAAAAATCCTACACTAGACTAGTATAATTTTCTTGTATAAACTATTTCTTTTTGGAGTAATAAAACTTAAAAATGAGATAAAAATTGAGAAAAAATTTGTAAAAAAAAATGAATGTATTAATTAAATAAAAGATAGAGAACAAATGAATGTTAAAAACAATCAAAGAAACGCGTTGTTAAAGGGTTAAAAATATATATATTAAAACCTAAATTAAATTTAAAAGCACAAAAATTAAACTATACTTATTATCAAAATAAACCTCTATGTTTCTAAACATATATAATTTTAGTTTTCTTTAGCATTATATAGTTTTTTATAATAATTTTGCATATACACATCTTTAAAACATATCATAAATATAAAAATGCCTAAAGATATCCGTTTTAAACTATACAAGATTTGTATTAAATCAAATTCCCAAGTTGATAATATTTTTGAATAACTCCGAATTTGTTAACTGATGCGATTAAGATGAAGTATTATGTGGAGTGCGAGGTCCCAACTCCCGAGGCCGGGAGTGTGGTCTCCACAACGTGGCCTTTGGTTGTGAGACCAACGTGGCAACGACGAGGGATTCAAATTACGTTAGCTTAGCATTGGCTTTTTGAACTCACGTTTGTGAGAATCATGAAGACGTTCCACCCTCTAATGGGGCACTTCACAGGCAAGTGAAAATACTTTCCTCGCAATCCCACCTCGCGGGGAATCATGCTTCATGTTCAGGTGAGTAGCCCTTCGTTATCAGGATGACATGTGAACATCTACCACTTCAGAAATTATAAACGAAACAATAGAGACAGATGGTGTTTTTAACCTGCGTTCGTTTCAACATCACTGTCATATCTGCTTAAAATTTTTTAAAACGTTTGGGGTTTTCATAATTAACTTACGATTCATAACATGATTGGAACAAGACAAAGTTGGATATTTTTTAGATCTTACAGTTAATTCTCAGTTTTGATAACTTATAACCTGAAAAGGTGTATTAACCAACGTCTTTGAAACATGACTCAGAAATTTAAAAAAAATTATATATTTATCAAAATTATTAACATGTCTTAATGTGATTTATAAGAAACAGAATTATTATTGTTAATTTTTTTAAAAACAAAATTCCAGGGACATGGGTTAGTAAGATCCAATGATACACATAACATCAAATTTTATAAAATAGAACAAATGAAATTAAAAAACAATGTTTTAAAATATAAATACCAAGATTAAAATTTAAAACCCATAAAAATAAAAACATATTTAAATATATGTTGGGAGTTACTCACAGTTGAAAACAACAGGTTATTATGGGAATTGAGGGACGTAATATAATTACACGTTCATTAGTCAATCACTCAGTGTTTAAGTAAATATCAGAATTTAAAGTAATATTTAAATCATGCTACTGTCTTAAGTATCTTTTGATTTTGTATTTCTTTGAGTCTGAGTCTGTAAACAAGTATGAGAATGATGCATAATTTCGCAACGGAAGGATAGTGGCTGATCTTAAAATGTATGAACAGAAAAAAATCGTCGAGCATGTGAAGAAATAAATAAAAGAAATATCGATCTTAAAATGTGACAATGCGTAGAGAATACATGATTAGTTATAGTTGTTTTATGTTGCGTTAATAGCGTGACTTTTTATTTTAAATAGATAACTAGATGCAATATGCTTTATGGACCGGACAATAAAAAAGTATAATTACGATTTGACGATATTTTATTCTTTGCTTACTTAGGGGTTTTTATTCTGAACGGAGTAGCATAATTGAGGGAGTTTTGAGTTGTCCTTTTCTAAGGAGAGGTGAGGTATGATGGTTTCTAATGGGGTTTACTGGGAAAGGCTTATTCGGACCGGCCATATTTATTAGTGTAAAGAGTATAATATGGCCAAGCCATATTGTTATATTGATGTCTCTTGTTTTTCGTTTTCTGCCACCCATCCGTAATTAACGTGACGACGTGAAATGAAATCAGTGAAACATGGGAGTTCAAAGTTTCTACTCTTTCTTTATTTGGGAACTAGACCGGATAGTCTAAGTGGAGAGAGCTCAGGATGCTCGGTGCCTCACTGAGTGGTTAGAAAGTGGTTCTTAATCATTATATGATATGGCTAAGAAACACTCAACCGTGAAAGTTAAAAAATAAAATAAATCCGGGTGATTATTTGGACAGTAAAAATTGTGTGTTGTGTCTAAAAATAGTTTCTTTAAATAAGATGGCAAGGGAATGAGACGTGGCGCCACTAAAAAAGTTTTTATTTATGAAAATGTCAAAATGTAGAAGTAATTGTTATATGTGTGTAATGGATATATTATCTCAATTTTAGTCAATGCAGGAATAATTCCCAGTTAGAGCTTATGTGTGATAGGCGTGTGACTTGTGCATAGTCGTAGATATATTTAAGAATATTTATTTCACGGGGAGTTTTGGTTATTAATGTCAATTTTTTTTTTTTAGTTTAACTGATTATATGTTTAGACTGGATGAAAGAAGAAGAAGAAGAAGTGTTACTTCATAATCAATGTGAGACATTTTAATCTACTTCTTCAAGCTCAATATTAGACATATGTGGATTGTAAGACATTTTAATACACTTTTTGGTGAACAGTTCAGTATTTAAAATGGATAAAACTCCTATATCATTTTAAGAAACTTTAACTTGACTATTTTTAAAAAATTAGCTTATAGAAAAATGATTTCTTAGATCCTATAATGAGTATTTATTATTCAAATACATCTTAATAAAAGGAAAGAAACAAATTTAAAAAAGCTTTTAATTTTCTCCCACAATAAGAAAAAAGAATAAAAATATAGCGGTGGTTCTAGTTAAATTGTTAGCTTTTTTGTTTAAAAATTATTGAAATTGAAAATAGTTTTCAGTTTAACATATTTTATTTTAAAATATATACAGTGCACTTAATTTTATTTATTAATTTTTTTTATGGTTCGAAATCCAAATCAGATGAATCTGAGCCGTTGGATGGCATGCAGCGATAGCAACGGACACAATTTAAAGTCGAGGTCACCTGCAACTGCGAGCAGGCCAAAACCCTGAAGAGAGTTTTTGTGAGCGAAAAAGAAAGCGGTAAAAGGCGAGTGAGTGTGTGAGTGAGCGAGAGTGTGCAATGCCGGAGCTTCCGGAGGTAGAGGTGGCGAGAAGAGCGGTGGAGGAGAACTGTGTCGGCAAGAAGATAACAAAATGTGTGGTTGCCGATGATTCCAAAGTCATCGATGCTGTCTCTCCTTCGGACTTCGAAGCTTCCGTCCTCGGCAAGCTCATCGTCGCCGCTCGTCGGAAGGGCAAGAACATGTGGCTTCAACTCGATTCCCCACCCTTTCCTTCATTCCAATTCGGTACTCTCTCTTAAACCCTAGTTACGTCGTTTTCTCCTTCCGTTTTAGGAGTATCTCGAAAGATGAAACTCTCTTCGTTGTTTATTTGCATGTTGCATGGTAACCATTTTTGCGCATGCAGCTAATGGCTTTAGCTTTTAGAAGAGTCGGTCCCTCACTAAAATGAAGTAGATAATACGAGATAGCGTTTTAAAAGAAATCGGATGCAAGAGAAGGATCAAGCACGAGTGTGGGAACTGGGAAGTGATAAAAAGGGACAGGGGCTTATTAATATTTTATAGCTACAATTTGTTGGGACTAGAATAATTTTGTGATTTTCTTCTCCTTGTTGTCTCGTCAGTCGTTCCTGTCGTATAGGAAATTGTTGGTAACTTGGTATTTGGTGGCCTACAACTTATGGGTTTCTACTTCTTTCTGTTTCAGGCATGGCTGGTGCTATATACATTAAGGGGGTTGCAGTAACGAAGTATAAAAGGTGATGCCCATGGAACATCATTAAGTAATTTGTACTTCATTATACTGACAGGCTTTGCTGAAGTTTCCAAAATTTTCATTTCATTAAATCTTAGATCTGATAATCATGCATTTTGCCAAGTTGACAGTATAGTTTTTTTCCTCACTCGCTCTCACACACACACTTTAATGCATTATATATACCATGGTTTTCTTACCGTAATTTTCCCCTGTATACTTCTTTTATTAGTCCTTATTTAAATAGGATACGTTGCTAGGTTTATGTATTAAACAATTGCAATTCATATTAATTGGTGTGAAGTGAAATGATTTTATGCTTGTAAAGCGCTCTCAATTTGGCCAATTTTTTTTTATCATTCTACACGCAAAGTTGTCTATCTGATAGTGAACTTATTTTCCATGTTTCAATGGGTAGAACTGCTTCAGCTTTGCATGTTATTTTGTTGCAATAATACAACACATATAAGTCTCTTCACTGCTTATTATAATAATGATATAATTGTACATGTAGATCTGCTGTAAATGACGAGGATGAGTGGCCTTCAAAATATTCAAAATTTTTCATTGAGGTAAAATCTGTAACTCCATTGATTAGTGAAATGCTTGAACTACATGACTATTTGAAATTTTAACCTCTAAGTCTTTGCACATTATTGCGGAGGATGAGAGCAAATAATAGCTTGGGAGCTACAAAATGCAATATTTCCAGTGAATGCACTTTATAGTGTTATGTTTCACGACCATTGACCCTTATTTCTAGTACACTAAGACTCTGGCTACACAATGGAATTTACATCCGTTGCTATGAAGGTAATGAAATAATCTTCACACATATAGGGGTCTTCAATTTAGAGGAAGTAATACTTCCGATTGGTTAATCTTTTCTTATAAACGTTTCTAGAATATAAAAGGAATATTCTTTGTAATTCAAAATTTGAAGATCAGATAGATCAACAAAATTATAGTCAGTGGAGGAAGTTCTTCCAGTCAACTTATATATAAACTTTTGATATTGCTTGGGAGCTGAAGGATGTGAACTTCTGATTCGATTTAGTTCCTTAAATTTTTGCAGTAAACATATTTTATTCTTCCATTGTCATAAGCAATTGCATAATCAGTATGAAGTTTTACCTGTGTGGAAGGGTGATTTATTTTTCAATTTTTCTATTTTCTTCACATGCCTGGTGAGCCTTGAGATTCAATGATTTTTCTCTCCAACAAGTACTGTCATTTATATGAGCTTCCTTTGAGTATTAATCAGATTAACTACATTTGTGCAGTTAGATGATGGTTTGGAGTTGTCTTTCACTGACAAAAGGCGATTTGCTAGAGTTCGCCTGCTCGAAGAAGTATTGTGACTATACTTGCTTGTCAACCATATTTGTTTATCTTTTTCGATAAAGAAGTTTGCTATTAACTGCACATATGTTTTCACTTTGATATATAGCCGACATCTGTGCCTCCCATATCCGAGCTCGGTCCCGATGCACTTTTCGAACTTCTGAATCCTGAGGAGTTTACTGAGTCTCTGCACAAGAAGAAAACTGAAATCAAGGCTTTATTACTTGATCAAGTATTAAGTGCTTAACTTTATTACTTCCCAAAGATTGTGTTTTACTCGTTTCTAATTGTTTGTTTATTATCAGTATATCATTGCTTTGTTATATATGTTTTCCTTCTCTTTGAGTTTGCATTGGTTGCTGGTTATAATCTTTTTCACTTGAGAAACCAAAATATGTTCTTTACTCAAAACTTGATGGGACATCTTAACATACACTTACTGATAATATGCACTTGAGTAGAAGGCTATGTGCTACTGATGGGGCAAATGGGACAAGTCACATGATAAAAAAAGATGGAGAGTTCATTAACTAATTTCTTGTACTTTGAAAGCATGAAACTAATTCTGTTGAGATGAATTACTCATGCTAAGTATGATGCAGGTAAGCTTAGTTCTTTGTTCTTTTTAAATGTTGTGTCTATTAGATATATATCATCTTTCCCTTCTGTGCATAGGAATTTGAATTCTTAACATTTTACACTTGACTTCGTCAATATATGGTATTAATTATAATAGATCTGAAATTCCAATCTTTGCAGAGCTATATTTCAGGTATTGGAAATTGGGTTGCAGATGAGGTGTTGTACCAAGTAAATACAGCATTCATTTTCTCAATGCTTTTGAATATTTGTTGTTTTCCAGTTGTGTTTTTAGTTGAAGATATCAGATTCTAAATGTGGCCTTATAGTTTTTGTATGGCTTATAAAGCCTTAAGTTTTAATATTTGCCTGAACTTCGTCTTTTTAGTAATTTCAATATACAGTCCTGTAGTGGATACTGGATAGAGATGAGCCTTGATCAAATATGAATTCTTAAGAAACAACTATATTGAATATATGTACTGTATTACTTTTTAAAAGACCTACGTCATTTCCCTATCCTCTTTGCATACAAGATGATCAATATGCTCTTCACCACAAACCTGGAAGGGGGAAAGAAGGCCTAATTTTAGTTTTGTAGAAATAAATTGGAAGGGATGCTTATTAGTGACTTTTAGTCTTTATTAGTAGTTTTAGTATTATGACTCTGTTTTAGCTATTATATATATCACGGTACATTTATAAGGGAAAATTTCTCCCCAATAGTAATTCTTGTGGCTTAGATTCTTCATAAAGAAAATTTTGGAAAGCCTGTCAAGTGTCAACTTCTTGGGAATTGATGATGCTCCGTAAGAATATAAAATGAATTTTGAATTCAAACTTATGTTTATTATTTGGGCAGTGAAAACATCTACCTGTGATATAAAATTGAAATCAATCTAGATGAAATTAAGCTATTAGCAATTATTATCATTTACTGTATTATAATATTTATGTTTTTGCATTGTATATCTAAAGCATCAACTTATTTTGGAGCTTGCATTTCACAGAATTTAGCATCTGCTTTGACATTCTATTGCCATGAAAAAATAGTTAATAAAATTTCCTTCTAACATTGGAATTGGATAGATATCAAATTATAAATTTGGCTTAATACCTTATTAATTATTCTTTTTCCCTTTTTCCAGGCAAGAATTCATCCACGGCAGATTGCTTCCAGCCTGTCTGATGATAGCTGCTCAACTTTGTATAAGTGCATTAAAGAGGTGGGGATGCTGATTCTTTTGAAATAATCATAGTTTATGGTACTTCTGTACTTCATAAAAAAATATAGAGAATAAAACCTGTAGGTTATTCAATTGGCTGTTGAAGTTGATGCTGACTGTAGCCGTTTTCCTCTTGAATGGTTATTTCATTTTCGATGGGGGAAAAAGCCTGGAAATATAAGTGGTGAGAATACTTCTCTACATGTATTAGTTGACAATTAGGTTCATTTTACAGGTCATTGAAAAAGCAGTTGAAGTTGGAGCAGATAGTAGTCGGTATCCCACCAGTTGGATATTTCATTCACGTGAAAAGAAACCCGGCAAGGCTTTTGTTGATGGTTTGCTTCCTCACTTTGTAAAAAAAATAATAATAAATTTTTGGTGGAACATGAATGGTACCCAATTATAAGGTTTCTTTCTGCTTTCTAGTTCTGAGCAGTTTTCCTTCAAGGTTATAGTAAATTGAATAGCCTGTATTCTAGATTGGTATGATTTACTATTTGTAATGAGAATGGTACCCCAATGCTAAGTTTGATTTGCCATTTCTGATGAGATTGCAGATACACAACTAAAGTTCTTGTATGTGTTTCCATATTATTGAGGAATGATCATATTATATTAGTGAAGTTCTAGAGCATTCGATTATGGAGAGTGGCATTGGAATATTGATATTATATCATATATAACTTCAAATTTGAAAACTGAAAGCATCACACGTGCATTATTGAAGACTCCATTTTGAGATTCACTGGTTCATTGTTAGGTCAAGTTTTTTTACTATTTTTTTATGCTTATTTTCTTAGAAGTATGACTACAATTTTTTTGATTTTTTTGAAGTTACAATGCTTTCAAGAGGTCTCTGAAAGTATCGGATATCCTCTTTTCTTATTTTATCCCTAATCACCAGTTTGTTGTAGTGTTATCAATACAAAACAAGATATATTTATCTATAATCAGATTCTTTATTCCTTTTTATTTACTTGGTATCTTTTTTTTTTTTTTTTCTAAATATTGGATAAAAAGTACCCTACTTCCTGTCCAAGAATAATAAATAAAAATGCATGTATTTAGTGCTATACCTAAACATTTACAAATTTTCATGTGATAGCAGGGAAAAGCATTGACTTCATCACAGCTGGTGGCAGGGTATGAGATTCTGAACATTGACATTAGTTGTTATTTGACATAATATTTTATGTATTTCTGATCTGCAAATGATTTTGCTCTTAGACAACTGCTTACGTGCCAGAGTTGCAAAAGCTAAGTGGATCATTAAATGTAAAAGAAACTGACAAGTCTAAAAGGCAAACCTCAAAGAAAACAAGTGTAGATGGTGACAACAATGATGACATTGAGAAACCAACAACTGGGGAAGAGGGGAATTTTGGAAGTCCCAAATCAAAGAAAGGGACAAAGGGTGGAGCTAAAGGTAGGAAGCCGCCCAAGCAGATAAAGTCTGGGGAAAATGATGTAGACAATGATGGTGATGCTGGTACTGATTATGATAGTGATCAAGTGAAAAAGAAGAAAGCAGGCCAGGTGACCAATAGAAAACAAGTTGGGGGAGAGAAGCAATCTAAGAAAAGAGTTCAAAGCAGTCAAAATAGTAGGAATGCTAGAAGGAAAGCTAAATAGGGTCTATTAGGCTTGCATAGTTTTGTCATCTGCTGTGTTCGTTGTAGAATAACAGAAGGATGATTTATTATGTGCCTGCAACTTAGGTTTTTTGCTATTTAATGTGCCTCAAATTAATGCTGCTGTATGATGATTTAATTTCCACATGTTAAGCAGAAAAATGGAAGGAAAGAGTAGGATGCCTTCAGTGTTAATGTTAATGCTAGCTTACCGTGCTCAAGGTATTTATGTTATGCTCAAAATGTAATTTCTAAGACTTCCATTATTAGATAGTTTCTCTGTGCAGGTCAAAATGATTTAACTTGTAAGGATTTTGATCAAATGCCTGGAAGATATTTTGGTTTTTTGACTGCTATTTTGATTAATTCCCCGTGTGCAGCGCTTACAGTTATGCATATCTGAACGCACTTGAGTTAGTGGAGTGGGTACAGAGATGACAAAACAGTATTAAAAATGATACTTCTAAGCATGTCTTTTTATATATGGTCCAGTAAGTGAATTTCGCTCTAATAATGGGCTAACTTTTGAAAGCAGCTGAAGTATACATGAACAATGTCCAATGGATTTAAATAAATATGAATAATGTGGTTTATAACACTAATGCGATCTGGAAGATTTTTACTCATCTTTTTATCAATGAAATACAATAATCGCATTCCTATTCTCTCTATCTTCATTTTCCAATCAATAGAAGTGTAAACATGATATGTCAACTTTCAACAATGGTTGGCATATAACAAACTTGTTCTGTGCCAAGCACGCCAAATCAGTGTAGTACATTAGGTCAATGTCTAATTGTCTATTCAAAAGGTAAAACAAACCTTGCAGGTTTTTCATTGAACCAATGAATACAATTAATATTGTGTACAAAAAGTGTTCCTGGTCAAAATGATTAGAATTGAATCAACTCTATTATAAACAAGTAACAAAAATTCGGACAGTTAATCACAAAAATTAACTGAACTGAATGACAGTTCCAAAATTTCAATGCCTAAAAGCTAGTTGAGAATCTATCCCAAAATGAGGAATCCTATATCTAATGCTCAACTTTCACTAGTGCATTCGAAACATTGCCGGGTAATGATTTATACTGGAACCAGTCCTTGGTACAAATCAGGGCCTCAAGTGTCAAAGAGTCTAATGAACTCCGGTAGCTATCCATTTTTTTAATATCCATATCAAAAACAGAATCTGCAGAGAGAGTGGATGCAGGCATAGACAAAATATCAGATGCTAGTCTAGACAATGTTGGGTATTTCAATCCGTTTATTCTCCACCAGCTCAGAATATTAAATTCTTGTACTCTGGGCTCTAGAGGCTCTTCAAGATACTCATCTAGTTCCGACTTAAATTGCTGGTTACACGTAAAGTCAGATATATAAAATTCAAAATCAGAAAGTCCATCTTCAGAAGTAAAAAGAGATCCATCAAGTGACACTTCTTGAAATGGCTCAGTCTTAATCATAGCCTCATTTCCTTCGTGACCATTTGTTGTTGTAAAAGGAAGCACTTGTATGATATTATATTCAAGGAATAGTTCATTGAGACCATCCTCAACAATTCTAATCCATTCATCAGCATTCTCACCAAATATCTTAGCAAAGGTGGATTTCACAAGTTTCATTTTATACCTCGGATCCATGACTACAGCAACAGCCAAAATGAAGCAGCTCTCTCTCCAATATTGATCAAACTTTTCTTGCAAAGGCATAATCAAACGACTACAGAAAGGATCCTGGCTGAAGGCAGCACGAGTCAACTCCACCTGGAGTTTTGACACTTCAGGGAAAAATAAGTTTGCAGTTGGATATGCTTGGACAGTTAAAATGTTTGCTGCATCATACAAGTACTTCAAATATGTGCAAAGAGTTTCCACCTGCTTCCAGTCATCCATTGTCAGAGTCACTCTGTAATCAGGATCAGACGCATCAAAGCATGCAAACACTTCCTTCAGTTCACAGGCAGCAGCAAGCATATGGTAAATTGTGTCCCATTTATTTTGGTCATCAATTAAAAGGTCCATTGTATTAGAGACTTGAAGTTGCTGCCTCAGCTCAAGAAACTTCCCTTCATTAAATTTAGAAGATTTCATGTACTTCACACTCACTCGAACCTTATCAACAGTTTCTCTCATAGCAGAAAGTGCATCTAATGCAAGGCGACTAAGGACACGAGCATAACAGTTCTGGCTTAATAACTGACCATTGAGGATCACAGGGTTCTTAATAGAGAGGAGACATCTCAGATTTCCCATCAAAGCCTCATTAAAGAAGAATTTATCAAGTGCAAGGGTAAATAGCCGGCCCTCTAAATGCCAATCACTTAGGCAGTTCACTATATTTTGATTTAAGGAACCATCAGAATCTGGGAATGGGACCATCAATACATTAAGAATGGGATGATGTAAGTTCCAATCACCATCAATGAAATGTCCTCGAAGAAAAACATAGGCTGATGTTTGGTTTGAAGTCCATAAGTCCAAGGTAAGGTTGACTTGTCCAGGAATCCCATTGATAAGATTCAATACGTTTTGCTTCTCTCTGAGGAACATAGCAACACAATCCTCTTGGACAGTATTAAAGCTCAGTGGATTGAACTGGGGTTGAAGTGTCCGCACAAAATTAATGAAACCTTGGTGTTCCACGATATGAAGTGGATAATCATGTAAAATAATCATTTTAGCAATCTTATTGTTACAACTCGCCTGATCAAATGAGATAGCAGCAAAGCAAGGTTTTGCTCTTGCTTGTTTCTTTGGTGGATTGGCATCAATTTTGGAACATGGGGTTTGCTGACTTTTCTGACAGATTCCTAGAGAAATGTGTCTCTTGAGATGGCTGGTGCCAGCTTGTTTTGAATCTTTTAGATAAGCAAATGATCTTTTGCACCTTTTACAGTAAGCCTTGGCACATCCAGGTCCATCAGTTTTCACAGTGAAGTGTTCCCAGACGATAGATTTCTTTCTCCTCCTGGTATTTTGTTGAGTTCCCGAATCAGTGATATCAAACACCATGACAGGACAGTAGGTTGAATCCTAGAAAACAGATAAGTGCGAAACATTAGAAGTGTAATTTTAAAAGTGGTTGAACTTGAACGAACCTGTATTACATTACTAACTAATCAGCAAAGCAGGATAAGAAATATAATCATACCTGATAACAATAGTAATACATAAGTAACAAGGCAGTGCAAATAGATTGTTACAAAACACAAGAACACAAGAAGCTTACGGTCTTGAGTTTCAGAGCAGCGTGAAAAAATCCACAAACGCACACTCACTCACGCCTACCCACACACAAACCATTCATGTAAATTTAAATAGTCAAAATTAGCTCTTCTCATATCTTCATCCAATGCTAATTTACTGACTAACATTCTTTAAACAAAATGTTAGTTTACAACCTAAAAATATATTACCAAAAATATTTCTGACTGTGTAGTTTGTTAACAAACTCTTTATCATAAACAAGTGGAACGCGCACTCACATAGAGAAAGATGCACCAGTAAAAGAGGGTCAGGAGTGATTTTACTAAAACCTAATTATCTTGATTACCCATAAAAGAATGAAGGGTCAAAATTGACTCTTTCCAAGCAAGAAACCATCACAGATACCGCAAAACAAATTCAATCACACACTCAACAAAAGCAATGCATTTGATTGTTTTGAACAAAAAACACAAGCAGGAGAGACGTATATGTATAACCGATAGAGAGAATGAGAAAACCTTTTCCGGCTGTGGCGGTGGCTGTGTGAGGCAACGAACCGAAACAATGGACGTTGGAATGGAAGCGCCACTTACTGCTGAGTCCGTTACTGCGGCTGAAGCAATACCAATAACCAGTTTATAAGGGTTCCAAATTACATAATGTTTATTTCATTGCAACATTTAATTGACCTGTTTTTAATGCATAAAATTTATTTATTTGTTTTTGTCTATACTAATTACTTTAAAAAAATAACAAACTTTTTTTTTATTTTCCCAATATTTGTGGAAAAATTCCAAAATCTAATGAACTGATAATCGTATATAAAAAAAGAGTTGTTTTTATCCTTTGTTATCATCAAGATTGTCATTTATTATTGAAAGTCTTTAGCATTTAATCGTCATTTGAGAATGTTCACAACAGTAAAATTTATGAATAATTTTTTATTTACACATATCTAAAATAAAACTTGATTTTGAAATTCTTTGAATTTAAAACGTATGTATCTAGAAGTCGGTTTTTTTTATTACAAAATTTACTTAATTTTTATTATATATGATTTTATTTTAGTTTTGAATACTTACGTTGTCATTTTTTTCTTATTTACTATATATATTTGAAATAAGGGAGTAAAAAAATCATTTTAAAATAAAATCCACTCATTTTTAAAGGTATTTTAATCATAAAACTTGGTTTGTAAATTATGAATAATATTTTTACACTGACTTTAAATATAAAAATCATTTCTATATAAATAAATTCAAATCATAGACAGTATATTTTTTTTAATTCATTGAGAATTACTGTATTTTTAAATGTTATTTATTTCAAATTTTATAAAAATAACTACCATAAGTTAAAATTTAAAAGGTTGAAACATGTACACAAAACAAATCAAAGTTATAAATATCATGCGCCAATTTATTAAAATTATTTTAACGTCTGAAAATAAGAAAAAATATTAAAATAATGAAAAACATCTCTCTCTTTTCTCTGTATGTATTTATAATAAATAATAAAATAAAATGAAGTAGTTAAACTGAAAAAAAAAAAAGCTTCCAAAATACATAATGTTTATTTTGTTATAAATTTTTATTAACACGCGCTTTTACTGCATAAAACAATTTTTTTAATCCTAATCCTAATTATTTAGAAAACAAACCATTAAAAGCTTTGTAGATTTTCAAAATCTTTGTGTAAAATTAGTCCGAAATCTAACGGGTTTTTTTGGACATAAAAATAAATAAACAATAACAACAATGTCTTGTTTTTACCCACTTGATCGTGATACATTACTAAAAGTATTTGATTTCCCATTCCCATGTTTATGTATAAAATGGTTAGTTTATGAATAAATTTAATTTATCAATAAATTGTTTATCCGCACCGATTTAAAACAATATTTGATTTAATTTTGAGATTTATTTTTATTTAAAAGGTCTGTATATAGACCTATGCTTATTTTCTTTTTGGAATACAAAATTTACTCAAATTTTAATTAGATGCGAGTGAATCAGATTTTATTCTATATCTAAATGCTTATGTTTTAAAAAAAATTACTTTATAAAATTTAATTAAGGGAATAGAACACAATTAAAACAAAAAAAATCTTTAAAGTTGTTATTTTTTTGTTACAAAATAATCTTGAAAGTATTCGAATAATCAAATTTGTTACATGAGAAATTATTTTTACATAAATGAATTCAAATAATTCAGTTTTTTTATGATTCAAAACATAGTCTATCATATTCAAACTTTTTAAGTGATTAAGAAGTAATACTTAAATATAAAATAAATACATTGGTATAAGCTATTAAAGGGAACACATGAATAAGTTTGTAGAGGTGAAGATGTAAAATAATAGTACACGTTTGCTATTATATACATTATTTAGGACAAATTTTTACAGTTTTGCATTTTTTTTCTTCATTTGTCTTTTATGATTTATGAAGAAAAGAAAGGGCATCACTTACATCGATTGTTAGAATAACAAATGTTGAATGAAAATGTACAAATTTCTATGGTTTCACAAAAACATGTAATATAATATTATAGGTTGGCATTAAATGTAAGGAAGAGAGCACAAGTTGCAATATCAATAATGACATGCATGTTGGTAATTAATACCTCAACAGTAGTGGGACCTTTTCTGACTGCTTAATCACTCACGCTTTAATGTTTTTTCAAAACAAATAAAATGTCTAGATGCTTCCTTTTTTTTTTTTTTTGCATGATTATTGAAATTATCAATTACTAATTATAATTCAAATTTAATTTATAAGTATTATCAAATAAAGATAATTTTATATGAGTAAGCTAAATGATTATAAATAAAAAAATTTATTTTAAATATTTAATATAATTATGTTTATTAGATATAATTATTAAAAGCAATAATTTATAATTTTATATATTTGTATTTTTAACTTTAAAAAATATTTAAAAATTTTGTTATATTTTATACTATTGTAAAATTAATAATAGAATGAAAAATATTTAAAATTATCTTTCACCAAAAATTATTAAAAAAATATCTTTAAAATTAATTTATAATTATTTACTGTCATTGAAACTTATTAGATAAATTCTACGATGATATAAAAAAAATTTATATTTTTATATATGTTAAACAATTATAATTATTTTAAGAAAACATAAATGTTCTATAATATTTAGTATAATTTAAAAATAATATTTAATACATCACGATATTAAATACCTACTTATTAAATCATAACAAAATTACATAAAAAATATTTTAGTTTCAGAAAAAAATACTATTTCTAAAATTATAATCGAACCGTCAAAGAATTTTAATAATTTCATATTATTAAGCAATATCATATGATTCTATTAGAGGAAAATAAAGATAATTTTGATCGAATAAAAAATGATCATAAAAAATTGTGGTGTGAGAGGATATTATGCGTTGAAGTTCCATTTGCACAGTGAAACTGAAACTGCATAGGTTAGGTTGAAGCGTTGAAGACGAAGGAGCGAACAGAAGAACAGAGTGTTGAGTTTGAGCAAAGAAGAATGCATTCATTCGCAAACGATTTGTCGTTTTTTGACGTAAATTTCAGTTACACTTACTCATACCCCGAGGCTGATCCCTTCGCATATCGTCAAAATCAAAACGATGACTACCATGCTTTAAACGCCGCCGTTTTGCCCCGTCGCCACGACGGAACCTCACCTCTGCCATTGGGCATGGATTGGAGTCTTCCTCCTCGCAAATGGGAGGGACGCAACACTGTTTGGCCGCATCATCATCCTCCCACCGCTTGGAGTTTCTGCGTTACGCTTCCTTCTTGGGTTGTTGTTCCCCAATCCGCACCTTCTGATCCTGTTGTTGTTCGTATCCTATTTCCCCCCTTTTTTCTTTATATAATTCTCTAATTTCTTCACTCTTGAAGTTGAAGTTGGTATATTATGTGTAGTTTTATAGGGTTCAAGTTGGTATACAATCCCCGCAAGCTATTACCACTACTCGTTTAATACTACGCAGATTTAGCGATTTCTTTAACCTCTTCTATGAAGTAAGTCTCTGTTTTCTTCTTCTACTTCTTCTTCTTCCTTTGGTAAGAGTTTTATGAAACTAGCTCTTATATGTTTCAGTTAGTTTCAGTATTATGAATGGTCAGCTTAATTTTTTTCCCTTTTTTTTCAGCTGAAAAAAGAATTTCCCATGAAAAATTTGCCTCCGCCTCCACCGAAGAAGATATTGAGAATTAAAAGCCAGGCTCTTTTGGAAGAGGTAAATAATTTATCTTTTTTTGTTGTGTTTGTCACTATAAATTGCTGCAATGATTGTTATTCTTAATCATATTTGTCTTGAGAAATAATTTATTTTTCTACTTGCCAAATGCCTTTTAGCTCAATGAAGTTTGATACTGACAAATTTGTTCCTTTCAGCGGCGACACTTGTTGGCAGATTGGATGGAAAAATTGTTATCGGACATAGATGTATCAAGAAGTGCGCCGGTGGCAATATTTCTTGAGCTAGAAGCTGCTGCTAGGTCTTGTATGTTTTATGTCCGTTTTACAAATCTAAACATAACGTTTCATCATTTTATGTCATTATTTGAAAGGGTGTGAAAGACAGTCCTCTGTGATGTCCAGAAGACAATTAACACTTCTTTGTTGCTGATATTTTTCAGCATTCTATGATGTGAATCAGCATATTGGCGATGAAATTTCTGCTGGTGGTACTACACTTTCCAGTACTGATGTCCCTTATGAGGTTTCTGAGTTGGGAACATCAAGGCACAGGAAAGATAAATCTGCTGATGAAATCATGGACAATTCATCACCAGAACATGACATAACTAATCCAACTGCAACTGCTGTTGATCATGCTATATCCAGCAAAGACGTTATTCATGATGATAATAGTACAGAAAAAGTCACTGAGAATACTGTTGATGCTATAGCTCTTCGCCTAGATGGAACTGAGTTTACCCCTGCTAGGAGTGCTTGTGTCAATAGACTGTCTATTGAAAGCATTGGAAGTGACATAAGTTCATTAGAAAATACTGAAACATCGAGTTCAGCTACAATCACTATGCTTCAGGATGCTTCACATGATCTTCCTGAGAGCCATGAAGCCTCCACGAACTCAGATTTATTGTTGACTTTTCCATTGCATGAACAACTAAAGTTGAACAGAATTCTGAATACCCAGAGGCAAAGACTGGCCACAGCAAAAACAGATGTTGAGGATCTTCTAGCAAGATTGAATCAAGAAATGGCTGCAAGACAGTATCTCGCAACAAAGGTATCCAAAATATGTAAGATTTTCATTTGTTACTGATTTTTTTTTTCAATTGAAATTTTATGTTCATATGCTCAAATATTTTATTTTATTTGCAGGTCAAAGATTTGGAAGTTGAACTTGAAACGACTCGTCTGAACTGCCGAGAAAACATGCAGCAGGCTGTTTTAACTGAAAAGGAAAGGTTTACACAAATGCAGTGGGATATGGAGGAACTTCGGAGAAAGTGCCTGGAGACAGAAATGAAATTGAAGTTAGAAGAGGTCTGTTGAAGTTACTTTAATCAACATCTCTTATCATTCAATTTCAGTGGCCTTAAATTAAAAGTTATAATGATTTAGGATGAAAGGCTGCTAGCAGAATCTACAAAAGCATCTGTCATTCAGGAGAACCAATTGTTGCAGCAAGAACTAGATGTGGCTAGAGAACAACTTAAGCATTTGCAGAAACATAATGATGACTTTGAGATTAAATCAAAGGCAGATATGAAGTTGCTAATAAAGGAGGTAAAATCCCTTAGAAGTTCTGAGTTAGAACTGAAACAGCAGCTCAGCAAATTGATGAAGGAAAAGTTAGATGTGGAGGTATGTCCTTTCTAGTTCTTGTATGTTGCAACTAGCACTGTATGATTCAATACATTTAGACGTCGAAAATATCAATTTGGCTGATTCCATGAATTTAAGAGAGGAAGAGGGAGAGCAAATGCAAATTTCAACTAGTTCCATCTAAAATTTTATTGTGAATTTGTTCACACACATTTGAAATTTTCTCTTATATTCAATCCTTTTTAATGAAAAAAAGAAAAGAGGTTGGCATATTCTGTTTTATGGAGACCCCAAAAAATTGAAAATCCAATTGATTTCATGGTAAAATTTACTGTATCTTATTCAGAGAATTCTCCAGAAGGAAAGACAGAGAAAGGAACTTTCACATAGTGCTAATGCTAAGTTGCTGCGTGAGTGTACAATCCTCCAGAAGAGGCTTCAGGAGTGCAGTGTAAATTTCCTTGTTGAAGAGGAAGATAAGCTAAATGTCAACACTTTGCCTTCTGATGCTTTGGATTTATTAGCAACGTCAGATAATCGAATTGGTCTCTTGCTTGCAGAGGTATGACATGCACCATGAGCAATTACTTTGTCAGATATTTATTTTCTGGGGTACTTAAAAGACGTAGTTTTATCCTGACCTTGGTCTTGCATTATGCTTCTCGAAGTTTTCATGATTTTATTAGTTGCATTTAAATTCAATATCTATCCAATTATTGAAAATTTGTTCAAATCCCCCAGCTCCTCCTTTTCCCCCTCTTTACCCCCTATTCTACTTATAGTGTAGTTTCATCTTTGTTCATTACACTCCATTGCTTATCCATTGTTATTTTCACTAGCATCTGTTTTCATAGAGCCATGTGTAGTGATGGATCTAACTGAGTACTACAGTAATTGTGTGGTTTAGATGCAATCTACGTCTGGTGATGGTATGAATTTTTATGATACATAGTTTTGTGTTTGAAGAGTCCTGTCAAATTTAATTTAGTTATGTTAATAAATGACAGGCATTCTTATATTTCGCACGGACGCATTCTGAAACTTAACATAACAATTATCGTTTGGTTTATACTATCTTTACTGCATGTTGCCCTGTAGCCTTTTATTTGCTGTCCTCTCTCTACTCCATGTTTTGGTTACGTGCTATCTGTAAATATGGGAACAGGCACAGCTCTTAGCACAAGATGTAGAGAATCATGTTGCTGTGGAAGAGACCCACGACATAACTCAAGATGATACAGGGACAACTTTTGATGAATTGAGAAAGATGCTGGCGCAGATGTTTGTGGACAACGCTAGTTTAAGAAGACAAATCAATTCTGTTATTCGTTGTGCTCTAAATGAAAATTTCAAATCTGAAGAGGACGGGGAAGGAGAAATCCATTTGCGAAAAACTGTTCTAAGCAAGTTCTTAGAAAGATGACATGTTTTATGCATGTGTACCCTCTATTACCGAGCCACTTACTGTTAATGTTGTCTGTAATTTTGCATCTGTATGGTTTCACTGCTCAAATTGCATACTTTGCCAACAGTAATGCCTTAATTATAAAGCCAATCATCCCGTTTAGTGTAACAAAATAAATGGCCTGCTTGCCAACAGTAATGCCTTAATCAATATAGTGTTCATCGTTCCGCCAGAATTGACATGAATGAATATGGTTAACCATCAATTGAAACCGACAAATATAATGCCAGAATTTGAACCTCGCGCCTCTTCAATCAATATAAAAAAAGCCATATAGCATTTTTTTTTTTATGTAAATCGATTATGAAAAATTCTAATAAGATGACTTTGATTGCTATCTGAAAGACTAAATAAGTAAATATACACAAAAAGGTAGAAGAATATAATTTTACAAAAAGACACAATTGCATCCATTGAGGCTATTGCAGACGGCACCCGCAATTGAACTGCATAACCTCAACCGAGTCTAGTTGAAAAGCAGCTTAATGTTCGTGGTTATGGTCAGCAGCAATGCTCAGCTCATTAGTCAATCAACTATTCACCACCACCAAACATTCCCATCATGTCTTTAGCGGATCCCATCTGTTTCATCAAGTTTTGTAACCCGCCCATGCCACCAATTTGTTTCAGCATCTGCGGGGGAAGGACTTTGCTCATGTGCTGGGCATTCATATTTCGGGATAGGGCGCTCATTTCACCTTTCTTTGGTATTTTAAGCCCTTTCATTTTACTCCATATCTTTGCAAGACGTTTGTACTCTTCCAGCATCTCCATCACTTCCCTAACTTGACGACCTGAACCTCGAGCTATTCTCATCATTCGTGATTCGTTCATGAGCTTTGGATTTGAACTATCCAACTCTGAAACGTATTAGCAATTAGAAGTTGGCATTTGGGGTACGCTATTTCAATGAGAAACCCTGAATCGTGTATACATAAAGTTGCTCTTCGCAACAATCAATTCACAATGCTCACCTTCATTTGTCATTGAATCCATCATTGTCATGTAACGCTTAATTTTTGCCTGGCTTTCTTTCTCCCGGCCTTTCGGCATTAGTTCAGCACTAAATCCTGGCAGCATAGAAAATACCTACATAAATCAACCTAGAAATTAGTTAAATGCACGCAGCAACCACTATTAGTTCATTATATAGGGGCAATCAAACAAGCACTTAGTATCTATGTGGCACGTCAACGGAAATGTATAAAAAAAATTCAATTAAACACAATAAGGTAATAACCTGGCTGATGGGACCCATTTTAAGTATGTTCTGAAACTGCTCATACATAATCCTCAAGGTGAAGTTTCCTTCTGACAGCTTTTGAAGCAGTTCAGGCTGTTGATCCATTGGAACAACCTCATGAATTTTGTCCATAAACCCAGACCAATCACCCATTCCTAGTTGAACAGCCATTTGATATGAATAAAGATTAAATATTCATATGAACTTGGACATCTATACCATGTCCTTGATTAAAAGAAGAATGTCTTGGATGAGGCCAAAAAAGAAAATAAAAACACACCTAGTAGACGACTGACAAATGGCTTAACATCAAAAACTTCAAACTCGTCCATATGTTCTCCAGTTCCAATGAATATGACAGGACTCTTTGTTGCTGCAACACTGCACACATAAAATTAATAAGACTAAGATATCCAAGCCACATATACATGTATAAATATTGTATACACACAAATTTAGGTAAGCACATCCACCTTAAAGGCGTATCATAATTCTCCAAATCCCTCAAATAATGTAAATTATGATTTCCGTGACATAAATGTAAGATTCAAATCATGAGGTAGTTCAAATTTATGTTGAAAATTTTGCAATAAACTTGCATGTATGATTGCTAGACTAATGCAGTATCAGTTGTGTAATTCATTTGTTCATAGATGCAAAAGTTGGTAGTAAATATCATCCAATTATCATGGTAATACTTACGCGCTAAGAGCACCACCACCCTTTGCATGGCCATCCATTTTGGTAACAATGACAGCTCCGACTGCAACACTCTGTTTAAATGCTTGGGCTTGATCGAAAGCAGCCTGACCAATACTGCTATCCATAACAAATATAACAAGATCTGGTTTCTGAACAATGCAAAGAAAAATATTAGAAATTAATGGAGTTCGGAAATAAATATCAAAAGCATATGGCAAAGTTGGGAAATACCGTTGCTTCTGAAACTTGGCGCATTTCTTCAAAAAGAGCAGCTTCTTGCTTATGCCTCCCACTAGTATCCACAATTATGAGATCACAGTTTTCTTTCTTGAATCTCTCCACACCTTCCACAGCAATTTTCACAGGATCGGACTCCATATAGCTGTAGAGGAAAGGCACACAACATTGCAATAAATACTTAAGCATCAAAATCATAGACAATGAAATGCAACTAAAATAGAAGGTTCAATAAAACAAATAATAACAACAACAGTATATCACAGCTCATCTGCAAGGATTTATAACAAGAAAAAGAAGTGGTTCAATATGGATCCTTTGAGGAAAATGTGAAATTATAAGATAAAGACTAGACAGATATCCTTTGGGAAAGAAAAAAACGGATAAGCTTGTTTATGGTGGAAATACAATATCTTCAAAGTACCCATGTATTGTGAATGCGTCAGCAATTTCGTTTTTCCTTACTTTTTTATTTTGCATTTTGTCCTCCTCCCCCTCTTTTTCAGTCTTCTCATTGTATTTCCATCAAGAAGGAAAAATAAGAAAAGGGAATACCTTTTTTGGAAATTGGAAGGAAAAAGGCATAGTTCGGTGGTAAGATATAGAGTATAACATAGAATATAATTTCTAAGGTGATACACAACCAATATAAACCACAATTCTTCCTAAAGACCATTCTACAACTATGGACCATATTCTCCTAGAAGCATATCTTCAGATTGCATCTCCAGAACAAAATAGCCCGATCTCTTGGGAGATTATTCATCCCATAGTTTCAGAATTCACATATAAACTATAAGCAGCTAAAACACAAGCCATAAAGAAATATAACTGCAGTTTCAACATCTACAGAATGGATCAACTATCCCCATCATCGCATTCTTCCTCAATAAGGCAAAAGTACAGTACTACATCAGAGCTTATATACAACCTTAACCAACAACAAATGCCAATGAGTACCTTCCATAGAAAGGAATCTTAGCTTTAGTGGCATTTTGCTTCAATTGATCAAATGCACCAGCTCTAAATGTATCTGCACACACTAGAGCTGGCTTCCAGCCTTTCTTCTGATGATAATATGCGTATTTTGTACAAGTAGTGGTTTTTCCAGAACCTGAAATCATTAAAAAAAAGGATGCAAGTATCCATCAATAACAATAAACTCTTCTCTTGATTTTAAAAAACAAAATAACCAATAAAAGCTGAAGGATAACGTATAAATAATGAACACATAGCAGTACAGAATCACAGAACGTAAAAACCTAATCAAATAGAACAAACCTTGCAAACCAACAAACATGACGACACTACTTTTTCCTTTTTTGGGAGTGAAAGAGGGCTTCCCAGGATCCAGCATTTTGCAGAGTTCGTTAAACACAGCCTAAAAATCGAATCCACAAGGAACAACCATAAGTAAACAATAACATATCACCATTTATTTATTTTGAATAAAAGAAGATGAAGATACTTGTTGGATGATTTTGCGTTTGTTGTGACCAGCAGCAAGATCGTCGAGGTTAACAATCCTCTTGATGTTGGTCTGCATGTCGCGGACGAGCTTGAATTGAACATCGGCTTGAAGAAGAGCTCGAGTGATCTCGTTCAGGCAATCGTTCAGAACCTTCTCGTCGATCACCGTCGCATTGCTCATCTGCTGAAGAGCACGCGAAATGCTCCCTCCTAACTGCGCTAGAACCATCTTGTCTGCAACAACTCTGTTTCCGAATTAGGGTTTTCGAAGCACGATAACACGAAGATGAAGAAGATGAAGCTTTCAGATTCAGAATGATCTCTTTCTCTCTTCCAACGCCGGTAAAACAAGCGGGACACTATGGACTAAATCTGTAAGTAATGGGCCTCATATCGTATTGGGCCTATTTTGTAGCCCATGTGTCTATTTTAGTAATTATCCCTCCTTGAGATTTATCAAAGCGTTGTGGTTTGTGGTTATCAAATCAAAACCTTTGATAATGGGAGTTTCAGTTTCGGAGATAAGTTGGAGTTGGAGGTTTATGCATCTAAGGCAGAGGGTTAACCCATCACCAAACACGCCCTTGTTCCTCCCAAACCCAATGCCAATTTGCTTCGCCACAACGACCTCGTCTTCTTCCCTTGTGCCTCGAGCTTTGGGCCCCAAAAGAGAAGATCAAAATTCCATCACTTCTCCACAAGTAATATTTCAAACCCCTTCATTACCTTTGTTTTTGAATCTTCAAGTTAGTTTTTAGATAAGATAAGATACTTAGATAAAATGTTGTATTTATTTAGTTGATAAGATGTGATAAATTTATTCTATTTAGCTTGTAAGGTTTTGGTAAAAAAAAAAACAAATAAGATAAAATAATATAACGTGAAATTAAGTTATTATTTTTATTTGCATTAATGTAAGATAGAATAAAAAATTATACTAATCTTAATTTCTCTTGTAAAATAGGAGGATTTAGCGTACGTGGGAAAGCTAGTGGTGGGATCTTTTGTGGGTGCGGGTGCAATCAAGTATGGGAGCGCAATTTTCCCTGAGATAACCACTCCCAATATTGTTCTGGCTCTTGCCATAATCTTAACTCCTGTGCTTGTTGCTGTTTTTCTTTTGATCAAGGAAAGTCGAAAGCCATAGGCACGTAATGAAAGCTGATAAAAGCAACCTCAGCTCCCATTTGAGTAAATTACACATTTGCATAAAATGGATATTAAAGCCAACTGTAATAATACTGATAAATGAAAGAAAATGCTGGTGTGACTTTATTGATGAACTAATATTGGGTTTGAAGTAGCTGTTAAATAGCTTGTTTTTTTATATTTAAATTCTAATTAGTTTTCATTGTAATAAATTTTAAGTTAAATTTGTTATTGAATTAATTAAAAACTAACTTTTAGATATTTTTTTTGTGTAGACCAGAAGCATTCTTCACTTAAAGCAAGAAAGAAGTAGCTCATTAAAAATATGATGCGACGTGATGAAGAGAAAAAGAGATGAAATTATTGTTGAAAGAAAATTGTTGTAAAAATAATATAACTCTAACTTTTATCATAAAGTATAAAATTATTTATAATAGCGACAGAAATAAATAAATAAAAAGACAAGTTGACAGAAATATGATTGGATAAATTTTAATCAGTGTCCACAGTTCTATTTATAACGAACAAAATATCATTCTTTTTTTACTTCAATAAAATCGTCAAATATGTCGATTTTTACATAAACACCGTCTGTCAACCCTTTTTAAACAATCTTTTAACAGTTATACATTAAATTCCGCAAGAGTAAAATTTAACACTCGTTAGAACAAGGATCTTGTGGCCAAATAAAAGCCGAAAGGATTAATTTTACACTTTAAAAAGGCATGAAATCACTTTAATGTAATACACTAAATTAATTCCCTCATGTTTCAAGCATCAATTTAGCCCCTAATATTACAAATAAGAAAAAGTGGAAAAAAAAAATTAATCCTTACCTTAATTTTCTCCATTGTCAGCCAATTTTAGTTTCTAAAATTTATCATTAATCAATTTAGTTTTTAACATTACAAAACTAATTAAATGCTTCCTATGCTATAGTAATCCTGAAATTAAAGAGACATTATATATATTTTTTTAGACGGATAGTTATGACTTTTCAAGTATTTTAGAAATTAAAAAATAAAATATTTTTTTAAATAAATTATTAACTTCATTATTTATTAATATAAAATTAATGATTATTCCATGTGTAAAAGAATATAAAATAACTTTCATTTTACAAAGCACCTTATAATTTACCAATCAATTATTTTAATCCTTAAATTTGACAGCTATTATTTAATTCCCAAATTCAATAACCGCTAGTTTACTTGACCTTAATTTTAGGAACCAAATTGAATGTAATCTAAAGTCTAGAATCAAAATAATTAACAATTGTCGAAGTACAATATCAAATTAATGAGCCCTAATCATTAAAGACTGACATGACAGACAGTTACCATTTTAAGAACTAAAAGTTCTTTATAGAATTTGAAAGCTTAAAATGACCAGCGATTGAAATTTTAAAACTAATTTTATGATTTACTCAATTACTTCGTGGCCTTGACCAGAGAAAAAGAAAACAATTATGCGAAGAACGGATAAGCTGAATTTGTTGAGATAGCATTTGGAAACGGGGTCTATGAAACGAAAATTTTACCCGAACTAAACAAAAAGATTTACTTAATAACAACTAATTTTTGGTAATTCACTCACATAGAGCTTAGACTCCCTAGTAGACATACACTGGCTTTCTCTAGTGCAACCTGCTCGTGGAGTACAATCTGAAGATCCTTGAACAAGTTATACTGTATAAATCGCCTTGTGCCAAAATTTACAAGTAAAATAAATAAAAGAATATGCATGATTTATTGTTTGATTAGTTCAAGCATTTGAAGAACTCTCACACGCAATAGGTAAACTACATCGTGGAGACTCTGGATCACCAAAAAAATGCATGGGACTAGAGATCTTTCAGCCACTTTAAAGCTCCATTTGCCACAGACCTGCAAATTTCGGTCAACTCAACACATTAACAAAACAACGACAAAATATTGATGATCGAGGAAATTGTCAATCCTGTAGTAGGACCAGTACAAACAAGAAAATGGCAATTTAGCATCCTATGAAATGACAATAAACGAATGGCACATCTAAAACACTATCAATTTGAGCAGATAAACCAGTCCAGTTCAGCATTTCTTTCCTGTCAAACAATTTGTGAGGACTCAAACAATAATAATAAAAAAAAAAACCAACGCAGCAGCCACATACTCAGTTCTGATGTACCAACTCAACGAAAGCAAGACTCTTGTACTAAGAATGAGTTCTTACTTAGAAAAATAGCATTAGAATGAACTACATAAAAGAAATCGATATGTATTAAAGAACATAACCTGCGCTCAAACTTATTTAAGGGCAGAGTTATGATTGAAGGAACGTATTGCTCTACATGAATTAGTGATTGATGACAGAATTGAAGTTTTCAATCTATGAAAACCAAAGGCTCGCTCTACACATCAATGAAAACAAATAAAAAGAACACAAAAAAGAGAGAATTATTACCCAGCGAAATCCTTTAATTTATTCCAAATATCATTTTGGTCTTCTGATTTTTCATTTTTTTCTTCGACTGTTGCGGTTGGACTTTCAGCCCTTTGAGATACAGGACCTTCAGTACCACCTGTTACAGAAGGTAAAAATCAGGCTTCATACTCGAATACGTAGTGTCTACTCATTGCATTGTAAGATTTTCTATTGCAACTTGAATATGTGTTGTAAATGCCTAATTTACATGTTATATAAAAGATTAAAGTTGTCAAACGATAAATATTGTTGGGATGGGAAGAGAAGAAATAACCAATATGCAAATAATAAAGAAACCACCTACTGGAAGAGTGAGTCCGAGGACGGGGTTTTGAACGCCTGCCTGTGTCACCTAGAGAAGCAAGTTCTTCAAGCAACTCACGCTCCTTTGTACTGAACATGAAAAACATAGGCAATTGATATCAAACTGCTAATATAGATTTATAAGATAGGAATAAAAAAAAAAATACATAGGAGGGAGCAAATGATAGACAAATCAAAATTATAAAACCACTCATTACCTAATACGTTTTGGTATTGTAACTTTAACTGTAAATAAGTGGTCACCACGTATTGATGGTTTATTTAATTTTGGTACACCTTTCCTTGCAAGGACGAGGACATCTCCAGGTTGGGTACCAGCAGGTATTTGTAGTTCAGAAATACCTTCAACTGTCTTAACCTGTATGTATAGGTGCCAAAAATTCAACCCATCAATGGTGAGGACACGACGTAACAAGTCACATCAGCAATAACATGCCAAAATGCAAAAAGCTAGGGGAAAAAGAATTAAATATCCAACAAATATCAAACCTTAATATTCAATAAAACAAAAAGATCATAAACTCATAAAATATAAAAAAAGGAAGACTATATATTCAGTCATACAGAATCTCTTTAGCCCAACACATTTGCAAAAAAATCACTTAGGAACATTGATAAGAACCTTGGGAGAACCACAATAGTTGGAAAGCCCAAGGCCTTATAAACCCTACACTATAATCTCATAACTTCTGATATGTGACTCAATTATCATGCCTTGCAATAGATCCTAATTCCTAACAGATATTATTTCCAATGGTTTTTTCATACAACACTAGCAAGGCATCATTGAACTAGTTACATTCAAGGTCCAACATAAGAAAGTTACACAAACTCATCCATATATCTCTATCATGATTCATGCCATAGATTCCATCCAAAGGACAATATGAATATAATATCATTCCTTACTATTATATGGGAAGATATAGCATTATTATAACAAAAAATGTTTTTACTTAGGCTAATGCCTGAATTGAATAGTAAAGAACACCATGCCAAGTGTCAAGTTTTGCACATGGATAGCAAGGAAAACTACAGGGATAACGTAACAGCAATTGAAAATAGACTAAAACAAAAAATGAAACTAAGAGGACTAAAAGGGCAATTCCATCATATATAAAAGATCCAAAAATAAAAATAAAAAAATACTCAAGCTGCATGAATATTTCCTAAATTAATTTACCTTCACAACTGTCCCCAATATAGCATCTAGATAACTGATTGAGATTGTAGAGCACAAATTGATGTCATCTCTTTGAATTCCTGGTATCTCTTGCACATCAAGATACACATAAAGATCTCCTGGAGGACCCCTGCTATGACAAGATAAATAGCCCCTTCTAAATCATGTAATCAAGCAATCAAAAAGTCTGAATCCACACATAAGTAAACCATTTCCATAAAAAGAGAACAATTATCATGCCCTCTGTTGAAGCGGAACACAAAAAGATACAATTTGTTTTCTAGCATAAATAAAATAATTATCCAAGACCCTGTGAAAACTTCTCTTATCCCAATGTCTTTGACCTTCTCAAACTTTCTGAAGATTGATACATACTTGTGTCCAACTCCTTTTCTCCTTAATTGGATATATTAAAAGCATAATTTGTCTGATGTGTAGCTCTTTGTACATATATTTCCCATTAGCTATTTACATTTGGAGTAAGTTTCATGGCAGTATTCTTTGTATGCTACCTTTTGGTGTCATTTGTTAGAGCTGAATGTGCAAGTTTTGAAGGGACATTTGTTCCTGGACAGCTGGACTTGTTCTAGCACGGGATTTTTCATGGATGTTGAGAGATTGAGATGTTCTTTTGTAAGGATAGTTTTACATTGTTTATATATTTTTTTTATTAAGGAAGATGAATACCAATCCTCCTTTTACTCACTAATATCCTTCCTTCCTCCTAGAAATATCTCTCCCTTCATTGAGAGTGAGAAAAACTTATCAATTGATAAACATAAGTACACCCATAAAAAATTTAATATAACTTCTATCCAATAATTGGCCAAAGACTTTCACAATGAGAAGACCAGATAGAAATATAAATACAGCATACCCTCTTGGTCCTGCATCGCCCTCCCCAGCAACTCTTAGAATACTGCCTGAGCTAACGCCAGGGGGAACTTTAACTTTAATATTTTTCTTAACCCGTATCCGTCCTTCACCATTGCATTTACGACAATATTCAGATATGACTTCACCATCTCCTCCACAATTTGGACATACAGAAACCTAATATTGAAAAGAAAAAAAAAAAAAAAAAGATTAAATTAGAACAGTATTCCAGACAGAAAAATGTCCAACAAATCAATTAGTCCCAAAAGTGAAGTATGAAGATGTTTACAATTTATGAAAAGAAAAGGAAAATTACAAAGGAGCGTATAGAATGTCTGCCCAATGTTGAAACTTAATTGGAAGACCCAGGTCAGAATATCAATTTTCTTACTGCACCAAATCATTTTATTTTTTGTTCTGCACTAGTAAGCATAGCATCTCAAAAGGAATCAAACCAATCAGTAATAGATATTCGCATTGCAAGTTACAACCTCTGTTGTGTAATTATGCATTAAGGATTTTTTTATCAAAAAACTACTCATCAAGTATTTTTCAGGGGACTGAACACAAATTTCAAAGAATATAATTTAAATCAGAATTAAAGAATATGACCTAATAAAATAAATTCATTGGAAGATTTACTTTTATCCTGTCTTTTAGGGGGAGAGGGGGTTGGGGGACCAGGAGCAAATTACAGGTCTGTGGTTAACTTGTTTCTTCCAACCAATTAACGCAGCAAATGGGATTCTTTTGCAAGAACTACAGAGTGGCAATCAATTACATTGCAAAAATACACCCAAGAGCAAGGTTTTCACATGAGCAAAAAAATATCAAAGCTCCACTATGGGTATCAACTATGAAGAGTTTCCATTTCTTGGAGAACAAACCAGACCAAAAGGTGTGAGAACAACCCAAATAAGCTCAAGGAAAAAAGTCTCATCAGGCAAAGAACTCAAATTACCTGTGAGAACAGCCCAAAAGGTGTTTGCTCTGTCCTCATCACCTGACCCCTACCACCACAAGTTGAACATACTCTCATCTTGGATCCTATCTTTGCTCCAGTACCAGTACAGACTTCACATGTTTCTAAATGAGAAAGCTCAAATTCTTTCTCTGTTCCAAAAATTGCCTCAGAAAACTCCAAGGAGAAATCATACCTGTTGACATTGGAATAAAAAATCTTCTCAATTCACAGCAAATACTGATTAAAAGTTTGGAAGATGTAATGTTTTCATCTGTAGAACTGCCAAGTCACATGCTCAGAATGCATAATCAGTATGATAGGATAAAACTTAAAAATATTAAATGTTAAAATCTCAGGCCATGAGATAATGTTTGGAGAAAGTTATTGCTTAGAATTTTACCCATATTAAAATTCTGTATTGTTAGGAGTTAGGAAAGTTATAATAATTAGTTGGTTAATTAGGGGGTTAGGGAGTTAAAAAAATAGGACAACGTAATGAGAAATGATGCTTTCTACCTTGTATTGTTTAACAGATTGAGCTTTGTGAAAGAAATTCTTTGTGAAGGGTAAACCTTGGAGGAGAGATCTCTCCCAATTTTAAGTTCAATTACATACCATCAATAAGATCCTCTTTTTCTTTTCCCCAATTTCATTATATTGGTTTATATTATATGTAAAATACATCATATTTTCAGTGTCGATTTATCGTCTCACATTGAATCATTTCCCCTAATCCCCCAACCAAAGCATTAGATTTTGGGATTTGCTTTGTTTTCTCTTCATGGATTTTTTTCTTTTACCCTTAGTCCTTGAGGAGGATGTTCAACAGTAATATTGTGTTAATAATATTTGATGAGTGTTATCAGGCTAGACTTATACCAGTTGTATGCACTGGGTATTGAAGATTAATAATATAAATAGGGTTCTAAATGAGTTTTATATGCATAAAAAATTCACAAATATTATAGGTTATTAATAATTTAAAAAAATTTGTGTCTCAAGTCTATGTTTCCCCTTTCCCTCTCCTAAAAACCCTACAAGTTACGACAACTAAGCCTTGTCTCATTAGGTGGAATTAACTATAAATATTCAAAAAATAAATTTAGAATAAAGTCTTCTTTAAACAATAGCAATATTTATTTTAACTAGCTAAAAATGTAGTAATCATTCACCTGCCTAAAATGACTCAATGAAAAATACTCAACTATTGAATTGACAGCATAACTCACCGGATGTCTTCACCCTTAGTAATGGTACTACGTCGGCGCGTTCCAAATCCAGTTGGATCCATTCCAGCAAAGCCACCCATACTTGGCCCAAAAAATGTCTCAAATAAATCAAATGGATTTGTCTGCAAGAAAAAGATTGTTAAATATAAATCTATCAAGGAGAAGCTGCTCAGGAAGAGTGGGTAGAGTAAAAGGCAACTTCAATTGCCATGAATTTCTGTTTTTTTCTTCCCCAAACACAAGACATGTGCATCGGAACTAATGGCATATTAACCAGTTATTCTCCTGACAAGTGAGCTTTTATCACCCTTTCGAATATGTATTGCTCACAAAACTTACACACAACACCAAAAAAAAATAAAAATCATATTGCATACCGTATAGGCACTTGATGCTCCTCCCACTGTACTCTTAACTCCTGCCTCGCCATATTGATCGTATAAAGCCCTCTTTTTATCATCTGATAGCACCTGACAGTGTTGTAATTCAGAATTCAAAAGCTAATGTCATAACTATAATTTAAAATAATTGTATTTTCAGTGGTATGATACAACACAAGATCATGGGCATTGTTCCCGAATAAAGCATAGTTTTATACGTTTCTACCAACCCAGTTGTGAGTAACAAGTAACAACTATCTTACAAAGTCTTAAAACACGGACCTTAAAAAAATTAAATAAATCAATAAAAAAAAATTAACTACACAACGCACACATATGACTTGGTGGCAATCACCCTTCCTTATATGCTTTAAAATGTGAGATCTGCTGTGATTTGAACTATCTACTTCGTTAAAATAGGGTATTTTAGACTAGTAGCTTTTATTTAGCCCATATTCTCACATTTCAAAAGATTGACACATTGGACCAAAAATGCGAGAAAATGGATGAAAACTTCAAAAAAGCAAGCATTCATTGGAAGACAAAAACCTCGGAATAAAACAAGCCTAGAAGTCCTGAAAAGAAGGGTTAACATAACATAACAGTCAGCAGCGTACTATCCATGCATACCTCATACGCAGCACTAATCTCTTTGAACTTTTCAGTTGCCCCAGGCTCCTTGTTTACATCAGGATGGTACTGCAGAGAAAACGATAAAAACAAAATCAGGCCAAGTAAGCACGCATTGCACAGTACAAGTCCCAACAAGCAGCCACGAAATCGCAACAATTCACATTGAAAAACTGAATAACCACTCGAATTCCTTAACAATTTATAAGTGGCTACCAGAGGCTTAGAATTAACATCGGATTACGAATCAAAACTATGGATGAGAGTGAATACCTGACGAGCTAATCTTCGATAAGCGGCCTTGATTTCCTTGCCGGTGGCAGATTTGGGGACTCCGAGAGTGGAATAATAATCGGAGGAAGCTGCGAAGACGGTGTGGAAGCGTCTTGGAGAGGGAGAGAGCTTTGGATTTGAAATTGAGGAGAAAGGGAGGGGGGAAGGGGAATGAATGGAAATGAAGTTGCTGTGAGAGCGAAGATGGATGGTGCCGCAGAAGCAAGGACAAGAAGAGGGAGGGAACAGAGAGAGAGATATAACGGCCATTGAAATGTGAAAGCGTTAAGGGATAGAATTAAGAGTAAGAGATGGAGTGGAGGGAAGGGTTGGGTTTGTTCATCGTTTTAGTTTACCCACTTTTACTATACTGCGTTTGTGTGTGTGGGTGGGAACAGCGAGCTTATAAAGCTCCCCTTTTATGCCACTGCCATTGCTATTTGCTACAACTCGAACGGAAGAGACTTCGTGGGACCCACAAGATAAGTTGTGGTCTGCGTGCTTACTGCTTAATGCCAACTCCTTTTTTCTTTTTTTCTACCATTTACCAACGCCAAAGATAAAAAGGGTTTAGGGTGATTCAATTTCGGTAACTCACTGTTTTTTTTTTTTTTACCACAGTAATTAATAAAAATTATAATTATTATCTTCTAATTCGAGAGTTAGTCTTAGAAACATGTCCATGCAATAAAAATTTTCATGAACTGATCTAAATAAATACAAATCACAGCAAATAAAAAAAACTATTGATTTTTATTTAAAATGTCTTTTTAAAAATTATTCTACTCCAATTTAAACTAAACATATGTGTATATAGTTTTATTTGAGAAATTGTTGCGTCAGTTATATTTGCATGATAAAATATTTACAAAATTGCTATGTCAATTATTTTTTCATGATTTTATTGTTTAATTAACGTTTCATCATTATTATAATTCTGAATTAATTTGACACATTCTTCAGGATCCAAAACCTCCTCTTTCAAGTTTGGCTTAAAACTTTTCGTGTCAATAGGACTTAAAATAAACACAAGTCATCATCGTTACAAGCCAGCATGACCTGGATTAGTGGATTAATACGTGACCTGCAATTGATTTTCAAATGCAGATCTCGGTTTGGTCGTTGATTTATTCAAATAGAATTAAGTAAACTCGTTTAAAGAGACCAAATTTTTATCCTTTTTTTTTATTTGTTTACAAAACTTGTCATGTTACTCAGTAATGTAACTTAATAGGGTTTTAGGAAAATGATTTTATATATTGAGTAATATATTTTAGCTTTCTCAAAAAGTTTATAGTTGTTTTTTTAACTTAAAATAAGTTATTAGCATCAAAATTATGAAGTGAATTTAATTTAAAAGTCTACGATAAAAAAAAATCATTTTAACGAAAAAACAAGCTATTGGCCACTTTATCTTCTATCCAAGTAATAACAACCACGATAATAATAATAATAATAATAATAATAATAATAAATACATAAAGCTAAAATACATTCATTATAAAAGTAATCATATTTTCAATTTAACTAATATACCATAAATCCATACAAATGTTCCTTTAAACAGAATGGATTTTTAAAAGATATTGAACAACTTTAACTCAAGGAATTTATTATGTTCTTTCGAAACATCAATTTTATGAAATTATAAAATTGAAAATCAGTCAAACCACTGCGAAAGAACTTTCAATTGATATTCCACTGTGGCTAAATTATCAAATCAATATTGTTCTCCCGTTAAATATCTAAAATCTTATTAATTAGTCCAAACTAAAAGTCAGATATTATATGCCCGTTTGCCTAGCTCGTTTTAAGACTTAAAAATTAAAAATATAATATTCACATCTTTATAACAGGATGCAATTAGAGATAAAAAAAAAAAATAGATTAAAAAGAAGCTTACAATCTAACTTTTTTAAAATTTAACTCGATCTAATTTATTTAATTAATAAATTTAATTTAAATTTTTTAAAAAGATTATTTAATTAAATAAATTAAATTTAAGTTTAAAAAAAAGTTTTTTAAACTTATTAAAATAGTTTATTTAAAATTTATAATAATATATCAAATAATTTTATATAAAAACTATAATATAATAATATATTAAATCAATTAAATTTTAAAATAATAAAATTTTAAATTAAAAATCTTGACTTTTTTTTGTGTTAAAATTAAAGAAAATCTTTATTACATATTTTTTAATAGTTTATTTAAATATAAATTTTATAAATTTTTAAAAAACATATCTATTTAGATAGTTTAATAGTCTATTTACAAAAAAATTTAATGACATGTTAAATGTTTCAATACAAAATAGGCAGTTAAAAAAGCTAATAGACTTAATAAAAAGCCTATTGTAAATAATAGGCCAAGTTCAAGCTTTAAAATTATTAAATAGATCAAGCCTCTTTATATAAAGCCTAACCTAGCCTATTTTTATCCTTAGATGCAATTTGAGATCGAGAAATAGAAAAGAAAGGAAAAAGAAAAAAAAAAACAAGTAAAAAATGTGATAAAGGGAGAGAGATGAAAATTAGATACAAGAAAAAATGAGGGTAAAAATATATTTAGTGTTTTAAAATTTTGGCTTACAAAATCAAAATATGTAGCAGTTACAAATAGTGCAAATGCTCATGGCCCAGGCTTTAGAGAGATTGTCAAAAGATCATCTCAAAAATGGAAAATTGGAAATCAAGATTAGCTAGTATGGAACGACCATTGCCAAGGTGATAATTGAAAATATTCAAGACCCTAAAAGAGCAAAAGACAATTTGTAATATAGCCTGTTCTGATGGCACACCAAAGTGATCCTGAACATTCTTGGTAATTACAGTACACTTACTGCTAATAAACAATCGGTGAAAAATAAATAATTGAATTAACTGACGAATAATTTTATCTATAATGTCAAATTATATTCTATCGCACGTTGACAAGATAGAATCACCCCCTGACTGGGAATAACTACTATTCCATGACCTACAGGAGCTACATAAACTGCAACAATTAAAAACACATTTTTTTCTTTGGAATAAGAAACACCAGATATAATTAATTAACCAGACGCGGCTATTTTACTGCCTCAGTTATGATATTCTACACATTGATTGCGTTAGAAGGCATCAGGAGGGAAACGCCCCGGAAAAGGGTTGTACTGTTGTGCCTGATTCAGATGCATCCGCAAAGCGTAGTTATTCACCTGTCAACAAAATCAGAGATACAGCATTCATCGGCATGCCCAAAAGAGATTTTAAATACAAAATATTTTATTAATCTTATAATTTCATCATGTCTTTGCCTCTTTTTTTCTATCTTCCATTTTACAACAGAAAGGAATTCAAACTTTATACAGTTATTAGTTAAAGTTTAAAAAATTTAAAACCAAATGATGAGAATTATTGAAACGTTCTGATTAAAGGGTAAACTGTGTGAACTGAACTGGGATAAAAGCTGATCTAACCTCAAGAGTTCTGATCTGCTCCTGGTATTGTGACACCAACTGCTTCAGCTGTTGCAACTCTTGGTTTTTATCCTCATAATCAGAAAGACGTTCAAGCTGGATTCTAAAAGCACTTTTAAAACAATTTTTCTCCTTAGTCAACACTTCAATTTGCTCCTTCAGCATCAAATTTTCCTGAAAATAAAAACCTCTGATCACAACTACTATGCAAGCTCAACACTTCAGCTATTAACATCATCCAACTGATAGTTCAATAGTCCCTTGCCCATAGCATGTATTGTGCGTTTATGTTGCTCCTCAAAGAGGACATTTACTTAGTTACAAGCAAGATGCCAATACAAACCTTTAAAGGGGGTATTGGCTAACTCAGTAATGTCTACAGCCACAAGAATCAATTCTACTCCATAATTGCCTTCCCAAATTCTAAAGGGCTGTACAATAAAGATAAGAAATTCTAGCATGAACACATACCCTTTGAAGAGCAGTTGTTGCACCAGAACTTGCATGTGCACTGATCGATTTCTCTAGAACCTCCAGCAATCTAGCAGCACGAGCTCTGGCATCATCAACACTAGTAGCACACGTCATTTCTCTAACGAACAAGTCAATCCATTCTGCTCCATCTGCAGGAAGATTGTTGGAAGCTGACTGATTCCCAGAAGCAGAAGCATCGCCATTATCTTCCAATGTACCTGCAAATTTTTCAAAAAAATAAATAAATCCATCAATTCCCAGTGAATATCTAATTGAAATTCTAAACCCGTGTTTTGTTTTCTTATGGCGGTTAATACGAGTTAGAAATACGCAGAGATTAAAAAAAAAAACTATCACACAATAACGCGTTTCTTCTCATAAAACATTTAAATAAACGTATATACCTAATTTCACGGGTATAATTCAAAATTGACAATCCCTAATTCAATAGAGAACATTTGAACGAACTTATCGTACCTGTGTCGATGTTAGGCTGAGATTGTTGAGCAGTTTCAGAATTATCATCGGCAGATCCCAAGCAGAGGCCGTGCAGGCTCTTGATGGCGGCATCTAAGTCGTTGCCACATTCTAGAAGTGCTCTCTCAAGGACCTAAACCAACGAAACATGGCAATAATCATAAATTCTATTATCCAATTAAGCAACAAAAAAAAAAAAAAGGAAGAAGAAGAAGAAGAAAACCTGGTCATCCATATGAGGAAAGAGAGGGCGAAGGTGATCGATGAGGTTTGAAATCGAAAGACGAATAGGAGAGGAGGAACAACGGAGCCTCTTGGAAACTGGGGGGGAAGGAGGAAGGTCTTCGAAGAAAGATCTCTTGCTTCCGCACACCGCAGCAGACATCGTTCAATAACAATAATGCTTCTTCTTCTTCTTCTTCTTCTTCTTATTCTTCTTCTTCCCCAAATACCAATTTTCAATCCGAAATAGGGTTGGATTAGGGTTGCGCTCCCAAACAAATATATGAAAGGGAAGAAGGGAAAAAGGTGATTTGCTATTTCTTGATATTCAATGTATTAATTGATATTCCTCTCTTGGATTGGTCAAGTTCCCAACAACAAGTTACGTGCTGATAGAAAATAAAATTCTGGGTTATATAAATTCTCATGTGCGTTGTTTATCCCGTCACATCCTCTCATTAATAACTTTTTTATATTTAATCAAAATAATTATAAGAATTACAATTTATTCTTTATACTTATGGTCATCACTCTGTGTTGCTACCATAGAAGATAAATATTACGTTAAGAAGATGTATGTTAAGCCTTTATACACGGCATTTCAATTGTGCACAGCCTATAATTAAATAAGTTTTACTTTTTTATATCAATTTAAACTTTTAGTAACAAAATATTAAAATAGAGTTGCATCGTTTGTAACTTTCATGATAAAATAATAATAACCCTTGAAAAATGTTTTAATCTTTTAATTATTTTTTTTAGAATCACATCGCCTCTATATGTGATCTGTATTATATGCTACATACCTGAACAATTTATATATGTTTCAGGCATCTACTGGCATTGTTATGTGTATTTTTATTTTAATATGTGTTACGGTTAAAAAGACAAAAATAAAAAAATTCCATTAATACTTAAAGTAGAGTACTCTATGATATAATTATGCTTCTTTTCTTAATAGATGACATGTGTAGAACTTAAATTTATCTTATTGTGTTAATATGTATAAGTTTGTGAAATAACTTTTTTATAATCGGTAAAAAAAAAATTATAATAGAAAAGTATGAAATATAAACAAATAAAATATATTATATTGTTCTATTCCACTTTATCTATTTCAAATTTAGACTCTTGTAAATTGTTTAAAAGATTATTATAAGTCAAACTCCCAAAAAATATTATTATCTTGTCGATAAAGAAAAATCTTAAAAGATAACAAAATTATTTATATATTTTTATTTTCTCCGTCAAGTAATTCTTTAGTAACATTAATAAGTAATTTTAAATACTTATTATATTATTTTTAATATCTCTTGTGATAGTTTTAACTCTCCATTTGAATTCAAATTCACATTAAAGCTATACCAACTTTAATTATACCACAGATAATTATCTCAGAATACAAAAACTTCACTAAAATCTAAAAAACATAAAAATTAGTATACGATATAAAATCTTATAACAGTTCATGCCAAACTTTTACAAAAGCTTTTGATCTTCAAACTAATATTTGTTTCGCAAATTATAATACTTGCAACAAATAGAAAAAACAATGGTGAAAAAAAGGTAGACAAACAAAAAGAATAAATCTATATCTTTACTTCAAAATAAGCCTAAGTCGTGTTTACAAAGAGAGTTCTTCTGGTATAGGTTTTTTACTTTTTTTTATTTATTTAAATGTGTTTTTATTTTTATAGAAATAATTCTCTTTATAATAAGTTTTTAAAAAATTATTATCATTTAGTCTAACAGTTTTAAGAAGTTTTTAATTAATTTATGTCATCAACTATCATGCATTAAGTGATAAGTTGAATTAAATTCAATTTCATTACTCTCACGTCTTTTTATCTTATTAAATAAATTTTAATATTTGTAAAAAATTATTTTTTTAACTTTTATCTTTTTTTTATCATTTATGAAGGAGGAAAATTGATCAGAATAAAGATAAGAATATGTTAGATCGAATTAAAGTTAAGATTAAATGAGCCTAATTTATTATATAAAACTGGAGACTGAACTTACGCTTATGACCTTATACTTATGACTTATATACGTTAAATTATTATCTAATTTTTTAAAAATTTTGACCTGACTTAATAGTCTATTTAAAATTAAGACATTTAAATGATACTAATTTAAATTTAACTGACCAATAGATTAATGAGCTAATAGTCAACAGACTAATAAGTCGAAAGAATTATTATTAATAAAAAATATATAATAAATAATTATATTTAAATATTAAGTTTTATACTTTAATAATATAATTATAATTATTATATTATTATAGATTAAATACTAAATTATGTTATATATATTAATATGTACAAAATTTTAATCGATAATTTTTTTATGATGAGTTTTAATTAATACTTTCATAGTTTAATTATAATTATTATATTATTAAAGTATATATACTAAACTATGTCGTACATTATGTTACATATGTATATATAAATTTTTCTAAAAATATTTATTACAAATATATAAATTATAAAATAATATAATTATTTAATTAAGTGTCTTAATAGTTTTAAAAGATTTTTTTAACTTAAGCCTGATATTTTTTAAAAGTTTAAATCTGACATTTCTAATAAAGAAAGTCGAGTTAAATTAGGCTTTAAATAAATTAAGTCGTAGACTTTAACAGAGAGTCTGATCCATTCTCATTTATAGTAATGAGCTTTACTATCATAAATACAAAAAAAATTGCACCAAAATCAATCACTATGCAAAGCCTAGTGAATAGCGGAATTAAGAGAAAAAATTAACGTGACACAAAATAAAGTCCTTTGATCTTCCTTTCATTTTACACTTTATTTTCCTTTGCAGACCCAAACAATTTTTTTGTTTTTCTATTTGTATTTTCCTTTAAGTACTTGAATGCAGTGTTCTTTACCAACATGTGCAACCTAATTGTCACAATCAACACTGGGCAACTATTTTATGCAAATGTTCTAAGATGGGAAGTTCTTGTGAAAAATATTATTAAATACACGCAATGCATTGTTAATGTGGTCAAACTGAAACTAGAGATCGATCTATCGATTATCTAAATAAGTTAAGGTGTTAATTGTTCACTCTTATTCATTTGTGCTAAAAGACGTACTAAAGTTATTTCACTTTTTGGTTATTCTTCTTCTTATTTTTTTCTGCATTAGTATGTTCACGTGGTTCTTCCTTCCCCACTTGTTGGACATCCTTTTCGAGTGAGATCCTTTGATTGCCCATGTTGGAATTGGCAAAGATAATAGACCTAGTAGTAATAGTAGGCCAAACTGTGTTAGTGTTGACAGGGAAACATGTTACCCAACAATTGCCCTTGCCAATATTGTCTCGGTTCTATGTTCTGTTTGTGCAAGTTTTTGTTTGGTGTTGGAATTTAAGGGTGGTAGGGATGTGAGTTTGTCTCTTTTTGTTGTATCTCTTCCTCAGGGTTTAGCTTGGGTTGTGTTGAGCTTATGGACATTGCATTATTGTAAATTAAAGCATGATGTTAGATTATTCTTTTTCTATCTCTTGTTTTATCTCATTCTACATCAACTTAAGGGTATCATCCAACCCATGAATTTTTATGACAAGGAAGAAGTGAGAACAAAAGAATCACTATTTAGGAGACAGACAATACAAAAAAGTTACAACTTTTACTGTGTAATGTTGTTGGCACTGATGTAAAAGAGGAATAATGTTTACGAAGAAAATGTTAGAAATGTTTAAGGACTTTTTTAATAATTAATTTTTTTAAAACAATATAATTTTATGATTTTTTATAAATATTATTTTTTAATTAATAACACACTGAAAATAGCGATAATGTAACAGTAGTAACTTATACTCAAACTATTCAAATAATTGTTTAACAAAAGATAGTTGATAATAAATATTAATTTTAAATATTTAAAAACAACAGAAATCAAATTTGAACATATTTTTAAAATATAAATTTTTAAAAAATTATACTATCGCAGAAACAAAAAGATATAATTAAACAATTTTTTCATAGAAGTGATATTTATAAATATATGACTAATCTATAACTTGGAATAAAATATAAACCAAACAACAGATTATGTCAACCATGACTTTCCAACAAGGGCAAAAAATAATTTTGAGTTATGCGAGATGGTTTAAAATGAAAAAGGAACAAGAAAATATCTTTATCATAAAATTTATTACAGAATATTGTATCGGTATCTATTAATATGGATCCATTTTGTAGAGGGAGTTAACCATCATTCCATATCTTAATTCCTTCTTTCCTATCAAATAGTCAAAATACGCATTTTTCAATAATTATTTTGGATCCATGGACATTTCTCCAATTTTAACTCAATAATATATTGTATGAATATGTAAGAATAAAGAATAATAATATGCTGTAAAAGCTAAAAGTAACAATAAAAATCACTAAATTTTTTAAAAAGTTGCTATGTATAAAGAATAAAAGAGACAAAATTATCAATAAGACTGAGGTTAATATTTGTGGTGACAATGCTAAAAGTATTAGTAATAGTATCTTAACGACAATAACACACGTGAGATAATAGGACTAGAAAAAAGATGTTTATTATTATTTTTTAGTCAACATTGATTATTGATTATAAGGAGCGATTTTTTTTGTAAAGTTTAGGCCTATCATACAGTTAGGCCCAAAGAAACAGCCCAAATAACGGCAACCCAATTTTGAAGGCGGTATCCAAAAGGCGGCACGTGCGGTAGCCATCATCGATAAAACTAAAAAGAAATTTTCTCAGCGCCCAGTGTTGTTCCACTGCTTCGTAGCTCTGTTCATTTTATCTTTCACTCGTAAACCCTAGAACCTGCAAGTCGGTGCGTAGAGCCCTTCAAGGCTCTTTATTCACTTTAAAAAGAACATGCTCTGAAGCTATTCCCAATCATTACACACTATATTACCTCATCCAATTTCCCAGCTTCAAGCTCCGTCAGAGTAGAGCATTTTCAAGATGTGGAACAACGGTCAGCTTGTGCCCCCTGGAACTTCTGTTCCTCCGATTCCTCCGCCTCCGGCCGCGCAACCGTCGTATACGGTGCTTCCACCTCCGCCCCCGCCTCCGGCCCCTGCAGAGACAGAGGCCGATGCAGAGGCTCGGCTCGAGGAGAAGGCCAGGAAATGGCAGCAGCTTAACTCGAAGCGTTACAGTGACAAGAGGAAGTTCGGGTTTGTTGAGACGCAGAAAGAGGACATGCCTCCCGAACATGTTAGGAAAATCATCAGGCAAGTGTTCTTTCTTTCACCAGTTGTGATCTCTCTCAGCTTCTTAGAAGTTCTTTGACTAATTACTGCTACGAGTACTCTGTCCTTTAGAATCTGAATTTTTGGTCGTGATGTTCCACCTACCTTGGAAATACCATGTTGTTGAATCTATTTGTTTAATTTTGAAAGTTATAAGTGAGTTTGAAGTAGTTTGATTTTGCCCGAGAGAGGACGCCGGGCACACTTGTTAGGATTAGCTGTTAAGTATATTCATTATTCCGTGTCGCGAACTATGACAAGGATAATTCGTTATTTTCCCCTTTTTCTTATGAAGAAATACATTGAAGTGACATGGACATTATATTTTCAGTTTAGGCTTCTGTGATGCTCAATTTTAGCTTAAAGACATTAGGAGTACATACTGATAAACGTCTTCACTGTTTTGTATATAAGTTCATTTTCATACCACAGGCTGTTTCCTTGTTGGCAATAAAGGGAATATATTGAGACTCTGACTTGTTATATATATATATAGTCTTTCTCTTAGCAATACAAATTAAATTTTATCTGATAATAGTAAAGGGACTATAGATTTAACACATGATTTTCTTTGCTATTCTTTATTTCAGGGATCATGGTGATATGTCATCAAAGAAATATCGTCATGACAAGCGTGTTTATCTTGGAGCACTTAAATTCATTCCACATGCAGTTTACAAGCTCCTGGAAAACATGCCTATGCCATGGGAACAGGTTCTCTGCATTTTCCAGTTCCTCAGACATGATCAATCATCGCTGTCCAGTTTTCTTCATCTCTGTTTGATTTACTGTACATTGGTCCCTTACTTATAGCATCTATCTATTTACTTTTGTGAATGTAGGTCCGAGATGTGAAGGTCTTGTACCATATTTCCGGTGCCATCACATTTGTCAATGAAATACCATGGGTTGTCGAGCCTATTTATCTTGCTCAGGTTTGACTTTCTCTTTTCTGCTTAGTGTAGACATGCAGCAGCTCAAAGATGTTATTATTATAAAGTCAACTTTATTGTGTATGATCATGACACAGCATTTTTTTTATCTTTATTCTTCTCTAAACAAACTATTGTGCAGTGGGGTACAATGTGGATCATGATGAGAAGGGAGAAAAGAGATCGTCGTCATTTTAAGCGGATGCGGTTTCCCCCATTTGATGATGAGGAGCCTCCGCTAGACTATGCTGATAATCTTTTAGATGTTGATCCTCTAGAGCCGATTCAACTGGAGCTTGATGAAGAAGAAGACTCTGCTGTGTATACCTGGTTTTATGACCATAAACCTCTCGTGAAAACAAAGCTCATTAATGGTCCTAGTTACCGGAAATGGCATCTCTCCCTTCCTATAATGGCAACTTTGCATCGGCTAGCTGGGCAGCTTCTGTCTGATTTAATTGACCGCAATTATTTCTACTTGTTTGACATGGAGTCATTTTTTACTGCAAAGGCGTTGAACATGTGCATCCCTGGTACATGGATTTCTTTCATTATATTTTTTGCTACTAATATTAAAAAGATTCAGTACTTACTGTTATTTACTGAGTTAGATATTGATTGTGCTTAAATCCCCGTCAATCTAGATATTGCTAGATATAAAACTGGGAAACAATGCTGATTTTAATGAACTGTAAGAGAGACATAGAAAGTCATGTTACAAACAATATTATGCACATTAGAGTATAGTGTGAAGAGCTGATTCAAAATCATGCATTTATTTTTCTGATATTTATGCCCTCCAGGTGGACCTAAATTTGAGCCTCTCTACCGTGATATGGAGAAGGGAGATGAGGACTGGAATGAGTTTAATGACATAAATAAACTCATTATAAGGTCACCACTTCGGACAGAGTATAGAATTGCTTTTCCCCATCTTTATAACAACAGGCCTCGCAAAGTTAAGCTTTGTGTGTATCATACTCCCATGGTCATGTACATAAAAACTGAAGATCCTGATCTACCAGCATTTTATTATGATCCCTTGATACACCCAATAACCAGTGCTAACAAAGAGCGGCGTGAGAAGAGACTTCCCGATGACGATGATGATGATGATTGGATATTGCCTGATGGTGTGGAACCTTTGCTTAGAGATATACAACTTTATACAGACACCACAGCTGCTGGAATCTCCTTACTGTTTGCTCCTCGTCCTTTTAACATGAGATCTGGTCGCATGAGGCGGGCAGAAGATATTCCTCTTGTGTCAGAATGGTATAAGGAGCATTGGTAAGTTTAACCCAACCTCCTTCTTATGCTTTTTAGTGTGTATTTCATTTTTTATTCATGCATATGACAATGCATTTTTCTCAAATAGATGGACAAAAATTAACTGTGTTCTTTTTTAATTGTTTAACAGTCCTCCATCATACCCCGTTAAAGTTCGTGTTAGTTATCAGAAATTGCTGAAGTGTTTTGTGTTGAATGAGCTGCATCATAGACCTCCTAAGGCTCAAAAAAAGAAGCACTTATTTCGATCTCTCCAAGCAACAAAGTTTTTCCAAACCACAGAACTTGATTGGGTTGAGGCAGGTCTTCAAGTTTGTAGGCAGGGGTATAACATGCTGAATCTGTTGATACACAGGAAAAATTTGAACTACCTTCATCTTGATTATAATTTCAATCTAAAGCCTGTGAAAACCTTGACTACAAAAGAGCGAAAGAAATCACGATTTGGTAATGCTTTTCATCTCTGTCGTGAGATTCTTCGATTGACAAAACTTGTGGTTGATGCCAATGTTCAGTTCCGTTTGGGAAACGTGGATGCTTTCCAGCTTGCTGATGGTCTGCAATATACTTTTTCACATGTTGGTCAATTGACTGGAATGTATAGGTACAAGTACAGGCTTATGCGACAAATAAGAATGTGCAAGGACCTGAAGCACTTGATTTACTACCGCTTTAACACTGGGCCTGTTGGGAAGGGACCTGGCTGTGGGTTTTGGGCACCAATGTGGAGGGTTTGGTTATTCTTTCTTCGTGGTATAGTTCCCCTTCTTGAGCGATGGTTGGGCAATTTACTTGCACGACAGTTTGAGGGGCGCCACTCCAAAGGAGTGGCAAAGACTGTCACCAAGCAGCGTGTTGAGAGCCACTTTGACTTAGAGCTTCGGGCAGCAGTTATGCATGATGTGCTTGATGCTATGCCAGGTATTATTGCTGTTGATTTAACATTTTTTGCGCTTTCTGATTTTAGGTTTCTTTCACCATGTGATATACTGAAGTTGTTTTTCTCCCTGATGGCAGAGGGTATAAAGCAGAATAAGGCAAGAACTATATTGCAGCATTTGAGTGAGGCTTGGCGATGCTGGAAGGCAAATATTCCTTGGAAGGTAAATAACTATTTGATTGTAATTTGGATTAGTGATATGTCTGTTTCTGCTTGATTTTGAGGAAATAATTTCTTAGGAATATGAAAAGACATTTTTTAATACACTAATCCAAACATCAGTTAATTGTATTGCTGGTGAATTCTTAAAATTAAGACTCAGTGGGGTTAATAATCTCCTAGGAAGTTGAACTGTTGAAAAAATGTGTTTTTTTTTTTTTTTCAATCCAAATGTGCACTAAGAGGTGTTGCTATATAAGCCTTTATGGGTCCTCAACATAATGAGCTACAATAAGCAATGCAAACTTATTTCTGATAGTTTTCTCAAATATGGTTAAACTATTGTAGCCAAGAAAGGCTACTTATTGGAGGGTTTTTTTTTTTTCTTTTTGGGTTTTATGAAGAATTAACTGGCCTCATTTTAATTTGGTTCACTCCGTCACAGTCTTTTTTGTTGATTTACTTGATTTTTAATGCATAGGTTCCTGGCCTGCCTGTTCCCATCGAGAACATGATCCTTCGGTATGTGAAATCAAAAGCAGACTGGTGGACAAATGTTGCTCATTACAATCGTGAGCGTATAAGAAGAGGTGCTACTGTGGATAAGACTGTTTGTCGAAAGAATCTTGGAAGATTGACACGCCTCTGGCTGAAGGCAGAGCAGGTATTTTCAAAGAATTGTTCTGTGAATTGTTTTTATAGAATCCATTTTTGTTATTTGTTAAGTTGGTTTACAATGATTTATCCCTGTTGCAGGAACGTCAACACAATTATTTGAAAGATGGTCCATATGTTACTCCTGAAGAAGCTGTTGCTATCTATACAACAACTGTACATTGGTTGGAATCAAGGAAGTTCTCCCCAATTCCATTTCCACCTTTATCATACAAACATGATACAAAGTTGCTTATCCTTGCACTTGAGAGGTTGAAAGAATCCTATAGTGTTGCAGTGAGGTTAAATCAACTGCAAAGAGAGGAGTTAGGGCTGATTGAGCAAGCGTATGACAATCCACACGAGGCATTATCTCGAATCAAGCGGCACCTCCTTACCCAGCGTGCTTTCAAAGAAGTATGTCGATATGATTAAAATGTTAGCTTTAGATGTTCATTCCTAGCACAAGACAAGTACACTTATGTTTTATTTTGTTTTGACAGGTTGGAATAGAGTTTATGGATTTATATAGCTACTTGATTCCAGTTTATGAGATAGAACCTCTTGAAAAAATTACAGATGCATATCTTGATCAATACCTGTGGTATGAAGGTGACAAGCGTCATCTCTTTCCCAACTGGATCAAGCCAGCTGATTCAGAGCCACCTCCCCTTTTGGTTTACAAATGGTGTCAAGGCATAAACAATTTGCAAGGTATATGGGACACCAGTGATGGACAATGTGTTGTGATGCTGCAGACTAAGTTTGAGAAATTTTTTGAGAAGATTGATTTAACAATGCTTAACAGGTATGCATTTTATAAATCACTTTGTGGATATATTATTGCTTTCTTTGCTTCTAAATTTATTTCTGATGTTGCAGGCTTCTGCGATTGGTTCTGGACCACAATATTGCTGATTATGTCACTGCAAAAAACAATGTCGTGTTGTCATATAAGGATATGAGTCACACAAATTCATATGGTCTTATACGTGGTCTACAGTTTGCTTCCTTTGTTGTTCAATATTATGGACTGGTATTGGATCTTCTGCTGCTTGGATTGACTCGAGCCAGTGAGATTGCTGGCCCACCGCAGATGCCAAATGAATTCATTACTTATTGGGACACAAAAGTTGAGACCAGGCATCCGATCAGGCTTTATTCTCGGTACATAGATCGGGTTCATATATTATTTCGCTTCACTCATGAGGAGGCTCGGGACCTCATTCAGCGTTATCTCACTGAGCACCCTGATCCTAACAATGAGAACATGGTGGGGTACAATAATAAGAAGTGCTGGCCCAGAGATGCTAGAATGAGGCTCATGAAACATGATGGTATTGGTTTCTCCTTTTACCTTGTGTGGGTTTTGATATTGTGGACCTTTGGTTCTAACTTTGTTTCATAATTTACTTTTTTGTAATTTCAGTCAATCTTGGGAGGAGTGTCTTTTGGGATATGAAGAATCGTCTGCCTCGAAGCATCACAACTTTGGAATGGGAGAACAGTTTTGTTTCTGTTTACAGCAAGGATAATCCAAACTTACTTTTTAGCATGTGAGTATTGATTATTTTAAACTGGCCTTGGATGTCTAACCTGCCATGATGGTGATTGAAAATGTAGTGTTTATAATGGTTGGCTCTATCAATATCTTTTGGTTTATGTCTTCACCCTCCTCCATTGGAAACTTGACTTTCTAATTGTTAATTTCCTTGGTACCAGACTGTCATTACTGACTCTGGATTGTTGGTCTTCTGTTTTTTGCTATGTATAAAATGAATGAAGTTATCTTTATTAATACTTATCAATAACCTTCAGGTGCGGATTTGAAGTAAGGATTCTTCCTAAAATTAGAATGACTCAAGAAGCATTTAGTAACACCAGAGATGGTGTTTGGAATCTCCAGAATGAACAGACAAAAGAAAGGACAGCCGTTGCTTTCTTAAGAGTTGATGATGAACACATGAAAGTGTTTGAGAATCGTGTGAGGCAGATTCTTATGTCTTCCGGTTCTACTACATTCACAAAAATTGTCAATAAGTGGAATACAGCTTTAATAGGTAAGTGAGGTTGAATTGTAAGAGCTCTTTGAAGAGGTTACATCAGTTTTCTCATTGTCTTTGGTTCTTATTAGGACTCATGACTTACTTCCGGGAGGCAACTGTGCATACGCAAGAGCTGTTAGATTTGCTAGTTAAATGTGAAAATAAAATTCAGACTCGTATTAAGATTGGACTCAACTCAAAGATGCCTAGCAGGTAACTAGTCACATTTCTAAACACTTTGGAACTATTGGGTTTAAATATTAAAAAAATATGCTGCTGTTTCTTCTGTCAGGTTTCCCCCTGTCATTTTCTATACCCCCAAAGAAATCGGAGGGCTTGGAATGTTGTCCATGGGTCACATTTTGATTCCCCAGAGTGATCTGCGATACAGTCAGCAGACAGATGTTGGAGTGACCCACTTCAGAAGTGGGATGAGTCATGAGGAGGACCAGCTGATTCCTAACCTTTATCGTTATATACAGGTGAACCTCAGTTCTTTCCATTTTATGCTTAATAATCTATGTGCATTACTCTTGGTATGATTTGTGTAGATTTATATACTTCTATTTGGATCATGCAGCCTTGGGAGAGCGAGTTCATTGATTCACAGCGTGTCTGGGCTGAATATGCATTGAAAAGGCAGGAAGCACAAGCACAAAACAGGCGTTTGACCCTTGAAGATCTGGAAGTGAGTTTTGGATGCCTTCTTGATGATTTTAATATTTGGGTTTTGTTTTTTGCGTGTTAGGTCAACACTCCTGTGTGTTCCTTTAGGGGAAAACTACTTCTTGTCTTATTTATTGTTGATCTGTTTTGCAGGATTCATGGGATAGAGGAATACCGCGTATAAACACTTTGTTTCAGAAGGATAGACACACTTTGGCTTATGATAAAGGATGGAGAGTGCGCACTGATTTCAAGCAGTACCAAGTTCTGAAACAAAATCCCTTCTGGTGGACACATCAGAGGCATGATGGGAAGTTGTGGAACTTGAACAATTACCGAACTGATGTTATTCAAGCCCTTGGAGGAGTTGAAGGAATTCTTGAACATACTTTATTCAAAGGAACATAGTAAGTCTGACTCTCCTTTGAACTTGTGCTGTTTGGGTATTCATGTTTAGTATTTAACTCGTGCTATTTTGTGTCTACTACTGACAAAGTTGAAATTTACTTGCTGTTATTTTTCACTGTAAGTTTTCCAACTTGGGAAGGTCTCTTTTGGGAAAAGGCATCAGGCTTTGAGGAATCTATGAAGTATAAGAAGCTCACCAATGCTCAGAGATCTGGTCTCAACCAGATACCCAATCGTAGATTTACCCTTTGGTGGTCTCCAACCATTAACCGAGCCAATGTTTATGTGGGTTTCCAAGTGCAGCTAGATCTGACTGGTATTTTCATGCATGGGAAAATACCCACTTTGAAGATATCTCTTATTCAGATATTCAGAGCCCACTTGTGGCAGAAGATCCATGAGAGTGTTGTCATGGATCTCTGTCAGGTTTTGGATCAAGAGTTGGATGCTTTGGAGATTGAAACTGTCCAGAAGGAAACAATTCATCCGAGGAAAAGTTACAAAATGAACAGTTCTTGTGCAGACATTCTTCTCTTTGCTGCCCATAGATGGCCAATGTCAAAGCCTAGTCTGGTTGCTGAATCTAAGGATGTTTTTGATCAGAAGGCTAGCAATAAGTACTGGATTGATGTTCAGCTTCGATGGGGTGATTACGACTCTCACGATATTGAGCGATACACTCGTGCCAAATTTATGGATTACACAACAGACAACATGTCTATATATCCATCTCCAACTGGTACATCTTTATTATTTTCCTATGCTCCTTTATATATTTTTTATGTGTAGTGTGTAGAGTTTACTTGATCATTGTTTTCCATGCAGGGGTAATGATTGGCATAGACTTGGCATATAACTTGCATTCTGCATTTGGGAACTGGTTCCCTGGGTCAAAACCATTACTACAGCAGGCCATGAATAAGATCATGAAGGTAAATAACCATCATACATTGGAAGTTTGTTACAAAATTAATAATCAAATAGGTATATTGACACTTTTTTCGGGATTAAAATTGTTCTCGTGATTTATGACTTGTCTAATCTGTATTTACATAATATTCACTAAGCTTTGATGACTAGTGTTGAATCCAAGCGAGTGTTATCTAATACTGTTGTTATAATGTGTGTGCAGTCAAATCCTGCATTGTATGTGTTGAGAGAACGGATAAGGAAAGGTTTGCAGTTGTACTCTTCTGAGCCCACTGAACCATATTTGTCTTCTCAAAACTATGGAGAGATATTCAGCAACCAAATAATATGGTTTGTTGATGACACTAATGTGTATCGTGTTACAATTCATAAGACTTTTGAAGGAAATCTTACAACAAAGCCCATCAATGGTGCCATATTTATTTTCAATCCAAGGACTGGACAGTTGTTTCTTAAGGTTTGTTTATGTGCTTTTGTTCTTACTGGGGGTGTTTTAACATTAGTTGTGTAGGTATTGATCTTTCATATATCTTGCAGGTTATTCATACCAGTGTGTGGGCTGGTCAGAAGCGTCTTGGGCAGTTGGCTAAGTGGAAAACAGCAGAAGAAGTTGCTGCACTTGTAAGGTCTCTGCCAGTAGAAGAACAGCCAAAGCAAATTATTGTCACTCGTAAAGGAATGTTGGATCCGTTGGAGGTTCACCTGCTCGACTTCCCCAACATTGTTATCAAAGGAAGTGAACTGCAGCTTCCTTTCCAGGCATGCTTGAAAATTGAGAAATTTGGGGATCTTATTTTGAAGGCCACAGAACCACAAATGGTGTTGTTCAACATCTATGATGACTGGCTGAAGAGTATTTCATCATACACTGCATTCTCCAGGCTGATCTTGATTCTGCGAGCACTTCATGTAAATAACGAGAAGGCAAAAATGTTACTGAAGCCTGATAAAACTATCATCACTGAACCTCATCACATCTGGCCCTCACTAAGTGATGATCAGTGGATGAAGGTAATTTAGTTTTTCATTTGCAATTTTCTGATATTTAGTGCTTTACTGTAGTAAGTTCAATTTTTAGAGCCTAACAAATAGTTGCAAACCTTTGATATTAAATTTATTCACTTGGTAGAGTTCATTGTAGTAAAGTTCAAATTTCTGATTTTGCAGCTCTCTGTTTTGTCTTAGTATATATATCTGAACCTGATGTATTTACAGGTGGAGGTTGCATTAAGAGATCTTATACTTTCAGATTATGCCAAGAAAAATAATGTGAATACTTCAGCTTTGACTCAGTCTGAAATCCGTGATATTATACTTGGAGCTGAGATTACTCCACCTTCGCAACAGCGCCAACAGATTGCAGAGATTGAGAAACAGGTTCATTATTTTTACTGCTGCTCAACCATAATATTTAAATATATGTTCATCTCTCCATCGTTTTGTTCCTTTTTGATCTCTAGACTTGATTTTTCCATCATCTTGTTCTTGGTTTGCTTACCTGAGTTATGTATTATTTTGCAGGCGCATGAAGCAAATCAAGTGACAGCTGTGACAACAAAGACCACAAATGTTCATGGTGAAGAGCTTATAGTAACCACCACTAGTCCCTATGAGCAAGCTGCTTTTGGTTCTAAAACTGATTGGCGTGTCAGAGCGATATCAGCCACCAATTTATACCTTCGTGTTAATCATATATATGTTAACTCTGAGGATATAAAGGTTTGTGGTATTTTTATTCATTTATGCCAACCATGTTACAGTTGCAACTCGTATCTTGTGCTAAATATCGATTTTGTGGTGCAGGAAACTGGATACACCTATATTATGCCAAAGAACATTTTGAAAAAGTTTATTTGCATAGCAGATCTTCGAACACAAATTGCTGGGTACTTGTATGGCATTAGTCCTCCTGACAATCCTCAGGTTAAAGAAATTCGCTGCATTGTGATGCCACCACAATGGGGGACTCATCAGCAAGTCCATCTCCCTTCAGCTCTTCCAGAGCATGATTTCTTGAATGATTTGGAACCTTTAGGCTGGATGCATACTCAACCAAATGAGCTTCCGCAGTTGTCACCTCAGGTTTCGCTTGCTTCAATTTGCAATTTTCTTTTGATTTTAATTCAATTTACAAGACATGCCAAAGTTTTATAAATTCTCTTTGGAATATAGAACAGAATGGAAAAGGAAGATAGTCTAGCTTTTTAAACAATTGTCCGCTACCTAAAAAATAAAATTTAGATTATCTTGTTTGTCAAGGGAATGTATTTATGATTCCTGGTACATTGTCTCACCTGAGAAATGACCATTGCAGGATCTCACATCACATGCCAAGATCCTAGAGAACAATAAACAATGGGATGGAGAGAAATGTATTATCTTGACTTGCAGCTTTACTCCTGGTTCTTGTTCTTTAACTGCATACAAGCTCACTCCCTCGGGTTATGAATGGGGACGTGTCAACAAGGATACGGGAAGCAATCCACATGGTTACCTTCCCACTCATTATGAGAAGGTTCAGATGCTCCTTAGTGATCGCTTCCTTGGTTTCTATATGGTAAGCTTTCCTGCCTGCCCCAAGTTTTATTGTGCGCGGTATGATTATGTGTTATGAAATATTTATACATTATTTTGAAAAATGATTATTTATCTTATTAAAAATGGTTTTATCATCATCATTAGTTTATTTTATTTTTCGTATTGATTTAATGATTGTCTTGGGTTTTTTTGGCTACAATTACCTAGGTTCCTGATAATGGTCCATGGAATTACAATTTCATGGGGGTGAGACACGCATCAGGTATGAAATATGGAGCGAAGCTTGGGACACCTAGGGAGTATTATCACGAAGATCATAGACCAACACATTTCTTGGAGTTCAGCAATATGGAGGAAGGGGAGACAATTGCTGAGGGAGATCGAGAGGACACGTTCTCTTGAGATAATACTGTTCTTTATTAGATATATTAGTTCCTCTCTTTTAATATTTGAAACATGTCAGAATATGTTGTATTATCTTTTGATTGCTCATCCAAGGGATCTTGTAATAGCGGTATAACTTTGTAAATATTTACGAGCCAACAAGTTTAACTAGAGCATTTAAGGCTCTTGCAGTACTAATGTTGCTAAAACGGTCCGAGTTAATCTTCGAGTTCACTGTTCAGGGAGTGGAGTCATTTGGTGCCCAATTTCTACTGGCTGATTAAACCCCCTCCGGTAGCTATTGCAACTTTCATAGCCTGCGTCAAAGCGTGGGGCGTAAAAATATTGGGAGAGAAGTAAGAGGAACGAAATTGTGATTTTTCTTGCGTTATTTTAACGTTGAACCTATTACTTTCTACAAACTTGATTACGAGTTTTAAAGTTATAAAGTGTGAAGACTAGTCCAATTGGGTGTTAGTGGCCTAATTTTGAAAACAGAGAATTTGAAATATTGTCTATGTATCAAATGCATATGCTTAAAATGAAAATATTATAACCAGTAAAAAAAACAAAATTAAATAAGAACATTGCCTAATGTTACAATATATTTCATCATAAAGATGTACAATTTTTTTTTTTAATTCTTGGAACTACCAGACTCCGTATGTCACACGTCATGACAAAAAGTGGCCCGGAAGTGCATCATTTTAAAATCTTTCAAGTCATGACTCAACCAAGAATGGTGATAAATATTACTTGAAAGTTACATATATAAATAGTAAGATATTTGAAGTTATTAAAAGTTTGGGATCTCAGTATTATAGTACTGACTGCTACTGTTTTAAATCTGGCTAGAATCGCTCCTTTCCCTTGTTTTTCCTTTAGGACATAAATTTTAACTACTGAGGATGGGACACTATATTTAGGACCTTAAAGCCTAGATAATGGCCATGCATAGCGTCTGACTTAGTTTAATAAATTATACCCCAACCAAAAGAAAGAGTTTTCTACCAATTTTAAAAAAGTTACAATTTCAGAAAACTTCACAATCTGTATTTAAAATATCGAATTCCTAGTTTCAGGCCTTCAGCAATTTTGCATGGTTCATAGCCACATTCATTGTATGGCTAAGCCAAACATGCAGCCGCTGCCCCAATAAATAGGCGCCAAGTGTTTCCCTGCACAAACCAATATTAAAAATAATACAAAAAAGCAATCCCGAAAATTCACAATCTGTATTTAACATATGAAATCCAAAGTTTCATCTTTCTTGCACACTTCATGGCTCTCTATTCTATTCCAACTCATGTTTTGATTCTTTCTCTTCTGAGATTAAATCTGAACTGGCATCAGCAGCTGAGGTCCCATCATCATGTCCTACAGCAGGAGGGTTTTGAAAGAGTTCATTATTTTCTAGCTGAGCAAACTTATCTTTGGATTCACCCTTCAGTAACTCTACCACCTCAAGGATGGTGGGTCTCTTTTCAGGCTGACTCTGGGCACACACGAGAGCAACTAAAATAAGCCTTTTGAGCTCTTCTTCGACATAGTTACCATCAAGTCTTGGATCTGCAAGTTCACTAAATTTTTTCTCACAAGCCAATGGAAGTGCCCAATCATTTATTGATCGCTTCAGTGCAGAACTAAGTTTTTCAAGTGGTTTTTTCCCACTAGCAAGTTCTAGAAGGAGAATTCCAAAACTGTAGACATCGCAACTCTCATTTGCTTTACCTAACATGGCATATTCGGGTGCAAGATAGCCAAGGGTTCCCTTAACTCTTGTAGTCACATGTGTTGCTCCATCAGGGATCAACTTAGCAAAACCAAAATCAGCAACCCGTGCTTGAAAATCTGAATCCAACAACACGTTACTTGCCTTAATATCTCTGTGGATGATGTGTGGCGTTGATTGGTGGTGAAGATATCTGAAAGTAATTAAATTTTAGTATTAATGTAATGATAGAGGCAGATGAGCATAAGGAAGCCAGGTTGGCACTCACGCGATTCCCTCAGCAGATCCAATTGCAATATTCATCCGTCGGTTCCAATCAAGAAGGCTTTCGGCTGAGTGCTGTCCATGAAGATGAGAGAGCAGGCTCAAATTCGGCATGTAATCGTACACGATTAACCGTTCCTGACCTTCAGCACAATAGCCACGTAGACTAAGAAGATTCTTGTGTCGTACTCTTGCCAATATCTCAACTTCAACAGCAAATTCCATGTCTGCTTTGTTGCTCCAAACTTTCAATCTTTTCACTGCAATCTGCATGTGTACACAGATCAAAATACATATAATTGCAAGCAGCCATCATGGAGAGATCTTGGAAAAATTAAAAAAGGTTACTGTGGTGGCCATCAGCAAATTAAAAAAGGTTCATTTCTTAGGAAGCAGCTATAGAAATCATGTGTTTTAGAAATCACGTAAGGTCAAATCACAACTTACAAGTAAAAAAAATCATCCATCGAGGTACAGGTCTCATACTTATTCAATTTTATAAGATTCAAGCAGCAATCATCCTAGCTCAACAGTAGAACTAAGAATGGAAACTCGGGGGAAAAAAACTTATTAAGAAGGAAGCTAAGCAATCAAGTTGCTTTATTATGTTCACTCACAAATCATTACAAGGAGTCTTTTGTACTTACATTGGAGGATTACTGCAATAGCAAAAAACAAAGCCAACGGAGATGCTAGATGTAGGTTATTTTCCCTTCTATCCCAAATTTTATTGAGAGAAAAAAAAACATAAATCCCTTATACTCTGAACCTTCTGAGTGTTTCATGATATAACCATCACAATTAAGAGTCATTTAAGATTAAGAAAACCATACGAAATGTTTTATGGGATGTTTCAATCTATCAAATGGCCATAAAATTTGAAGACACCCTATTGAGTTAAATTAAGTAAATTAACCATTACAAACGACTCAGCATTGCGATCATTACTAGATTGATGAAGACAACCATAAACCGAAGCTGACTTGGTAAGATAAAACAAAGAATAAAAGAGAAATTATAGTCCTACTTGCGATCCATCCCAAAGCTGGCCCCAGTACACACTGCCGAAACCCCCTTCGCCGAGCTTGTTATCATAGTTGAAATTATTTGTAGCTGAGTGTAATTCCTTCAAAGAAAACACACGCCATGGAGGTTGTTTCTTCCCCCTTGTTTTGCTGCATTGACAGAGACCCTTATATCAACTATCTTTTGAAAAAGGCATAACTGCGACAAGAGTTTGAATCTAAAACTGTACTTAATAAAGTTTGCAGGCATTGGATCAATGAAACAGGTAACTAGGTATATCCAGAATGATTAAACTATGCATGTCATGTTTAATTAAGTTATGAAGAAGAAACTCAATCTTCCCTCTATTATTCACCCTTGAGAATTTACCTACCAAACCTTTAATAGTCTGGTTTCACACAGCAATTTGAAAGGAATCTCAGCAAAGCGCAGAATCTAAAATCTCTTTTAGAATTAATTATCCTCAAAAAAGAAAGAAAAACAAACTAGAAGTGACATGAGACGAATATCTCACATGTGATCCAAAGCAATAATAATGATAACAAAGTAAAAAGAAAATGTAACAAAAAACAGTTATTCTAAACTAGAGACTAATGAAGCATTGTCATACCGATCCGAAGCATTTCCACAACAAAAGATTGGGCAAAAGGCCATAACCTTCCCACCAAGCAGCCCCCACTGTCACTCTCTCTCTGCAACTCAACCTTCTGAATCGACCAGAGAAAAATGAACAAAATTCAAACTTGAGGATGACCCACCAACCCAAATCAGGCGCTCCACTCAGAAAGCCGTTACCTTGTGATATTGTCCACTTAGCGACAAGGACCTTTGAGAGAAACTGGAGACATGCTTCCTGGAATGTTTTTGCAAACTTTGTGTTCTGTGAAACTGAAAACCGAAAAAGAACAAAAGGTTAAAGCGAATCGGTTATTCCTTATTATTGTTTGATTGAGTAGATGAGATGAGATGGTGTGTAAGCTAAGTCTTCTTCTTCTTCCTCCTCTTTAACTTAATTCCAGCTGTTTGCACATTTCAAAAAAGAAGAAACGCACACGTGGGCTCCATTTTCTTTTTCTATTATTAGAAAAAGGGTAAGGTTTATTAAACTTATTTATTTAAATTAACTTTGAACTATCTTATTTGATGTATATCAATCATCAAAGACCTACTATATCATATAATAAAAATAACAGTTTTATTAATATATGTCTTCATCATTATTTTTTAAATATTTTACATTGATATAATAAATGATTTTTTAATAAAAATATTCAAAAAGATATTAATCCTTATTTCATAAAAGTTTCTTCCAGAACATGCAAGACTAGATTAATGGATTTAGTAATATGAGGTGTCTTGGATTAGGATCAAAGCGAAAATCTCATGATCAGAAAAAAAAAAAAAAATCGTCACTTCATAAAAATGCATAGGAAAAATTTCATACTTCAAAGTAAAACACTCGCGAAAATATGGACATGCATTATAAGGCAAGGTTCCTATATGTTTCTTTTATTGCTTTTGTTAATTCCTTGAAGTTTATGCAATTGTATATATCTGTTCTTAGCCAAATATTGTCGTTAATCTGTATTAAAAAAATGATTGAACAACCAATCATTACCTAGTAAAAGATAAATTTTTCCTTGATTAATATCATAAGATAACATTGTCCCCAATCTTTTCATAGGGATATTCGTTTAGATATTATTTATCACTTGTTGGCAGTGCTTTTCGACCATTGACAGGTAAAGTCAAGTGATGCATAATTGTCATTGTTATGCACTTTCGTTCAGATGCGTAAGCATAAAGAGACGGAAAGTTTTGGCTGCTATAACTTGTCAGTGTGTTTGCAAGCGAATAAAAAGATTAAATAACTTCTATTTAAGACATACAAATAAGAGTTAAATAACACCAATTAACCTTTTCCTTCACATACTACAAGGACATCAACTTCTTAACTTAAAAAAAATAAATTGAAATTAGTCACCCCATCTCTCCGCAAGTCCCTTTATAATGTCACCCTTAGGATCATCCGAAACCCATGGTAGGGCCTCCTTGGTTCCTAAAAATAACCAACAAATCAGTTACCATCAAGGCAATGCCTATCAAACTAGGTAATGATATAAATAAGTAGACGATTCTCCAAAATAACAAATCAACTTTATCAGGAATGTAAGTGTAAGGCCATGTTCAACAAGTTTGGAGAATGAATTCCTATTTGCCTAGGTGCCAGAAAAAAAAATTAAAAAGAAGAAATAAAAGAAGGGTAAGATGGCTAGTTGCATAATTTATTATTTTTACCACACTGCTTGTTGTAGGATACTTTAATATTTTTATATCTAGAAATTTTGTTTGGTTACATGAAATTGAAAAAATAATCTGATTTGGTTTGTGGGTTTTGTAATGTTCAATGTCAGGTGAAGGTGGAACAGTTACATAATTTTCCTAATTAGGTAGGCCTGTGATGATTCAATGATTGAAGTAAGGGCTGCAAGTTATTGTCCTCAAAGACATGCTAAAATGAGTTGTTCTAGAATTTTTTTAAATGTTGCCTTGACCTATAGCAGACTTGCGCAATAGAATAATAAAAACCAATCATCCTATCTTACTTAAACCGTTTAAAATTAATACTACAGATCAAAACCAAATATTTAACTAATCAATCCCTTCCAAAATTATCTTCTGTAAAGAAGTTTTTTTTCTTTCTTTCAAATTACTACGTCATATAAATATCTAACAAAACACTCTCCCCTTCTAGATCTCATTCAGCATTGAGTTTTTTCTGCACCCCTTTTAGGGGTTGCTCTCTGACTTCATAAGTGTTACAAGTTGCTTTACAAATATGTCCATACATATATATATACGGTTCTATATATTCTTGCTATAAATGTAACCCACAATGTCAAAAATGTTAGATAATATATATATATATATATATGCTTTTCCAGTGATGGGACTAAATTTGGTAGAAATGAGGTATAACTTCTTTTTTTTCCTATTGAAGGTGCAACTTGAAAATTCTAATCACTGCCAACATCTTTTCTTAAGCATATGGCCCCTTCAAAGATAATCATAGTAGCCATTAATTTGACACAAATAATGATTGATACATAAATGGGACGCATAGCTGTGAAAGAATGTGATGCTCTTCTGACTAGCCACCGCGACCCGTTTGAATTAGTCGCTACTTGTAATGACGCTGACAGATTACGAACTTTGATGTTGTAGCTCTTAGCCTTACAGTACAGTATTTACTTTAGTATTCATTTCATCGCACTGAATTTAAAGCAAACGAATAATGCTACTCAGCCAAATATCGCTTCACATCATCCATGGTAACATCGTTTTCTGTACATTTACATGCCCATTTTGCCACCTACTCCGTGATGTGCCCCCCCGGAAGATGTGTATCAAACATTATTTAAGGCAAATACATCGAGTCGATTTCTTAATCTTCCTTCATTATCATAATTATATTATAGCATTCTAACAGCGACTATTTTAAATGTCCATTTTAAGTATTCTACCTCGTGTCTATATTTTGTTACATGACGTGTTTTGGATAATTTTTTTTAACATAAGCATTTACAGGGAAAACAAATAACTTTCTTTTAAAGCTTTCTTATTTAATTTTTTTCATAAATTAAGGTGATAACTATAAGAAAATAGCACACAAGGTAAAAGGGCACCAAATCTATAAATTAGGTGACATTAGACGCGATGAACAAAATATTTTCCGTACTTAGTGCTGACAAGGCCATTCTTGGATTCTTTTGCTATGAATGTGAATATTTACTTACAACAAAATTAAAGTTAAGAGTACAAAAGTAGTTAGTCTCAATGACATTGCAAATGAGTGCAGAGCCGAGACAGCATCCGATGTTGTTGTTGGGATGTGGTTCTTTTCGTTAGCTGCAAGATGTTGCACTGTCTTAACCGAACCTGGATTTGAAGTGTCACACAAACTGATACCTAAATCAAACGTGGGATCCATACTATCCCCAAAACCAATGCTTGGATCATAACAAAGCCCAGAATTGTTATTCAGCCTTAGCTTTCTTTTCATTCTCCAAACCATTTCTCTATCAAATGGGACTAACCCACTTAGCGTATTATCATTCAGCCTCAGTTCACTTAGGTTTCTTAAATTTCGGAAGCTCTTTGGAATTGATCCATTGAGGTGGTTCCCATCAAGATGAAGCACTCGAAGGTTTGGTAACCTACCTAGGGAATCTGGGACAGGCCCATGCAAATTCATGTTCGACAAAATTAGGATCATTAGGGCCTTCATACCATCAAATCCATCATCGGGTATAATCACCGAGCCCATTGGATTTCCTTTGAGGATCAAGGCTTGAAGTGAACTAAGGCTCCTTAGTGAAACTGGAAATGGGCCCTGGATTCTATTGTAGCTTAAATCCATAAGCATAAGGAATTTCAGGCCCACGAGTTTGTCCGGCAAAGGGCCCACAAGGCGGTTGCGGCTGAAATCCAATTTGATGAGAGAATGGAAGTCCCAAATGGTAGAAGGGATTGAGCCCATTAGAAGGTTCTGGCTCAGGTCCAATATGTTCAAACCGGGAAAGGTTAAACCGGGTATTGAACCGGTTAGTTTGTTGCTACTTAAATCCAACGACCTTAGACCAGTGATCCGGCCCAATGAGATAGGTATAGAGCCGTTGAGATTGTTTTTATGAAGATCGAGAACCCTCAAGCGAGTTAGGTTGCCCAATTCAATAGGAATGGGCCCCACGTGGCCGTTTTCTCTGAGTACCAAGGTTTTCAAGGACGGGCCCAACTGGCCCAAGAAGGGTGGAATGGGCTGGGGTTTGTAACTGAAGCAACGGTAAAAGAACAACGTCTTGAGATGAGGGAGGTTGGTGATGGAGGGTGAGATGGATGAGCGGGTCGGGTCGCACGTGGGAAAAGCGGTGTCGTCGGAAAGAGCACCGAAGGAGAGAGAGACAACGTGGAAAACGTTGTCCTTGTCGGGCATGCACTCGATGCCGTGCCAACGGCCACGACACACGTCGGGGATGTCGGTGGCCCAATCATTTCCGGTGGCTCTCATGATGTCGTAGACGGCTTCTTGTTCTCGGGTGTCGGTTCGGGCCCCGTCTTGCTTCATGGAATACCCGGTTTGTGGGCCGTCGACTAGGTTGGAATCGGACATGATGACAGTGAACGGCGTGACTGCATGTGGAAAAAAGAAGATACAATAACATAGTATTTGTAGTGTATGGAGAAGACACGGAGTCATTTTGAAGTTTGGTCATGTGATACGAAACTATGTTACTTGCATTGCAATTTTTATAGAGGGTGTGGTTGGTCCATTGATAATAATGAATGTTTTGAGTGAGTGAGAGATTTTAGTGCATAAATGTGAAGTTGGTGATGTTCATGGATTGGAGTAATGTGTGCTCACGAGAAAGGAGTCGTGTGTTATAAATTATGGAGAATTTGAGCATTTATGTGTGTCACGAGATTTATGCTCAGTTGTACTATGGAGTATGGACCCCCACCAGTGACTCATCACCATTCCATTATGTTTCTTTTTCACCCTTCTCTTCCTCCATTCTATTCAAAACTCGTTGTTCGTTTCCTCTTCACTTCATTCAAACCGTTCTTCTAAATACTACTTCAAATCTTATATTTATATTCATTTTTCTATCGTATTATTAATTATATCTATTCCTTTTTAAAAAATTTTAAAAATATGTTTTGAAATGTGTTTATTAAAATAATAAGTATATAAATATTCCATATGTCATTAATTTCAAATATTTAACTAATAAAATTAGTATAGAAATACCGTTGTTGTCATTGAAGGTGCATGACACTCAAGCTTAAAAATATACAAACGAAGAACGTTATTCTTATATAAAATTTTTATTATAATTTTTTGTTTTATTAATTATTTTGTCTTATTTCATATATTTTTAATTATGTAAAGTGTCATAAGTAATATTATCCAACACAGTATTATAAACCTTTGAAAATGGTGTCGCCATATATAGCATGAGCCTTTGATGAGTCATCTAGTATAGAATCACAGATGTCAAAAGCAGAACATGCATGCACAATATTGAAATTCTCACCGGACTACACGTATAATACCCCATCAAAGCAAAATGAAATAGAGCAATAACATAACATCCAAGCTACTACTTTAATTGATTGCATGCTTATCTCTGATGCTCGCTCTATATTTTTCCACCACTACCCATTTCTGCACAAAGAAGCAAATTTTAGATTTTTGTAAGTCAAAGAAAACTGAAACTATACAGCAGATGGAGGAGGCGAAGCCCGGTGGCGGAGCCACAATGCAACGCAGTGAAAGCATGAGACTAAAAGAGAAGAAGGTGAAGGATTTGATGGTGGATAAGAAGAGGCTAGTGGAGGTGCCGTACACGGCGTCGCTGGCTGACACCATGAATACACTGGTGGCGAACAAGGTTGTGGCGGTTCCGGTGGCCGCGCCGCCGGGGCAATGGATCGGGGCTGGAGGGTCGATGATCGTGGAGTCTGATAAACAAACCGGGGCTGTACGGAAGCACTATATAGGAATCGTGACGATGCTTGATGTCGTGGCCCACATAGCTGGTGAAGACCACTTGAGTGGTGGTGATGATATCAGCAAAGATCTTGATCAAAGGATGTCTGTTCCTGTCTCCTCCATCATTGGGCACTCCTTTGAAGGCCTTAGCTTGTGGACCCTCAATCCCAATACCAGGTTAATTGCGCTTCTTTCATTATTAGTGCACTACAAAGTTACTATATACTAGTCAAAATATGAATATAATTTCTGTTAGTTTCACTTTTATCTAATAAAAATAGTATAATGTATAAATATTATATTTTAATTTTTTTTATATTAGTAGAATTATTTGTTAGACTGATGTATCATTTTTTACTATGCTACCTAATGTAAACTTAGCTAATAAAAGGGTTGATTGATTGTTATGGTTATTCTGATGATCTCTATATATTATGTGTTAGCTTGTTAGATTGTATGGAAGTGTTCAGTAAAGGGGTGCATCGTGCTATGGTACCGGTTGATGGCCAAGTGGAGAACGTGTCAGTTGGGGTGGAACTTGTAGAGTCTGCTTCTAGCTACCAAATGCTTACTCAAATGGATGTGCTTAGGTTCTTGAAAGATCATGCTGCCGAACTGCAGTGTGTTATGGCACGTTCTGTTCAAGATTTGGGGGCTGACACTGAAAGAATTTATGCCATCACTGAGCGCACAACACTCATTGATGCCATAAAGTGCTTAAAGGCAGCTATGTTAAACGCCGTTCCCATTGTTAGAGCCTCAGATGTTTGTGAAGATGATCACAAGCAGCATATAAATGCAAGTCTTCATTCTATCCATGCCCTTTTCTTATTATTGTTAGTATTGTTGTCTTGTGTGATATAGAAACATGGGAATGATCCTTTGATGCAAAAATTTGGTGCCACTTTTTGCAGGGTAGATGCAGGAAGCTTATTGGTACATTTTCTGCTACTGATTTAAGGGGATGCTACTTAGCTACATTGAAATCATGGTTGGGAATAAGTGCACTAGCATTCACCGAAGAAGTTGCATCTAGTCCTCTGTACACATCATCTGACACACAGGATAGAGCCTCTAGAAGGGAACTTGTGACTTGCCATGCTGATTCACCTTTGTCAGAGGTAATTGACAAGGCTGTGACAAGGCATGTTCATCGAGTTTGGGTGGTGGATCAAGAGGGTTTGCTAGTGGGGGTTGTGTCTCTCACAGATGTTATTAGAGTTATGAGGCATTCTCTGCTATTAGATTCAGATGATATGTAACGAACAATTTTGTTGCAACTTGGTGCCTTGCTCAGTCAATATTACAGTATATAATGTTGTTGGGTGAGAACTGAGCTTTTGGGAATGCTACCAAACTTTTTGTATTGTACGTGAGGTATATTTCAGCATCTTCAAAATAGTCTACTACATGCACATGAGAATGGATTTTTTTATTTTTTTTTCCAAAGATCAAATTTACTTTACCAAACCAGTTATAATGCTCTACATGTTTTTCAGAGAAAAATGTTTCTTAACACAAGTTCATTTGATGTTTGCACATATTTGTGATATATATGTATAAAAGAATTAAAAATAAGGTAAAAAAAAGATAATTGTACATTATGTCAATTATATAAAACTTTTTAACAAAGAATTTATGTTAATATACCTTGAAACATCGAGGGGATGTAGCTCAGATGGTAGAGCGCTCGCTTAGCATGCGAGAGGTACGGGGATCGATACCCCGCATCTCCATTAATTTCCCTTTTCTAATGGTGAAAATTGGAATGAATTATAACATGCATACAACTTCAAACATTTAGTTATTCTGTAATAAATAGAGGGTGATATATATTTATTGTAATGAATAATGTTTCTTACATAATTTAAGAGCTTGACATTTAGTATCTCATGCTGCCTTATTGCTTGTACACTTTTTCCTCTGTACAGAAAATAGAAACCTCGAACGCATCCTCTAATTGTTCTTTTTTAGTGTGTGTGTGTGTGTTCTCTACAATTTTTCAAGAGCTAAATTACAATATATTATTCATTATTGTTTATGGCATTGCAACAAATTCGAACAGATTCTTCAAAAGACCAAACAAAAATGGAAAAAGAAGGGAGTGGGTGGCTTGCAAAAAGTAAGAATAACGGCAAATAATTAAAAACTTACAAGATAACAACCTCGAGCACTGAGACCATTTTTTCATTATTTTATCATCTTTGCAACTTAATCACCAAAGCCTAACAAGCTATTAGTTATGTTAATTATTTGAAAATGAACAGAGTAAAAGAAAGGCAATGTTTCAACTTTAAGATTCCAAAGAACAAAACTCATTTAGAATTTCGAAACGAAAAAGGAATTGAAACAATAGTCATATAAAGACAGACAAAAGGCATAAATTGGTTGTTGGGGTGGAATAATGGTCACTGTAAATAAGCACGGGAGAGCAAAAAGTTAGCACGATTATGAAGCCTATGCACTATACACGGTTATTTATTATTTATTACTTTAACTTTAACATTGGTATAGTCGCCTCAAAAGTACTTCCCTTAAACTAATTAGCAATTTTAAGATGTTTAACAGCGGTCTGCTTACGTCAATCCAAAGCATGCTTCCATCTATATATATACTTAACACAGGTATTGGCAAAATCAAGTCCTAGGATGATAATTTTTTATTGGGCGTCGATGTTTATATGCATGTGCTATATATAAAGCTAATTTTCAATTATAATATCAATTATGTATTCGTTCCCTAAAACTTAACATAATGTTAAACTATAGACGTTACATATATATTATACACACAAGGACATGCGATATAATCACCAAAACTTAATATTAGGACTTGACACAAATTATTATTAACTCATTATTAAAAATGTCCCAAGGGTTACTTTTCCTTGACTATATAATTGTGCAAGTAAAAGATGATTTGCTTTACAAGGAAAAAAAAGAATTATCAGTAAATTCACCCAATTCAAGTAGTGATCAACAATATCTGTTATCCAAGGTTGACCCAATTAAGGGTGCCTTGAGCATAAGTTCTCATAAAAGGGTTACCAACATTAACTATTAGCTGTTATAATCTCACTGCAAACAACATCGAATGAATACTTCATTTGGCAATTAAGTGTATGTTTGGTTTGAGCATATATAATTAATGAACGATTAGGCCAACACAAATACTATTTTTTTTTCCTTTTCATGTTTTGTTCTTCGTAACATATACAAATGACTAAAACACGTTAAGAAGAATTTGCTTCCGTCGGTAGACTATGGCTTTCGCGCAATTTCGAGGTTTCTATGATTTATAAATCAACATGCTTCTCATTTTGTTTAATCAAACTAAGTTAAAGTAGACGTTCACCCATACCAAAGGTTGGGTTGCGTTCATTTTGTAGGGTCAATTAAAGTGCATATTTAACGCCCTTGCATGTGTGTACTTGTACACATAAAAAGTCTGCAATGCATGCACTCAACTCGTGGTTCACCTTTTAGCTCGATACCAATCGAGAGACTGTTACTTTATTAGGATCTATTTAATTTTAGTATATACGCTCACCTCATTTTCGAGTTTTCTCCTCTTTTATGTGAACTATAATCTTAAACACCCATTCTTAATATTAGTGTATTGCGTAAGAATAATAGGTAAAAAAACACTGCTAGTTTTAATTTTCAAGTTTGATATGTTTGCATTTATTTTTTTTCTTTTCTATCAAATCATTCTTCATATCTTTTATTTTTCTTTCTTTTTCTTCTGACCATTTAAGTAAGGGTATATTATAGTCGAATATTTGAAGTTACAGAAATGCTCAAACTTAAACTTGATGGCATTAAAATTCTTACATGCGTACGTCGCATGGGATAAGCATATGTCTCATTTTCCTTATACAACAACCACTTGCAAGACCAAGTGTGTGTGGTAATTCATAAAATATATATACCATAACCTATAATTTTGTGCTTGATTCCCCCGTGTGTAAAGTAGCTGCTTGATCGAGTCTAGCTAGTTTGCTGTTCAGGCCATCATCAGTTGAAAAGTGTATGCTTCATGCCCTGCTCTGCAGTTTTAAGTTGCACAAAGAGCCAAATTCCAATGCCCCGTGCAAACTTTGGTTAAACTTTTCAATGCGCCACCTGTCACATAGAAGTTAGTACCCTGTTTAAGGAGCATTAACTTTCCTCTGTGCCCAGACCCAGACTTCAAGGGAGCAATCTAGTCCACTGAGCTAGTAAGGGTTTTCTTAGCTTGTCATTTTATTTTATTTTATTTTTTTATTGAGAAAAATAAACCTAAAGTAGTCTTTTATGTATAAAATTATACATGCTTTCTTTAGAAACTGAAAATGGATTAGTTTCTATTTTTGAGATACTAGTTATAATTATGACTGACATGTTATTAAAAAATAAAAAATCAAATATTATTATTGTTAGCTTTTTTTTTTTTTTTTTTTTCTAAACTACACATATTTGGTACGAAATACAATTCTATTCGAATTAAGCATGACTTACTTTAAGTTTTCCTCTAAATATTTAATATTATCAAATTAATTAAAAATTAAATTCGCGACTGTTAATTAAACTGAATTACTAAATAATAAGAGTTTTATTTATTTATTTTATAGAAGAGTGATATGAAAGTCTTCTTGTACTAGTGTAAATTTAAAATTTTTTATTTTTATTTAATTTAGATTTAATATGTTATAATTTATTATTTAAATAACTGTTAAATTTAAGTTAAATAAAAAATTTAAATTAAGTATAAAAATTTTTAAATTTATATAAGAAGATTTTATATATATATATATATATATATATATATATATATATATATATATATGTGGAAGGTGAGTGAAAAGTTACCGGCCGCAGACAGTTGTCGGATGAATGGAGCATGAAGTGGGAACGGAGAGGCGCACGCGAAGTGACCTGAGACGGGAACAGAAGGTGAGGAATTGAAAGACACCACCGTGCGTGGGGGCACGTAGAACAATGGTCCGGTAGATACCCCACATTCACCTCGATAACTCCCACCACATTGCATGCCTTCCTTCTCATTCATCATTTCGTGCTCTATTTTCCTTTTTTCAATTAACAGGAAATACCGTTGCTCAGCATTTGCCAATTATTTTACTTTGAATTATATCTTTATGATACTCATTAGGCATTTATGAATGGTTAAAAAAGGATAACATGAATGGGGTCCTTAATTCCCACGCTTTAAATACTGCTAGCATTCCCGCGATAGCAATGGAAGCTGGAATACAAAACCTAAAAGAAAGAAAGAAACTTGTGGGGTGTGTGTGAGTGTGAGTGTAAGTTTCCTTTGTCTTCACTCCACAGTCGTTGTTGGTGTTAGTTATTGCTTACCCTTTAACTTAATTCATTATTAGTAGTGGTGTTGATTAAGTTTAATTCCCATTCAATTTGAGTGTTTAATTAGTTAGCCAAAACGGGTCTCCCTCTGTGGATGCTTGGTTTCGGTGCGGACCTCTTGTGGGCCGACATGAACCGCCTCCTCGCCTTTCTCTTCCATCAGGTATATACCTTCCTAACGCAATTACGCTAAGTTATAATTCTATAATATAATAGTCATATATTATAATGATATAAAGGAATAACTATTCATAAATGAATTTTGGGGTTTCATGCAGGGAGTGTTGGATGAGCATTTTTTGCAGCTTCAACAGTTGCAAGATGAGACCTCCCCTAACTTCGTCTCCGAGGTCGTCAACATTTATTTCAATGAGTCCGAGAAGCTACTCAGGAATCTCAGAGGATTGCTGTAATTAGTTTCTTCTTTTTTACTTTACATGAATTTGGATATTATGAATTCTCGTTGTGTTAGTTATGATCATACTATATAATATATGTTATATTTTGTCGATTAGTAACTTATTGATGCATGATAATTGCAGAATGGAAAGGGAATTCTCTGACTATAAGAAAATGGGAAGCCATTTGAATCAGTTGATGGGTAGTAGCTCAAGCATTGGTGCCAAGAGAGTCACCAACGTTTGTGTTGCCTTTCGTGCTGCTACTGACCAGAGCAACCGTGCTGGGTGGGTCCCTTATTCCCTCCCTCTAAATATTAATTTCTTCATCTTTTTCTCAACCCAACAAATAAAATAATAATAATAATAAAAACACTTCCTTTTCATTTGTTATAATTAATCACTTTGTTATATGTTCTCTCACACTGTCATAATATCACAATAATACAAATTACATAATGGCATAAATCATATCTCGCAAAAATATTTAATGATAGTTATATCTGATTTTGGTATAGCGCAATTGTAAAAATCTCAAGGTAGTGATTAAATAGCGAATAGTGACTACTAATTTATCTATCATTGGAAGCTAACGGCAACTATTTGTACGTGCCCAATTGCAGATGCTTGCGAGCGTTAGAGATGCTGGAGCATGAATATTGCTATCTGAAGAACAAAATGCATGAACTATTCCAAGTAATGTTACATTGAATCTAATTAGGATAACTACTGCATTGTCATTATTATGATTAAGAAGTTAATACTAATTTACGATGCCATATATTCTATGGTTATATACATGCAGATAGAGCAGCAACGTGATTTGGTAGCAGGAGTGAGATATCCTGGGCAGAATCAATAAAGCAAACGAATTGGTGGAATGAATAAATATCTGGATGAATGTTTTTGCCCTTTTCTTCTCTTTGAACGCTAAAGGCACGCATTTCTAGTTTTAGGTCCTAAAACCAATTATGTAGGGAACAGAAACAACGGATTGTCACCGCCTTTGGTATTTTGAATTTTCCTGTAAATAGTTGTATCATGCTCTCTTCTTGCAGCATGCTTCGCTGTGAGTCGTTTAACTTTTGAATGAAAATTGATCAGTGAAAATCAATCCCTAGTCAATTTAATGCTAACTCATTGCATATATTGTCGATCTATGTTTTGCGTAAAAGAAAAGAAAGGAAATTATCAGTGATATTTTTACTCATTTTATATGAAATGTGATAGAAAATTGAAAATTTTATTGATTAAAAAATACGTTACTCCCTCATTTGTAATTGTTTTATTAAGTTTTCCCTTGCAATCCCTTCCCTGACAGAAGGATTTGAAGAAAATGGATTTCACAGATCTGCTGCAACCCTTTTCTTTTCTTTTTAAACAGGCTATCACCCACTTTGAGTAAACTTCTAAAATCAATTTTATAAGAAAAAAAGTAATATAATAAATAAATAAATAATTTTTTTCATAAATTAAAAATAACTTATATTTTTCTATGTTTTTAGAAGTTCTCTCATTTGACATTGCAATTGGCTGATATTGCAAGACTCTATTAATTAATTGGATATTTATTTTTAAAAAGAGTAAACTTACTTTTGTTTTGTTTTATTTTATTTTATTTTATTTCCTTGCATAGTAAACAGGTGGGGGAAAAATCCACTGTCTTGTTTTTTCTGTCTGTCCACAATATTTTCTATCATTTATTGCATAACTACAAAATCTTATCATAGCTAAGCGATATGCTAAGCAATATTTTATTTTTACTATGGTGGTGTTAATAGTTGATTATGACTGCACCATTTGCTACATATTTAGAACAGATTATGTACGCTTTCTTAGGTAATTGGATATCAGCTATAAAGTATAGTTTTAGATTATCAAGTATGATCATTCATATGCCATATGGAATCGCTACCAAACAGAAAAGCAGGTGTCTCTTAAAGCCCAGCTAGTAAGCCCATTACCAACTGCCACACCAGAGACTAACCCCACCAGACCTTACCGAATCATGAGGAAAAATCGACCTTTTCACCGTATGATAGTCTAAATATCAATACCTGCCAAATCTTCCTCCACAACGTAATAATATCTAGATATGGTAATGTTTGACAACGGGGAAAAGTTCCTCTAAACATTTTAAATTAAACTAATAATAAGTGTATTTTACGTGTTTATTAAAATAAAGTTACTTTTCAAAGAAACTTTATTCGTTTACCACAAAGTGCTTTTGTTTAGGTGCCATTAATGCTTGGTTTCAATAGTATGAATCGTATCCGAGCAAAGTTATATTCGTTTATGGTGCTAAATAAATTAGTATGAATCGCATCCAAGCTAAATTTTAGCCGAAATATTTTCCACCGACAATGAAATAGCATCAATTCTAGGGTGGACAAATGTCTTCTCGTAAATGGTTTTGCACATTAGTTATTCACAATTTCACAAACAGAATAAAAAATATTTAAGGTGACCGATGAGTGGATGATGTTATTATAAGCTATAACATCAAAGAGCTGCTTGTCAAGAGGGACATTTTCTATTTGTTATATATTGAGTTGCAACTGATAACGTGGTAACTGGTAAGTTGGTCAAGATTACTGAGAGCCACTGAGGGTGGGTCAAATATAAACCTCAGGTTCCATTCTTTACACACCAACTTGATCCGTTGGTGAATTAAACTAAAACCATTCAAATCAAACAATTTTATATAATTGATATGTAGACTAGCATCACTATTCTTAGTGTATATGGTTGAAAATATGTTATAAAATCTATAAATGTAATTTCAACTATTAAAAAAGTACATATAAATTTATAACATTAAAATGTGAATCTATACAGACGCATATCTACATTATCAAGTCCACTAAAATTATTAGACTCTTAAAATTAATCTAATTTACACTTTAATAGTATACATGTTTATTTAACATTGATTTCTTTCTTTATTTTTCAAAACATTCAATATACCTAAAACAATGTCCAAATAACATTTTTCTTTCAAAACATGTGATTGAGTGACTTTTAGCGCTTTGTGACGGTGGTAATGGAAGTCGCGGTAGAGATCCACTCCAACAGGCAACAACATTTCATGGGTTTTGACTTTGAGCAATTTTAATGATAGTTTCTATGGTTAGCATTTGAATTTGATGGGGATCGTGGCGTTAGTCATTGTTGGTAGGGACTTGGGATGGGAGAAGCTGGCATGCCAATGCAAAAGACCTTGTCATTATTCTTTCTTTTACATATAAATTTTATAATTCAGTTTTGTATAAAATATCGACCATTCTCGCATGCAACGTGGACCAAATCCTTTACATTAATATAATTTTCGTATATTAATTATGTAAAACTAAATATCTAACCCGGCATGCCACGGGTCAAAAATGATAGTGTGAAACATTAGCCATACATTTGTTTTTCTTTTTGTCATTTTTGGCCAAAGAAAAATAAGTAATTGACAAATTTTTTATTCAGATTGGGATATTCCCCAATTTCAGTTTTTCTTGGAACACAGGAGTCAACAACATCAACTAGTGGCGTTGAGTTAGCGCAAACGAATCAAGTCAATCAACACGGCTACACTGAACATTATTTTACAGTCACACCCAAAACTTGTAAAATAAAAGTAACACTAAAATCTCCAAACCACCATTTTTGCTCACTTTTTAATATCTCATTTATTTATCTTTATTCCTACGTAATTAGGTTTCATATTCCTACAATAATATATTACTTCCCTTCCTTTTTACTTATCACTGAAGATTATTTCACTAATTAATGCACTAATAAAAATAATTCTTTAATTTTCAATTTAAACTTTTTTCTTTAATTAATTAATGTTTTAATAGTAAAAAATATTTACAAATAACAGATAAAAATGAATATATTGAGGAAAATAATTAATATGTTGAAATATTAAGTTGGAAACTTTACAGGAAAAAGTGGCGTCGCATCATCTTTGTAGATATTTTATATTTCTCCCCACATTTGCAGCAGTAGAGATAAACTCCCATGCATGCACCCATTTGCATACCCCACATTATGAATTATTAATTAATTGGCACCATACATATATTGCAGTACACAGTGTGCATCATTTGTGAGAAGAGAGAAGGGTCTTCTTCTTGCTTTCCCTTGCTTCAATCTGTATTCACAGTTCCAATTCCAATTCCAATTCCATGACCCTTTGTGCTGCGGAAAACATGAGTGATGGATATGTGTTCAAAGAAGAGATCCATCTCACAGTCCTTAAAACCTCTCTGTTCTTCGCCGGTGATGGATTCACCGTCTACGATTGCAAGGGTCAACTCCTCTTCCGCGTAGACTCTTATGGACCCGACACTCGCGACAGAGACGAACTCGTTCTCATGGATCCTAACGGACGTTGTCTTCTCACCGTTCGCCGAAAGGTAAACAACGCCTAATCACTCTCCTTATTCTTCCTAATCATGCAGTTCGTAATTAATTAATTAATTAATTAATTAATTAATGATTTGAGTTAACTCAGAGGCCGAGTCTACATCAACGGTGGGAGGGCTTTAAAGGGGAGAGAATGGACGGTGATAAACCCATCTTCAGTGTGAAGAGAGCGTCGATCATAGGGCGGTCACGTGCGAGCGTGACGGTGGAGATGTACGATAACCCGGGTGAGGAGTACCAGATCGAAGGGTGCTTCTCGCAGCGTTGCTGCACGATTTTCAATGTAACCAAAGAATCTGTGGCTGAGATTCGTCGCAAAGTAGACCCCACCACCAGCGTTGTGCTTGGCAAGGAAGTCTTCTCTCTTTCCGTTAAGCCCGGCTTTGACGCTTCTTTTGCCATGGGATTTGTTCTTGTTCTCGACCAGATCAACGGTGAGGATTACGTCGATAATACTGCAACCGCAGAGCCTGCGGTGCACCCTGCCGCAGAAGATTAGAAACGAGTAAGTAGAGTGCATCACACTCGTTGTTCACAATGCGTAGATCTACTTTTGGTGATTGGCACTTAATTTAATTTAACCCACTAATCTTTGGGCTTTGGATTGTCCCTCAAGAAGGGAACCTCTGCCCCTTTTTCTGGGTCGTGCCCTAAATGAATAAAAATTTCAATGCCCTTTGCGGTTGTGTAAATTTTATATTATGCATAAAATTATAATGTATTAGCTGGGCTTTCTATTTTCAATTGATTAGCCCTGTTGATATATGAAATGGCGTGTTATATATATATATATATATATATATATATATATATGCATGATTTGAGTACAATTTATATTTGCAAGTGTTCATGAGCTTACTTCTTGGCTCTTATAACAAAAATAATTTAAAAAACAACCTCTTTGCGCAATCTAATTTGACTAGAACAATCGCTGTATCGATATAAACCATCCCCTGGGAATTGATTGTGCAAGACACAAGTTTCAAAATTATTATAACCCAAATAAAAGTGCTTTTTTTGATACTTTCCCTTGATTAGAAAAGAAGAAAGGGCTCAGTCTTAATCCCTTTGCTTACCCAGCAATCTTGCTTTCCATTAATGTTGTTTAGCCTTTTTAGTTTAGTGTGCATTGAAGTTGTGATAATGTGATTACTTTTTGTTACGGCTTCCAATCAATTTTAAGAAACTTTTATCATTTACATTTCATTGTCTTTTATTCTATTTCCACCGCTCTTTTGTTTTTGTTTTTCTGTTATGAAGTAAGAAATATTACTTTATTCTCACTACTCTTTTTTTAATCACTATTTATGGCAAGAGTAGTCAATAATATTTGAACTTTTAAAATGGAAAATAAATAATTTTGTTCTAAAACAATAGATATTTACCTATAATATTAGGGAGTTTGAGTCCTGCAATGATAATTTTGAATTATGAATTTACAATAAATAACTCTTTTTAAGTGTTTTACATGAAAAAAAATTCTGCAGAGATTACCATGAAAATGTTGGACGATCATCCACCATTTTGACCAAAACAATGCGCAGAAAAAGTAGGGAAGAAAAAGAAGAAAGAAAGGCAGAGAAAATAGATAATAAAAACTGAAGATAGAAAGCTGCTACATACAAATAGTCTATCACAAGCAATAATTCATCATTTATGCATACAACACATATACTATATCTCTTTGTGCCTTTAATCTAATCTAAATGCAGCCAATCTCATGTTTAATTGTCCCTTTTGTTAAACTTGGCATTTATAATCAGAACAATGTACTCACGAGGACCATACTGTATAATTATTGGTCACGTTTATAATATCGGATATGCAAAGTCTAATGTACTACTTGAGAATAAAGCTATTGCTTTTTTAAACTTTTTTCGGTTAGTCTAAATAAAATCAATTCAACTAGAATCGAATTAGTTCAGTCCAGCTTATCAGATTAAAATAAAGAAACGGGTGATGATGACGATGTTTGCTGTTTGTATTGTTATTGTGTGTGTAATTAAGTTTCATCCTTGCTAATTGCAAGAAAATATCAATTCTTTATTCATCCATCTTCTGAGATAACAATAAAATCAAACCCAAAGATCGATAACAACATTTAACTCTTGCATTTCTCAAGTTAAAAGAATTCTTTTAAGGTCTCAAATTAAAAGTTGACACGTCACGAATTTTAATTAATAAATGAACTAATTATAATTAACAAAGTTCGAATTTAACAGTTACCCCCAGCTCCAGCTCCTTGAAAAGCAATATTAGGAGCGTGTACTTTAATGTTTTGAAAAATGTCTAAAGTTTTATAATATGCATCATCCTGAGTGTGGCTAGTTTTTGTTGATTTTCGTTTCTACCATTCTAAGGTACCTGCAATTTTGTGGATAATAATTAAATTGATAAATAATTAGGACAATTTTTACATGATTTTGACAATTACCTGCATTCTGAAACATATTTTATATCTAGTAGTCATCCCTGATGGTACATGTACACAAGGTGATATACACACAATAAATTAATTAAAGTTTAAAGCACGTCTTAATTTTGGTTTTGTTTAATTGAACCTTTTACTTTGGCATATACACAAATTTATTTTAAGTCGGCAGTAGTTAAAAGCACCTGCTAGAGATACCATACCAACGAACATTCTTGGGTGGCATAACGTAGACTAACTATTAGAAGTTATATCGATTATGATTTTGTCAAAACATATCTTAGTGATTCGTGACATCAATATATTAATTCAAAAAAGATTTTAGATTGATTAACATATAGGATATTCATTTTCTTACATCTATTTTCTCTTGCATTCTTTTCATGTTCTCCTTTTCTAATTTTCTATTATGAAGTTAACAATAATATATTTTGTTAGTGATTGTTTCATCTTAGGTAAAACACAATAAGGTTGAATTTTTTGGATCAAACAAGTTTTAATCGTAAAAGTTACACAAATAAATACATGAATTCTAACTCTTAAAACGATTGATTGGAAAAAGGTTTAAACTATGAGGTAGAACTGACAAAATGAATCGGCTCAGAACTTATCCTATAAAATGCAGAACTTGAATTTTATTTTTTTTAATTTGAATTAAATTCAAAACTTTTAAACCCAAACTGATTAAGCTCAAGTTAAGCCCGTAAAACTTGCTAAAAATCAAACTTTTAACATTTTTGTGTACTATTTTTGCAGCTCTAAATCATATCTGAACGTTTTTAGTATCTACATACTAGAGTCCTCTACCCGTTATGAGCCAGCCCAAATGGGACAGATAGCACATTTTGCGCTGATGGTAAAGATGTATCATTAACATTACAGCTTCATATATGACAACAAACAAATATTAAGCAGAACATGTTGCGCTTTTTCTTTTTTCTTTTTTTTTTTTCATATTTTCACTTTCTATATAGAGCATATTGACACCGCTGAAATGTTGAAAAAACAGCAGATTAACAGCAGTAGACAAGATTAAACGCCTAATGAAGTGTTAATAAAGGATAGGAAGTTAATCAGCAACACAATGCGATGTACACATATCTTAGGCATGGAAATTCTACAACTTGACATGTTTAGAAGTGCTGAAAACTGTTACAGAATCCAAAGAATCAAATCACTGAATCCACATGTACCTTAATCTTATGATAAATAAATTACAATGCTACAAGAAGAAGAGCAGCAAAACTTGTGAAAACCGTTATGGACCAGGATCCAATACCCTGCAAAGCATAATTGTTAGAAACTTGAAACTGAAGAAACAAATTTAGATACAATGTCTTTAGAAATTAGAAAATTGGTTCAATAGTGAAAGGAGATATACACACCTTGAAGGAAAGGAAAGATGAAGTTGCTGAAGAAGGTACAAGACCCGTGAAGCCAATATCATATGCAATGCTTCCATCAGGCTTAAACAATCCAAAGTTTCTTTCTGATGTTGGTCCAGGCTTCAAATTCTCATTAAACAAAGCAAAGATATAAGCTTTCACCACATTTTTTGGCCTATAAGGGGTCCCTTTCTTCTTGAGCAAACGTTTTCGCAAATTTCCATTGTAAGTTCTTGCATTTTTCACTGTTGCTCCAGCTTCATTCTCATCACCATGAGAAGCCCAACCAGTCTCAGAAACAATAACCTCCATCTTGTCAAAGCCAGCCTTCTCCAAGGCAGCATAAGCTGCGTCAACTTGTGCATCAAACATGTTACTATAATGTAGTTTAGTCTTTGCATCATAAATCCCAGGACTTTTTTGGAAGAGAGCATAGTTAATGTCAATATGCTGTGGATCATTCTTATAGGCAAGGAAAGGGTATGCATTTATGAAGAAAGGAGTGCCAATCTGTGAAAAGAATTGCAAGAGAGGCTTCATATATGGGAGAACATCCTCCTTAAAAGTGCACGAGGATGGAGGAAAAGAATTAGCAAACACAGCTTCTGAATGTGGACTTGAGACCTGAACATCCTTTGTTAAACCAAGCTTATCAAGGGCATTATAAACATTTTTTGCTGCAGGCAACAAAACTTCCCACAATTCTATATCTGTGCCTCCCAAGATTTCATTGCCTACAGCAATTCCACGAATTTTAGTTCCTGGGAGGAATGACTGAACATTTTCTTTGACCCAACTCATGGCTCTATCCTCTCCCACACTCATGTCCTTGAGAAATTCATTGCCTAGTCCAACCACAATTTCAATGCCAGACCCTTTGAAGGCACTGAGGACTTGATGATCAACATCATATATCCTAATGTTTTTAATTTTTGCTGCTTTGAGAAGGGTAACCACACTTTCTGGGGGAGGTAGGTTGTCAGCTATCCTACCATAGTTTACTCCATATGTTCCCGTGAATGCTTTATCCCCTAAAACTGCATCACATAAGAATGTGAAAGTTTGCTTAGAAATTCCATGTTACACAATACATTTTAAAAAATAAACTTTTCTATTCAATAGGGGAAAAAGTAACATAGGCAAAAAGTAGTGTACAGTATCTAAAAATGATGTTTATCTCTAAATAGTATTATTGAACATGGAAGCCATCCATTCAGGAATCATCCATCATTCATTTCAAATTTTAGAATACAATGTGAGGAAAAAAAAATGGTCTTTGAGAGAGCAATGCATACCATGAGAGAAGAATGGAGAGAAGAGAAGAAGATAAAGTAAGTAGGAAGAGAACATCATGTGTAGTTTGAGCATATCAAGAATGGAAGAGCATTCCAATTGTAGGAAAAATCAGGTTACTTGCCGCTATTATGTAATTCAATGACGGTAATGTCATTAGCAAAAAATGATAAGCAGTTCTCAGTATGATTATGATGCAATACTTTTCGTCTAGGCATGCCATAAACTCTAGATTCTTTGTCTTTAACCCAATATGGTTGGAATAAGTGGTTGTTTTCAGGGGATTAGAACAGATTCTTCCTTTCCTCACCCTTTAACTCCTCTTTTAAGTATACCTTTTCCACTTTCCACTCTTGTTCACTTCTACTTGCTTTCTCTCAATAAACAAAATATGCATGCAACTCGTCTTCGATACCTTTCGTGGCATCATGGGTGAGGGAGATCAAATGAATGTACATTATATCATGTTTTTGTGCCCCGGTTGGACTACGTTTTCGTTATAAAAAAGAAAACATCTTAAATATTTAATAAATTATAATTTTGTTTAATTATTGAATTACAAAAAAAATATATATATATATATAATAGAATAAAAAATTATACGTGTAAAGCTCCACATTCTATTTTTGTAAAAGACATCCCAACAAACTTCTATGCCTATCATTCCAATTGCCAAAAATTCTGGGATATGCACGGCAATGATAATAAAGTGAAGATAAATGTAGTAGTTCACAATAACGCGTCATTAATAGAGTTGACAACACAAACTGATGTTACAGAAATAAAATTATGCTATAACATCAAGGAGCTCTTGAAAAAGTAAGAAATCCTAAGGCTAGTCAAGTACAAGCCGAGAGATTAATGATATATATGAAAACTGATGAACACAGCCTTCAAATACGAAGCTTTTGTCCTAACAAGAAAGGCAAATGATAAATTACAATTTCAGTCTCGCATTTACCTTCTGTAACATTAAAAAAACATTCATAGATGGCTATGAAATCCGGTTAATATAAAGTTTAAATGACTACCAACACATGTGTGATATAAGTCTACAATCTACATAGCTGCACTATGGAAAATCAAAAGTCCTAATCTACAAGGAAGACATTTAATTTCCTAGGTAGTAAGTACAACCAAATCTTTAGATAAAATACGAGACTACAGTCATCCATGAGGTCACAAAATAACTAAAATAGCATCACAAAAGTCACGGGCACTAGGCAATAGTACAGTACATTTCAGCAGTTTACAACAACGGTATGATGAGTCTTTAAGTGCTTCACTGAGCACAGCTCCAAATAACATTTCCATTGTCAACTAGCTCCACATCATTTTTTGTGACTTGTTCATCTGCTTGAATGGTGTTTTTACCATCAGTTACTGGGACTTGCTTAGGATTTGTCTCTTCAACAGATGCAGGCAGCAAAGTGTTGGGATTCTCTTTCTCAACTCCCCCATTAGCATCTGCAATAACAGCATCAGATTGATCCTGTTTCTTGTCGACTGCACCATTTTCTTTTTCTAACTCGGTCAGTAGGCCCCCCTGGGATTCTTCTTCAGCACCTTTCTCTGCTGATTCTGCTACTGATATGTTGTCTTGCTTTTGAGCTTCTTCACCGTCGGGCTTTTCAGCAATCACATTTTCCACATGACTATTATTAGCTTCCTCTGAATCATTCTTTATTTTCTTATCAGAATCATTCAGAGCAGCATCTTCCATATCTACGTCTGGCTTATTGGTCTGTTCAATTTGTTGAGTTTTATCTCCATTCTCAAGTTGCTCTTCTTCAGAATTATCGTTTCCTTTATTACCATCTTCCTCTGCAGCCTTGAGATCCTCGGTATCAGACTTTGCTTTGCCTTCCTCTGAAGCAGATTCAGTTTCTTTGTTATCCTTCTTTGATCCTGATGATTTTCGAGCTCGTTTTTTCGGAGGTTCACTATCTGCTGGTGGGGTTGATTTGGCCTTCTCACTGATCCTTGCTGATCGCCTAGGGGTCTCACCAGTTCCCCAGTCAAACTCTGATATTGCAGCGTTGCCAGGATGTGCCTTCAGGTACTGCTCCAACTGTTTTCTGGTACTGATCTCCCCCCCAGTTGGAGCAACAAATACAATCTCACTTTTTCTGGGTGATCCCACTTTCTTAGGGAAGAACTGCAGCATTAAACTAAAACTGCATTATAAACAGTTTCCATTTGGCATACAAACAACCGAGTAAGGTTTCTCAATTTCACCCACACAGCTTAACAATTTGAAAATAGTCTTGTCATTTAATGATTTTGAAAGCTTAAACATATATCCAAAATTCACATGCATGCAAATGATAAAATCTCTCTCCAAGCGTTCCAAAAAGAAGGAATACATTAGGGAGAGGGAAAAAAGTGTGTACATACATGCAACAACTGGTTGATAAAGGGATAATGCAGAGCACATAATTCTTGCAAAATACTGAGTAGATAATAGAACACAAAACCTGAAGGACCTGATCATCATTAAGTCACTAACCATCAGTTTTCAAAGTGCTATTGTCAGGATGAGAGTAGTTAACACTCTTAGTGAAAAATATAGAAAAATATCATATTGATTTATAGATCATCTTATCCTGAGTTAAACTTGATCCTCAAGACAAATTATTCCAAGCCACTCCAGTTGCTCATATCTATCACAAATTCATAAACAAATTTTCATTGATCATTGTTTGTTTCCGCAACAAATTAAATGCCACAAAGTTTATGACAGCTATTTTAAAGGGGAAAGAAAAATGCGCAAGAAAATAAATAATATCTCCTACAACATTCTACAACTATGCCAACGCTAGGAAATATAAGAATTTTGCCATAAGCAAAGCCACGCTGATATCTCAAATTATTCAAATCCTTCTCACTTGCCACAGCTATTTAAAATCTCACTGGATACAGTCTCAGTTAGCAAGAGGCTGTGGTAAGTTTTGCTCCAACCTAAAGAGAGGGAACATAACTCCCGCTTTTCCCCCTTATTCGCATTAAGCTGCAAATCACACCTAGTGTCAAATGTAGGGTAGGTAAAAACCTAGGCAGATGGTTAACTAATTTGAGAAGAATGTACAAGCAATTACAGAGATGAGACCCACAAACATGTAAGCCAAATATGGCGAATAACCAAAGCATAACCAGATAAAAGCATACAATTGGAGGGTGAAATCAATAGTGATTGATGTATGAGGGTGACATGATCTCATTCATCCCAACAGCACTTGCAGCACAAATCAAAACTGTAAAGTATAAAAATTCTAGTACCAAGATTGATGTACCAACTATGAATCAAGAGCTAATTGACTCGTTATCAACAAAATGGGTTACAGTGACTGATTGCCGATCATCCAGATTCCTAATTCCGAATGTTGTTAAAGGATTAGATGCTGCAATTTGTTCTTTGCTATGAAGTATGCAATACCAAAAAAGTTGACAGTTTTACTAGCTAAGGGAAGCCATAAAATAATCCAAGTGATAATACTTGATTCATAAAACTGAAAAGTTACCGAAGGCTATGAACAATGCAATGAAGACCCTCACCAACCAAAGGGCATTTAACTTTGCTGAGGGAAGAGAAGGTTCAAAAACCAAATGAAGCATACAATTTTGCTAGGAAGTGAGCTTAGCTATTGTGATATCATCACATTATCACCATCTCAAAGAAAGAAGGATGGTCACTGTTCAGGGGGTGGACCCTTTTCAAAAAGAAAAACCCTAGAAACAAAAGTTACTACCAAAATCACCAAACAATAAATTTAAATGTACAATTTGTGTCAGTAAGAGAACTGAAGTAAGGAAAGACAGTAATGAAGGCAAGCCAACAGACATAATAATAGTGATTATGAAAAAATGAAGTAAAATTGAACAAAGTAGAGAAACATGATGCAAAACGGAAGAGAACAAATGAAAATAGTAACGGAGAATGAGATTGAAGAAAGAGACCAGCTTGTTCCAACCAGGAGGAGCTGGAAGCTCGACCGACAAAACCTCGTCTTTGGAAGCACTTTGTGTCGCCGCGTTCTCCATTTGTCTGAGTTCAGTTTGGTTTGGTGTCAAAACCGTTGTGGGAGTTTCAGTTTGGGATAAATAGAACCTTTGTTTCTCTCTCCTCTCGGAACGTGATAAACTCACCCAGCTACCACGTCTTCCCATTTCAAACCCACGCGTGATTTGTCCGTTAATTAAATTTGAACCTCACACAGGCCACGTTGATTTTGAAAGCAACACCGTCTCAAATTTAAATATTAATTCCAGTCTACGTTTAATTTTAAGCACTGTCGTTTTTCTTAATTAATGGGTGAATGTGAACGTGAATATAGACACGTGCGAGACGCTTCCACCAAAGTTGGCGTGCCAGCGAACCGTGCGCTTCGTCGTGGGTGCACGCGCTCTTTTGTGAGAATATGGGGCTTTACTTGTAACAAAAATAATGGTAATGGCCACATGTCGCTCAGAGGTCAAAAGTTAGCAGATAACGTTGGGTTTAACTGAATTTAAATTTTGGTTTGGGTTCCGAACCGTGACCTCTTCGTGACCGAACCACCCATTGTTTATTAAAACTACTTTTCACTTTAATATTGCTTCCTTATCCTAAATGCATATCCTAACCAAACAATTTGCTTTGATTTTCCAACTAAATGTGATTAAAAATATTTTATGGTTGTTATATTTTTCTTATATATGAGGACAAATATAAATGTTGTATTATATAAATTCGTATAGTCATTTTTTATTTAATTCAATAAAGCAATAAATCCGTGAAGGCGTGGCATTTCAGCACGTTTTAGTTGTCTTTGAATATGAATCGACAACTACCTTTTATTCACTTTGTTACGGTCCAAAATATTAAAACTTGTTATGTTATTAAGACATTAACTAATATTGTTTAATTCACTTTCTCTCCATTGGGCCTGGCCTTTACACACACCGCAGACAATTTTGAAAATTACTATACGAGTCACTACTTGGGCTCATTCAGTATTGGTAATTTTTTATTTTCTTTGCATTTTGAATTGTTTCTGGAAATAAGAAGAGAAAGAGCCCAAACGTGAAAAAAATAAATCAATTTTATAGCCCACAGCTGAACCTCAGCCATTATAATTGAAGGATCCACTTGACGGGGATGGTTGTTAGGGGCCATCAAGGAACTCTTCATCTAAGACATTTTATATTTTTATTAGATGATTTGAGATTATATAATTCCGACTATTTTAATTATGTAGTAATCAAAATTACTTAGTTTCGGATGACAGAAAAATTTCACCCGTGAAAATGTTTTGATGTTCTTTTCAAGACGGGAAGGGGGAGTTGGAAAAATCCTCACTAATCCCCGTTTTCAGATTACTAATTTTGACTTTAATTGCCTTTTGAAGCCATTCACATTCATGATCCTTATTTTGACGGTGCTTTTACAGATTTTATATCTGTTCATGAACTGCACGTTGGGTCATTGAATATACCCAATGGTCAAATGAAACCAAACAAAGAGGATAAATTTTCTTCAATAAACTCCACAGTAACAATCGCATATGATTTATTATCTTTGTGTTTTTGCTACCTTTAACTGCAATCTTAATTAATTTGGATACATAGTGAAAACAAACAAGTGTTCAATTGCTTAAAGGAATTATTACTAATTCTTTCTGCAATTTCTTTTTAATAATCCTCTTAACTATTGAGTGTTATAAAGTACTCATGAAATAACAGAGTATTGAAATAAATAGGGTTTGGTCGAAACAAATGTGGCAGGTGGCTGGGAACAATGCCAACTCATTCTGAAAGCTTTCCAAACAGAAAAGTTCAATCTATAATCAGTATTCAGAATTCAAACTATGCAATTTTCTGCCTGAGGGCCTCCTCTTGTGGAAATTTGGAATTTTTGCCTCCAAAAGTTGGATACCAACGTGCTTCTTCATCATCTCACAATAGACTTTCTATTCCACAAGTCCTTTCAATAATTTTTAAAAAAATTACCAGGGTCTTTAAGATATTAATTTAAAAATTCTAAATTTCATCAATTTTATTATATTTTAATCTAATATTTAATAACAATGACGTCTTTTCAAGGGCTGAATCTGTTATTACTTTAAATGTTTATCATTATAAATAAAAAATTAAATGTAGAGTGACAAAAAATATATAATAATAGACATTCCCTTCTATAAGAGCACAGTATTTCTAAAAATAGAAAAGAAAGGAGGAAAAACGTTTCCTAAGCGTAGCCTTCTGAAAATTATTCCAACGGACCTTCTTAAAGTTTGTCCTCAAATTACTCGAAAGAAGGAGGTTGTCAAATATTGCAAGTTTTATTTTATGAAATCAGATTAGTCCAATAAGAGGAAATAAAGTAATTAGTGGTTATACATTTGAATAGTCCATGTCCATTACGTTTATGTGTCAATTTGCAAGATATTATTATTCGAAGGCAATAATACAATTGGAGGTTTTATGGTTATGCAAGAAACATTAGTGACTAAGACTTGTATATTCAATGATAAGTGAAATAGAATATAATGAAATCAATTAAATCACCATTTAAACAATTTTATAATGAAATCAAAATACTAATTTTATTTCATACCCTCAAATTAAAAAAAAACTTAAAAAAAATAAAGGCAATCTAAATAATTATTTTTGTTTTCATTTTTTATTCTTTTTTTTTTTTTTTTCATTTTTAACAATCCAAGCATAAACAGTGAGCGATCAAAATGGGCAATAACCTTAAAAGAGGGAAAGTTGAGGACTATAATGCAACTACGTAACAATTTCGTCCCTACCATTTATTACACGTACAGTGGACGCTCAACATTTCAACCATATCTTCTTATGAAGAACATACACAGAACTCATTTGAAGTCAAAATTTCCACAACCTGCCAAGACCCTTCCTTCTTAGTTTCTTCTTGCTAAAATTCCTCTTACTACTCTATGGTCTAACAAGGTATCATACATCACTTCTGCAACCGAATGGAACATGAGATTTGTCACATTCATACATATGGTACTATTTCCTTTAATGAACATGTTGTTTTGTAACCTGCCTTCCTGCACATTAAACAATATTTTCCATGAAAATTTCCATTTATTTATGGTAGTTTCACTCTCATGATGTGGTTTCCTTTTATTTCGCTGAAGAAAACACGTCCACGTTCTTAGTACTGAAAAAGTCTAGCTATGTTTAAATAGTAACCGAATTATTAATTTTACCAGATCTTTGAGAATTCACTTGTTGAACTATTTAGTAAAACCCATTGTTTTAATGCAGGTACTTAATCATGGGCTTGTTCAAAAGTGGAACCTTGTTTTTCTATTTTCTCCTTTGGTTTAGAACATGCCTAGCCAATGACCAACACATTGGTCAGATATATCCTGGCTTCAGTGCTTCTCGGGTGGATTGGCAAGACCATGGTGGGTTTTTCTTGCTATCTAACAGCTCAGCTTTCGCTTTTGGATTCTTTACTACGTTGGATGTTTCACTGTTTGTTTTGGTTGTCATTCACTTAAGTAGCTACAAAGTGGTTTGGACTGCCAACAGAGGCTTACTCGTTAGAAATTCTGATAAATTTGTGTTTGACCGTAGTGGGAATGCATATTTGGAAGGTGGGAATGGTGTAGTTTGGGCAACAAATACAACAGGACAAAGAGTGAGAGCCATGGAGTTGATGGACTCCGGGAATTTGGTGTTGCTTGGGGAAAATGGGACACTTATTTGGCAGAGTTTTAGCCATCCCACTGATACTCTTTTGCCCGGTCAAGCGTTTGTTGAAGGAATGAGACTCAAGAGCTTCCCTAACCGCATGAACTTGTTTCATTATCTTAGTTACTTAGAAGGTGATTTGGTTCTCTATGCTGGATTTGAAACTCCACAAGTGTATTGGTCCTTATCAGGGGAAGCCCAGAGAAGTCCAAAAAATGACACTGGTAAGGTTCACTCTGCATCACTGGTGTCCAATTCATGGAAATTTTATGACAAAAATGGAGCTTTGCTATGGAAAACTGTCTTCTCTGATCATTCAGATAATAAGACATTGTGGGCTGCTATTTTGGACCCAAATGGTGCAATCTCTTTCTATGACCTTAACAAAGGGAAGTCTCCTAACCCTGAGGCAATTAAAGTACCACAAGACCCTTGTGGCATTCCTGAGCCTTGTGATCCTTATTATGTTTGCTTCTTTGAAAACTGGTGTGAATGCCCTGCGCTTCTCAAATCTCGTTTCAATTGCAAACCTCCAAACATCTCAACATGTTCTAGGAGTTCAACAGATCTTGTGTATGTTGGTGAAGAGCTTGATTATTTTGCTCTCAAGTATGTTGCACCAGTTTCAAAATCAACCCTGAGTGCTTGCAAAGAGGCTTGTTTGGGAAACTGCTCATGCCTTGTGCTTTTCTTTGAGAACAGTACTGGTAGATGCTTTCATTTTGATCAGACTGGGAGTTTCCAACGCTACAAGGGGAGCACTGGTGGTTATGTTTCATACTTGAAGATCTCGACTGATGATAATGGAAATGGTAACAAAAATGGAAGGAATAACATGATGCTAATTGTTGTCATAGTAGTTCTCACAGTTCTGGTTATAGTTGGTCTTATAACAGGATTCTGCTATTACAACAGAAAGAAGAAATTTGAGAAGTATCCTGAAGACGCCTTGGAGGAAGATGATTTCTTAGACAGTCTCTCTGGTGTGCCTGCTCGGTTTACTTTTAATGCACTGTGTAGAGCAACTAAGGATTTCTCCACAAAAATTGGGGAAGGAGGTTTTGGCTCAGTGTATCTAGGTGTGCTTGAAGATGGCACCCAATTGGCTGTGAAAAAATTGGAAGGTGTTGGACAAGGGGCAAAAGAGTTTAAGGCTGAAGTGTCCATAATTGGAAGCATTCATCATGTTCATCTTGTCAAGTTGAAAGGGTTCTGTGCTGAGGGTCCTCATCGCCTTCTTGTCTATGAATACATGGCAAGGGGTTCTTTGGACAAATGGATCTTCAAGAACAGTGAAAACACTTTCTTATTAAACTGGGACACAAGGTACAACATTGCAATAGGCACAGCAAAGGGACTGGCCTATCTTCATGAGGAGTGTGAAGTGAGGATTATCCACTGTGATATCAAACCACAAAATGTTCTTCTTGATGACAATTTCACAGCCAAAGTTTCAGATTTTGGATTGGCTAAGCTAATGAGCCGAGAGCAAAGCCATGTGTTCACAACTCTAAGGGGAACAAGGGGATATCTTGCACCAGAATGGATCACTAACTATGCAATCTCAGAAAAGAGTGATGTGTTCAGCTATGGCATGGTGTTGCTTGAGATAATTGGAGGAAGAAAGAACTATGATCAGTGGGAAGGCTCAGAGAAAGCACATTTTCCATCTTATGTATTCAGAATGATGGAGGAAGGAAAACTGAAAGAGGTTCTTGACCAAAAGATAGATATTGATGATAAGGATGAAAGAGCTGAGACTGCCCTTAAAGTTGCTCTTTGGTGCATACAAGATGATGTGAATTTGAGGCCTTCCATGACTAAGGTGGCTCAGATGCTTGAAGGTTTGTGCCCTGTACCTGATCCCCCTTCATTATCTCAGTCCGGTACTTATTCAGCTTTCATGAAAATGAGTAGTGGTGAAGCTACTTCGTCAGATTTTTATAGTAATGTACCCTTGTCGTGTGTTCAGTTATCAGGACCAAGATGAGATCAATAAAAGTAGATGAATCATGCATACGTACCTTTTTATGTTCATTTTCAATAATATGAACATCTCTAGTTTGGCACTTTTGGTCTTGTCACTGTTTATTTTTAGAAACCCTTATGATTTTTTAACTAAAATTAATGAAATGACTTTGTTCTGCCTGGTGAATCCCTTGTTTCGGGGAAGGACTGGGGATGACCAAAAACAACATTTGCAACAGTGATTAATTTAATTTAGTATTTGTTGTAATTATAATTTAGAAACTAAATTCTTAACATCAAATGGTAGTTAGAATAGTCATTATATGTAGCCGGTAGTAAGGTAATTAGCTGTGATTTTGTTATTTATTAATTAACCAATCTTCCTCTCCCTAACCATCAGTCACTGTGTGTGTATATATACACACACACATAATTTGCTTGTACATATGTAGAAAAATAATATTCAATCAACAAGAACTCTCTTTCATTCCATCTCTGAATCTCCTTATCCAATAAGAAACATGCCAAGTTGATGTTAAAAACAAAGGCTCCATAAAATGTGCGCCCTAAAGTCAAAAACTCAAAAATGATGCGGATTGAGACTGACACAAAAGGGAAAAATCAATTGTATTTTTCTTCAATATTGTTGTACCTAATACATCATCGTCTTAGCGGAATTCTTATTCGACTCGAAGAAAAGTGGTGGAGAGGTTCATTTTCTCACCTGTTTAGACGTGAGACCAATGAATGAATCATTATTAAAGATAAGAAAGAAAGTTAAATAGGTAAGTCCTAACTTTATTGACAAGAAATTTGATCACTAAGGCATGTAGCATAATTTGACCCCAGAACTTAGCAATCTTCATTCTGGGCTCTACCTAAACTTTTATGTGCCCAAAATGGGTGAGAACACTTGCAAATTTACGCCAAGTCCAAATGCTACATGGATTTGTAATTGCACTTACCGTTAACACATCACTCATGACTCATGGAAGAAACATATCTGTTGATGATGAAGTATAGCACATAGATATGTACTTCCAAAATTGTATTTCTTTCATTTATTGATCTAAAATCTAAATGAAAATATCAAGCTAAAAAATCACAATGGAAAAGCTACTTGAACGGTTCAAAGGGGTAGGTATTTTGTGTGAGAGAGATAGGAGGGGGAGAGGAATATGATTTACAAATGAATTATCATAATTGGAAAAAGAAGGATGTCAAAGTGTTGGATGGGTATATCAGTCTAGCAAAAAACAAAAACATGTCATCATTAATCGTCAAGCCTCAATGATATTTGACATCCAATAAAAGGGTATAATTTGAGTGCAAGAAATACAGATATAAAAACAAGTCAAACATGTGATAAATGAAATATAAAATAAATTAGATGTGAAGATAGTATTACTGATTAAAAATTATGGCCAAATAACAAAAAATTTATTCCTCATTTGAATCCATATAAAACGTTGCGAAGAGGCAATTTTAAGAGAACACTGTTAAACACGACATTTATTTAGCAATGAAAAAAATATCAGATGATTCAAAACTAATATGCGTCCATAATCTCACTCAATTATCATGGGGCATCTAAAAAAAAATTTCAATTTATAAGGAAAGTCATCAAAACATACCCACGTGTTGCATGGTGATTGCCCTAACCACCTAATCAAAATTCACTATCAACAAGTCTTGTCAAACGGGCGAAATGAAAAGGAAATCAAGACAAGAGAGACCCATTCATGCATACAAACCATTGGCTGAGGGATAGAAAATATTGCAGCCAATGAAGATACAGTATTATAAGAGAGAAACGACATCACATTTTTCAAACCCCGTCAACATTTGGAGCCAAATATTAATGTTATTTAAGCCTCATCCCACCTGCTAGAATATTTATTTAAACATGATATCACCTTGTAATTGGCTCTTTCCCCCCTCCTTTGGTGTCATAGAATTGGATCAATATGCATTACGCCGTTACCTGCTTATCCATTGAATTTAATACTTGATTAACAAGCTGTGGTGCAATATAGTAGGGTCATTTTAAAGCAAATATTGTGTTTTAGGTAAGTTGTCACCCATTAAACCATGGAATTTGTTTTATTGAAGATATGGATGCAACTTGTAGAAAATAGACAAAATTTAATATCCCATATACTCACCACAGCCTTAGCTCTCTGAATCGACTATTGAGCTATACAGAATTCATGGCAAGCTATTATACGTTTTGACAGGAAAAGAAGGCTGGAATTACACGAATTTCATATGAACCAACTCGTGTCCATAAAAAGTGTAATCATATTGCATATAGGTGATTACGCTTTTTAAGGAATCGAGTTTAGGATAAACAATTAAAAGAACATGATATAACCCTAAAAGGGTCGTTCTCTATTCCTCGATATCTACCAAAATTTCATATTCTCAAAAGATACGACAGTGGAAGCCTCACTAGCTCATATGACAACAAACAGAATACTGCTCTCTCTTATTTATGCGATAAGCTATTTACATCTTTACTCTACTATACTAAACTCTACCCACTAGCCACTTCCAAGAGGTGAAAAAAGGGCACGGATGATTGTTGAAACTATACGGTCATTTGTCTTGCATGATATCCAAGATCACCCAGAGAAGTGAGATTTAGAGGCTGCAGTAACATGAGAGCGACCGCTATTATCTTGAAAGAGATCAGGTGGATATGCATGGCCACGATCAGTTTTATGTTCACAGCCTTTATCTTCATCTTCTTCAACATCCCAGAGGAATTTTGCATACGAAGCCAGCACATAGCTGACCAGTGACAATGATTAAGGTTTTACATTAGTTTTATAAACAACCAAGAAAAATCAGGACATGCCGTTGTTTAACAATAATTTGGAATCAAAACCAGAAAGTTATGCAAAATTTCTAAAAAAATTTCTTGGATGACAGATCATTTAATAATAACATAGTTTACCTACTCCACGAACAAATGTCACGACTTTAAAATATAACAAAACATGTCTATTTTGGAGGAAAAGGTAAAAAAAACTAACTTCATGTGATGTCTCTAGTGTCTAGACTCAAATCATCTAAACACTTTTTTTCTTGAAGCAAAGTCATCTAAAGAAACAAATACCGCATTAAAGAAAATGTAAATCTGATTCTATAAATAATTGGGAGAATGTATACAAAGAAGAAAAGCCGTAATCCATGTAAATTTATCTTACCAATCATCCGGGGCACTTTTAACAGCTTGGTCAAAATACCCTTCAGCTCGTTCAGCATTTTTCTTAGTTTGCCATATTAAATCCGCGTAGAGGGACAAAACATTAGCATCGCCAGGATTAGCCAAAATGGCCCTTTCAAGATACTCCTCAGCTTTAGTATAATCTCCACAAACCTATTTTGCAAATTGATTATGAGAAAAGCACTAATAGTAACAGAAAGAAACAATAAATTTCATTAGAAAATGATATATTTTAATCATGATTTGCCACACTTTTCTTTCCATTTCCAAAGCTAGCTTGGTCTTTTTTTGTTTTTCTTTCCTTTTCAGTTAATAATAATAACTTACAGATTAGAATGAAACTTTTTCTTTGTTTTCTTTTTATTTCTCCATCTTTTTAGGAGAAAGAACTTAACCAAGCTGAAGCACCCTTTCAAACAATTCTAATTACCTCCTTCAAGAACTTAGCATAATTTCCAAGCAGAAGAGCATTATTGGGGTTTGCTTCAATCATGTTCTGGTAATAAGCATCTGTCCAATCCCTACCATGATTGTTTTCTTCAGAGAAATCCCACCCACTTCCATCATAACCACCACAAATCCTGCCACCATCACTTCCCATTCCACCACCCATCACTAAAGTCTGCAACCTGCTACCTTTCTTCCCTTCACCACCCTCTTCATCATCCACAACACCAGAACTTGAAAACATTTCTCCAACTGAAGAAGTAGTTGTCTTCTTGTAATTCTTTTGCTTCGGTTCGTCCACTTCATCACTTCCTTTTACCTTCATACTCTTAAGAACGTTACTAACTGGCATCCAATTTTTCTTATGAGGCTTTGATGGGGTATGGCTATGAAGATCTCCCTCAGCCAAGTTGTGTGCTGGACTCGAAAGCGTCCTAGGAAGTTGGAGAATCGATTCTGGCTCAGGGGAAGACTCTTTAGAATAAGGTAGCAATGAACTAGGAATTGATACGGTGGAACTTCTTAGTAACATGTTTTTGCAGTTCAGAGACAATGGCCACAGAGAATGGAAAAAAGAAAAAGGAGTTGAAAGGATATAACTAATGAGAGCTAGCCAATACAGAGGATATATGGTACTAAAAAATACACGGTACAAACTGAAATCACGTAGGAAAGGTGAAAAGTGCTTAACTAGCTAGGCAAGGAAACACTGCAAGACAAAGTGAGAGAGTGATTGAGAGTGAGGGAGAGAAAAGAAGAGAAGAGAAGCCTCCTCTATTGAGACACAACACAAAAACTAACAAAAGGGGTGACACATTTTTATACAATATAATGATTAATATATATGTAGCATTTAAGCATAGGAAAATGCAACTTGAAGAATAAGACCTCTGCGGCGTGGACACGTTTGACTGTAGTTTACATTGACACGAGGAAGTGTTGTTGTGAGCTGCAAAATTGAACGGCCATGAATTGGTTTTGCATGTGACAGAAATGGCATCACCATCTAGCCACAGTCTCTGCCAATTGCTTTAACTACGTGTAGACACTTGCTTGGGTGAACTAGCTGCATGCTTTGTTCGTACACGGCGTTTGCTTGTAATTAACTATAATATAGTATAGCACATCTTTAATTATTTCATTTTTTCTATTGAGCTTATAATTATTACAAAGAATGAAAAGTTGTAAGTGGAAAACGATGTGAAGGGATATTTCTTTTTTATTAAGCTTCAACTCACCTTGCTAGTGGGATGTCAACGTTGATAATTTGAGCCAAGATATGTATAAATCTTATCGATATCTTGTCACTAATCAGTTCAAACATTAATCATGTAGTAAATAATGTTACGTAAACCAATTTTGCTTTAGCAGTTCTACTTTACATATTCGAATACACTCTAACTTTCTTTTCACAAACAAGTTAAATATATAAATAATTCAAATTTTATATTGTAAGCACTATATTTGTATTGTTTTGACAGATAAAAGAAATTAATGGAATCACCAAAATATATGCACACCTTTTTCTTTACACTACTTTGTGCTGTTATGATAGTAATGTATGCTTAAAACTCCCTTTGCTAATACAATATTGCGATGTTATCATGGAGAATTTGAGTTGAGATAAAATCTTATTGATAAATTCAAATATTTGCTATTTTGCAGGAATATTTTTGTATTATTATGATAATAATCATTTGCTTAACTTCTCAGTTGTTATCATTATTCTGAGTCAATAAACTTTGATATTAAAATTAGCAAAATAATATTTAATTGGGAAGCTCGTTTGTCTCTTCTGGCCCTGGAAAGCACACAGATATAACTGATTAATATTTGAAGGGAAATGACATGAAAGCAAGCCAGTATGCTGAATGCATGCTAAAACTATATTTGTATAAAGGTAGCAAAACCGGGTATGTGGGTTGATTTAAGTTGGCTGGACTGTGTTAAAAAAAGTCAGTTTTGTATTTGAATAGTAAAATAAACTTTTATGCCTGATTTAAATTTAAATTTTATATTTAAATAAAATTCAACCCAATTATTTTTTTTTTATATTTAAATGGATGCTTAACCTCACTTTGCTGGTGCAATGTTAACATAGACAATTTTACTTATTTTCGCTCAAGCAGTACACAAAATATTAATTTTGATAATTAAAAATTACATACTCCACCACACTGATTTTCTTTTCCTAAACAAATAAAATATAAAACAAATGAGCAAATATTATTTTTGTATTGTTCTGAATCCATAGTATTGTGGATTATTACAAAGAAGAACCCTTTTACAATCCTGATCCAATAGATAAGATAGACACATGACAATTCTCGATGGAATTAAAAATATAAAATTACTTTGTCTAACAGTGTCACCTATATATATAGAAGTTCACATCTGCCCTGCGAGTTTTAGCTAAGTGTGTATTTAATTCACTTCATCATAAAAAAAGTTATTACTATTATTTTCTTATTAAGAAAAACTATTTCTAAATACTAACTACACAACAGCTTAATTTTTATTCCCATGGCTAACAAGAAAGTTATATTCCAAACATTCAGTAAAGGGATAGATATATATAAAAGAAGATCAAGAAGAATAAACAAGCTAAGATAACAACATAGAATTAAACACCTGGCAAAAAAATGATAGAGATAGTGGTTGCACATGGTACATCCCACTAAGATGAGACCATTTTAATCTTATGCATGAAGGTCAGAGCCAAATCAAGAAAAATCTAAGCAGCAGTAACTTCAATTACACATCAACCTGGGAAGATAATTAACTTGAAGTTTATGTTAAGAGTCTTCCTGTGATATCATCATCTAGTTTCTTGTGGTGTTTTGTTCGTAAACAACAAAAGTGTCGCATTCATTCATTTCTCACTGGATGAAAGTGAGGAATAACCTCCTTAAAATGGACGGTTGCTAACCCACTTTTCGCTCCCATCAGTAACATCTATCAGCTATTGTGTCTTGGAAAAAATATCAACTCTCTAATCTAATCGTCAATGAATGAGCTAAGGTCGTTCTAGAAAGGCATGCCTTTTTTTCTTTCATTTAAAAAATGTTACCATAATTTTATTTTAGCATCCAAATGCAATACTATTTTATTGAAAAAGTAAGAATTTATAAATTTAAAAGTAAAAGTATAATAAATATTTTAAATAAAATGTTATTATTTTAATATGCATAAAATTAATTAAGAAGATACTAATAGAACCATTTTTTTTATCAATTTCAAAATCAATCAACCTGATTTCTTCTTGTAAATTATTTTTACTTATATGTACAATATACTTTATTTTAGTCAAAATAATACTTTTCTAAATTAATCAATTTGAATTTTCTCTCTAATTTTTGAAAAAAAATAAAAATAAAAATTCATTTTTCAAGTATGATGATCACTTCACCGTCGACTCAAATATAAAGGTGTCAATGGATTGAATTTTTTAAAAATTAATTTAAATCCATTTAAAATTTAATTATATGAATTGAATTATAAACTAATTTATTTTAATTTAAAAAAAATTAATTTAAATTTAAATTTAAAATTTAAAGTTAGTTTAAAACTGGTTTTAAATTTAGTAAAAATATACTATAAATATTTTTTATATTATTATTAAATTATTATATTAAAAAATATTTAAATTTTATAATAACTAATATAACATTATATATATATATATATATATTTTATTAAACATAAATATTTTATTAAAAATAAAATATGAGTACAAGGGTACTCTAACCCATTACATCTCTAAAAAAAATTAACAATATATGTCAAGAGAAAATTTACACATATTTTAATTTATTAATAATATATTTTTATATTTTATCAAACTAATAAATATTTAGATATATTATACTTTTTATTACCTATTCATCACACAAATTTATTACATGAATTAAATTTTAAACTATTTTATTATATTTTTTTAATAGTTAAAAATAGTTTTAAAATTTAAATTTAGTTCAAAATCAGTTTTAAATTTGGTTTTTGTTGAAACTAATTTTAAATTTAATTTTAAATTTAATTTTTAATGTAAAACTGATTTTTAATATATTTGTGAATTTTATTTTTAAGGTAAAACTAATTTATTGTACACAACATTACAAATTTTTTTAGCAATATTTATTAATTATATTATATTTTATATAAATTTATAAAATATTTACTATTATTTTTTAACTTATTTTTAATAAATGGAGTTGATGATAAAATTTTAAATTAAAACCTATAAAAATAAATAATAATAAAATTATTATGTTATAATATTTTAAAAATTAAAAAATAAACATAAATATAAAAAAATAGTAGCAATTAATTTTAAAATATTTTTCATATTTTAATATTTTTAATATAATAATTATATTTTAAAAATATTATTTTAAATATTTAATTTTAATTATAAAAATTAAGATTAATAAAAAATATTAGTAATAAAGCGTAGTTACAGTAAAATTTTATTATTGATATTGCACAAAAATTTAATAAGTAAAGATATAAAATATTACTTTTATATATATATTTAGCTAAATAAAAAAAATCTAATGTTTATATTTAAATCTTTAAAATAAATTTAATATTAGTTGTGAATTACTAAATTTTTTCTCTAACCTTTCCCAAGTGGATTGTTTCTTAGGCTGTGCCGAGATCTACATTTAGTACTTGTTCTCCTTAAGGCCCGAGAATCCCTGGCATTCATGCTTGACCAAAGGAAAAAATAAGTGTAAAAGGAAAAAGGAAAAAAATAAAGGAAATGAGATAAAAATGCCAACAACTGTTTGGCAGTTTATCTGGTTAGATTGCAAAGAATTTATTGTAAGATGCTTAACTCTGAATCAATTGTATTAAAATATTCTAACAATTACGATTGAGTACTGAGATATTACTCAAACGTCAAAAGATTTTTTTATTTTTATTTTTGTGGTTACTTCATGACGTTGAGCTGAAAACTTGCATCTGACATGAATTTTACACTATGAAGAAACCACCTCTTTCACAGCTTGGTATTCTATTTTCATATCTATAACGATTAGTTTGCAGTCAAATCAACTTCCTCTATTTCCAAGACCAACATTTGGTCTGCTATGTATGAATCCATGACCACACTTCCACTATAGACTACCGAGCCAACTGCTGCATACTTCTCTCTATTCCGAAGTATATGTCATGAATAGTAAATTTTAGCCAGGCGAATATCTAATATACTAAATATTTCAATTACTATTTATCATGAATAAATATTTCGTTATATTCAGATATCTGTGTTTAAATTAGAATAGAAGAACACGCGCCTGGTGTGAGTGACACAGGCAGCAACAGTGTGTGAAGAGATAAAGTCTTATATAATCATATATATTTAAATTTTGAATTCAGAATAGTCTATAATAATAATAATAATATAAGAAGAAGAAAGAAAACTACCCCATCAAAATAAATTGAAGTAACTGAAATAACTAGCACATTAATTTATTTACATAGCCATATAACAAAGGGCGTGGCATATTAAGCGACCAAGGCAAATAAATACTAACATGTATGTATCTTAAATGGATAGAGACGAAGACAAATTCAATGGTCCATCCACTAATCATCAGAAAGAAAGAGACAAAGATTGACAAACAGAGGCTCCCTCCAACCAACTACAAGTAGGGTTCTACTTTTCTTTGTACAGTGAAATGGAAATAATACTATAAATAGCAATAGAAATATATATAGAAAGAACAACGTTCATTCATGGTTGAAACAACTTATTCCCACATCTGCATTTCCATGAAAGGAGATAATAGCTATCATCCTCCACGTAAGAGGACACCTTGACCTTGAAGCCCTTCCTTTTGTGATTAGGAACGACCACAGTAGCTTTGCAAGGCCTACAATTCATGCACTTGTTTACACACGTAGGAGGCTTTGACCCTATCACCACTTTGCTCTCGCTGCTCTCAAACAACACAATTCCACCTACTCAAAAAACAACACGGTTCACCAAAACTTAGAAAGATCGCATACCATAATCGTACGGAAGAGGAAAGACAAATTAGGGGTAGAAACTAGGTGCATCATGCATGTTTACAACATAAAGGGTAAAGAGAAGTTAAAGGGGTTATGATCGATTTTCTAACTTCTTTGAGTTTGTGTTTCAACATACGTTAAAAAACATGCAAATGTAAACAATGCTTTATTATTTGAATGCAAAATAAAAAAATGCTATAATATTTCTCAACAGAAGCATAATCAAATAACTCTCGACTTAAATAATATAAATAGGTTGTTACTATGTATATAGGTTAAGGGGGCAGTTTTTTACCTGATTTGGGAAGTAGAACAATGAGGTAAAAAATGAAAGCCAAAGTGGTCATAGCAACTTTGAATCCATGTAGAGGGTAGGTTCTAGCAGGTGGAGCCATCAGTATATGAAAGATTTTGATGTCTTGGACACTGATGTAAGACACAGTGCAGAAAGTTGGAAGTGTAGGATGTTTGAGAAAGGGTTGAGAGAATCAGTGAAAGAGCTTCATGGTGGTTGAAATTTGATGGGAAAAGAAGAGCTTAAAATGAGTTGAGGGATGTTTCCTGTGGGAGAGACATTGGTCTGGTTCAATGTTTTGTCACCAATGAAAATGGAATTCATACAGTGAAAATGTGTTGTTGGGTGCTTTTGGGAAATCGGTGACTGACTTTGGATTGTTAGTGAATAGTGACTGACTGAGGAGACCAGAGTGTGAAGGATGAGATCCCTTGGCAACATCACTGTCTTTTCTGCTAACATCAAATTACTTTTTCATCCTCATTAATAGTAATTGCTTTCATGCTCAAGATTATATTTAATTAATGAAGGTTACCATTATTTTTATCAGTGTCGTTGAGTACCCTACAATTGGTAGTGTAGCCACCAACAATCTTCTTTCATTCAATACTAAATTTTGGCTATCAAGGACACAATCTTTTGGTTATCGATCCCTACCTACTCTTGTTCGTTGGGTCACTCAAAACAATAGAACTAGTGAGCAATTAAATTACAAGGTAACACACTTTAATTCATGTAATTTGTTATCTTCTAACTATATCAAAGAGTGTTAGACCAACACTAAATGAGAACATTAAATCTAAAATATATATAAAAATTAGATTAAAAACAACTACCACTTGTAAATATTTAAAGATGTGTTTTAATCTTCCAATAATTTCTGTGCATATCCAGATAACTGATCTTAAAACAAAATACAAACAAAACAAGTACAATGTTTTATTTCAAAAACATGTAATTTGCACTTACTTAATTAACGGAATAATTTAATAATACGATTCCTTCTAGACCTGACACAGTGTTGAGGTTCACTGTTGATCCTGACACAGGAGGCTTTTCAGGCAGCTTATTGCTTAGTACAGAATAAGGCTAAAGGAAGGGTTGAATTCAATTTCTATTTTAAACTTTTTACCCCGTCTCAGGCCTCAAGCGTCCCTCTTGGGTCTTGAACTTGCTTGTGCCTGAACAAACCTAAGAAAAATCATCAACTTTTTGGAAACAACAACCTCATTTTCCCGAATAAAGAAACAGTTCAACGTCTCCTTTTTGCTAAAAAAAGGGGAATGAAAAAAGAAACTGGTCTATAATAATTTAATCACACTGGGGGCTATTTTCCACACTAGGTCTCAACATGAATTGCCATAGAAATATACAGAAGATTAATTTTGTTGTTTTTCTAATTGCCTCCTTAATTATAGAAAAATATTTTCAAGCTATAATAAGAATAATTTGTATTTTTCTTTCATTCCATTCTTGTGTATAGTGTTGAACAGAAGGGGCACACTGGCTGAGGGTTGTACAAGCAGAAGCGCATCCAAAGGCCGTTATTGAAGTCTTTATGAATGGACGGTGCAGATGATGTCTGACCTATCTTTCTTTGATGATGAGGATCAGGTGTGGTGAGGCGTACGGTTAAAGCGAATGATTTCACAGATAACATAACTGTAGAGATGATTAGGGTAACGTCATCACCGCAGGTTTCGCTCGTCCGGTCTCTGTCTCCTTTTTTTTCAGATTTCCCAAACGCCAATTTCATCTTTTTTCACAAAAGTTTCTGCAATTTCCATTTTCTATTTTATTTCGATTTACTTATTTTCATTTTCCTTTATCCTTTGGTCTACATGTTTGTTCCGAGTCAATTTAAGGTACCTCAAAGTCAACGTCTTTAAACAACCAGCCTCACGGTACAAAATTCAGTTTTTTTTTTAATATATCATATATTAATATTTTTAACTTCTGGTTAAAGTGTATGTTTAAAAAATTAAAAATAATATTTTTCATCAGAAATTATAATATTTAATTATTTAATAAAAGTTTATTATATATCCTATACATAATTACTTGCAACTTTCAACACACCATGTCACTGCTTCACGATTTACAAATTATTCATAATAGATTAAGCAATTGATAAATTCTTTTAGAAAAAATAATTGACACATTGCAAACTAACTTTTTTAAAGATAATACACTGATTAAAAAATATATCATTAATACATATGTATTTATATTCAAATTAGTTATAATTATTTTTTTCTTCTTATTATCTAATTTATAATAAACTAGTACGTTGGATTACATAATTATCAAATTAAGATTTTTTAAACAAGATTAAATTAAAAATATGAAGAGAACAACTAACTTTTAAAAACACTTTATATTATATAAATTTTTAAAATTAAGACTCAAATTATATATAAAAGTAATAAATAAATAATTTTTATAATTTAAAATAAAGAAATATTTTGAATATTGATAATAAAAATCATACTATATTATACGGGACAAGATTAAAGAGATATAATTTTTAAATCTAACAAATATAAAAAAATTCCAAAAAGAAAATTCAAGTTAAGATTGAATAATTTTTTTTAAAAATTGATTGACAAACATTTAAAATTATTTATCTTTAAAATGACATTTAAATTAAGGCTCACAAATTAAATAAAATAATTAAAGATAAGAAAATAATTAATAATAACATTAACTTGATGTTTTGAAAATACAGAAAAATAAAATAAAAGGAAGTATCGAAGTAGAATGAAGGTTCATGCTTTTCGTTCTTCGGCGCCGTACCCTAAAACCCTACATCGATTGAGAGATCCCCGCTCAACGAGAACGACGCCGTTTCAGAGCGACAACCTCAAGAGCGAGCTTCAGTGATTCAACTCAACAGGTATTGTTCAATTGACAGCCCAGATTTGACTACAATTAAAGGGCGTAAAGTTAAACCCTCAGACACAGGACATTATAATAATTTTTGCTTATGATCAATGGAATAAATAATTGCAACTATCTTACCCTCAATTTTGTTTTATCTTAAATTTTCTGGGTTTTTCTAAATGTGGTTTACAGTGACCCACAGGCAAGGAAAGAGCTTGTTTTTTGTACTGGTTGTCACCTTTGGCCATGGATTTTGAATCAAATTACGACATTGCTGCCTCTGCCCACTTCATTCACACTCACAACTTCACCAGAGTTGCTTTACAAGTAAGACCCTCTTTTTCCATTCTTCACTTCTTTTCAGCTTTGGCCTAAATTTAGAATTTTTTTAACCCCATTAGTAGTTAAGACTTGAGAGTCTACTTTGGCACTTGATCGGTTACTGCAAAACCTGAAGAAAACTGGTAATTGACGATGTATAAATTGGAAGGAATATGCAAAGCAACTGAAATACTTGTTTTCATTCCTTGCCCAAAGTAGAATTTGAGATTTGAAGGTTTCCAATATGTAGGGTTACCTTTGCAAAACAATTTGAAGCAACTTGTCTTTATCAGTACTATACCCCTGGGATGGGGGTTATTACTATATTAAGCTCAATTGCGATGATATTTTTGCGTGAATTTCAGTTTCCAGACAATCTCCTAAAAGATTCAACAAGAGTGGTCTCTGCTCTGCGCAAGAGACTTCAATCATTGAGGGAATTTGATGTCCCTGGAAGTGGGGATGAGATAGATGTTAGATTGTTTGTGATGGCGGACACGACCTATGGCAGTTGCTGTATTGATGAAGTTGGAGCATCACACATTAATGCTGACTGTGTCATACATTATGGGCATACATGTTTTAGTCCGTGAGTACTTCTTGAACGTGTTTTTTAATTTTGAATTTGAGTATATTATAAATCCTGTATCTTTCTTTCTTCATATCTGATTGTAGAGTGTAGAGATGTATTTGATATAATTATATACACCTGTTTATGATATAGCCAAGTCTATATTGGGTGTTACATCATCTCGTGTAATATGGAAAGTGCTTGACTCTCAGTTCCAAAGTTTCTTTTGGATTCAATTCAACGTCTGTGACAACACTTGGTTTCATAGTTTAATTTTCTTACATTGCTTAAGGGTGGTCGGACTTATATTCTATTTTGTATGCTTCATTGAAGTCCTCTTTTCTCTCTGCAGAACAACAACTCTACCAGCGTTTTCCGTTTTTGGGAAGGCTTCCATTTGCGAAGCTGATTGTGTTGAAAGTATGTCAAAATATGCTCAGACAAATTGTAAGCCTGTCATGGTATAACTATTTTTTTAATCATTTATGGATTTTTATTTATTTAAACAACTGAATTTTTTTATGTATGGAAAATAATGTAGCTGTGATTGTCCTCTACTGACATTTGCTCAGACTATAAACTGGACTTTCAGTATAACCATAAAGGGAATACAACAATAAACTGGACTTTCAGTGTAACAATAAACTGATCCCATATAATTTCTTATTGCTTAAATTCTCCATTCCAATTGCAGGTCCTTTTTGGGCTGGAATATGCGCATTCAATACAACAGATTAAAAAAGAACTATTAGAATCATCAATGTCCTGTAGATTTGACCATAAGCCGGAAGTTCACTTTGCTGATGTTTTGTCTTCAGTTATGTTTCCATCAAAAGATATTAAAAAAATAAATGGGCTTCAAGAACCAGCTAGTGGTTGCAATGGGGCAAGTGGGACTATATATAGCATTGGAGGATTGACTTGGAAATTACCTGAGGGACAAAGAATGGAAGACTACTTGCTCTTTTGGATTGGACAGGATGATTCGGCTTTTGCAAATGTTGTGCTCACTCTCAATGCCTGTGAAATAGGTTGATACTTACCCTTTCCTTTCCGAAATTTGTCCTATGTGTCTCTGTATTTTTCTGATTTTCTTTCCATGCAGAAATAGGTAAACAGATGCCAACTTTTTAGTCATGCATCTCGAACATAAAGGATATATTTTGGGAAATGAATCTCCCCCAAATTATTGCATCATTTGAAAATTTCTTTTGTACCTATAGCATGTATCTGGCATACTGAGAATTTGAATGTTTATTTACTTCTTTTTCTGCTATAGTTGTTTTTGTCAACCACAGTTTAAATCACAATGCTCTTTATTTTAGTTAGATATGATGCAAATGAAAATCGAATGGTAACAGACTTGTTTCAACAAAGGAGGATTCTTAAGCGGAGGTATGTTTCCCAATATAAACACACTACTTAGTGTTGTGTAAGCCATCAAGCCATCATATGTTTATAAAAATTTCTAAGTTCAGAAGATGACTATGCAGATATTACCTGGTGGAGAGAGCCAAGGATGCTAATATTGTTGGGATTTTAGTTGGAACTCTCGGTGTTGGTATGTTTTACTGTTAAAGATTTTGGTTTTCTAGCATGCTTATTCCTAAAGTAACACGAGTGACAAACTTGTTTTGTCATGTACCTTGTGAAGCATAGTCATAAATTTCAGGAGTACAATTGATTTGAATGTTGTTCTCAAGTGAGAATGGGTCTAGAGAATGAAGCCTTATGTTTACTAATCTTGAATGAAACGAGAAGAATATATGTTGAGGAACATTATTCTGTGAAATAAGACATCATTTGATTATTGCCTGTGTTTACTCTGAATATTGAATTACATATGGATGGATCATAGTCTTAATCACGGTTAGGTAGATAGCAGAAATGAAAAACAAATGTGAAACCTATCTCTCCAGCCTCTTATTATAATACATCAGTAAATAATTTATTTTCTTGTTTTTACAAGAGAAATGAGATTTGCATATTGATGCAGCTGGTTATCTACATATAATAAATCAAATGGTGGAGCTCATTACTGGGGCAGGCAAGAAAGCCTATACGTTGGTTATGGGAAGACCAAACCCAGCTAAACTTGCTAACTTTCCTGAGGTGAAGTTTGATTCATTCTTAGTATATACTTTGGCCTGCCTTTATATCTAAAACTTGCTAACAGAGTTTGACTTTCATCAGTGTGATGTTTTTCTATACGTCTCGTGTGCCCAAACTGCTCTGCTGGATAGCAAAGAGTATCTAGCTCCAGTTATTACTCCCTTTGAAGCAATGATAGCTTTCAATAGGTACACTATCATATTTGAGAATACTTGTATACTGGAAACTGTCTCTTTGCTAGTGTCCTTCTCATTGATTGCTGTTAGTTTTATGTAACTTATCTATTTTTAATTTATTGTAAATTTGTAACTATAGTAATTGGATAACATCTTATACCATGAAAAAGAGGAATAATCAAATATTCTATCTAGGGGTTGCTAACTTCCATGTAAGCTTGAAACTTTTTTTAACTCCCAGAAACTTAAAATTCATTTAATTTGTTTTGCATGAACTACTAAATTGTAATATCTTTTCTACATTGATTATCACATAACTACTTTTGATTTGTAGAAATCTTTGATCTGGTCACTCTGTTCTCATACTCACCATCACTTTCACTGAGTCACTTGTATGCAGTCAAATGCATTGTCTTTGATTTTCCTGTATCTTGGTAGAAAACCAATTGTGTTTTATTCTTCATTGTTTGGCTTTATTGAATACTCATCGCTGTGTCTTCTACATGCTTTCTTTCTATGAAGATATGTGGGGTTTGGAAATTTCATGACTCCAAAGTCCAAACATATCACTGAATAAAAATATTTTGACTTTTATGGTTCCTCCATGGACTACAGATGGATTTTGATACATTGATATATATTATACCTAATGATACTGTGTTAATCTGTTTCCAGGGGAAGCCAGTGGACAGGAGCCTATGTAATGGAGTTTGGAGATCTAATTAATTTGCCTCAAATTGAAGTTGGAGACCAGGAAGAAGAAGCACGGTTTTCATTCTTGCAGGGAGGATATGTTGAAGATTTTGAAAATCAAGGTAGTTTCTATTCCTTGCTTATATGTTTGCAATTAAATGATAATTAGGGAGGTTTTATCATTCTGAGATAATAGAAAAACAAGTTGGTGATGTGGTTATTGAGATTGGACAGTCTGCATGAAAGAAAATTTCCCTTTGGAGACATTTAGTTCAGTTGTAATTCCACCATACATATTGGAACATCGAAAGGCATGGGATTGTGGGGTTTTGTTTATATATAATACTGGTAACTTAAACATAGCAAATATGAATGGTATTCTGTTGTTTATTCTGTGTTACCAAATAAGGTCATTTTTATTCAATTTCATTTCTTTTTAATCACAAGTCTGTATTTCATCAGAAAATGTTGAGGAAGAAAGAGAAGCTCTGGCTTTAGTCAATGCAACAGAGAAGGCACTGCAGTTGCAAAATAAGTGTAATTCTCTTATCAAAGGGGATGCTAAATCAGGAGCTGAATTTTTTGCAAATCGATCATATCAGGGTCTGAATATGCCCAACGAGAACACCTCTCCAGAGCCATATTTCGTAGGACGGAGAGGAAGGGCATCTGGGTATGAGGATGAGAAGAGCAAACAATGAAATTTGTGACAGCCTGCTGAGAGGGACGGTAAAGGCCCATGGATGTGGGAGGACTGACTCCGTGATGTGGTTTTTTGCTTGCATTGTATAGAATGAGAATTAACAAGGTCAGTGTCTGACAGGGAGAGAAGAACATTATTCCTTGACGGTTGTCTGAGCCTACTTGAGCAGTTAATGCATTTTGGCTGGAAAGTTTGGTGAAGCACGAGTTTCTTAATAGCCTGCGGTTGTACATCTATTCAAAAGGATTTGAAATGTCTTTAGCAAGGTTGCTCCATGGCATGACGGAATTTGCAGCTGTTGTTACCTTTTTTTTAGTCACGGATATGTCTTCCTACGTTTTGTCCAACTATGCAGGAACGATATAGAAACACTATCACGTGCAGAAATTTAACATATTTTGCTTTCTCTATTTTAGATTAGTCATATACTCTTTCACTGTTTTTCTCTTCGCAGTTAACGGAGAGGAAGAACTATAGTTATTATTAATGCCACTCATATTAATATTTCATAATATTATCTTTCCTCTGTTATCTTCAATGCACGTATTTAAATTGTGGGGGGAACAGAAACTCGAGACTTCCTTTGATCCCAATCTCTGTTCAACACGTTGATGATGGACTTTTTCTGAAATGGACTATAAAGGAATGAATTTGGGCGCTTGGCAACAGCAGCAGGGTGAGAAAAACAAGTTCATAAATTTGACAAAATCAAATTGTATTAGCAAACATTAATTTCCATGTTTGGAAGTTTTAACAATAGCCAAATATATGACATAAGCAAACGTTGAATTCTAGGGGCGAGAATTCATGGATAGAAGTTTAGATTAACATTCTATAATCCAAGGTCATAATCAATTTCATACCATTATCAAGTTTAGTCATACTTTAACTGTTTGAAATTAAGAGCAACTATTAAAAGATACTGTAAGTTGAAAATTTCTTAATACCTTGGTTATGTCATGTGTTCAGTGGCAGTAATATTGATTATCCGATTATGATCGAAGAAACCTTAATATAAAAATACAATAGTCGAATTCGAACACGTTGATTTTGCCGATTGTTGACTTTGGATCAGGATTCTTGCATTCTTTCAAAAGTCAAATGTTAAATTTCAAATAAAACTTGAAAATTTCTAATATAGGTCCTAAAAGGTGGCAAAATAGTATTAATTTGTTACATCACACGCGCACTGGTATAACAAAGGCTAAATTATATTAATTTTGTGCATTAAACAATTCCATTAAAGCTTAACTTTACGTACATGACTGCTCTTTCCTGCATTATCATTTATAGTTTTCGGCAAATCAGTAAAAGATGGATACTGAAAATGACTAACTGAACAATGAAGTAATTTATTCAAAACAAAAATTTAAAATGAAAAAAAGTGACTTTTAAATGACATACTCTTATTTTTATGTATTTTTAAAAGTAATTATGTTCTAGTTAAGTAGAATTATTATGCATAATAAATTTTTTTACTGAGTATTTAACATAGTTATATTATTAAATTTTAAATTTAAGAATATAAATTAAGCTAAAGTAATTATACACTAATTAATTTACATGTTTAGTAGTTTTATGAATAAGTTTTCAAATTAATTTTATTAAAGAGACCACCTTATCATATCTATTTTTTAAATAGAATAAAATATAACTTTTTTAATTAAATATCAAAATTTTTAAAATATTAACTTAACTCTTTTAATAAATAAATAAATATAATCTAACTTAATTATATAGATTAAGCCACATCTCTTGACGAGCTATTTGTCTTATTTCATCTCTTGATGTAATTTTCAAGATATAAACAAGATTATCTTTAATTCACTAATTCATTTTAGAATTGAAACAAAACATAGCAATCAGTAATACAGATGTAAAAAGAGCTTTAAAATATATAACATAAGCAACAAATGAAACTTAGTTTAATTAGAGTGGTTGGAAGTGGGTTGATTCCGAAGAAAACAAAACTTCTGCCCAATATTTTGTAACTCAGCGAAATAGCAGGGGTTGGGTTGGACAAAATCGAGTATGTATTTACATCCACAAGAATACCCAAGATTCTTCTAGCACTTCACCACAAAATTAAATTTCAAAATTCAAAGCCAAATAAGTAAAAATAAAAAGCAATCATGAGAACATTGTAAGTGCCAACAGAAATGTGCAGGGTTGATCTAGAAGCCTAGTAAGAGCATTGAATTCTATGCACTCTATCCCTCAAAATCCCGTTATACAAAGCGATTCTGTTGGCCGGCATTCCACTAGTTTCCGAGGTTTCTTGTCTGCAGTTGTTTGATACTCCGTTTTGCTTCCTCTGTTTCTCTATGCTACCCACCTCACTCGTTTCTCTTGATTCCTTCACATTATCAGCAAATTGAACTTTCTTCTTCTTTTTCTTTCTCTTCCTTTTCTTTTCCTCTACTCACCATGCCACACAATCAGAACTGAATATTTGTTATCACAACAAAGAATTTAGGTGAATGAAAAGAAGGGGAAGTGATTTAATTTACCTGAATACAAGCAAGAACGTAGAGTCCCTTTGTTAGAGTCATGGAAATGGGAATTCCAGTGAATTAGAAATGATGGGGTGGTCTTTTGGGTGGAGAAAGCAAGATAAAGGACAGTGCTTGACACAAGCATGGCTGTGGTAAGAACAAGACCCTGTGAGATAGAAGCCATGTGTTGAGAAACAGAACAAGCAGGGGAAGGAGCTGTTCTGGGATTGTGATGTGAACAAGAAATATAAAAATATTAAATGAAAAGGAGTTTGAAGAATTGTGGATTATGGAAAGATGGTGGAGGAAAAAAAGATGGCAGTAGTTAATTGGTGGTTGGTGTGTGAGTATCTTTCTAGATTTCTCTGATGAGATTTGGAAAATGGAAAAGAAAAGAGAGAGAGGGAGAGAGGGAGAGAGAGTTTGGGTGTGGATGGGAGTGTTTGGTTTGGCTTTTGCTTTATAGTTAAAGGAAGAAGTTGGAAGAAACCAAACCAAACCAAACCAAACCAAAGGATGAATGCGGTTGCGGTTTGTATTCAGCTTGCTTTGGTTGTCTTGTGTGGAGACTGAGGTCACAGTCAACCACCACAGCCTTAGCATTCAGTTTGGATTAATTATGCAAAGAATCTGAAAATCACTAACTTTGATTTAGTTAACAGTGGTTAATTGCAATCATAAAAAAGTATGACTTGAAACGAAATATTTTAAAATCTTAAAATATTCATTTCAAAAGAATTGTACGTAACCATTATTTTGAAGGACTGTAAAACTACCGAATGAAGATAAGAAAACGTTTTGACGTGATAAAACAAAAGGCTTAATGGTACGGTAGCCATTAAAACGGGGTATAATAAAGAAATGATATTTTGTAGGAATATCAGTAGTCGAGTACGTATTTTCCAATCTGTTTGCCAAATTAAGTTCTCACAAGTGTGTGACTCAGAATGATTAAGTGTCTACGAACACTTGTGTTGCCATTATATCATAATCATAGGACTATGACAGGAACGTTGAATTAAGTCTGATATAAGACATTTTTGACGCGTGTGAAGCGAGTAAGGACAACACGTTATCCTAACCGTGCAACCGAGTGTAAGGTGTGTACGTGGACACTGACCGTACTAATATACCCCAAGCCCACGGTTCTAGCACTCGGTGATACCTAACATGAGCACACACTTGTACCCTTCAGTTATTCTAGAACTTATATTCAGAAAAAGCAAAATCCAATTTGTTAAATTTTAATATGTAAGAATATTAAATTAGTTTTCAGATTCAAAAAATGGTCTACACGTGTTGTTTTGCATATTATGATACATGGGCTACTTGGAGCCAGCATGTCAATTATATATCATTGCATACTCCTTTTAATAGGAAAAGAAATAAATTAAAAGAAGATAAAAGGTGTTCCTACTCTTTTACAAAGCAAAACCCAATCATAATATGGTGCTTACTAATTGCTTCATATGTCATAAAGGACAAAGCACACCAATCTAAATTAAAGAGGTCCACATCAGTCATTAAATTAACATGGCATTATTAATAAGTAATTGAGTCAAGTGATATAGATAAAGTTTTTGGATTTCAACTTTTGCAATATAAAAAGTTCTTGTTAATATTTATAAAATTTTGTGAATAAATTATCTGTACGTGGCCTTCAACTAATTTGATAAACAAAAGTTTACTCGTCATATATAGTTTTCATGGATATTGATTGATTGAATATTTTTCCGAAATTAAACAAGGAAAGATCATACGTACGTACTTCACATGCACACAATCTTAAAATCAGCTACACGTGTTGAGTGGTCAAGTTAATTTCATATTTTCTTGAAATGAACAGAATATTGGTCGAATATCTCTCTACTTCAGAGAGGACATGTAAGATATATGACAGCAAAAAGCAAAAGATTCACTAAGTAAAGATGGAGAAAAGAAATCAATTTTTTAAAAAAAATTAGCTACACGTGTTGAGTAGTTAAGTTAATTTCATATTTTCTTGAAATTAGACATTGGCAAATGAACAGAGTCCACATAGAAATTCTACAAACAGCAACATCAACTATATATCCAACAGAATCAAGTTCAATCTACATATCCCAGAGAAAAAGGATAGTGTCAGAACAGCAAATACAAGAGGAACATTATTAAGAAACCTCACAATAAGAGTCAAAACATGTTCACAGGACCGTTACCATTATTACATACTCTGACATCGTAAGTAGAACAACATCTTATGAACAAAGTAGAAAATGAAACTAAGTAGTGAGGATGGGGGGCAAGTAATCAACTTTGTTGCCAAGGACACGAGCCTTGGTGTCAGGGAAAAACTCAAAACCTGGAAGCTCTGTGACTATTCCTTCGCTTGAAATTCCAATAGGATACCGGAGCAGGTGTCCAGGAAGGTCATGCTCAAGTGACTCACTAGAATAGAGATCCCAATATTTGTCAGCAATCTGATTCACCTTCCTTACACATTCTTGACTTTCTGGGTGGAGGAAAGAGTCATGAAGCATGCCAAGGTGCTCATACCACAATGACATGCGCAAACCATGAATCTGTCCCCTTGCAGGCTGCCTAGTAGCCAAATGATATGGTTGATAGGCACCCATGGCTATCTCAGAGTCTCTGGCACCATCCATTGATCTCTGGTTGATGTTGGCAGATCCAATGATTATGTATTCATCATCAACTGCACAAAAAAGTTCAATCACTTTATGAATTTTTACCATTAAAAATATTTTATTGGAGTCAGAAAGAGGGATTTTGTAATGTTTATTGGCTTCTTTTAATGCATTTCAAATTTGGGAAAAAACCTCATGAAGAAAGAAAACAAAATTCTCTGACTTTCGCAGTTATGGCAATGTTTTTCTTAATGAATGATAATGATAATGGAGTTAAAAGAATGATTCCAAATCCAATAAATGGATTCAAAAATAAATCTAGATTATAAGCGAGGTCTTTGTTAATTGTAAGATTGCTTTCACAAAATAAGCCAGATTAAATCAATGACATACCTATCATCATCTTGGCATGAACATAAATCATGAAGCGCCGGGCCTCTTGGGCTCTTATATAATCTGTATCAGGTTCTGGTCTTTCTGAGGGCTCATACTCTCCTTGTTTCTTCACCTCTCGATTACCAAGGCAGAAGAATGTCAAATAGTTACGAGGGTCTTCCTGAATTCCCTTGGCATTGAGTGCCTCAATTACATCCTTGTACATCATATCCATTGTTCTCCTTTGCCAGTCCAATATTGCCTGAACTGATGCACTTTCGGGGACACCCTCTGGCCACATTGGAACCACAACATACACACTGAACCTTTCTCCAGCTTCAATCTTACTAACAATCTTAAGTGATAGCTCCTTAGGGATTAGATGCAAAGCTCCAATGTCTTCAGGCTTGATACCATCTGGACTCCAAGCAAAACAGCTTCCAAGGAAATATTGATTTTCAATATAAATGAAATTCTTTGCACGTCTAATAGCATTAATATAACCATCTTGAATACTACGATCTATTATATTATCCTTCCCACTAACAAGTCCCGCTTTCGCAGCTTCTTCAGGAGTTTCTGGGAACCCAAAAGCAGCTCCACCATCAATAGATCTAAATAACTGAACGTTCCATGTCTCATGATCATCAAGGTAAGTTACTGGGGATGGGGGAATGATGACATCTTCAAGGTCTCTTAGTGGAATAAGTAAGTCCTTTCCACCTTGCTTTCTCCATCTCTGCTCAAAGTTGAACAAGACATCCCAAGCAATGGGTCCTTCAAGCCTAGAGTGGATGTCATGCCAAGGTTCTCTTGGACCACCCTTTTGTATGGAAGAACCAGCGAAGTTTGGCTGATGAAAATCATCATGATGTGCTGTATCCAAGGTTCTAAAAAGTGAATGGAATTGAGTGTCATATCTTCCATCACAAAGGTCAATACCCCCTACAAAACTCACAATTCTTCGCTTATCAGGTTCTCCACTCGGCAATTCGCTGTCCACGACTACAATTTTTTGGTGATGCGTAAACATGGCAGAAATTTCTAAATCCTGAACAATGCTTCCACCATCATCAGGATTGCGAGGGCATAAAACACAATGCACGTCAGTGCCGTGAAAGTACCGGTCGGTTTCTTCATCATGAGTGGCCATCAACCCATCTTTTTTCAACAAAGGAACCGATGTTCTATCATCCCAAACAAGCATCAAAACCCTTATACCTTCACTTGCTTTTTTCTTGAGAAGTTCGCCAAGACTTGTATCTCCTCCAGGCTTTGGCCTTCTAGAATCCCTTACCAACGTAATCTCAGTATAAACAGACCAGCCGGTAATGTATATTAAGTGTTTTGCATTATTGATTGCATCAAACACATCCTCCCAACATCTGTGAGGTTTGTAAGTCTGGCCTCCAGCAAGTGGTATTCTAGGCACAAAATTGTCAGGCACATGAGCATCTTGGTATAGAGAAACCTTACATCCTCTTCGTTGGGAAAAGAAAGTATAAGGAACTCCAGGAAATTTAGGACTTCTAATGCCCAGAGCCCAGTTGCGGTCTTTTGAAACATCAAAATATTGCAGCTTCACGTGGATCTTGGAATGCCCATGTATTGGGTTTTTATGCTCATCCAATATTTCAACCCATCTATCAATTTCTTCACCACCCAAGATATCCTCAACAGGCACGTATGCTCTTCCGATTAAGGTCGCCCCAATAGGATTATCATCTTTCACTGTGAATATGATGTTTGAAGCCATATGGGCACAATAAATGTGAAAGGACTCGTACCATCTTGGATTAGAATGCTCCTTCTCTAAAATTCTGGTCCTCCCCACTCGTGCCTTCTCTAGATCAATGGTTGCGTATAATTTAGTGACACCTTTTCCAAGACCAACAGTCTCCTCGATGTTTTGTACGATCTAAATCAGAATAATATATATGGAATTAGACATGCAAGTGTTAAGAATAATGTACATGGGAAATAAAGGTGCAAAGTAAAACAATTGGATATTATCTCTGCATCACGTGTGTATGTGATAATGAGTAATCTACCGTAGCAATATGGATAGGCAAAGGCCCGCAGGCCCCACAAAAAAATGAATATGGCTTATCAAAGGAATAATTGAAAAGGCAAAAACTTCAGTTCATTCTTAAAAAGATTCCACCATATGCTTCGATCAAGATGATAAGCTCCAGGATGTTTAATATAAGATTTTGGCGGAGAAAATACAGCATAAATGTGATAAAAACTTAAACTTATTGAGTTAAAGACAAGTTGGATGAACAAAAGGTTATTTTAAATTTTTAATTGAATACCAAAGGGGCAACAAGTTGATTCATATTAAGGAACCACTGAAACACAGTTTGCAGTCAAAATATGTCTCCAGAAGCCTTGACTGTATAATAACTATCCTTTCACAGATGCAAAATTTTATATGGTTAGTGATTATCTAAATGAATAGGAAGTATTAAAATAATTGAAAGCTCTTCAACAGCTTCACATGTTGTACCTATAAATGTGTGTGTTAAGACGGATTAGCTGCTTAAGAAATACATGGGCACTAGAAAAGAATGGGTCCCTAAAATTGGAGGTTTGTGTAACGTCCAAGGACAACCACTCAGTCCCCTTCCTCTTAAACTTTATTTTTATATTAAAAAAATAAAATAAAACTTGTCAATTTTCTTTCCATGTAATGGAAGAAACCCTTTATCCTTCCAACCAATTCGGCGATTACTATACTACCATCCAAGAAATTTGTTGGTTGAAGAATTTTGAGAACAGTCGAAAAGTGAAAAAGCTAAAAGTCAAAGAGCACAGCACATTTGAAAAGCCAATTTTTTTGTTTGAAAGAATGAATTTGCTAAAGCAGATCAGAAAGGGATTTTGTCGATGATCTGGGATTGAATTCACCATTGATGACAGAGCTGAGCAGAGACAAGTCCATAACAAGATTAACACTAAGCTACTGTAGTAATAGTGTGCTAATATCATAATTATCGAACTAATCAGGTAATTACAAGAGAAAATATAGCTATAATAGTGAAACTGAAAGTGAGTTAATTGTGTATGAATTACGATGATAAAAAGCACACCTTGGTTAAGATATTAGAAGAACCTGTCTTGAGCTTATCAACCTCAAAGATTGTGGCGTGGAGAGTTCCATGCAGCAGAATTTGAGCCATCACTTAGCTAACGAATCTACAACAATTCACACAACACATTATATTCAATTTAGAATTTGAGACGAATTTAAAGAAAGGGGATATGAAAGAAAGAGACTTTAACTCTTGCAGAACAGAGAGATGAGAATGAATGTGAAATTGAAGAAAGGAGCAACTTTGTAATATATAATAATATTGTCACAGTAGTTGGCAACGCAATGGTTCATTTAAGTCAAGGCCAATTCTAAATTGCCAAATGGCATCATAATCTATTCAAACCTGTGCAAATGATTACGCCCCCGCTCAAACTTACCCCACAATTACACTTCTTTCTTCTTTCTTAATTACATTTCATTTTCTTTAAGAAATTATTGATATATGTAATAAGTTAATCTATTTTGATATAAATAAGTTGCTTTGCTTATGATATTTTTTCAAAAAATTTTGTGACACTAAGCAGTTAGTATTATGAATAATTAATTTTAAATTTCTACTATTGATTCTGAGACTTTAGAAAATAAAACAAATAATTTAAGTGAAAATTGATAGTGTAGGTGTTTAAAATATTATTTTATTTATTATTATATTATTTAAAATTAGTTGATGATTTTAACAATCTAAGAAAAAGTATCTTTTTTCATTCACAGTACTTAACACAATCAACATATACTAAGATTAAGTTAAAGATATATATAGATTTATATAGACATTAATTTTTAATTATCTATTAAACTTTGCAATTGTTGTTTTACCTTTAAAAAAATTATAGGTTATGTTTTTAAAACATTATAACAGTGGTATCAGAGCTACTGGAAAAGTTTGGTAGTGTGAAACTGCTATCTGAGAAAGTTCTGGCTAGGAAAGATTTGGTATTTAAGAGTGTCTATAGTGACCCACCTCTCTTTCCTGGAAATTTTTTGGTGTGTTAGTTCATGGTCTACCTGTGTTATTCCAGTAGACAATACTATTCATAGTGAGAAGTGCATAAGTCGGTATAATAAAGAGAGAAAATATGGCAGCAAAATATGAGATAGAGAAATTTAATGGGAGTAATTTCTCCCTGTGGAAATTGAAGATAAGAGCAATTTTGAGAAAAGACAATTGTCTTGATGCAATTGAAGGCAGACCTGCAGATATTTCAGAAGAAAAATGGAGAGAAATGGATAACAATGCTGTTGCCAATTTGCACTTAGCATTGGCTGATTCAGTATTATCCAGTGTTGCAGAGAAGAAGACTGCAAAGGAGATTTGGGACACACTGATCAAGTTGTACGAGGTCAAGTCACTTCATACCAGAATATTCTTGAAGAGGAAACTCTACACTCTTCGAATGAGTGAGTCCACATCAGTAACGAACCACATCAACAATTTGAATACGCTATTTGCTCAGCTTACAGCCGCATATTTCAACATAGTAGAAAATGAACGTGCGGAGCTTCTACTCCAGAGTTTACCAGATTCATATGATCAACTCATCATCAATATAACAAACAACAACATTATCGGTCGTCTATCCTTTGATGATGTTGTTGGAGCAGTTCTTGAAGAAGAATCCAGGAGAAAGAATAAAGAAGATAGACTGGAAAATTCTAAACAGGCAGAAGCATTGACGATGATGAGAGGAAGATCAATGGAACGTGGTTCCAGTGGGAGCCAGAATCATGGTAGATCAAAATCTCAGAGAAGGAAGAACCTCAAATGCTACAACTGTGGCAAGAGAGGGCACGTGAAAAAAGATTGTTGGAACAAGAAGAGTGGAGGAGGGAATAATATTGAAGCATCAACCTCTCAAGGTTGTGTTGCAAGTACTTCAGATGATGGTGAAATTCTATACAGTGAAGTAGTAAATTCTAGAGGCGGAAGACAACTCCATGAATGTTGGATATTGGATTCAGGTGCAACTTGGCACATGACTCCATGCCGAGATTGGTTTTCTACTTATGAACCTATCTCAGGAGGATCTGTATTCATGGGAAATGATCATGCCCTAGAAATTGCTGGAATTGGTACTGTCAAATTGAAAATGTATGATGGTACCATTCGAACAATTCAAGGGGTACGACATGTGAAGGGTTTGAAAAAGAATCTATTGTCCATTGGGCAATTGGATGACCTCAAGTGCAAGATCCACATTGAAGGTGGGATCATGAAGGTAGTTAAAGGCAATTTGGTAGTGATGAAAGCAGAAAAGATCATAACCAATTTATACATACTTTTGGGAGATACGTTGCAAGAAGTAGATGCATCAGTTGTAATAAGTCAAGAAGATGAAACACTGATGTGGCATCGTAGACTCGGTCATATGTCAGAACGAGGTCTGAAAATTCTTGCAGAACGTAATCTCTTAACAGGGCTCAAAACGGTAACCTTACCATTTTGTGAACACTGTGTGACAAGTAAGCAGCATAGATTAAAGTTTGCCAAAGTGACTACAAGAAGCAAACACATACTGGACTTGATTCATTCTGATGTATGAGAATCACCGGAAGTATCCATTGGAGGAGCAAAATATTTTGTATCATTTATTGATGATTACTCCAGGAGATTGTGGGTGTACTCAATCAAGAAGAAGTCAGATGTGTTTCCAGTATTCAAGGAGTTCAAAGCACAAGTAGAACTTGAAACTGGGAAAAGAATTAAGTGCTTAAGGACAGACAATGGAGGAGAATATGTAGATGGTGATTTTCTAACATTCTGTAAGCAAGAGGGTATTTCAAGGCAATTCACAGTGCCTTATACACCTCAGCAGAATGGTGTAGCAGAGCGGATGAACAGAACTCTTCTAGAAAGAACAAGAGCTATGCTAAGAACAGCAGGAGTGGCTAAATCTTTCTGGGCAGAAGCAGTGAAAACTGCCTGTTATGTAATAAATCGATCACCATCAACAACAATTGGTTTGAAGACACCAATGGAGATATGGAATGGAAAGCCACCTAATTATTCTTCATTACATATATTTGGATGTCCTGTGTACGTGATGTACAATTCCCAAGAAAGAACAAAACTGGATCCAAAATCCAGGAAATGTATATTCTTGGGTTATGCTGACAATGTTAAGGGGTATCGCTTATGGGATCCCACTGCCCGCAAGGTTGTTGTTAGCAGAGATGTAGTCTTTGCAGAAAATGAACTGCAAAAGGAGCAGAAAGATGACAGTACTACCAAAGACACTACTTCAGTAGTGATAGAAAGGAAAGTTAAAGAAGATGACAACTCTGAAGCAGACAAGAATCAAATGATGCCAATGATGGAGAAACTCAACAAACAAGACGTGAGATAAGGAGACCATCTTGGCACTCAGACTATGTGATGGCAAGCCACGATGCATATTGTCTTCTAACAGATGAAGGAGAACCATCAACCTTTCATGAGGCTTTGAGGAGTTCAGATGCTTCATTATGGATGACAGCAATGCAGGAAGAAATTGAGGCCTTACATAAAAACAAGACATGAAAACTTGTTGAACTTCCAAAAGATCGAAAAGCCATTGGTTGTAAATGGGTCTATAAAATCAAACGAGATGGTAATGATCAAGTGGAGCGGTATCGTGCAAGATTAGTGGTTAAAGGATATGCTCAGAAAGAAGGCATTGATTTCAACGAGATATTCTCTCCAGTTGTTCGATTAACCACAATCAGAATTGTTCTGGCAATGTGTGCTGCATTTGATTTACATCTTGAGCAACTTGATGTAAAGACTGCTTTTCTACATGGAGAACTTGAAGAGGAAATATATATGCTCCAACCAGAAGGTTTTGAAGAACAAGGAAAAGAAGACTTGGTTTGCAGGTTGACCAAATCTCTGTACGGTTTAAAACAGGCGCCAAGGTGTTGGTACAAGAGATTTGATTCCTTCATTATTAGCCTCAGATACAACAGACTGAGTTCAGACCATTGTACGTATTACAAGAGGTTTGGTGATAATGATTTCATCATTTTGTTGTTGTATGTGGATGACATGCTGGTGGTAGGCCCCAGCAAAGATCGAATTCAAGAATTGAAGGCACAATTAGCTAGGGAGTTTGATATGAAGGACTTAGGACCAGCAAACAAGATTTTAGGGATGCAAATACACCGAGACAGAAAAGATAGGAAGATTTGGCTCTCTCAAAAGAATTATCTTCGTAAAGTCTTGCGGCGCTTCAATATGCAAAACTGTAAGCCAATCTCTACCCCACTTCCTGTCAGTTATAAATTATCCTCAAGTATGTGTCCTAGCAATGAAGCGGAGAGGATGGAAATGTCTCGAGTGCCGTATGCATCAGCGGTGGGAAGCCTTATGTATGCCATGATTTGTACTAGACCAGACATTGCACAAGCAGTGGGAGCAGTCAGTAGGTACATGGCAGATCCTGGTAGAGAGCATTGGAATATTGTAAAGAGGATCCTTAGATACATCAAAGGAACCTCTGATGTTGCATTATATTTTGAAGGATCAGAATTTATTGTGAAGGGCTATGTTGATTCAGATTTTGCAGGAGATCTGGATAAAAGGAAATCTACTACTGGTTATGTGTTTACACTTGCTGGAGGAGCAGTAAGCTGGTTATCTAAGTTACAGACTGTTGTGGCTCTGTCTACTACAGAAGCCGAATACATGGCAGCTACTGAGGCATGCAAGGAAGCAATCTGGATTCAAAGGCTATTGGAGGAACTTGGGCACAAACAGCAAACTACTACTATGTATTGTGATAGTCAAAGTGCTTTGCATATTGTAAAGAATCCAGCTTTTCATTCCAGAACAAAGCACATAGGTATACAATACCACTTTGTTCGTGAAGTAGTAGAGGAAGGTAGAGTGGATATGCAAAAGATTCACACCAAAGACAACATAGCAGACATAATGACAAAGCCAGTGAACAATGACAAGTTTACATGGTGTCGATCCTTGTATGGCCTATTAGGAATATAAGCAACATGTAATTGTAATATATATATTAGTAATGTGTGTGAAGATATGATTAGCTTAATCATAATCTTCAAGTGGGAGAATTGTTAAGTAAGAAGTCCCACATCGGTGGGAACTTCAAAGGCATGACCCCTCCTTTGCTTATAAAAGGGCAAGGGGTCTTACTAATCAATCTATCCCAAAAATCATCTTTTCCTTATATCTTTGTATTACACTGAGATCTTGTACTCGGTAGTAATAGTCTCCTATTTTGAGGAGTAAATTATAAAGTGAGGATTAGTAAAATTTTTCTTTTGTGATAATTTTATATTGCATTTATTGGCTCTTATTTTCTCATCTCTTATTTTAGTTGTGTATTATTATACCGTTACTCTGGTTCTAACAAAGAAAGCACGTTGAATTGTTGATAAGAAAAAGCAAACATCTGCACTTGAATTGTTGATAAGAAAATGAAAACATCTGCATGAGATCATTACTAATATATATGAGATTGTTCACTCAAACACAGTAATATACAAAGTAGTATGTTATGTGAATGTGAGCAAAGTACTAACATGAAACTAAGTAGTAAGGATAGGTGGCATGAAATCAGATTTGCCCCCAAGAATAGGAGCCTTAGTGTCAGGGAATAATTCAAATCCTTCCAACTGTGTCACAGTTCCTTCGCTGGAAATGGCAACAGGATAGCGAAGCAAGTGCCCAGGAAGATCATGCTCAAGTGGCTCAGTAGTATAGAGATCCCAATATTTGTCAGCAATGTCATTCACCTTCTTTATGCATTCTTCACTTTCAGGTTTGAGGAAGGAATCATGAAGCAAGCCAAGGTGCTCGTACCACAATGACATACGAAAACCATGAATCTGATTCCTTGCAGGCTGCTTGGTAGCCAAATGATAGGGTTGATAAGCTCCCATTGCAACCTCAGAGTCTCTTCCACCATCCATTGATCTTTGGTTGATGTTGGCAGACCCAATGATTATGTATTCATCATCAACTACAAACAAAAAATAAGTTTATCACTAAAAATTCAATTTTTCCCTAGATATTATAACAGGACAAGTTAAGAACTATGAAATAGTAAATTTTTTACGTTACATTTTGTAATATCTTATTAATTTCGATAAGAACTTGTTATATAATGGAGATAAATATGGTTTTAAAAATGCAGATTATAAGTGAGGATTTTGCAACTTGACTTACCTATCATCATCTTGGCATGAACATAAATCATGAAGCGTCGAGACTCTTGGGCTCTCATATAATCTGAATTAGGTTCTGGTCTTTCTGAGGGCTCATACTCTCCTTGTTTCTTCACCTCTCGATTACCAAGGCAGAAGAATGTCAAATAGTTTCGAGGATCTTCCTGAATTCCCTTGGCTTTGAGTGCTTCAACAACATCCTTGTACATCATGTCCATGGTTCTCCTTTGCCAGTCCAATATTGCCTGAACTGATCCTTTTTCTGGGTAACCCTCTGGCCACATTGGAACCACAATATACACACTGAACCTTTCTCCAGCTTCAATCTTACTAACAATCTTAAGTGAAAGTTCCTTTGGGATCAGATGCAAAGCACCAATGTCTTCAGGTTTAATACCATCATCACTCCAAGCATAACAACTTCCAAGGAAATATTGGTTTTCAATATAAATGAAATTCTTGGCACGTCTAATAGCATTAATATAAGCATCTTGAACACCACGATCTATTACGTTATCTTTCCCACTAATTAGCCCAGCTTTGGTAGCTTCTTCAGGAGTCTCTGGGAACCCAAAAGCAGCCCCACCATCAATAGATCTAAATAACTGAACGTTCCATGTCTCATGATCATCAGGGTAAGTTACTGGGGATGGGGGAATGATGACATCTTCAAGGTCTTTCAATGGAATAAGTAAGTCCTTGCCACCTTGCTTCCTCCATCTTTGCTCAAAGTTGAACAAAACATCCCATGCAATGGGTCCTTCAAGCCTAGAATGGATGTCATGCCAAGGTTCCCTTGGACCACCTTTTTTTATTGAAGTACCAGGAAAGTTAGGTTGATGAAAATCATTATGATGTGCTGTGTCCAAGGTTCTGAAAAGTGAATGAAACTGTGTATCATATCTTCCATCACAAAGATCAATACCCCCTACAAAGCTCACAATTCTTCGCTTATATGATTTTCCATTTGGCAAAGCACTGTCCACCACCACTATTTTCTGATGATGAGTAAACATGGCAGAAATTTCTATATCTTGAACAACACTTTCACCATCATCAGGATTGCGAGGGCATAAAACACAGTGCACTTCAGTGTCATAGAAATAATTCCCGGTGTCTTCATCATGAGTAGCCATCAAACCATCTTTTCTTAGCAAAGGAACCGATGTTCTATCATCCCAAACAAGCATCAAAACCCTTACACCATCACGTGCTTTTTTCTTGAGAAGCTCACCAAGTGTTGAATCTCCTCCAGCTTTAGGCCTCCTAGAATCCCTTACCAATGTAATCTCAGTGTAAACAGACCATCCAGTAATGTATATTAAGTGTTTTGCATCATTGATAGCATCAAAGACATCCTCCCAACATCTATGAGGTTTGTAAGTTTGGCCTCCACCAAGTGGTATTTTAGGGACAAAGTTGTCAGGAACATGAGCATCTTGGTATAGAGAAACCTTACATCCTTGTCTTTGTGAGAAGTAAGTATAAGGAACTCCAGGGAATTTAGGACTTCTAATGCCTTTACCCCAGCTGCGGTCTTTTGAAACATCAAAATATTGCAACTTCACATGAATCTTGGAATGTCCATGTATTGGTTTTTTATGCTCATCTAATATTTCGACCCATCTATCTATTTCCTTGCCATCCAAGATCTCCGCAACAGGCATGTATGCCCTTCCAATCAAGGTTGCCCCAATAGGATTATCATCTTTCACAGTGAATATAACATTTGATGCCATGTGGGCACAGTATATGTGAAAGGATTCATACCATCTAGGATTGGAAATCTCCTTTTCTATGATTCTGGTTCTTCCCACACGTGCTTTCTCTAAATCAATGGTTGCATATAGTTTAGTAACTCCTTTTCCAATACCAACGGTCTCCTCGATGTTCTGTACAAGCTGAATCAACATTTGAAGTAGCAAAATATTATATAAGAAGTTCGTTCATTACAATTTCCAATCAAGACACGTATGAAAGTAGTAAAATACTATATAATCACCGGCATATATAATACTAAGGAATACGAGGTCTTAAACATTATTCGAAGCTCTACAACAAATACACAAGTCGTATCCAGATGAAATTTCTTCCTTTTTGTTTTTTCAGAAAATAAAGACGCTTATGCAACAAATACACATGCGTTTTCTTTTTGGTCGGGCTGCAACATGGTTCAAACCATAATATTTTCTTTTGGAAATCTAAATCGATGGATCATTTGCACAAAATAACCTAAAATTCTAAATTGCATTGTTTGAATAGCTTAAACCTCTTTGTTCTGATAATCATTTTACCACTTTCGAATGCCAATAATCAAGAGTATAAAACACACACATATATATATATATATATCACTTTGTGTGATAACAGAACAACTCTCCCTAAACTTTTCTCTTTTCTTTTTTACAAAAATATCAACAGTCAATTTTTTTCCATGTAATAAGAAATATAAAACTAAATGATTAATGCAAAGATAAATAATCAATAATATTATAAGAAAAATTAAAGTGAAGAGACATGTATGTGTATGGTGAGAAAGTGAATGTTTATCAATTAGTTATTTGAATTCAAATATTTCATAATCATAACTCACTTCATATAAATGGTGACTAGATTATCAATTTTTAATTTTGGTAATTTAGACATTTTATCACTTAAAAAATTAAATATTGAAAAAATTATCGATTAATAATATAATCTTACTTGAAACAAAGATGACAAATGTCATATTTTTTGTTAAAAAAATATTAATACTAAAACTATAAAAATTATTTACTTCTTATTTTTAAATAAATAAATAAATATTAGATAAGTATATTAACACTTTATTTGAGCTATATGATTGAATAGAAATTTAAAAAACAAAAAAATTAATGAGATCCACCACTTTAATTTTCCCTCGTAATAAAGAGAAATGGGTGAGTGGGGACTCGGGAGGACGTGGGAAGGGGAGGTAGGGGTGTTTTTTTTTTTTCTTCACATTATATTTATATTAATTTTTATTTAATATAAAAGATATAAAAATTAAAATTAAATATTTTAATAAAAGTTTATTTTTTATTAAATTAATTTTATTATTATAAATTTTTCTATATAATTTATTTTTTTCAATCCAATTTCTCTCATATTTTTATACAATATAAACAATACATCTTTTTGACCTTTATTTCTCTGTTTAGTAATATTTCTTTCTCCCTTAGTTTTTCATTGTAAGAATCAGTGCCAGATTTCTCGGGGGTTTTCTAAATGATCTGGGATTGAATTCGCCATTGAAGAAATTAATGTTTGAGTTTGAAGGTTAGGGACGCAGTAAAGGCAGTGGCAGAGATAATGAATTATACACATAAGAGCACTAAGATCAACACTAAACTACTCTAATAATAATACTAATATCAATAAATTAATCCACTAATTATATTACAGTAATGAGAAGTTTAACAGCAAATGCAGGCTGAAAAACACCAATAAAGAGGGAAACCTTTGTTAATATATTGCTACCACCATGCTTAAGCTTATCCACCTCATAGATCGTCGCGTGGAGGGTCCCATGCAGCAGAAATTGCTCCATCGCTTACCTACAACCAACAATTCACAGAAAGCTACCACCAACATTAGAAAAATAAGCACTTTCCTTAGGTGTAAATTGATTCTCAGTTAGAGGAAAGATGTACACTATGTTTTGCACACATAACAAATATGAATTATATTTATTAATTCAACAACAACAAGAAGAGAATGGGAAAGACATATACTAACTTGTGAAGTGCAGAAAGATGAGAGATATTGAAGAAAGTAGCAGCTATATACTGAAGCAAGTAAGCAATAGTTCACAAATTTCATCATCAATTGCCAATTGCCATTTGCCATTTGCCATTTGCCATTTGCCAAATGAAATGATATATCATATCATGTCATTCTCTACTTTTAAAAAAGGTCTATATGCAACTGATTAGTCCTTTTAATTATCTAATTAACATTCGGGGTTAAAATTTTCCCTATAATTAGTGAGTTTCAAGTGTTCTGCACAAACATGAGTGGTAGGGAGAACCATAGCATCACAAAGATCTGTTCCTTGTTCAAAACTCACCACTGTCACTACGAGGCATGAACATGGTATGAGAGTGACATTTGTCGTTGTAGAAACTATTATACACCTTTTCAAATTGAATCAATAATGCATTTGGCCACTTTCAAAATGGTTTGGTGGTAGTGGTAGGCCCATTTAGCAAATATCTTCATAATTATATGCTCTTAATCAACTATTTAATGTATGTGATTAGAGTGGAAAAAATTTTCATTTCTCCTTAAATAACGTATTTTAAGTTATAGAATTTTATTTTATTTTTGCATTCAATAAGCATGCGATATTTATTAAAAGAAAACTGTTTATCTTTATAAAGGGATTAGGTGAAAACTATTCCACATCTCTTCTAGTGGAATCAATAGTTATCCTTAGCAATTTTCAAAATAATGATTATATCGGTGGTAATGGATGTACCAAATTAAAATTATTGGTGGTAGTGGTAGGGTCCATGTCATTGAGCAATGTTCATAGTTCATTATATAGTCTTAATTAACACATTGATTATATAATAATGTCAAAGGTTTTTTCCAATTTTACCAAGTTGCCCTAATCCTCTCTCGCATGTTTAAATTTCATGAATTACTTATCTTGATTATATAATAATATATAGATTGTTAAGATTATATTATTTAAATATTCTTAACCATTTATTAAACTGTAAATCATTTTTTTTTTTTTGTTATTTCTTACATTCTCACCTGATATGTTCCTTGCGTATATATATATGTGTCTATTCAAGTTTGTTTGTGTATTGTGATCACTATAATTCTCACCATTGTATAGAATTTTCTTTCAAATGCGCCATATATAAGTTTAACTTTAATTCTACCGTGCACCATGATTGTCATTTCCAATTTTAAGGAAAAAAAACACTCAGCTGCCATTTTTACTTTTGCTTTTTAACGGAAATTTATTGAATTGATTAGTATATCAAACCTGCAATATAAATGCAGTAATTATAATATTGGTTGCAAAGAGCATACAGATCATAGACTTAGCCTATGTGTGATATCCCAATTCGAACTACTAATTAATAGTTGTTAATATAATTATACCTATCAAAGAGTTCACTTATGACATATATGACAGCTCTAAGACCATGGTCGCCTAAAGGTTACCCTGCACTTGCTCCAGCCAAGTTAACAAAAGAATATGCCAAATGTGAATTGATAGAAAGATTGTTTAGGATGGATAGGTTAAAATTAAGTTTAATTAAGTGGCAGTCATTAAAGGGAAAAATATATATATCATAGCCTATACACAATTAGAAATCAAGACTCAAACGTTAGGAATAGATTGTTAATTTGACCCATGTCATTAAGTTTGGGATTTTTAAGGGCCATATTTTCTAATTGCAATGTAATTTCTCAAAATCTTTAATCCTTTTGAAGAAAAAGAAATGGGCATGTATAATGTGTCAGAATTTTCGGTTTTACCCCTGAGATTGATAAAAAGTGGTATGGTATCGCTGTTGGAATAACATGTCAAAATTTAGACAAGACAAAGTGTTAGGCAAAGATTGTCCAACCAAGTCAATGACCCAGAAAACTGATTGAAAATTGTGTAGCCACTGCTACATCTCTGAGTTGTGCATGATGAATAAAATGACAGAGTGGTGGTTGATGCAAAAGCAGAACGTGAAAGCACCCTTCTAAAGAGATGAGTTAGAGGCAGCACAAGAAACAACGCTGCCATATGTTAAAGGATTTGTACTATACCACTCCCCATTACATCAGCTGAGCTGTTGAACCCATTGTTTTTCAATTGCAGTCAAAACGATCACGCTATGCGTTCCACTCAATTAAGTAGCTACACCTTTTCAGCTACAAATTATCAGAATTTTAGTAACTGGCACCCCATTCTGCAACTTTTCTTACAACAACATTGGAATAAATTGAAGTTGGGAATTAAGAACATATAGCAATTTCATCCTCGATTGATATTATAATTAAGTTTAAATGAAAATATTATATTTCATAATTTATTGGAGAGAAAGAGAAACATAAATTTACATATGTATTTTTATTATCCATTATTAGACCATTGTTGACAACCAAGTTCTTCCACTATATACTGACTCAATTATGTTATTTGTTGATTATTTATAAGGTTAAACATTTTTAGTCTTTAAAAATATGTTATTCTTGTTGCTAAATTAAAATTTTAAAATTATTTTTGTAAATATAAGAATTAAAAATCATAATTTTACGGAAAAAAAAATTATTCCTAATTTATTTGTCTCATTTTTACTACTGGCTAAAAAATAAACTCTTGTATAAACATATTTTTCTTTCCAACAGACAACGAAATATACCTTGGTGAATCATTTTAATATGATCAAGAATTGAACCCTATTAAACATGGGACTCAACTAACTGCCAATTGTGCTAAACTTTGCTGATACCCTTATGAAAAGTAGGCCTTGTGCCATTTGGACTTGATATTATTCAACCATCCAACAATGCCATCTTAAGAAGCAAGTAAAAATTTATATGCATTCCTCATTGTTAATGAAATATTCATAACAAAAACTCTTTAGCGGCTGCCACTACTATTGGCAGGACCATATTTATTTATTAGCTTTGTTGTTAATTGCTATGTGGAGGAAGAGTAAGCCATTGGAGCAACTTTTTCCCATACAATAACGTACACCTATTTTTAGTTATTATGGGATTGCCTCTGAGCCTGTATTGGAATCACGTTAACATTAATCTGCACATGTTCACTTACATATCTTATTATTCCGCAATCAGTTGGGAACTTTTTTAAGACTAGCATTTTCCCGAGAAAACTAGCACCTTCACACTTACCCCTATTACTTTTCTTTTCTGAGACTCAACCTCATTCTTCCTTTTTAAGAAAAAATTGCACTGAAGGTGCAATTAGATAAATGTTAGCTGAGCTAAAGTTGGGCATAATATGGAATTGGCAGTAACAAATATGAAAGAAAATACGTAAAACTGAAAGCAAGGGAATACTTGAGGGATCTATTATAATGACTGAAGTGCTCTATGTGCATACTTAAATATGTACTATTTTTATACCTCACACAGTAGCATTTAATTTAACTAAACTTATTTACTTAGGTATTTTCTCACTCAACTTACTGAACTTAGTTACTAAAGTTATACCCGCCATCTCCATTTACACACTGTTGGGGAATGAAAGTATTATTGCAACACACTTCACAATTAGACAATTTTCTTTTTATGAATAATATCTCTCTGTGAACTACCTTGCTACATATTAATGTGCTTGAATATGTTTGATAATGTCCTTCTTTTTGTCTAGTGTTTTGGGAGAAAATACAACCTTCAAATAACTACTATGTGGGTTTTTTTTTTCATTAATCAAATTAATAAAAGGTCCTTTGATAAAATATTTGCTGTGGGCATAAGAAGTTGAGATCAAATGCTTCTACCCCACTTACGAAAAAACAAAATGCTTTTACCCCAAAGGAGATCAAATTGATCAGAAACTTTTCATATAACCAGAGATCTTATGCGGTTGTATATTTCATTTTATAGCAACAAACGGCCCAACTAAATGGACATTCGAATTTCCCATAAATCTAGAAAACTTGCCCAAAATTTGTACTCCTTTCTTCACCTGGGAATGATTAGTGGTATGTATTCAAAATTAGGAAACGAATTATTTTGAGAATTTAGCATGAGAATTATTGGTTGCTAGTCTAGTATATAGAGCAAAGTGTCTTTCAAAGTTGGGAGCCAACGGCTGCCACATTGGTGTAATTGACTGACATTACCAAATAATGTTTAAACTATAAAAAAGGACAACCACCAACAAATAATCTGAATTTTAAATTATTTTATTTATTTTCTTTGTTTTGCCTATTAGTCCAAAAGCACGAAAGTTATATGCAGATTTTTCAGCCCAGTTCTGCAAATCTTCCATATTTATGACTTCTAATCTCCTTCCTATATACACATGGTGTTCTTGTAAGCACACTTTTTTAATGATTTGATAATATCTTAAAATATAAAAACAACTTTTAAAAAGTATTAAATTTATGATACAAATATTTTAATTTTTTTGAAAATGGACAAATCACGTAGAGTGTGCTTAAGAATGTACTCATCAAAAGAGTGTATTATTAATATTTCTCTATGTTTTGAAGGGTGAAGTGTAGATACTTGGTTAGCAATGGCACTATGAGGGATCCAAGCATCATTCTTACAATTTGAAAATTAATCCCATGATTATTATGCAGTCACAAAGAATCAAAATTGCGATGGATATGCCACTGCCACCGGATAGCTAACTCACTTGGGCTGCTAAAATCAAGTAATTAGAGGAGGGTGAGATTAAAAAGTGTGATAAGAATTAGCTAACTTGTTAGTCTAAGGATTCTTACCAAACATTCTACAGATAGCAGTTTGTGTGTTGTAACTCTAAACTCTTGTAATTTGTAACGCTAGCATTGCTCTAACATGAAATATCGCTGTCGAGGGCATTTCATGGGATATCCACATCAGAGGTACAGAGAGGGTAATATAATTTGGTCATTTTGGTTAGCACTTACTTTGTGTACACCTTAAAATAAATCACAGGTTCAGGAAATAACCTTAAATTGCTGTTTCATCACGGCATAATGTGACTTCCACATTTTAAGTCACAAGTTCCATACATTTCTCTATCCCTTCTCCTCTCTCTCTCTCTCTCTCTCTCTCTCTCTCTCGCTCGCTCGCTCGTTCTCTCCCCTAGAAATATAACATAGTTCTGTTCTGACAAACATGGTGCAATCAAAGAAATTCAGAGGTGTCAGGCAACGCCACTGGGGCTCGTGGGTTTCTGAGATTCGCCACCCATTATTGTATTCACATCAAACTAAAATTCATTTATTTGTTTATTTTCCTTCTTCACAAACTTCAACGAGTATTCTTTATTTTATTTGCTCATGAATGTATACTATATTTTATAGATTTTGATATGATATCTTACTTGAGTCAACAATCTCAGAACTTTGTGTCTCCATAATTTTGATGGAATATTCTATAAAACATGCATTGAATAATGAAAGTCTTATAAGTTATGGTTTATTTATGGTGTTTGAATAGGAAAAGGAGGGTATGGCTTGGAACATTTGAAACTGCTGAAGAAGCTGCTAGAGCATATGATGAAGCAGCAATTTTGATGAGTGGGAGAAACGCAAAAACAAACTTCCCAGTTGCGGATAATCACAGTTCAAGTTCAGCTTCATCTTCTCCTCCCACGACATTTTCAGCAGTTCTGAATGCAAAGCTGAGAAAGTGTTGCAAGTCCCCTTCACCTTCCCTCACTTGCCTAAGGCTTGACACAGAGAAATCCCATTTCGGGGTGTGGCAGAAGCGTGCAGGGCCTCGTTCAGAATCAAGCTGGATCATGATGGTTGAGTTGGAAAGGAAGAATGTTGGAGCTTCTGATTCAGAGTTGTCAGTGACAGCCACACCAGAGAAGGTTAAACTTAAACCAGAAGAAAGCAACAATGGGAATGGGTTGGATGAGGAAGACAAGATTGCCTTGCAGATGATTGAGGAACTTCTCAATAGGAATTGAGTTTCAATGCTTTCGTTTTCACGTGGGACACATCCAAGGAGTTTGAAGTACCATGTTGTCCTTTTCGTTGCGTTTTATTTGTTTGTTTGTCCTAAATAGGAGTGTGGCAATGTGCTATATTTATTTTAAGATGATGTGGATTTTGGAGTGCTTTTCATTGTTTTCCACATATGTGTAATTTCCTGTACCCTCTTTATAATTTTATGCCCTCTATAAAACCTATCCATTTAACTACGCTACACCTCCATTCCATGCATTCATATGATTTCAATGAAGAGAAATTTTATAATTTTTAAATAAACTTCATTTTTTTAAGGTTCCTTCTATTGATATTTCAGTATTTATATGAGCTTGAGTACTCATCAATCATAACAGGAATGCAAGAAAACACATAATTAAATTTAGATGAATGAAACCTCGTTGAAAGAATATGCAAGAACTTAATTTCCTTTGATATCCCATAATTTGATGAAAACAACAACCCACGACCTTTGAATGTTGATCGTCATGGTAATGACTCGTGTACACCAAGACCAAACACAAGGGTGTGAACATTTTACCAAAATCTCTTTTCATTCATTGTAAAAGTGTAAGACGGCAACAAGGTTTATGACTTCATCATATATGTCAGCATATTAGATACTATCTCTAGGTTTCTATAAAGATGTGTAATTTTGCTGCTGCTGCTTTACTTTTTTCTTTTGTGGAGGTGAATCGCTTTTCAAGAAAACTACTCATTTGATCTGCTTGTACAAATATTACTCTTAAATTACTTATATCTTCAACTACAAATAATTTACTTTTACCATTGTTTGGGTTAATTCCGTCTGTAATCAATATGCATAAAATCTACGTGTGTTGATTGGAGAAGAAAGGAATTAAACTTTTAAAATATGTTATCTTACATTCAAGTCTATAATCTGTAATAAGCGTAGAAAAAAGAATAATATTAGATGCTCTTATAATATCTTTTTTATTAACTCTTATTATTTTTTAAAGCACCAAAATGAATAAATAAATGAATTACTATCTTAAAAATACAAAAAAATAAATAAATACTTTTTATCACAGTGCAAATGTTTTTGGCTTTTATTGAAGGGTGAACAGTTTGAAAAGGTAATGATCTTCGGTTCTGCACAACAATCTTTGAAGCCTTGCTAAAACGATTAAGAAATATGCATATGAGAAAAATGAACAATTTAATGCCTCCGATTTGTAATGTGGTGGTGTTGGTGTAGCATTGATCATAAAATATACAAGGCAATACTGTTCCTGCATTTTCCTTCTTGATTGAAGTCAGTCACATAATGAGTTTATGGGATGACGTTGAAGTTTGGAAAAGGAAAATGGAAACCCAATGCATTTGAATTCTATAAAGGGTGTAATACTGAAATATTTCATTCCTTAACAAAAATTAATGAATTTTGGAGTGACAAACCCCATAGGGTTTAGATTATAGGTCCTTTAGAACAGGGCATTTGTGTCTCTATCATGAATAAGGAAAATTAAAATTAATTTCTCACATTTATTGTATGAATTTCATGTTTGTAATTTCTAAAATATCTCAGTTCACAAAATATATATATATATATATATATATATAAAAACTGATTGAGAAGATCAAGAGTATAGTTTGTAAGTTAAGTCAAATTGTAAATATAAAAGTTATAAGTACAAAAAAAAATTTATATTATCAACTAATTAGAATTTACAATAAATATATTTTTATATTAATTATTATAAAAATTAATAGTTCTTATTGACATGATAATTTATAACTAGATAATTATTAAATTAAATTTAAATATTAAATTACAAGTAAGAACAAAGAAAATAAATAATAAAATATTCATATTTACATTTATTTTCATATCTTTTAAGTAAAATTTAAAAAATAAGATCAATTATCATCTTTGATACTTGTTCTCGTACTCATAAGAAGATATTATACAATTTCTTTAAATTAATAATTATAATCTATTTTTATAAACTAAAAATATTTAATTTTTTATTTAAATCATTAATCTTATTATTTATTAATATAAAATTGACACTGCTTGACGAGACCGTAGAAATTACAATAATCTTTGATAACTTAACGTGTGGTTTTTGAACGAATATTTGTGAGTTTCAACGAACTTAATTTTAAAAAAATAATTTTATTTAAAAGTGAATTCAAAGTGATGCAGACAAAATTAAATTTAATGAATACAAAAATGTTGAATATAAGAAAAAAGGTGTGAAGTGATTTGAGAAAATTTTTTGAACAAAAAAACTGAACGAGGACGAGGACAGGCTAGCGAGAATCTGTAGTCTCAGAGACGAAACGATGATACTTGCGGTTCTGTTTGCGAACGTTGACGGCAATATCCTCATCGAACGGTGCGTTTAGATCGCTTTCTTCTTATCTCCATTTCCTCTTCCTGCTTCTGATTCTACCAATTCTCTTACGCTCTTATCAGTAATATCCTTTTCTAATTTTCTGCGATTCTTGATTTGTTCGATATGGATGCTGTTCGAAATTCTAATATTGGTTTAGCTTGCTTTTTGATCGGAGTAGGAGGCATGAACTGTTATTTCCTAATTGCACTTGTTGATCCACTTGAACTAATTATTAGATCTGATATTTAGACAGTTTCATAATCTCTTTTGATGCTGTGTTCGGGAGGTTAGATAACCTCATAATAGATGGCTCAATTTCCACTTTACATGATTGAATTGAAATTTCACTCAAAACTTGTGTTTAATTCAACGAACATTCAGACAGCATAGGCATTTTATTAAAACATTGGAGTTAGAGAACCACGTAGTACATGCCTGAATTTATTGTATTGTGTGCTCTTTCTGTTTTCAACTTGCATAAAAAAGTAGACACTCGGTCTTGGTTCCCACTTTTTGATTGTCGAACTCAGTCTCATTATGATTGCAGTTTTCATGGAGTTCCTGCAGAGGAGCGTCTACACTGGCGTTCTTTCTTGGTTAAACTGGGAGCTGATAATCTTAAGGGTGTGAAAAATGAAGAGCTCCTAGTTGCTTGCCACAAGTGAGTATACTGTTCTGTCATGTATATGTGATGTATGTATGTAGTCCTTACATAGATAAGTTACTTTAACTGAAGAACATTTTGTGACTGTATATAATCCTGAACTGGTGAGGGAAAATTGAGTCTTGGTTGCTAGGAATGTAGCAGACAAGGAAAATTATCTTTTGAACCTGTTTATTTGATTATTTGTAAAAACTATGATGTACTTTGCGCAGTTTTCCCTTTGTATATTTAAGTGCAAGATGAGAAAAAACTGAATTAGTTACTAGAATATTTCAGATAGTGTAATCATTAGTGGAAAATTTGGAAGTGATTTGTAGAAGTGGAAGCTAAACCACTGATTTGTTACATGAATTAGCAGTTTAGATTACTAGAGTCCCGTCAAACTGAGAAGTTTGAGTTTCTCAAAAATTTTCTGTATGCTTCACCCCAACTACTGTTCATCCCTATTCCACTTTTTCGAAAATTATTTGTCTCATTTGTATTGGACAATGCAGTATTTTTCTTTTACGTGAGATGATATTAAATTTTACTCATACATTTTACCTGTATCAGGTCAGTTTATATTGTATACACAGTGCTTGGAGATGTCAGCATATACGTTGTGGGGAAGGAAGAGTATGACGAACTTGCCTGTATGTATTCATTGAACCAACATTCTATATTTGATTATGGTAAAATAAATGTAAAGAAACGAGTCACCTCAGTTGTTGATGCTTAAATATGGAATTGCATCAATACTTCATAGTTGCTGTAGAATAATATCATGGAAATGAGCCATCCTTGTTGTTGATGTTTAAAAGTGGTTATACTCACCTGTTTTGAGATGATTGTGCTGGCTAAGGGTTGTTGGCTCAACTTTTGGTTCTTTGAGATGGTGAAGGTGAAGTTTGGATAATTTCGTTGGAGAGATAATTTCTTTTGTTCTCAACCGAGTAAACAAGTTGAATGGACTCAAGCAGCTACTAGCTAGTGGAGAACATTCTATCTAGTGGAGAACATACTGATGTATTTACATAAGAGATAGAAGATTATATCTGAGAATAAGGGATGTAAAAAGTGAGATAATAGGACGAGTTAAATGAAACACTAATGGAGAATGGTAGAGTGTAAATAAGGGATATGGAGCCAGTGGTCATATTTTGCATGCTACCAACAATGATCTTTATGTATTATCGTGATGGGTTCAGTCCTTGGTCTTCCTCCATTCCCAGGCTTATTTGGCCTCGATATTTCTTTAGTAGCTTGTCTAACAAAGATTTAGATTAGATAATAGCTGGTTTGGAACTTTTGGAGCAAAAATAAAGATGGGAAAACTTCCTCCATGTAGTCTATATTAAAGAATACCAGTGTGATTTCAGAAGTATGGCATTACTTTTTTAAAGAATGAAGTATTAAGAAAAACTAGCAATCAAATGAATTGGTAAGGGTAGACCTTGGAATCTAAGTTTTGTCTTACTTACCAAGAAAAAGAAAAATATAAATATTTAAGAAAAAAAGTTATGTTCATAGTAACATTTGATGGCACCAGTTTTTTAAACAATGTAAACATATTGTTATTTCACCAAAAGCTGACAAGATTTATGTTTAAGAGTTGTCAAGTGCTTTACATTGATAGTACTATTTACTATTTACCTATATTTCATTTTTCTCCAGTATCAGAAGTGATCTTTGTGATAACCTCAGCTGTGAAGGATGTTTGTGGGAAGCCACCAAGTGAACGCCTTTTCCTGGATAAATATGGAAGAATTTGTTTGTGTTTGGATGAAATTGTATGGAAGGTAAAGATACATGGTGCACAGTGTCTATTAAACAATTAGAGCTAATTTTTTGAAAATTTTCTGTTACTTATCCTACTTGCCCCTGGGACACTTCGATTGATAACATTCTTGTGGTATATGTTACAAACCCTGAAAGAGAATATGAGAATTTAGAGAGAGAGAGATGCAGAAACAGAAGGAAATAAAAAAAATGTTTCTGTTATTAGGAAATTTTTTTAGTACTTATGGAGTATGTACTCCATTTTCTTTAAAGCAAGATACCTCAAACGAATTTTTTTGTCCAAAAGTTTTGTTCTAAAATATAAATAAGAAAAAACTGCTAAATGAAGAAAGAAAATTATGAGGGAGTAGATACTACAGGAGTATTAAAAAAAATTATTATTAAATATTGAATGACAACAAAGAAGATGAGATCTTTCTCCTAGGGTTTCCCTCTCAAATGCTTACCAATCTGAATGTCTTTCCCGACTATTTAAGCCAAGTCTCTGATCTTCTCAACTGCTAATAATTCTGAAACTTCTTTCTAACTAACTTCATAACTTCTGGAATCCTAGCAGTATATGTCATCATATGTATCTAGTTTACTAGTTAGAATTGATATTGTTATTTAATGTCATTCATTTTGGATGAGGCTCTTCAGATCAGGCATTAACTTCTGCATTACACCTGAAACAATGCTTCATCTTATAAACATACGATTATCTGTGACCTGAAGCAAGAAAAAACTTATAATACATGTGGAAAGTACCGGGGGTTTCCCTATAATTTTTTATGCAGAAATGAAATCTTTTTGTTCCCGGTTCACTATTCACACCACTGATCTGATCGTCATCTTTATGCAACTTCTGTACTTCTGTCAGTTTGTGTTCCATAGTTGAAAGGATAAATTTCTGTTGATGCTTTCCTTTGACATTTTCCATGTGCATCTTTTGAAGGGATATTTGGAAAATACAGAAAAGGATAGAATCAAAAGATTGATTAGGTTAAAGCCTCCAACTGAGTTCTGAATGAGAAGTTCAGAGCGAATCATTATACAATCAGCAGTCTGAGTCATGTCTTTAGCTTCTTGTAATTGGGAATGGCAACGCACTGAAGTATGTCCAGGATATATGAGATTTGCAACATCTGTCAGTCAGACCTCTATGTATGAGCTTTCTTCCTTAGTTAGTGTTGGTGAGGATTTTGCGGGGCCAATATTTGTATTAACCTTCTTAATTTTAAACATTCTTTTTTATTTTGTACCATGTATGTTTTTTATTTTATTCTATCTTTACCTTGGGCATTGTGTTTTTTGTGTTCTATCTTGGTTTGCTCTTGGCTCTTCTTCTTGGATGAGCCTTTGTTTCCTAGGATAATACACTTATCCCCAGATAATGTGTTTCTAAAACACTTGGACGAAAATTTTCATGATTCTCACAACGTGAAACTGAGTTTTTTTTGGCCCACTGCTTTCCCGAGAGAACTTGTTGCCCCGAAAAGTAAACATTAAAGTTTCGTCCTTGAAAAATATCAGTAAATACTTCAGTGTTTAGGAATGTAGAAATCTTTCTTTTGTATGATCAACATTTGTAATTTTAGGAATTAACATATTCTGTACTAAATTTCGTAGGAACGAATTTGGATTTCATCCAAATGTGTTAAAGATAAACATAATAAATTACAGCAATTTTTAAGTGCTCCTCAAAAGTCCAAAACCCAAGAGCTTGAATGCATCATTGTTGGTGGGAATTGAATTTTGTATTTGCCTATTTCCACGTGATAATATCAAATGATTTTGCAGGGAAACAAATTGAGAATTCCTTTTATCACCCGGATTAAAATTCTTTTTTGTCAAAAAAAAAAAGATATGGTTTGATTTTGGGATCCCACAGGCATAGGCAGCCTGGTCTTCTGATGTTGCCAAAGTTAGGGAATATTTTTACTTCGCATAATGTTTAATACTAAATTAATCGATAGTGTAATATAAAAGACTAAATAAACCATAATATAAATTTCAAAAATCAAATTTATATTTTGCTCCAAATTTATTCACTTTTAACTCTTCTCTTATTTATTTTTTGAATTCGTGCTTCTAAATTTTTAATTGAATCTTTAAATTTATAATTTGTATAGACAATTAAGTATAAAATGAAGTTTCGACCCCATAAAAAATGGCCAAGATGACACTTGTGTACATCAAAGCGTTAGACTTTTTTACACTGACGGGCAATCTGCCATAACTGAAAAAATGTGCACTGCGAGGAGCGCTTGTGTTTGTAAAACTAATGCACGCGTTTGGCGAGGCAAAATAAAATAATATATTCGTCAATAATTTTAAAAACAAAAAAACGCAGCAGATGCACCGTACACATATTGAATATTTTATTTTAACTAAATTTAGTACAATTAATTAAATTTAAATGTAATTACTCACTATTCCTGTTTTTTTCTAAAAATATATCATTTTTACGTACTAAACTATAATAATATTTAATTAAATAACTAAAATATTAAATATCTTAATTAATCAATTAAAAAAACCTTCACACCTTGCGAGTGAGAAGACTACTTAAAAAGGTAATATAAAGAAATTGAATATAAATTATTACTTAACCTTCAAAAGTTAAAACTGACTCTTCTAAATAGATATATTTCATCACAAATCCTTTTAGACAGGCCTACCAACTTACATCTAAAAAAATTAGTCAATAATTTAAACTTTAAAAAAATAATAAATATTTAATATAATAATACCATGAATTGAATTTAAATAAACTGATAGAATAAATTGTTTTACACTATAATCTAATCATTAATTATCATATAAGCAAAAATTGTTAGTTTTTATAATAATTAATGTAAAAATCATATCTAGTGTATATTTTAAATAGTTGATAGTGTAAACCATTTTATATTGATAATATAATAAATTTAAACTCTAATATTATTATATTAAATTAAACCATTTTAGTAGACTTTTTATTATAATCTAAAACTAAATTTTTTAATTAAATAAACTTTTTTTAAAAATCTTAACGTATTTAAATAAATGAATAGGCAAAGCAAACTAGTGACTGATAATAAAAAATAAAGTTATTTTTAGAATTGTAAAAGTATAATTTATTTTATGCTCTAATTAATATATAATTGATATGAAAAAATGGCAACTTCAGATCATACATGGACACAATAGGTTAAAGGTTTGTCATAAAGAAGGTTTTGATGCCAGATATTTTTCTTCATTAATTTATAATTCAACTCATTCACACTGGTTTTTATTTGTGATTGGTAATGGTTTCTAATTACTAAAATTATAGACAAAAACAGTTAATTCATTAATTGCCATTACAATGAAATTACGAGAATCTCCAAAACGGAATCACTATTATCCAATGTAAATTACAACATTAAAAGCATGGATACAAGGACCGAAATAGCTATGTATGGACAAAGTAAACGCTGTTAAAAGAGTAACCAAACTCCAAACCTACCCTTGTCTGGTTGTCCTTCCTATATAGCAAAACCTCATAAACACCGAACTGCTCCTCGTTGTATCCTTCGAACCACAAAACAGCATCACAAGTCCCTGACTAAACCATGAAAGCTCTCACTCTAATCCTCACACTTTGCATCATCGTTGCTTTCTCACAGGCAACACCTATAGTTACTCAGCCTCAACCCAATGAATCTTTCAAGCTCAATCATACCCACCCACAGGTAAGAAAGAAACTCTCTTCACGTTTTCATATTTTCCACATAGAAAATAGAGCAATACCCTTTTATTCAAAATACTAAAAATCATCCATTTTTCCCCCCTATAAAGTTTAGATACTAAGAATATTATATATGAATTAACTACTTTAACTGAAAGAACACACTTTTTAATATATATTAGATAGATCAGACATGAAGGGGTACTCAGATTTCAACTAATTAAGGGCCATATACATGTTGCAGAATGTGGGTAGTAGCTGTACTTACACGGTCACCATAAAAACTAGCTGCAGTTCTCCCTCTTATACCAGAGATCATATAAGCATTGCTTTCGGGGATGCTTATGGCTATCAGGTTCCTTCTTTACTGTGAAATATTCTTCTGCTCTTTAGTCATAGATCTGTCACTCAATTGCTCTTAAATTTCTATGCATAAATTAATGAAATTGAATTGACCCGATTAAAATTGAAAATTCTTAGTGGGTAATCGGAGCCTAGCTAATCACTTGGTTGGATAATCAGGTTTATGTTCCAAGGCTTGATGATCCTTATTCAGGGACATTCGAGCGGTGCTCTACGGATACGTTTGAGATATACGGTCCATGTACCTACCAAATATGCTATCTCTACTTATACAGGACTGGATACGATGGTTGGCTACCAGAGAAAGTGACCGTATATGGATATTACTCCAACCCTATTACATTTTACTATAACACTTATATTCCTAATGGTATTTGGTATGGCTTTGATTATTGTGGTAGTTATTTGGCCTCCTCTGCCTCTGCATAATAGTGATCTCATCGACTTTGTAATCACATAAATGTAAAATAAATAGAGGTCCAATGGTGAACCATGTTATGTGGGCTTAGTGTAGGGGACCTTCTATGTACCCTTTAGGCTTTTGGTCTCATGTATGTTTCTAGGCTTCACTTTATGGATTCCACGTTACTATGTCATATTTAATTCGAGAGACACGTTTTTCTTTTTTGTCCATATATGAAGGTTGGTTTTTTTTATTATATATTTTTAATTGGCTTTTATTTTGTGAAGTCCTCTTTAGTATGAAAGTAACATCGAGGAAAATTAGAAAGTGAGGCATGATGACCCTTGCAATGGGTTATTCTAATCTTTTTAACATGTCATATTAAGAAATAATGGAAAAATGTAATAAAAGATTATGGTTATGTATCCCTCGAAGATTATGGTTAAGATGATAGAATTGATTTTAAGGTTTGATCATGGGCTGAAAACAGGGTATTTAAAACAATTAAGACAGTTGACCAAAAGAGAGAAAAAAAACAATTAAGATAAGATTGATCCAAATTAACTTTTATCTGTCTCAGCTCATGCTTTTTTAATCGGTTGTGAATCAAGTTAGCTTGATACCAAGTCAAACTACATTGTAATCACTCCTAATACGTGTGTACGGTGTATTCAAAAAAATTATTATGTGATAATATCATGTAGTTCCAACAAGAAAAAATATATACATGTTATAGAGTGAGAGTGATCAAGATTACATGGTCCCAAACTACAATATATATATATATATATATATATATATATATATATATATATATATATATATATATATATATATATAACATCTACACTCGAGAATTTTAAGTCTATTCAAACTATATGCACTCACTCAGAAATCAAGTAAATTCGTTCACAAGGCTTGAACAAATGTAATTTTTTTTTTTATAATTATATTCGTAGTAAAAGTCATCAATAAAGCAAGGATGTTCTTCAAGTACTCTTCAATTTAGTAAAAAAAGATAATAATTTGTTGAAATGCCGTGAAGTGCTAAGGTGAGAATTCTTCAGCCTCAAAATTACATAACTATGAAATTTGAACGTCTTCCACTAATTGAACCAATACAGTCTATAAGCATTTATTACGTAACGATTACTACTTTTGCCATTTTATTTTTAGAGATTACATGAACTATATACACCATATATTTTTTTAGTTATTTTTTGTTTAGGATTGTAATTATCCTTTATAGAAAAGAGAAATTTTATTCGAACTAATATAAAATTAAATATTTTTTATATACAAAACTTTAATTCAAAAACTTGTTCAAAAAACCAGACATCATCTAAATTAATCACCCGTTGATCTAATCTCTTTTACAGGTGTAATCTTAAAATTAAAATATGTTTTGATAAATAATAAAAAAAAAGAAACATGATATAACTTTTTTTAGAAGTGCATTTTTAGGTAAATGACTTTTTTAGCTTCTCAAAAAAAGTACTAAAGCAAAATTTTTTGTTTTTAGAAAAGCATATATAACTATTATAACTTTAAAAATCTTTTTTTTTTTTCTAAAAAGGACTTTTTCTTCAAAAATAAGAGGGGGGGGGGGGGGGGCTTAAATATAAAATTAACTTAAAGATCTTAAAGATCAATCATGCCATGTGCAAAATCACTGGATGGAAATCAAAACCACATTGTCACACCAAGAAGTAAACTATGAACTTGGTCATTTTCAAACATGCGAGAATTTATTTTTATGTAGAATCCTTCACATTATCTTATAAAAATTGACAAAACAAAATTTCGTTCATATTTTATAAAGAGACGCAACCAATGATGTTGTAATTAAATTATCAAAAAAAATTATTATGCATTTATTAAGTTACTTTCCCACATATTGCATAGTTATGATATGCTAGCTAGTTTGACCCAACTAATTTGTTAATCAGGAAGAACCTAAAACAATTAAGAAAGTAATCTTGTTTTAGAAGAAAGCGAGGACAATTAGTACGCACGTAGCTTGGAAATCTTGTACAAGCAAAAATATTTTCTTCGTCTAATGATTTTTTTATTACACTAAAGTTATCCATGTATCGTTAAAGAACCGACCAAATTGATTTTCTTTCGCATGGAAAGATTAGAGAACGTAGTTTGAAATCAAAGTAGAGGAGGGCTTTTTTCAACCAAAGTCAGCAATCTTTTTATCAATTTACTGAAGTTTACTATTGAGTATTTAGTGTAAATTAAGAATCAAAGGTACGTTCAGAAGAAGGCTTAGGGATGTGCATTTGCTTCATGTGCTTTCTGTGAAAACAAGGCCTTAGTTCCATCAGCCATGTGTTTTCCAACTAGATTGTGTGGAGTGTAATTTTCCACAACCACGTAGTTACGCTGAACGAATCTTGTTAAGAATAAACTTGAAACTTAAGTTGTTTTATTTTATCAATAGAGAAGCCAATTTAACGTCTAAAATCTGCTTCCAAATACTCTACTTGGCCCTTATATATAGAAGAAGAAATTGGGGTACGTCCAATGTACATGACATAAACTTTGAGGGTGTGAAAATCTTTTGATGTTGCTCAAGAGTGCTACAAAGTTTGATATAATGGTCAGGATCCGACAAAGTCTCATTTTATCCTATTCACATTCTAGTTAATTTTAACATAAGACCATTTTTATGTGTTGCAGTGACTTATTTGATCAAGCTTGATTTGTTTATATAGAGTTCTCAATCAGTACTTATGTATGACGTTAATTTTATGCAGGAGTTTTTCTTCACTGTGTTATTGATTTTGGGTGTGCTTACACCCGCATTGAGCATGAGCAGCACAACAACTTTCGATGTGTTACAATATGGAGCAGTTGGAGATGGACAAACCAACGATTCTCCGGTAAACTAATCATTATCTCACCATTTTAGCTTCCTCAAAAAATTATTGTGCTGCATATACATATTTATATATAGCATTGATTTGAATCATTAGATTTAGCAAATACAACACATTTACACAAGTGTTATTGAATAAGTTCTTAACTATTTCAATCTTCAACTTATGTAACATTCAACAGGCCTTTGTGAAGGCATGGAATGATGTCTGTCAAAGCAATTCACACATATCTCTGCTCATCGTACCAGCAACAAAGACATTCTTGCTGAAGCCTTTCACCTTCAAGGGTCCATGCAAATCTAATTATACCTACATTCAGGTACTTATACTTGGTATTAAATTTGCAATATAAATCTTCCACTCACCATCATCAACCTTTATCTAAGGTTAAAAGCATAGTAAAAAAGGTTAACTTGACTGTTTCAACTTTCAAGCAAACTTCAATACTAAAAGACAGAAAAAGGAATAATAAATAATTCACAAAGTAGAAGAGATTAAATTTGAAATATCCCATGATTTAAAAAGAGATATTTTGTACATTTGGGATTTTGATTCATATTTCATAGTAATAATTAACATGGTTGTGTGACATCAGCTTTTAGGGAACATTGTGGCACCTAAAACAAAATCAGAATATTCTGGATTTCACACAAACACATGGCTTGGCTTCTCTTCCATCAATGGTTTAATTATCAGTGGAAGAGGGACGATTGATGGTCGAGGTTCTGCCTGGTGGCAACAACCTTGCATAGAAAATGCCCAGCCAGTAAGTAAAATATGTTCTAGTTTCTTAGCCTAGGAAAATTTTTCTTTGTTTTTTGACTAATTAATTCATTTTCTATACTCTTACTATATGAGCCATATTTTTATGAATTTTTTTTTCATTTTCAGGGGGCAAAATGCCGTCCACCAACAGTAAGTAACAGCTCTTGATCCTTGCACTTGACTACATTCTTATCAAATTTTACCAAATTAAATTTCACCTGTCATCGTTTTTTTATTCATAGCATATATATAATAAACACATTAATTAATTGGTTCTTGAAGTATAAAAAGAAAGGCAAGAATGACACTCATAGACGAATCAAAATTCAAAGATAGACGTGCTTCAATTCATCTTATCAGACAGAATTGATAAGTACTGTCGAAACTTTTGGACATTGTTATTTGCAACCTTTTTATTTTCGCCAACTTGTTCGCCAATTATCCAGCATAAGGATTAACGTAAATCTTGTAGACACCAAAAGGTGTGCCCAACTTTCATTTTCCTCAAGTTAGAATGACTTTTAAGCTCAAATCCCGAGAATTTTATTTTCAGAAAGACACATATAAGATAACTTAAAGTATGTATTTGTATTCGTGTTAAAAAATAATAAATATAGATTTCACATAAAAGTTAAAACTAATAACATTGAATTAAACGTTAAATCATAGCCAATTAAACATAAGCCTAAACATGCACTGAATCTGAATCTAACAACCGACATGTTCCTTGATACACCTTATCAATGGATTTTATTCACTCGATGCTGAAGATATAAACAACACTGTTTCCTTTTCTTCTTTTTTTTATTGATGCGTAGGCATTAACATTCAATAGATGCTATCGCTTCCAACTAAAAGGATTTACAAGTAATAATCCCGCAAGAAGCCACATAACTCTAACAAGCTGCAAGAAAGGCATCATCTCTAACCTCCATTTAATTGCTCCTGGAACAAGCCCTAATACCGATGGCATTGATATTTCTGGCTCAAAAAGCATTCAAGTGCTTAATTCTACCATTGCAACCGGTGATTAACTAAACCTTAAAATTATTGTAAAATCTTTCAATTTCTAGTTTCCGACTTAATTATGTATAATAACTCTAATTAATTGCAGGTGATGATTGCATTGCTATTAGTGGTGGATCCACCATGATCAAAATAACCCGTATAACATGTGGTCCAGGTCATGGTATCAGGTTAGTTCTTCGGTAATAATGTATTCAATTAACCATTATCAGTTTGCTTCTGCTTATCAGTTTTTTGTTTTTTTAATATTTTTATTATTATCAGTTGAATTTATTGAAAATTATAAAATTTTGTAAACGTTTTTTAATTTAACGAGTCTTATTAATATTTTTTATTTTTAATAAATCTTAACCAATAATTAATTAAAAGTGTACTAAGAACAGTGGATTGCTAACCCTCCTCCTTTGCTGAACAATGAAAACAAGTTTAGATTTTTAAAATCCTGTACTTGACATTAATAGGAGGAAAGTTTGCATTTTGATTCCCCTGTAAAGTTAAGTTTTTTAATTAAAAAAATGTAATCTTTTGCGACCCACAAATCAGATTATATATGCATGTTAAAATTCATCACTTTTAATCCCCTTGCATGTTTTCTATATATCACCAAAAGGTGGCATATTCCTCTCTCTATTTTCGGGTTATACAGTTTTCACTGATAAAAAGGAAATCACATTTTTGTAGCATTGGATCGTTGGGAACAGGTGGAGATACCGATATTGTGGAGGACGTGCAAGTGAAGAATTGTACTTTGACTGAAACATTAACTGGAGTAAGAATCAAGACATGGCAGGTAATTAAGCAGATAAAAGCAACTCTAATTGTTAAAAAAATTATTATATATTATAAGATATTTTGCTTGCAACTTTGGTTACATGAGTTATGCAAATTATTATTTTAAATATAATGGTTCAATTTTATTTTGCAATAGGGTGGAGCTGGATTTGCAAGGAGGATCTCGTTTGAAAATATTAGGTTTGTTCGAGCCAACAGCCCCATAATCATTGACCAGTTTTATTGCCCCAACAAAGTCGACTGCCAAAACAAGGTACCATAACATACCAATTTGCCCTTTTTATATAAGTTTAATGTTCTGCTCCCAAAAAATTACATTTATACAATTTAAACTAACAATTTTTTTATGTTTTTTTTTTGTTCAATTATTATGAGTAGACTCGAGCAGTCAAGGTGAGCGATGTAACATACAAAGGAATTGTTGGAACATCATTGACGGACAAGGCAATCAATTTAAGCTGCGACCAAAATGTGGGATGCTCCAACATTGTGTTTGATCATGTTTATATAAACTCTGCAGTTCCAGGGCAGAAGGTTATTTCCTATTGTAATAATGCCCATGGAACAGCCACACACACCAAACCAGTTATGAACTGCTTGCTGAAGTAGCTCAACTCATTTGATTTGTTGTCCACGGAGAGATGCCATATGTGCTTTTGGATTTTCACTCTTTTTTTTTTAATCATGGACTGATTATTGATTGAATATTCTGTGTAAAATATCTGTATTTTGGAATAATTATTACCATTAGAAGAATTAGTTGTGTGTGACAATATTATAGAAAGTAATTTTGTGAAAATATAAATATGCCAACCACATTATTAGTTGTTACGCTAATGCAATTGCTATATATCCTGCTTTTAATTGGTCCTTATTTTGCATCCAACTCATTATTTTACTGAAATAGATATTGACATGCAAATGCAAAATGGGAAAACTAAAAAAGAAAAGATAAGATAAAAACCAAGGTACAAAAAGGGTTTTAATATCTATGATGTAATGTATGCTAACAAATTCTATAAGGTGGAAAATGAGTTACCTAAATTAACTGCTAGGCTAGCCAAGCCAAAGGAGGGAAGGTTGGTTCTGTTGTTGCATTGCGTGCCAACACAACATCCTATTTGTGTGTTTATGTTTTTGTTGTTGCAACCTGCGATCACAACCATAGAGGCACCGCATGGGGAGGAAGCCGCCGCACCTGTCTGACATTGAGGCGGCCCGTTACCCCCCGCCACCGCCACCAACTTTCCACGCGCCACAGCCTCGGCTATGGTTCCCATGGTTGGTGCCACTCATATTTTTGGCCAACATTGCCATGTTCGTGTATACCATGTATCTCAATGATTGCCCTGCCTACTTGAACCAAGATGCTTGCCTTTTCTCTCAATATCTAGGAAGGTTCTCTTTTCAACCTTTCAGAGAAAACCCCCTTCTTGGTCCTGCCATCCGCACGTGAGAACAATCTATCTCTCTCTCTCTCACCAAAAGCACCTACATTCATCATTATCATTAAATATGAATGAACAATGTGCGTGTGCATGAAAAAATAGCTTTCTAGTTTAATGATTATTGTTTGTTTTCTCTCTTTATCCTTAATAAACTTTGATTGGAAATGGAAATGCTAATGCCTATAGATAAAATATTATATCTACATGCATGGGAAATGAAAGAGAGAAAAAGAAAGCAATGTCAAGTTTCACTTTGTTTGTTTGTTCATTCATATTTTTGGGGTGGTTGTGTTAACTTTCTGCAGGCTGCGGGTACAAGGAGCCCTTGAAAAGGACCTAGTGGTGGATCAAAATGAAGTATGGCGCTTCTTCTCCTGCATGTTTCTTCACGCTGGAGTGGTGCATTTACTGGCCAATATGTTTAGTCTTCTATTTATAGGAGTTCGCCTTGAAAAGGAATTTGGATTTTGTAAGGCATTTTACTGAGTTTTTTATCATTGAACCTCTTCATGATCTTCTTGAGTTGATTTCTAATGTTTTGAATTTGGCAGTGAAAATTGGAGTCTTATATATTCTTTCTGGTTTTGGCGGAAGTTTGATGTCTATTTTGGATTTGCAACAATCTGGAACATCACATACCGTATCAGTTGGAGCATCCGGTGCACTTTTTGGACTTCTTGGGGCCATGCTTTCTGAGCTTCTAACCAACTGGAGTATCTACGCAAATAAGGTACTTTGTAATATGCAATACTGGAAAACATGGAATGTTTCTTTGAGGACAAATTTTAACGCTACATGCTTGCTTCAGTGTGCAGCTCTTACAAGCCTATTGATCATAATTGGCCTAAATTTGGCTGTTGGATTTCTACCTCATGTGGACAATTCAGCTCATATAGGAGGATTCCTAGCAGGATTTTTCCTTGGTTTTATTCTTTTAATGCGCCCTCAATATGGATATGTGAATCGCAAATATATTCCTCCAGGATATGATATAAAACGTAAATCCAAGTACAAATTCTATCAATATTTCTTCCTGGTCGTGTCATTGATCATCTTACTTGTCGGGTAAAGAGTTACAATTTTCTTTCTTGTCAATTCTCACAATGCAAATTGTCCTGCCTCAGCTAACATCCTTGAACATGATCCAATGGCTAATTTGACAGATTTGCATATGGCCTTGCTACGCTGTACATAGGAAAGCCACAGGAGAAATTTTCTTTCCTTCAGAGCTATCCAAGATGAAAGGTTCCTGTTCCACAGCCTGTTCTTCAAGCTTGCTGCATGTACAAACTAAAAATTTCCCCTTTTAGAAGTGTATATGGAAGTACATGTCATACAGATACAGATAAAAATAGAGATCCTATTCAATTTCTTTTGCCCAAGACATTTTGCATGATTACCATTGCTTCTCAGAACTCTGGTTTGAAACTCTTTCTTCTTTGCAGGTACATGATTATTTGTGCTATCCAGAAGAAACAAAGCCAGATTTAAGTAAATGAGATGATATGACACTATACGTGTATCTTTTTGGCTTTCTATATGGATGGACAAAATTCTTATGCTGACCTCCGAATTCATCAGACCATGTGAAATAGTGTTCAAGTGTATAACTTATCATTTGTTGAAAATTGTTCTGTTTTCTACTTCCAGAATCAGCTGTATGTAGACATCACAACTAGATCCGTCATGAATGAATAGTTCATTTTTTGTGGAACTAATAGTTAATCCAATTGGAAGGAAGAAAAGTTGAGGCTTTGATTCAATTTATTTCTTTGTTGAAGCATTAAATGCAGAAATTTACTCGCATAAATTCTGAGTAATTTCATAACTAGCAAATTTACTGCAGGGTTTTGACACCTTATTTCTGCGTACTTAGAAGTTAAGACTTATTCTGAGGATCTATTGTGAGAATCATTGGTTGAAAAAATGAATTGGGACCTTCTCCTATTGTTGAGTAACAAGATGGATTGTAAAATCCACTAGTTTTATTAAAATATAAACTTGGTACTTTTCTCTGTAATATAACCATATCACTAATCCAACAATAGGAGAGGATCCAAGTCCAAAACAAATCAGATTCAAGGCTAACAGAAGTCAGGTTACTTAGAAACGATTAAACATGAATGGTCATAAATAAATAAATAAATACAGTTAAACAACTTCTTTAATGATTCGCTGATGAACATAGGAAATTGGGAGTGTCTCCTGACAAAATTGAAATTGCAAAATCGTACGGTACAGAAGATATTATTATGAATTGATGTTCCGCTCGGCTACTATAGAATAAAACAATTAATTTAGAAGCGTAAAGTTGCTATACAGTATACGGAAACTTCAACTAGAAGATTTGAGGACAACATGATCTAACTTCAACCAACCAGAAAGAATCCTAGTTCTTGAACTTAGCACTTTACTATCACCACTAGTACTCATGCCAGGATGATGCTATATTTCACATGATTCTGAACGACCAAAAATCACGTAACGATTGTTTGCAACATTGTCATAAACAAAATCTCTGATAAACCTGCAGCCATCCATGACATATATCATCAAGCATGTTCCTCTTAAGCAATTAAATAACATGATAAAAACTTACAAAGCAACTGAAAAAAAAATACAACTTACAAAGGCACAAATTGAAGAAGAAATGCTAGCTGTGGAAAGGGCAAGTCTATGTATTCCATTATCTTCAGCACGGCTTCTGACTTTATGTATGATCTATAACCAACTAGAAAGTCATATATTTTACTGCAAACTCTTCTTTCTCATAATTTGCAATCATAAATTTCTTCTTTCCTCACAAATATTATAGCAATTCATCAATTCGGTTGAGAATATTTGGATGAAAATTGTTGAGACAAGAAAACCTTTATTTCCTAGCAACACTTCACAGCCGAATTTTATGCATGATTACAAAAAGATGCTACTGAGTTGAAATTGTTTTGCCTCAAAACCAACACTTTTGAACCTTCAATACACGTACCTGTCCTTTTCAACAAGTACAACACTTGAGATATCATCAGGAGCTCTTCCTGATCTCCGAAGCAACATTTTACCCGCTTCACTCTGAAGAGGTTCATATCTAATTGTCCTTTCAACCATAAAACAAACGAAACAACTATCAAGTTCTTGTTTCTCTATATCAAAACAGAGACCTCATTATCTTTCCATCAGGGTAGCAACTTTCACTCTAGTTTATTTATGAGATAAACTTTTACTGTGAAAATAATCAAAAAGTGGAATTACTACAAGGAAAAGGAAAAATATCACATACTTATTTCGATCATTATCACGAACGAACTTCACACCCCCATTGCACAAGTTGCATACCCCTGTGTCAAAAGAAAGAATTTTTATCGAAACTTGCATTGTGGAATCATTTAGTTTCAGGTAGGATGATGAAAATCAGAAGAATAAATTTGAGTTAGTATGATTACCGTCAAACAACATGATGGGTCGTTTGTCTTGGTCGAAGAAAGTGGAAGTTGCTTCAACCCAGTTGGCTGTGTCGCTTCGGGGCTGTGACAAAGTAGCAAAGGTATTAACTTTTCGTGGAGGCAGCGACCACACAGTTGAGTTGAAGCGCCCAACGCAACCAGGAACTGAAACTACAAGCTGAAGAGCCATTGAAACAAGTGGCCTGCGAACTCAGGGAAAGACGACAACTTCAACTCCCACATCGAATGGAATCTATAAAAACATATATAAGACTTTTTAAAGCATTTTTTTATTTTTAAAATTAATCTGTAGTAGATTAGAGATCACAAAAATAGATTTTGCATTTTTTGAAATAAAATCTCGTTCCTATAGTTTGTTAAATTTTAAGAGAGTATATATTTTACGTGTATATTTCAGGGGAAAAAATTAAAATATGTTTAATTCTTGTTTTAAAAATAGTTTTTAATTTTAAAAACGGTTTTCTATTTTTAAAACAGAAATTAAATATGTCTTTGAAGTACATTTTTCATTTTTCAGGCTTAATTTGGACAAAAGAACTGATCCAACCTTTACATATGGTTAAGAAAAATATACTAATTGGATTATATGAACTCAATGCAAATTATCACCACTTGTTTCATTGTCTCTTTGTTGAGGTGCTATTTTTCATTGGGTGAATCAGTAAAATGCGTAAAGAATAATCTAAATTTTTGTCTATTGGTAGATATGTCAAAGTGTGATTAAAAATAGAAGAGTTAAATTAAAACGATTGGAATTTACAGTTGGCTTTTAATTATCTTCTTGCTTCTCTTCTATGTGCGAGTTTGAATATTAAACACGAGTTTAGATTTAAATGTTTTGTGGAATGTGGATAAAAAGGCTTAAAAAATATTATTTTTATTTGGTAATTTTTAAAAAATAATTTATAGTTTTTATTAATTCTTTTTTTTAAAATATTTAAGACAATAAAATTTTACATCTGATGAATAAAAGTTATTAGTTAATTAATTAATAATTAAATTTAGCTTATTCTTTATAATTTATTTTTTAATACAAATTTATCTTTTTTGCTAATTTTGGCCCTAGATGAGTTGACTCGCTGACCTGCTTACTTAGTCTTTAAGATTGAGCTAATATTTGTAAGTCTACTGCTAAATTGACCAATTTTTTGAGACAAAATGGACCTTTTAGTATTTACTTAAAATTGTTTTTTATTATTTTTTTCTTCATTTATTCTCATAATTCTTTAAAAACAAAAAAGTTGGTTCATTCGTGGACTAGCTTAGCGAAATATATGGAAAATTCACGAAATTTAACGCATAAAAAATCAGTTAAAATGAACCAAACTTATTAATACTTCGGAACCGTTTGAGATTATTGTGTTCCAATTGTTAATTAATTATGGTACTTTGCATAGAAATGCAACGCTAGTGACCACGATTGCACGAACTTTAAAAACGGAAGTTATACAATACTTAAATGTAATATGTTTTTTTATTTTGATATTTTATTTTGCAGATTTTTCTTTTAAAAAGTTACAAGGTAAAAACTATCGTGATATGTGCCTATAATCTTAAAATGAAAAATAATCTAAACAATGCGATGTATAAATATTTTAATATATATATTAAAAAATAATTTTTAAAAAAATTAAATTATCATATAATAAAATTATTTTGAATAAAATTTTTAACAAACAGTATCATAAGGTTAAGAAAATAATAATAAAAAGTAGGATTGTTGTAAAAAAAAAAAAAGATCGGGTTTGGCAGAGAGTAAACAAAAGACTGCATTGGTGAAGGAGACAGCGCTGTAGAGAGAGAGAGAGAGAGGAGAAGAAGAAGAAAGCAATGGGTTGGATCGGTGAGAGCATGGATTCCATCAAATCTCTTCAGATCCGGCAGGTCCTCACACAGGCTGTTAGTCTCGGTTCGTTCCGCTTCTTCTCGCTTTCGCGTTCCCACACTTCATTTTCAAAATCAATTTCACTCACTCTCTTAAGGTCTATCTGGTAGCTACGGTGATACGTGTCGACTCTGAAATTTTACATAATCTAAGTATTGGTATCAAAGTCTTCACTCTCCCCCTTCTTTAGGGTTTATGTCGAGAGCTCTTATTGCCAATTTTCCCCATTCCTATGGTTTAAGGCATTTGGAAGATTTGTGTTAAATGGATTATATGAAAAACTTAGGGTTGCTTATTCGCCATAAGTCCACTTTTTTCTGTAATTTATGTGGTTTTTCTAATCTACTATGTATAACCGTATGCATATGCTGTAGTTGTGGACATTACTTTAAGATTTGGTTGATAACTTGTACATATTGGCTATGCTGATTTACCACAAATACTGTTAACGTCACGATTTTCTGATCTGTCTGCCTCAGGCATGATTGTTACTTCTGCGCTAATAATATGGAAGGCATTGATGTGCATCACTGGCAGTGAATCTCCTGTTGTTGTTGTTCTTTCTGGAAGCATGGAACCGGGATTCAAGCGGGTTAGTTAGTCTCATGCATGAATGCTTCAGTAGTTCTTATTGATTTTCTTACAGTAAATGGTAGTATGAGTTTCTTGTAGTCATAATTCAGGATTTATGTCAATCATCCACTTAATATTTCAGCAAGAAGAGGGAAGGGATATGGAAACTATTCGTCAATATAATTTGTCTGTTTCTGTGTGGTGTTAACAAACGTTGGCTCTCGTGCTATGTGCAGGGAGACATCTTATTCTTGCACATGAGTAAAGATCCGATACGTGCAGGGGAGATTGTTGTGTTTAATGTGGATGTAAGTTTGCTCTTGGTTTGATTCCTTATACTTTGCTTACCCTAGTTCATGTTTATATCAGCATAAATCTATATAAAATAAAATAAAATCAGCGTCATTATCTTTGACTTAATTCAGAATGATAGGCTTGTTTATTCTGTGTTTACAGTTGTTAGTCATATTCATTTTCTGATTCTTTGTATTCTGCTCACTACCATAATGACATACTATATTGACATTTACTCTTTTTTTCTCTAGGGACGTGAGATTCCGATTGTTCATCGTGTAATTAAGGTAAGCACCTCTGGGACAGATAATTATCTTCTGGATGGAAATTTAGGGAGAAGTGGTTCACAGTGTTGCATGGTGTATCCATTTCATGAGTATGTAGCTGTAGGGATGGATGCCTATTCAAACTGTAACCACATAAATTACATAACAAATTGAGCTTTTGCAGTTTGATGTGACTACGAACCACATTCTATACCTGTTTTATCAACTTAGATGCTGTCTGTTATTAGTTCTCCTTACTTGGTATAACTTAATCATGAGGGATAAGGATCAACAATAGTACAATGCCATTAGAACTTTCCTCCTACACCCTCTGCTCCTCTGTTGTTTCTTGAACTACTCGTATCAATTTATTGTCATTGATGTATAAACTGGAGAGCATCAAGAATCTCAGGACAATGGATAAGATTGATTACTTGGACTTTTCCTTCCTTCCAAAGAGAAACTTCCGGAATCCCTCAAGCACACAAGCACCCATATATTTCACCGGTTTAACAGTCTTCAATACTTTCTGAAATATGCACACATTAATTATTATTACACAGTTTATGGTAACTATGGTTTCCCTGCTTTAGACTCTTATTACTTGATCATTTTGTCTAGGTACATGAAAGGCAAGATACTGGGGAGGTTGATGTTCTCACAAAAGGTGGTGACTGATTCATGATTAGATAATTTTACAGAAATGTTGACATTTCTCATTTTAGGTTCTCCATTTTACAGAAATATTAATGATGCTAGCAACACATCCTTTCTAACACATTCTTTATTATTGAGTGAATTTTAATGTGTCTCCCCTTAAAAAAATGGCCCCATTCTCGGACTCTCCTTATAGCGAGACCCACATGAAATTCACCCAATCATTAGTGTTAGAAAGAATGTGTATTGTTAGCATCTCTCTTATACAAAACCTAACCTTGTTTCAGATTTGAAATTCATTTTCCTCTGCAGTATTTCATAAAGTTTTGTTCAGTATTTCATTTTAGTTTGTTATCTGTTAAAGTGATGCTCTCCCTTCATTTATTTTGTCATCTTTGGCAGGAGATAACAATTATGGGGATGACAGGCTACTGTATGCTCATGGTCAGCTTTGGCTGCAAAGACACCACATAATGGGTAGAGCTGTCGGGTATAGCATTTCCTTTAGTTACACTTGCTTCTCTTATTGTAGACTTGTTTTCTAAACCTATCTGGCCACCACATAGTTAGTTGCAATATATAGGTTATGCCTTTGAAGTCTCCAACTATAATTAGAGACAGATATCTGGACATTAAAGTATTTTTCATTTTTTGGCTACATGCTTAATGTTACTTGAAAAGCATAGTATCTACCCATATGTGCATTTCAATACTTGTTGGGCCTTTGAGCATAATGTATTAGGGCACCATGCCAAGAGTTAATCCTAGTTTAACCCATCATGATACCAACAGTTTGGCGTTCAAGTTTTTTTATAGTATGAAGCGTAGTCAATTAATTAGTTATTTTCGGTATTCAATTATCATTGCTTGTTTTTGTCAATGGCAGGTTCTTACCTTACGTTGGCTGGGTGACCATTATTATGACTGAAAAGCCTATCATCAAGGTTTGTTTGCTGTGCCAATCTATTGTGTTCATTTAGCTGAAGTACGTTGTTTATTTTTTGAAACTTCATAATTCTGTCGTAATGTCTGATTGTTGCAAAGCAACATGACGTTTTACTGTGAGATAAATCATGACCAATTTAAAGATGCACCACATAGATATTGAGTTGCAGCAAGTATGGAATGTTCTAAAGCTGTTTTTCCCTTGCAGTATATTCTCATTGGTGCTTTGGGGTTGCTCGTGATAACTTCAAAAGATTAAACGATGAATCTTAAAGTCAAACTGCGGTCTAACCAATGGTAGTGGGAGCAGAAATCATACTTTTCTTGAAGGTGTCATTTTGTACCATTCTTAGTATGGGGGACAATATAATGTTAAGAAGAATTTAATGCAAAATAGTTGAATTTTCATATTTTCTTACCCCTTACTTTTTATATCGTATTTTGGTGCAATTTTAAGCATATATAAACAGCTGTTCCTTAGACGTTTCTCACCCACACTGGCACTGCTGCCAAAAACAAGACTTTATTTCTATGCGATAAATTTTAGCTTACTGATGCATTAATAAATCTTAATATAATTGTTTAAATTTTATCTTAATTGATCTTAAATGAAGCTAATATAAAATTTGTGGGGTGTAGGTTTAGTTTAGTTTAGTTTTGTATTTTCGGGGGGTCCGTTATAGCTTTCACCCCCCTGAGTGTGATTAATATTCTCTTGGGATACCGAGCCAGATCTTCTCAAGTACTATCACTGTTGCACCCACCCGAATTCATTTCATGGATGAAATTCAGATGATACGTCGTTTTTTTTTTTTTTTTGCTCGTACACTAAAGCAATATTTCATGGCTGAATTTTGAAATTGTTAAAAAACACTTCAAAATATGATATCATCTCAAGTAATAAACACATTTCATTCCATGGTTGCAATTTTCATTATTCTTGAAAAATGCATTTTTATTTGGATAAATAGTAAATAAGCAGATTGTCCGTCTGAATTTTCAGATACTGAGAAGGTTGAAGCTTTTACTTGTGGTATATAAATCCGAAAGATTAATGTTCTACACCTCATCTTATGAAAGAAAGAAAAAGCTTTAGAGTATGATTGATTACTGTTTTAAGAACAGTTTTCTATTTTTAAAAATAAATTTTCATATAAATTTATATTAAAATTTATTTTTAAAAACCAGAAAAAAAATAGAAAATTATTTTCAAAACAGTATCTTTATCTTTATATATATATATATAAGTAGATGAGTTTTGGAAGGAAAGTTGCAATAAGTTTTGAAGGAGAATTTGTCTTCATTTTTTAATACAATAATCTTTATATAAAAATTAATAATTACTATTTAAGGCTATCATAAATGCTTTAATTCAAATTAATTAAATTCATTCATTTTTAATTAGCAGTTTTGATATATCTTTAACTTTAAGGTCGTCTTGAATGATTTAATTTAAATCAGTTAAATGTATTTATTTTTAATTAGCAGTCTTTATATATTCAAAATATGCATCCTTTGTGGCGGCAGATTTGAACCTTAATATTAATGTTTATTTTAAATTTTATTATTAAAAATTAATAACTGATAAAATTACATAAAACTCTTGAACTTTAAATTAAGTTTATTATAAAATTAAAAAAATAAGTAAAAAAAAGACGTAAAAAAAAGTAAAAAGAAAATCAAATATATTGATTTGATTCTCAATGACTTGGAGTGAGTATTATTTTATAACATATTTTAATGGCTAAAATATTTATTAAATATTTTTTCTCTTTCATTACTTTATACTAATTAAGATTATATTATATTGAATTTATTTCGTAAGAATCAGAGAATTGTTTGTACTTTATGAGCGGAGTTTGATGATCAAATGGTTGTTTTTTAAAAGAATGAAAATTATAATACTTTACCTATTATGATTATTCAATTATGTAAAGTGAAAACATTTGGTGGTATGATTTTTTATCTATATTGAACTATTTTTAATTGTGTGATAATTATTATTATCAACAAATTATATTTCATAGTTGTTTTAGGAACTTTAGGCATATCAAATGCTTATAATGAGACAAAGTTGTATATCAATCTTAACATAAAAGAGGCTATTGATTACAAGAATAAGTAAGTATTTTAATTATTTTTTATTTATAGAGACATCATTATGTTTTGCATGATATTTCCTATTTTTGTTAACTTATAAGCTATCCAATTTGTGGTATAGGATAAATATGAATGATACAGGTATAAGTCAAGTATTAAGTCTGATGGATACTCTTCTGTTTTAATGGAAGATGATTTGCTTCAAGCTCAAAACATGACCGTATATACATGAAATAATTGAGACAAATTATATATGTTTTGTATTGAAATAATGAAGTGAAATGCATATAATTAGCAGTTAAATACAATTTTAAATTTTAATATAAATGATTTACTTTAAATTTTATTCTTGAAAACTGATAATTTGTATATGATTAATGAAGAATAATAGAATAAATGAATAAGAATTGATGAGTGTATATATATATTCTAAGGGTCATTTATGTTACATTTGATCTGTTATAAATAATCAAATGATAGCTATATGGACAAATATAAAATATTTAATACCGATAAAAAAATTATATTTTATTTAGTGTATATATATTAACATATTTGTACTTTCTTTTTAACCTTAATATTAACATATAGGATTATTTATGAAAAACAGTAAAATGAATAAATTATAATTAATTAATTTATATATTTAAAAGGTCATACAACAATGGAATAATAAGAATTAATATTAATTTAGTATTTATAATTTAAATATTATATGAAAAAAGTACAAAAATTGTTAAAAAGTTGGTATACAAAGAAATCTTTCAAAATATAAATTAGATTTATTATAAAAATTAGAACTTTCCTTCTTAATTAATTTCAATAGAAAAGAAAAATAATTTATAAAGTTTTATATTATATTTTTTTCTTTCAAATAACTAATATTTTTATTAATAATAATATTAACATATACTAATTAATTTTAAACTTTAAAATAGTTTAAATATTATTATAAAGTTTTTCTTATCATAATATTTGTCTATATTTTATATGTGACTCATAAATTTTATATTATATATGTGTAATTTTAATTAATATAAAGATTCATTTTTGTTTTCAATAAATTTATTCTTCTCTTTTACTTTCTATTTAAATATTAATTCAAAATTTTAAAATATATAAAGTATATAAAATTTGCATATGAAAAATTATTTATCTTATTTTTCAATCTATTTATATTTGATATTATTCAATATAATATAATTTTATTATTATATTTTTATATTTAAATTATAATTTTATAATATTAATATATACTAATTACAATATAAGAAAATTTCTGTGACATATAAATATATTTACTAATCTATAATTAAATTTTTTATTATAATATTTAAAGTCACATATAAATTATTTTTAACTATTATATTTATTTTTTATAGATTATTTATTTTTAAAATAATCAAAAAATTTATTTAATATTTTTATCTTTCTGTTATATTAAAAATAATTAATTTAATATTTAAAGTATAATTATTTTAAAACTAAATTATATATATATATAATTAATAAATATACAATTCAATAATAAGAGATAAAATTATGATACTTGATACATACCAATAGTTTCAAAAATACAAAATAGGCTTATTTAAAAAAAATTATTTATTTTTATCTTTAAATTGTGTATTATATAATTTTATAAGATAAAATAAGATATATAATTTTATTCTTTCAATAATTTTTGCATTAAAATATTTTAAATATATTAAAATTTATTTTTTTATTAAGAATCCTTATGTTGTGGTAGTATATATACATGTTAAATTATTACAAATTAATTATAAGAGTATTTTTAAACTTTATAGAATTAAATTTATAATTTATAAATTTAAATTATATTTGAGTTTAAACCTTTTACTTTTAAAGTTAATTTATAAATATTTAAAATTATATTATAAATCTTTATATAACATATGAAATCATTTTATTAGTAACAATATTAATATATACTAATTAATTTTAAAATTTAAAAGTATTTTTAAACTTTATAGAATTAAATCTATAATCTTATAAATTTAAATTTTATTTTAGTTTAATCCTTTTACTTTTAAAACTAATTTAAAAATATTTAAAAGTATATTATAAATCTTTATATAATATATGAAATCATTTTATTAGTAATAATATTAATATATACTAATTAATTTTAAATTTTAAAATAAATTAAATATTATCATAAATGTTTTATAGAATTATTTTTTATTTTATAATTATTAATTATAATATTATACTATAACATAATAATTTATCTGTGCATTGCGCAGCTCATCTATAAATCTTAATTGAAATTTTAAAATATATAAAGTATCTAAAATTTGCATATAAAAATTTATTTATTTTATTTTTTAATTTATTTATATTTAATATTATTCAATATAAAATAATTTTATTATTATATTTTTTATTATTTAAATTATAATTTTATAATATTAATATATATTAATTACAATATAAATAAATTTCTGTGACATATAAATATATTTACTAATTTATAATTAAATTTTTTATAATAATATTTATAATATTTAAAGTCACATATAAATTATTTTTAATTGTTATATTTATTTTTTATAGATAATTTATTTTAAAAATAATTAAAATTTTTATTTAATATTTTTTTTTATATTAAAAATAATTAATTTAATATTTAAATTATAATTATTTTAAAACTAAATTATATATATTTAATTAATAAATATACGATTCAATAACAAGTGATTAAATTATGATACTTAATACATAACAATGGTTTTAAAAATATAAAATAGACTTATTTAATAAAAAAATTATTTATTTTTATCTTTAAATTGTATGATATATAATTTTATAAGATAAAATAAGATATATAATTTTATTTCTTTAATAATTTTTGTCTTAAAATATTTTAAATATATTAAAATTTATTTATTTTATTAAAAATCCTTATGTTGTAGTATGTATATATACATGTTAAATTATTACAAATTAATTATAAGAATATTTTTAAACTTTATAGAATTAAATTTATAATTTATAAATTTAAATTATATTTAAATTTAAATCTTTTACTTTTGAAGTTAATTTATAAATATTTAAAAGTATATTATAAATTTTTATATAACATATGAAATATTTTATTAGTAATAATATTAATATATACTAATTAATTTAAAATTTAAAATAATTTAAATATTATTATAAATATTTTATATAATTATTTTTTATTTTATAATTATTAATTATAATATTATACTATAATATAATAATTTATCCGTGTATCGGGTTCACTTCTTAATTTATATTTATATTTTGATAATATCGTACAAAATATTGCACCTAAAGTTTCCTAAATAAATCGGATTTCATTCAGAATCTGTTGAGTTGAGATGTGATAACAGAACGAGTTTTATAACATTTTTTACGTGTTCATGGGGTCACATGGCATAGTCACAAAAACTCGCTCATGTAGTTACTAGTTACTGAAAAATAAATAAATAAATAAATAAAAAAAGGAAAAAAATATGAGAGGGTCTGGAACAGGTGATGCGGTTGAAGAGACACCCCCAATGAATGGTGGCGCTGCCATCGCTCATAAACCCTAGTGATTCTCTCTGCGTCCACGTCTTCGAATGCATACCACAAATGATCCCCTCCTTCCATCCCCCTGATCATGTTCTCTCTGCGATCCACTCGCAGACTCTGCCACTCCGCCGCCGCTGCCGCCGATTCTTCCGCCGCTCCTCTAATTCGCGTTCAGACCTCAAAACCCTTAGAACCCCCTGTTCTCGATAAGCTCAAAGCCGAGAGGGACCCTGACAAGCTCTTCCACCTTTTCAAGGCCAATGCCACTAACCGCATCCTAGTCGAGAACCGCTTCGCCTTCGACGACACCGTTTCAAGGCTCGCCGGTGCTCGCCGTTTCGATTACATCGAACACTTGCTTGAGCACCAGAAAACCCTACCTCAGGCTCGCCGCGAAGGATTCATCGTTCGAATTATAACCCTTTATGGCAAAGCTGGCATGACCAACCGCGCCGTCCACACTTTCTATAACATGCGCTGTCGTAGAACCGTTAAGTCTTTCAACGCTACCCTTCAAGTTTTGGCTCAATCCCCAAATTTCGATTCTATTCGCCAGTTCTTAGTTCAGGTTTCTCCCCGCTTTGATATTCAGCTAGATATTGTTTCTGTTAACATTGCTATTAAGGCCTTTTGTGAAGTGGGAAAGCTTCAAGAGGCTTATTTGTTTATGTCAGAGGCTGAGAAAAAGGGTGTTTCACCTGATGTGATAACGTATACTACTCTTTTATCTGCTTTTTACAAGAATAAGAGGTGGGAAATTGGCAATGGTTTGTGGAACCTTATGGTGTTGAAGGGGTGTATGCCCAACCTTGCCACGTTCAACGTTCGGATCCAATTTCTTGTTAGTGTGAGGCGTGCGTGGGATGCTAATAAATTGATTGATGTGATGCAGAGAGTGGGGATTGCACCGGATGAGGTTACCTTTAATTTGGTGATCAAGGGTTTTTGCCAGGCTGGTTATGTTGACATGGCCAAGAGGGTTTATTCTGCGCTGCATGGGAAGGGGTATAAACCTAATGCTAAGATTTATCAGACCATGATTCATTATTTATGTAAGAGTGGGGATTATGATCGGGCGTACACCATGTGCAGAGATTCTATGCAGAAGAATTGGTTTCCGGATGTCAGTACCTTCTATATGCTGCTGGAGGGCCTTAAGGGAAATGGTCAAATTCGTAAAGGAATGTTGATCGTTACGTTGGCTGAGAAGAGAATGCCTCCCTTCTCTTCTGGTCATTTGGCTGCCATGCAGTCCATATTGTCCAGTAGTTAGCTTAGGTAGAATAGGGAAACAGGAAATTGGCTGACTTTTGTGAGACAGCAGCCTCGACGGTTCTCTCATATTCTTTGTATTCCATTCGTTTGTACATCTTGAAATTTTAACAAGCCTGAAGTTTTTATGTTATTACATCGAGACGAGCAGACGAACACTAATTATTTTCCACTCAGTTTTTTGTACCACCATCCTTAATAACATTTCAGCCAAGATGATATTTCAGGAGGCAAGTATCCTATAAACTCTTGTAAGTTTTGGAGCGTAAGTTTTGGAGCACTTTCCCCTTCAGCATTCTTTCTCTTTGTCACACACAGCACCATTTTTGTGATTGCTTAATTGCAGACTAATCTTGCATGTGGCTATCAAAGGTTGTATATGCTATTCTTTCCATGTCTTACTTTGGAAAAGTGTGCCTAGATCATGGATCATTTTTACGACTGTCAATAGTAATTAACCAAATATTTATTTTATTTTCAATTATTGAAAATTTTAAGGTGGATTTCTGGGGTTTTAAGGCAGATGCATATCTGCAAAGTCACTTCTTTTGGGTTCATGCATGTCATTTTATGAACTTTTATTTAGTAAAAGTTGTTGTCTTCAGATACTAATGTAACACTTGATGATTTCAGAATCATGGTGGTGTGGTGTAGAGTACAGTAATCATTTTAAATAAGTGAAGTTCATCCTTGTTGGATATCAATGATCAGATGTAGACCTCGGTAACACTTTTTTCAGCTGGGTCAATGATTCAATATGCTTCCTGCTTTCATGTTCTTTTATATTATCTTATTTTGATGACTGATATTGCGTAAGTTTTAGCTTCAAGTCTCCCTCATTATTGAAATATCACCCTTATGACTGTCAAAAACCATTTATATGAATAGCATTTACCGTCTTGATGAAACTATAGATTGAAGGACTAGTGTTGTATGTCTTGGTAATATAATGAGATAAATTAGAATTGACCCCAAATATCCATTTGTCTTTGAAGTGAAGGTAAAGTGTTCTTGTCATGCACTGGAAATTTCTGGAAGTATTTTGATGCGCAATCTGGGTTTTGTGTAGCAGAGAGCAGATACTTTGTGTACAATGAACATCCTTGTTCAGATTCCAAGGCTGTCTGAAAGGCTTCTGTCCACACTGCATAATGTATATTGGGCTTGATGAGGTATTTGTGGAGTGAACAAGTTTACAGATATGAGTTTATGCTTTAGAACATGGATCTTATCTGCTCTTCTTTGTGCTTATCTGATTTGGATTGATGCCGGACAATAGCTAAATGTTCTCCTTATTTGAAGGTATTTTCCAATAAAAAAGTTGTTGAAGAGAATAACCAATATATTTATATGGGTAGCCATGTTTGGTTGAATGTATTGGAGAAGTTTTGTCAGCCTTTTGCTGTAAAATCTATTGTGAAGGGGGAGACAGACGGATGAGAATAGAAAGAGCATTATTGCATTGGAAGGCACAAGATCGAGTGTCTATTTTGTGATTATCCATAGACATGAGACATCCGGTGTATGACCATGGTTAGAACTTCTTGTCCATCAATAGGAATAATAATCAGGATGGAGAATTATTTGCACGTAACGCGTGGATATGATGTGCTGATATTGCTGTTGGTTGTTTGCACAGTCCTTCATTAAAAGCATAACACTTTCCACTGAACTAGGATCTTGCATCCGTTTTTGCCATTGTTGTACAGAAAAATCCTTGAACCAGGAATAAGAAGACACAACATATACAGAGAGCAATGGCACGCTGCAAACTAAAAGAAGCCAGAATTTTGTCACAATACGAGCGCGATGTTGGAAGGTATAAAGTGGTAGGAACCAGTTACTCATCCAAGAGTAAGCACATATACCACATCATTCTGGCATAAGCTTTGCCCCTCTAGCATTTTTTTTTCATATTGAAAACGAGGGAAGCTTCATCGCTGATTGAAAAACAATTATACCAATCAGAATAGATGATCATTTAAATTGATATTTTTTTTTCCATGGTATTACGAGTGTTTTTGGTTTTAGGGAAGTCCTCTAAGATTTTAATCAGTTTCATCAACTTGTCGATTTTATGTTTTAAATGAAGTTATTTGTCCCTTGACCTATCAATCCTTCCGCCTAGTTCACACTATACCTAGACCTATCACCTGGTACTATCAATTGATCAGTTTTTGCTTGCCATCTTATTCCTTTTTTCATTGAACTTGTCCAACATTTATCCTTTTGTTTTTGGTCAGTACATTAGAACAATAAGGCCACTGTAGGGGCCGAACGCACAAAGTGGTGCGAAGCCAAAGCAGAGGATTGTCGACATTTAGGGCACGTTTGATTTAGTTTTAATTTTTAGTTTTTAAAATTATATTTTTAAATAATTTTATAAAACTTTTTTTAGGAAAAATAAAATAAATGTGTTTGGTAATTTAATTTTAAAACTGGTTTTAGTTGAACTTTCATTAGTTTTAGGAAGAAAAAAAGAAAAATAAAAACAAAAACACCTGAGTAGTAATTCTGTTTTAAAAATTGAAAGTAAAAATTTTTAAAAATAGTTTTTAAAATTTACATTAACAAGTTTTTTTTGCTTTTTATTTTTAAAATAAAAAACTATATTTAAAAAGTGAAAACAAACAAGCCCTTATCCTTTGGAATCATCAATATTCTCATCTTGAGCTTCTTGAGTTTCATTGATGATCAAACAAAAACTGGGTATTAAATACAATTGTTGTTTATACAATAATTTTTTTCGTTATTTTTTTAGACTTCTGTTAGCATTTGACACAATAAATAAAAATATGGAGGTGGGTTCAAATATAATGAGGCAAATAGCATTTTGTCGAATTTCGAGTAAAACAAGGTGCTTCACAACCATGATATTAATCGTTCATAAAACAAGGAATGATGTGTTAATGTGTTATCTATCTTTATGTCGCAATCTTATAGTCGCATGTCACTCTAAAACATTTGAGTCAGTTTAGTAATTAAACAATGAAACAAATCAATGTTATGCTAGATTAGGGTTTCTGCTGCAACCACACTGCCTCTCAGAATCTGTTTCTGATGCTTCAAGAAACCCCAATCTCTCATGCAGACCAAAAAAAAAAAAAATCAATGTTATGCTCTCTCTTGCGGTCACTGTGTGAGAGTATTGTAAGACTAGGATAACATTAGAATAAATGAATAATCAACTCAATTAATTAAAATCTAATCCAACATTGAAAAACAAATAAAACATGCAATTTTTATTATAATAATTAACTGAAAATGTTCTTTTTAGTAATTCAATAATTTTTCCCGTCTGCAGAAGATGTTAAAAAAAAAGATTTTAAAGATAATGGATTTTAGTTTGACAAGTTAGTACAAAAATGTTTTTTTTTTCGTTTTTTATTTAAAAAAACATTTCTTTTCAAGACAATATTTGATCGCTGATTTTACGTTTATCGTGATCTAATCCTTAATAATTTTATAGACGTATTATGAAACAATAAATATGATATAATAAAGTAAAGAAATGATATAAATGATAATATTAATTATATTCTTTGATTTTTGTATTATCTAGATAAAAAATGAAATAATTATAAAAAATTATTATTTATAACAATTTTGATTTATGAATATTAAAACAGTATCAATATTTGTTTTTTTTATTTTTTTTCTTATTAGCATGTAATGATTATATCAGTATTTATGAGGCTCAGATCAGGATCTTATGCAGTTTTAGATAGAATTATAATCTGTAATTTAAATTCGCTTAAACAAATATGATAAAAAGTAATTTTTGTTTAAGTTAACAAAAGTTGTTAAAGTCAATCTAGTAAAAAAGTAATTTTTGCTTAAGTTAAAAAATTTGTTTAAATTAAAATTGTAAAAGATTTTTAAATTTTTTTTTCTCTTTAAATTACATAAAAGTTAAGAAACGTTTATGTAAGATCATGTGATCACAATTTATAGTTATGTTATAAAAATTTAAATATTTCAAAATATGTAATAATATAATTATTTTTTAAAATTATTATTTTTATAATAATAATTATTATTTTTAATAATATAATTTTAAATAGTTTTATCTCATTAATTTTTAACACAAGTAGTTTGTTAGATAATATATTTAAAATATTTAATAGAATAATATATATTAAAAAATTTGTTTAGAGAAATAGTTACTTATGTATCCATAGAGGAGGATCCGGATCCTCTGCAGTCTTGGCGGGAACTGCAGGGCGCAGTGCATTTTCGCTTAAGCGAAAATTTAGGACCATTCGCTTAAGTTAGAATAAAGGCTTAAGCGAATGGAAGTTAGAGAGCGGTTCATTAATAACCACTCTCCAAGAAAGACTTTAGAGAACGGTTAATAGAGAATCGCTCTCCAACTAGGGCTTAAACATGATTCGTGTCTCGCTTAAGCCCCTAAATTCACTTAAGCTATTTTCATTTAGCTTAAGCGCGCTACGAAGCGAAATATATTAAACCTAAGCGAAAATGGACTAGAGAGGGATGCATTTGAATCACAATTTCGCTTGAGCGGATTGTAAATCGCTTAAGTTATTATTGAATCGCTTAAGCCTTGACCAGCGATTTTAATTGAAATTAAGCGAATTTGAGGCAGAGAACTATTATTTCAGGCATGCGAAATGGCTTAAGCGAAACTGAATTGGCTTAAGCGAATTGTGGAAGGGCTTGAGCCCAGATTTGAATATGTGAGCGAATATGAAAACCGCTTAAGCGAATATGGGAGCTTAAGCGAATATATCATAAGTTTAAAAAATTATGCAGAAATAGCAGCATGCAAAACAATGGCTTAAGCGAATATTAATTGGCTTAAGCGAATGATAGCAGGGCTTGAGCCCAAATTTGAATTTGTGAGCGAATATTAATACCGCTTAAGCGAATACATGAGCTTAAGCGAAAATATCAGAATTTTAAAAAATTATGCAGAAACAGCAGCATGCAAAAAAATGGCTTAAGCTAATATTAATTGGATTAAGCAAATGGTAGCAGGGCTTGAGCCAAAAATTTATTTTCCCAGCGTATCAAAATTAGCTTAAGAGATGCCATGGGCTTAAGCGAATAAAAAAGAAAATCCTAACATTATGCAGAAACAAACAGCATGCAAGAGGGCTAAATAGACAGGATTACATCTGTTCTTCAACATACATCTTCCACCAAAAACAATTTATAAATACAAATTTAGCTTAGAAACAAAAGAACTTTTTCCAATTGCGAAATCAAATTTGATCAAGGATTGAAGTATTGGTATCATCAAGTTGTTCCTACAAAATTAAAATAGATATAAGAAGACACATAATGAACAAGAATGGATGGAAGTTTATTAGTCTTACCTTCAACAAATCTGTGAAACTTAATTGCTGGATGAAAGTTTCAGGGGGAACATAATATGGAGGTGCTGAACAATGTACTTGAAATGATGAACCTAACATTGGTTGATATTCCTTAAACATTTAAGCACAGTAAAATTAATGATATGGTTATAACAAGGAAGTTATAATAAATGCATTAATCGACAATAAAAGTGGTTATAAGAAAGTACTTGAGATGCTGATTGACCTAAAGTTGGACTTTTGTTCTTCTTTTTTGCTTGTAGCTCAACCCAACTTTTGAATCTTTTACACCCTTTCCTCTTGGTAGTAGGTCTATGCTTAAATCTCTTAGGTTGTATACTATGAATATTGACCTTATCAACACCATCATTGTTATTGTTGTCATTATCTTGTGGTTGTAAGCGAAGTTTTGTGATTTGAATGATTAAAGTATTAATACTTTCATCCACTAATTGACAATATTCTTCTGAACTAGAAACCTCAGAGGCCAACCTAATCATTTTACATGCTAGATGTCGGTATCTGCGGGTAGTACTCAGTTTAGGATCTCCTTCCACTGGTATTCTTTTTACATTGTGAATAATACCACAACATCCTTGTGTTGTCCATCTCTTTAGTATGTATTTGTCAGGAACAACCTTTACATCATTGGCTTCAAACACTTTTAAAGCATGACAACAAAGTATACCAAATGTTTCAAATTTTTTACAAGAGCAATTGATAGTAGTTGAGGAACGATCAAATGTAATTGTCCATGATCTTTGTTGATTGACTTTATATATTCAATCAAATGAGGAGTTTCAATCCTTTGCGATATGCAACAAGCTAAGAATTGAGCAAACTCTTGTTGAAATAAATTATACACTACATTTGTGTAAACCTTAGCCATTTGTATTAGTATTGGTGATACCTCATATCGCAACATGGCTAGTTTGTGACAAGAGTCATACTCACACTTGAGCTCGTTATAACGTTTGTCTTCAACCACCCGTTCAAAGTGTTCAAAGAATTGCTTGATGTCAACACCAGGTCTCATACATGCCTTGAAGTCATAATTTAAACTTTCACTTAACTGAGTGCTACGCATTCCAAGGGTTAAATAATCCTTGAGATAACATGATGCTCATTTCTCCTTTATAGCATACAGTGAAGTAATCCAAGTATGTTCTTGAACATTGTATTCTGTAATCAACCTTATCCAAGCCTCCTCAAACTCAATTGAAGTATCAAAGTCATATATGTATCATTTCAAATCTCGTAAGAAATGACTCCCTCCTTTCATCAAATTTCCCAAATGCTTTATTCCATTTTGCATTAAGTGCCACGTGCATAAAGCATGACGTGTCTCAGGCATTACTTGGACAAGTGCCTTTGCCATTGCTTGGTCTTGATCTGTAAAAAGAGTTTGAGGTTTTTTGTTGTTGTGTGCTTCCAAGAATGTCTCGAACAACCATTGAAATGATTCAGCTGTTTCATCATACAATATTCTGCTGGAAATGCTTTTTGTCACTTTTATTTTGATGTTTGGCTGATTGAAAATTTTTTTGCTGGATGAAATGTTAGTTTGAGCTTACCTTAATGTCTGTATTTTTTGCTTAAGCGACACAAACAGGCTTAAGCGATTTTTACTAAAATTTTTGTCCTGGTTTCGACTGCATGATGGCACCAAAAAAATCAATTCCTCAAAGAAAGAGGCAGAGACCAGAAGTTGGCCAAACTTCACAACAGCATGATGAACCTATTGATCAACATGAACATTCACCACCAGCGACTCAAACACAAACACAAACAGAAGTCATATCATGGGATAGATATAGGTTCAAAACTAGGGCCAAGGCTCAAAGATTTATTGACTTACAAGCTAGAGATTTGCTACTTGAGAGAAAGGTAGCTTTACAAGAAGGAGAGTATGAAGAATTTATGCAAGAGGTTAGGAGAAGAAAATGGGAATTCTTGGCAAATCTCCCCAACCAAATTAATGAGGTAATCGTCAAAGAGTTTTATGCAAATGTTTGGCCATTGATACCAGAAAGGTCAGAAAAGAGGTCTTGGGTTCGAAGGCACCCAGTTGCTTATGATAGAGATGCAATTTCAGCTTTGTTAGGCAACCCTTTGACCTTACAAGAAGGGGAGCTATGCCAATACCAGCAACGCCGAAAGCGATTCTCAAGTTTTTTGGATCATGCTGTAGCTGAGGCCTTATGCATCCCTGGAAAATCATATGAAACAAATGCTGCTGGGAAGCCAATGAGGTTCAAAAGACAATCTCTGAATACTTTGGCCCAAATCTGGACATCATTTCTTCTTGCTAACATTGCTCCAACCACACACACCTCAGATCTTCGGATGCCTCGAGCATATCTCATATACAGTATCATGCAAGGGATATCCGTTGACATAGCAGCAATCATTTCAGATGAGTTGCACCAATTTGTTATTTCCAACACCTCCTCTATTGCATCAGCAACAAAACTTTTGGGATTTCCAGCACTCATCACTGCTTTATGTGCTTCCCAAAGTGTTATCCTTCCAGAGAGCGTTGCTCAAACTATCAGTTTGAAGAAACCAATCAATTCCCAGTTCATCAGAAATTATTGCACCAATCAATTGGAACAGCCTGCAGGACCTTCCTCTCAACCCTCCTCATCTGTACCACTTACATCACAGCCAACACAACCATTCATGCCTGACATGCCACAAACAGATTCAAGTGTCCTATGCCATCTAACCCACATAGAGCAACAATTGGCAGCAACTAATCGCGCTTACACTCAGTTGAATGAGTCGTTCTACAAGTTAGCCCTTTTCTTATTTAATATTTTAATATATGTAATCAATTATGCAACCATGCCTGATTTTCTCTTTCCATAGGTTCACTCTACATCAACATCATGGTGAGCCATCTGCTTTTCCATGGCCAACACCAGAGCTTTTTGTAGCGACTGTATCGTGGCCTGGAGACAATCCTATCTTTTCAGCTCAACAACAAACTCCACAAGATCATGTATCACATCCGGATGAAGGAGCCAATGAGGACATTGACGATCATCAAGAGGGAGATGTACAACAACATCAAAACTTAGAGGAAGAAGGGAGACATGATGAGGGAGATGGGCCACAACCAATGCAAGAAGAGGACAATATAGGAGACCCATGATTAGAATTAGGATTTTATTGTAATGGATATGAATGACTAAACATTTTCTGTTATGTAATATATTTTCTCTTTACTTTCCCAATGGTGAATTCTATACTTTTTCATTGATGGATTTTAATATTTATTCACAATCGTGCCAAAGTCATTATAAACTGTTTTTGGTGGAAGATGTATGTTGAAGAACAGATGTAATCCAGTCTATTTAGCCCTCTTGCATGCTGTTTGTTTCTGCATAATGTTAGGATTTTCTTTTTTATTCGCTTAAGCCCATGGCATCGCTTAAGCTAATTTTGATACGTTGGAAAAATAAATTTTTGGCTCAAGCCTTGCTACCATTTGCTTAATCCAATTAATATTAGTTTAAGCCATTTTTTTGCATGGTGCTGTTTCTGCATAATTTTTTAAAATTCTGATATTTTCGCTTAAGCTCATGTATTCGCTTAAGCGGTATTAATATTCGCTCACAAATTCAAATCTGGGCTCAAGCCCTGCTATCATTCGCTTAAGCCAATTAATATTCGCTTAAGCCATTGTTTTGCATGCTACTGTTTCTGCATAATTTTTTAAACTTCTGATATATTCGTTTAAGCTCCCATATTCGCTTAAGCGGTTTTCATATTCACTCACATATTCAAATCTGGGCTCAAGCCCTTCCACAATTCGCTTAAGCCAATTCAGTTTCGCTTAAGCCATTTCGCATGCCTGAAATAATAGCTCTCTGCCTCAAATTCGCTTAATTTCAATTAAAATCGCTGGTCAAGGCTTAAGCGATTCAATAATAGCTTAAGCGATTTACAATCCGCTCAAGCGAAATTGTGATTCAAATGCATCTCTCTCTAGTCTATTTTTGCTTAGGTTTAATATATTTCGCTTCGTAGCGCGCTTAAGCTAAATGAAAATAGCTTAAGTGAATTTAGGGGCTTAAGCAAGACACAAATCATGTTTAAGCCCTAGTTAGAGAGCAATTCTCCATTAACTGCTCTCTAAAGTCTTTCTTGAAGAGCAGTTATTAATGAACCGCTCTCTAACTTCCATTCGCTTAAGCCTTTATTTTAGCTTAAGTGAATGGTCCTAAATTTTCGCTTAAACAAAAAAATTAAGTTAAGCGAAAATGCACTGCACCTTGCAGTTGTCGTCGAGACTGCAGAAGATTCGGATCCCATGGAGGAAGTGGATGTCTTCCACGTACGACTTGAGGAGTTGAAGCATTGTCTAGCGCTGTTAAATAGATAGAAGACGATCATTTACTTGCCTTTGCAGTTTGCATCGCACTCGTTGTTTCTCATGTACGGGGTAACATTCGATCTGACATATGATTGAAACCTTAACAGTAACCCTCTTCCTTGAAACCTTTTAAACACAAAAATGTCGAAGGCCGTTCTTTCGCGAATCAAACCTCGTCACTGCCCGAAAGGTCCCACCTTTTTGCCTCCCCGCATCAGAAACCTCGTTTTGGACGTCATCCGAATCCTTAAAACCCAGCAATGGCAGGATTCCCTCGAATCTCGCTTCGCCGAATCCGAGGTGCTTGTTTCCGATGTCGCCCATTTCGTCATAGACCGAGTACACGACGCAGAACTGGGTTTGAAGTTTTTTGATTGGGCTTCGACCAGACCCTTTTCTTGCTCTCTCGATGGGGTTGCCTATTCTTCTCTTCTGAAGCTCTTGGCGAGGTTCAGAGTGTTTTCCGAGATCGAGTTGGTGTTGGGGAACATGGAAGTTCAAGACTTGAAGCCTACCCATGAAGCATTCGGCACTTTGATTTGCGCCTATGGAGAATCTGGGTTGGTTGATAGGGCCCTCCAGTTATTCCATGCAGTGCGTGAATTGCATAATTGTTTTCCCAGTGTCGTAGCTTGCAATTCATTGCTGAATAATTTGGTGAGAAGCGGGAAAGTTGATATTGCGCTTCAGCTGTATGACAAAATGCTTGAAGCAGATGATGGTACTGGTAAGGTTGTGGATAATTGTAGCACCTCCATAGTGGTGAAGGGCCTATGCAACTTGGGGAAGGTTGAGGAAGGTAGGAGGTTGATTAAAGATAGATGGGGAAAGGGTTGTGTGCCACATGTGGTGTTTTACAATATGATTATTGATGGGCATTGCAAGAAGGGTGATCTCGAAAGTGCAACTAGATTTCTCAAGGAATTGAAATTGAAGGGGTTTTTGCCAACGGTAGAAACTTACGGGGCTTTAATTAATGGATTTTGCAAGGCTGGTAAGTTCGCAGAAGTTGATCATCTTCTGACGGAAATGACTGCAAGCGGATTCAATGTGAATATACAAGTGTTCAATAATATTATAGATGCTGAATTCAAGCATGGTTTGATAGAAAAAGCATCTGAGACAATGAGAAGGATGGATGAGATGGGTTGTGAGCCAGATATTACAACTTACAATACTCTGATTAACTTTTCGTGTAGGAGTGGAAGGATTAAAGAAGCTGATGAACTTATAGAGAAGGCAAAAGAAAGGGGATTGCTTCCTAGTAAGTTTAGTTATACCCCCATCATGCATGCTTATTGCAAACAAGGGGATTATGTTAAGGCATCGAAAATGCTTTTTAAGATTGCTGAAATGGGAGAAAAACCGGACTTGGTTTCTTATGGAGCTTTTATCCATGGAGTTGTTGTTGCCGGCGAAATTGATGTTGCACTGATGGTCCGAGAGAAAATGATGAAGAAGGGTGTATTTCCTGATGCTCAAATTTACAATGTTTTGATGAGTGGTCTCTGCAAGAAAGGGAGATTTCCTGCTGCCAAACTTCTACTTTCAGAAATGCTTGATCTAAATGTTCAACCTGATGCATATGTTTATACCACCTTGGTAGACGGGTTAATTAGAAATGATGAACTTGATGAGGCAATTAAGCTTTTTGAAGCCATATTTGAAAAGGGTATAGACCCTGGCATTGTGGTGTATAATGCTATGATCAAAGGTTTCTGTAAATTTGGAAAGATGACAGATGCTCTTTCATGCTTAAATAAGATGAAAAATGAGCATCTCGCTCCAGATGAATACACTTATTCCACAGTTATAGACGGATATGTAAAACTTCATGACTTAAGTAGTGCACTCAAGATGTTTGGACAGATGATAAAACAAAAATTCAAGCCAAATGTGGTCACCTACACCTCTTTGATCAATGGATTCTGCAAGAAAGCAGATATGAACAGAGCTGAAAAAGTTTTCAGAGGGATGGAATCTCTCAACTTGGAGCCTAATGTTGTCACATACACCATATTAGTTGGGGGTTTCTTTAAGGATGGTAAACCTGAAAAAGCAACATCCATTTTCGAGCTAATGCTGATGAACAATTGTCTTCCAAATGATGTCACATTCCATTACCTGATAAATGGTTTAACAAATATTACAACTAGTCCAGCTCTAATTAAGCAGAATGAGTCTATGGAATATGGGAGGTCCTTGATCTTGGATTTCTTTGCAATGATGGTATCAGATGGATGGAACCCATTGGTTGCTGCCTATAATTCTGTTCTTGTTTGTCTCTGTAAGCATGGAATGGTTGACACTGCCCAATTATTGCAAACTAAGATGATGCGTAAGGGGTTTCTTATAGATTATGTATGTTTCACTGCTCTGCTACATGGCTTATGCCAAAAAGGAAGATCAAAAGAATGGAGAAATGTTATATCATGTGATATAAATAATATTGAACTCCAATCTGCTATTGAATATTCCCTGATTTTAGACAAATACCTATATCAGGGAGGGCTATCAGAGGCTTCGGGTATTTTACAGGCCTTGATTGAAGACTCCAAGCTTTCTAATCAACCAGACAAACATATAAAGGTTATAGAAAGATAGGGAAGAAGGAAATTCCCATAAAATAGGAAATTCTCCAAGCTTCAGGTATGAATGTGTATTTGTTGAATAAACTTAAATGTCGGTTTTAATGGTTTTAATTCAACAGTTTTTGTTAGAATAAAAGGTCAGGAGTCAGCAGTTATATTTTTGATAAATTGTTATAATGGGTTTTGATTGTAGTTTATGGCTATTAATAGAATTTAAGTCTTTTATTTTATAAATAGATTATTGTATTATTTGACAAAATGTGTAAGAAATATGCAAACAATTTTTCTCCTCTGTGCTCGTCATAGAATTTTATAAAGGAAACCATTTTTTCTAAATTCTATTATTCTTCTTGAGGACTGTACACATCAAAGGTATAATGCAAGTGGTCAAGTGGTCTTCGAACAAGCATTTTATGAAGAGGCTACCAATGAAAAATTATTAGTTCCAACCTTTTGCAATATAACTGCCATGCGCTAAAGATGAGCTGTTTAGTCAATATTATGGGAGCCATCTGCCTGTAACAATAAAGAGGTGCTGGATCGATATGAATTGCACAGTATGCATGACGGTTTACTTCCTCCCAGTGGAAGCATCAAGACTCAAGAGCTTCCGCGTATTGCTTTTGTACAATTATTTTAAAAGTAACATTAAATGGTATAAAAACCCCACTTCATTAGTCTGTTGAAGCCATTAGCTTTGGAAGCTGTCCAGTTCCTACAGACAGAGAAGAAAATTTTCCCCGACATGAATATCATGATCCCTTGTTATATTGCGGAAAGCCCTTCAATTTGCAGCTCTTTGAACAGCCTCTTTGCCCCTTCACTCACTTTCCCATGACAGGAGCATTATTGCAGTGACTGGGCAACACTGACTGATTTCAGAGTCATTGCATGGCATTAGGATATACTTTGAAGTTTAGTAAAAGGGACTTCTGATTCTGCTCTGCTTTATCAGTTAATTAGGTAATGCATGGATTTTCATTCTGATATGAGAAGCTGAAAAGTGAGCTCTTCATCATGCCAGAAGAGTTTCTCAGTTTTCATAAACGGTTGTGATCTATGATGTAAGTTATTCAGTTGATTTTTGAAAAAATGTTATACTTCCATCTTTTAGACAACTAAAAATAATAATGATGTTTTCTTTTTGGGTCAACAAATAATGTTTTCTTTAAAATAGTTATCTTCGAAGATGGGCTAAAAGCCTAAAACTAGTCTCGTCAACAATTACCGTAAACATAATACTGTGTGAAGATCACCAATTACTGGGGCTCTTTAGTTGGAGATAGAAAAAAAAACAATTACCTGAAGTAATTTCTATGGTAATTTTTATATGCATATCGTTATAATATCACTCTCTAATCATTTTTATTTCTTGATTATTTCATGCATGTAAGTAATATACTTGCCAAAAAATGAATGAATCTTACTCCAATTGAATCCGCACTTAATTAATCCAACGTTAAAACACTTGACCGAAAAGAAAAAAAAACTAATAAACAAAGGCAGAAAAACAACCTCATACTGATAAATGTTGTTCATGTATTAAATTACGATTTTTTAAAAGACCAGTCTTCTAAGTGTGACGGTGTAAATTATTTCTTGAATATTTTTATATAACTGCAATTTTAAATTTAATAGTTAGATTGATAAAATAAATAATTTTTATAAAAGGTTGATAAAAGTATATTTTTACAAAGTTTGATAATCGGTATCAATTAATTCTACCCCATAAAGAAGTATATTTTTATAATTTGTTAATTAATACAATTCTATGTTTAAAAAAAATTGTTTTCAGCCCTTCTCATTATTCTGTCACTTAGGAAGAATTTTTTTTTTTCAAAATAAAGGAATGACGTTGTAATTTAAATATCTTTTAAAAATTATAAAATTTAGCATAGAAATTAACTTTTAAAATAATTGTCATCCCAATCAAACTCTTTTATTTATAACGGTAACATATAAAAAATTACACCGTATTAGTGACTTAAAACTATATATGAAGCATTTAATAAATAAATAAATAAAATGAAACGACTTTTAATTTTAATGAAGCATCTCTTTGTTAAACCTAATATTTCCAAAATGTCAACATTGTTTGATGAACGTTTTAATTGAATCCGGTGTATGAATGAGTTGTCATATATTTATTTTGTCTTAAATATTCAATAATGTATTAAATATAATTAAAAATAATGAATACTTAACAAATTTTTCGTTTCCCACGTTTAATTTTCATAGGAGATAACTTGTATGATTCGGAAACAAATGTGAGATTTGTCTGTTTTAAAAACAAAGAGGTACACCTTAGATAATATAATATTATGATAATATATTATTAAAAAAGTTATGGCTGAAATTTTAATAATTTAATTATACATGTGAATACATTTTTATCATAATTCTAATTGTATATTTTATTTTATCTAATATCTATGATGATATTTATCCTCTAAAATGCACTCTCTCACTTTAAAGAGCTAAATCCTTAATTGTAGACATCTCAGCAAAAAATTGAACCATAATTTATTAGTTTAAACAACTCATTCTTTACACTGATGATACATTTTAAGAAAAAACAAAAAAAAAACTCTTTAATCTTCGTAAAAGGAAATAAATAAACGTGAAATGTGAATGCAGTAGTCGTCAAATCAACCATATTTTATTTTTTTTATGAACAGAGATATTCTATTTTGATGTCAGAAAGACAAATAATTTTAACTCTTGGAAGCAAGAAAAGTAAAAGGTCATTAATTTTTATATATAAAAAAAAACATTTACATATATTTCTTAGATTCTCTTGCGCATATTGTAGAGTTGACATATTCTATAAATACAAGAGCATCAAAGAAATATTTCCCATAAGTGCAGGGTTAAGAAAACCAATTAATGGAGAAAATGAGAGTGATACTAATTACTCAATTCCTATTCATAGCTGCAGCAGCTGCAGCACAAGTTGATGATGGAAAAGCTATTAATCCTAATCAAAATCTTAATCCCCTTAATAACCAACCTCAAGCCTATGAATCTCCAAGATTCCAAAAGTTTGTGACACATTGCACCTCACATATTGCTGAAACTTGCAGTGGAAACGATGCTTTGATACAGCATCCATATGTGTTGGCCCAATGTCTTTTCACCTCTATGGAAAAGTGTTTGGTAGACCATGGGGCCGCACTTTATCCATCAACTAAGACCGTCACAGAGCCCCATCAAGCCAAAGAGAAAGCCCAAGACCAGGCCCAAGAACAAGAGCCCAAATCTCCTAAGCCACTCTTTTATCATCCATTACTAGTTGATGCTCTGAACTTTCAAACCGTCTTGAGAGACTGCACACGTGTCACTGCACGGACTTGTTTGAGGGGTCCAAATGTTGCCACGTCATCAGTTTTAGCGGCGTGCCTAATTCCATCTATGAATCAATGCGTATATCCCCGTGGAGCTGAACCCAGTATGTATTCTTTACTATTAATAGAGTTTTTTCTAACAGCTAAAATACCCAAGTTGAATATAATACACTCCTTTTATTCAGATGCATGATTAATGTTCTCACCACTTATATATACTTATTGATTTTCTTTATTGGTTAAAAATGATTGGTGATATTTTTCACCAAAAGTCAATCATATAATAATGTTATCCTCATACAAATACAAGAATGCTTCCTTTTATGTGAACTTTTTAAGAAATAAAGTCATGTAAAAATTTTATATTTATCTTTTATTCCAAAAAATAATCAATTTTTTAAAATCGATTTTTTTCATACTGATTTTAATTATGTAACGTACTTCATATGGCTTATTCTTGTGTTTTTCAATTGTTTAGTTTTAAGATTTTAAAAATATATATCTTGAATTATAATGCAGGTGACCCGTGACGCTGTTGTGGAGTGAAGTTATATTGGATATGAAGGCAAACATCTTGAAGGTATTCGCCACAGAACTAGTAAAAGAATAATCGGGTTTGCTCAGCCCAGCCCAGCCCATAGTATAATAATCCCTTTTCTAGCCAAGAGACTACTCTTTATTTCAATTTACTTGAAACATCCCTAGTCATATATCAACTATATATTATTGGCTTGCAAGCTTGTCTACGGCGAAGGATCCATAAAACCTTGAATATTCCAATTAGCTACATTACTGTTATGTATAATAAATCATTGTACGTCGTGATCGTTAAGGCTTTTCAACTATATAAAACATGCTTTATTTCCATTTCGTTGGATTTCTACTGGAACGCATAATTTAGGTACAGAACCTGGTGCCGCACTCTGCCGTTTATATAATGTGACAAAATCAATAATATAATATAATACACACATATATATATATATATATATATAATAAAAATTTACTATCTTTAAATACATAAAACCAATTATAAGACTGAAATTAATAAAATCAATAATTTGATTCAACTAATTGTATACTATTGACTAATTTATTTTAATTGAAAACGCTTTTCTTTTGAATCATAAACAAATGGGTAGTCAATATGCGGTGGAAAATGAAGAGGAAATGAAAGGGGCATTGTTGTTAGGTTGTCTAAATATCTCGATGAAAAGGAAGAGGAAATGAAAGGTTGACCTTCATACTACAGGTGGGATCACGACGGTAATTGAAACAAAGATTGTCACAAATTTTTGGAACATTAGACATTGTATGACCCTAACTAACAAGAAAAACCCATTTTATAGAGAAAGAAACAAAGGAATTTTGTAGTTCAATATTGCAGGTCAGTTTATAATAATGACATGTCCTCTACCTCGCAACAACAAAAATGCAAATCACTAAAAGGTACATATCTTCAACAGATTCTAATGTAATTTTGAAGAACTTCATGCGCTCTGTTCTTCAATATCTCCATTTTCACCATCTTCAGCAACCGCAGCAGCCATCAATTCATCGAAGTTTGCTGTCTTCCCAAGAACTATTTCGATCTAAAACATTATTTATGAAATAAAGAACTTTAAGGCAAATCAACAAAAGCTGGTTTTTAGTTTTATTTTTTCAATTAATTTTCTTGAAGTTCTAAGAATTGTCTTGCTGTGCATTTGCGCGCACACCAAGGCCAAACAGGCTCCAAACAAACATTCTCCTTCTAGAGTAAAAAAGAACTTGTTTAAATCCGTACCTTGGCCTTTTGGACTGGTCTACCTCTAGAATCATCCTTTATGTCCACAGTTGATGTCATGATTTCTGCATGAAGATTCCATCATTAAACAAATTAGATTATTCAAATATAAAAGATTAAGAGAATCAGAAAGAGTGTCTACGAGAAGGGAGAGAGATCATTTCTCGAGAGAAAAAAATATAGCGTCTCACTCTTTTCAACAGCAAGTCCATTGTTTTTCAAAATTTCAGTAACAGTTACCACGGTGGCAATAGCTGTAACAAAGAAATAGAAAAATATCAGAAATCAGATTAAAATTGTAATCAAGGAAAATACATTTTATTTTCTTCCTCATTATAACTTTTTAATACATTTCTGCCATTCCAGGAAATATTATAACGCTCACATGTAGATCAACTATTGCTTTCAAATTTAGAAAAAAATTTTAAAATAAATCTCCAGATTTCATTTCAGCATTGCAAATATACTTAGCTACTTAGCTTCGCAACAGTTTTTGTCCCACCATTTCTATCATCTATCAAATTAAATAACTGATTATACTTAAACCCTAAGTAGGAAGAAAGTCCCTAGTGGGTAAAACTTGAGGAAAGGCCACCAGTAAAAGTCAAATCTCCAAGGACAGCACCTCTGCGTACAGCTGCAAGGTCTAAAAAATTAGCTAATCCGACTTGTCATGGCCAAATTTTCCAAACTTAAGGCCGAACAATGCTATGAGCCGGCAACAAACCAATGCAGCCACCTACGTTGTATTTGAGGTTTCGTAAGGAATTGGAAGGTGAGGCCAGGGTACAGCATTATTAGTATGCTTTAAAACAGAGCATAAGTACACAATAGTGATAGCCACCATCACCAGCATCACTGCATAGTGCATACTAAAACTAAAATTTGAAGGAAAACACAATACCTTGAAACAAAGTTCAACACTAAAGTCATTCAAAAGTTCAGGGCATGATGGGGTAGCTAAAGAAATCTTAACATTTATCAAGACAGCTATAGAAACACGTTGCCGAAAGTAACATCTTTTGGTCAATGAAATTTTAATCTTTTAAGAGCTATAACTCTTCAGTTTTTCAAAATTCTCAGTCTCGTGGTTATATTAGCTTCTGAAACTCCAAAATAATAATACTTAAAAAAATCAAAAGGATGAGCATATTACCAATCCATTACAAAAAAAAAAAAAAAAAAAACGTAACTGAATTAATAAAACAAAAAAACCAGAGAAAAGCGCGAAGAATACTGATACCCATTCCTAGCGCTGAGAGTTCGACCTCATTATGCTGTTGCATATATCTCTGCAATAAAAACAAAATTAAACATGAGGAAAGAAGTTTGCAAGCTTCAAAATCTCGTATGAAGAGTTGAAATTTGCAGGGACCTTGGCGAGATTAACGTAGAAGAAGAGGGGCTTCTTCGTGTTAGAGACTTGAATGCGATTTTTCTTGTATGAATCGGAGATGTTGATGTTGTTCACTCCCTCCGTTATGCTTTCCATTTCTCTCTCTCTCTCTCTCTCTCTGTAATCAAAAACCCTAACAACTTGTTTTATGAAAAGTGTTGAAGAGAACAACCCCCACGAACCACACGATGCACTCCTTGGCCCAACATTTTATTCATTCCATTGGATCTTATTGGGCCAGGCCCGTTTACGAATACAAAACAAAAACTGGATCATACCAGCTAAGCAGAAAAATGCGAGCGTCATACCAGCTAAGTCTAATTTAAACTTGTTAAAGTTATTTCATTTACTCTAGTTTTATTGTAAGTCACTTAACACTTCTTCTCTAATTTATAAATTTTTTAGGAAGGTTACATTAGTCTTTTTCATAAGATTCTCTAATTAATTAGGTCCTAATAATTTTAGAAATGTTTTAAAAAATGTATAGAAATTGTTAATTTATTTCTACAGTAAAATTCATTGTTCTTATAAAAATAATTTTACATGGACAATTAAAATTCCATAAGATTAAATCATTTTTTAAATATAAACAGAACATTTGAAGATGCCCCATTAAAGTGATTTAAAAATTAACTCTCTCATATTTCAATAGAAATACATGTATTTATATAATGTACAGTTCATTAATTTAAATTTATATATTTTAGTTGTATCTAACAGTTTAAATATGAATATATGAATATTAATTTTATAAATTTTTAAAGGGATAAAATCCTAAATTATTTATTTGCTCGTCCTTTTGCCATGGATATACTTGAGCCACTTGCTTGACACGTTCCGTCTAAAAATAAATATTACAACGAACAAATAGAAAACACGATTGCGTTGCGTGAATGAAAAATCGTTGGATATTTCTTGTCTTCGTATAATTGACAAACTTACGATGGATCTGACTAAACAAATTAAATAAATACTAATCAGATAAATTTTATTATATAATATTTTATCATTTATTTATTCAAATAAATTTTAAAAATATATAAAAATAATAATATTATTTTTATCTATTCAAATCAGAAAAATTGATTCAAATTATCGGTGGATCCTGCCATTACGTGTTGAAGCAAATGTTATTTAAAATGTGTTAAAAAAGGGTGGTGTAAACACTTTTCAACTAAAAACCATTTTGATAATTCAATTATGTGATTTTAAGTTTGATATATAAAAATAACGTCAAAATTTTAAGGTAATTCGATTTTATTTTATTTTATTTTATTTTATTTAGACCACGTATATCCTCTCAACTTGGAGCCGAAGTATCTCTTATTTATTAAAGGATAAGATATTCTGGAAAAAAAATCTGAACGAATTGACATTATTTCAATGCTTGTTCTAAATTATTAAGTTGGAACTTTGAATATCTATAATAAAAAAGAGTAGCAGGATATATGAGCAATATTCTGGTTTGGAGCATTGGGGGGTGAATTATTGTGCCATACTTGCTAGAGTTTCATGTGGACAATGATTTGATTTGTTGGCTACTTCATGCACATATGAAACTTGTGAAGGTATGTTTAATTAATGTTAGTGTTAATAAGTGACCCACTCTAATATAGAATATATAAAATCAATGAACGAGACACTCAATTATTGAAGATAGGTCATAATCCCTAATAGATCTCAAAATGGACATTTTTTAAGGATTCTTCTAATACTTGTCATAGTGATATTCATTTAACAATCTGTTTATGTCGATTTGATCTTTAAATTTTATAATATTGATTATTCTGATATTTCATATGACACACAAATTACTTTTTAATCTGACTGGTTTGTCAAATACCACATTAATCATGCCTTTAACATTATCAAATAAGTTTAGCTAAAAAAATGGCTTATCAATTAATTTAACCCTTAATATGTAAATCAAATTGAGTAATAGTGATCAGGAGGCATGTTTAAATTGCTTTTGATTTAATGTCGATACTAAATTGGTGGGTAAATATTAATTTTAAAATTTAATTTTACTCTCCGTAATGTTAATAATCAAACTCACTAGTAATGCAAAATTTAAGAATTAAATTATTTTCAATTTGTTGTTTAATAACTATGTAAAAATTGACTAATGCAATGCAAAATAAAAAAACTCAGTGATTTTTGTCTTAACTAATGAGTATGTCATATATTACACATGTATTTAAAATATATGAATATGTAAAAAATAAATAAATTTAAAAACACTGAAAGATTATTTTGCTGATAATTAAAAAGCACGAGTCCAATTTATTTATTTTGTATGATAAAATATTGTTGTTAATCTATATAATATAATATTAATTTATTGTTAATTCATAAACATCTCATTTTGTATTTAAGAACTAAACTAATTTCCTGCAATAGATTTTTTTTTATTTTATAAACATCTCATGGCACTTATTATTAATGAAAAAATTTAAATATTGATTAAAATGATTAAAATAAATAAAGGTTTTATTTATTTTGATAACTGAATAATAAAAATTGATGAAAGTATGTTTTGATTTATAAGTCACGTGTCATAAAAACAAACAATACGTAAGAAAAAAGTACGTGTAGAATTTTAATTAAAAAACAAGATTATAATACAAAGATGAATTTAAATTCCATTTGATCAAATAAATTGAATTTGTACCGCATATTATGTTTAAGTGATTTAACATATTATTTTGAATGTTGAGTTTTGATTTAATAGGTAAATTACTTTACACTAGTATTTGTATCTGTGCAATGTATGGAATGAATTATAATTTTTTAATTGTAATAAAAATTATATACAAATATTTTTTTAATATTTTTAATCACAAACAGGAATAATATAAATAATAATTATTTATTACTCAAATTTCAACTAGTTTAACATAACACAATTTAGTTCTGTGAATTTTTTAAATCTATATTTATAGTAATACCTTTATGCATAATAATTAAATATTTTAATTGATTTCAATTAATAACTTTAAATTTCAGAATGGAAATATTTGATTAAATATGTTTTATTAAATAAAAATATCACAAATATGTAAAAAAGTTATTTTTTGGGCACAAAAGAAATAGTGGATAACAAGAAAAACAGCAAATTTAGTGGATAAGACAAGGTCATTATTCGGCTGAAATATTAAAAAGATGAGTCACAAATGCGTATAGCCAATTTAGTTATTAAATTCTTATTAAACTCACCTTTAAGGAATGTTTGTAGGGTTTAAAAATAGTAATAACAGTGTTAAGTTGAAAATGTTAAATTATATTTCCTTTTAAAAAAGAAAATATTAAATATTGAAAAAGAAAATGTTTATAGGAATTTTTAAAACATCTCTTTATTTATGTTTTTATTCTTATGAGAGAATGAAAAATTAATATTTTTATCTATAAAAATGTTTTAACCGTACTTGTAGTTAAAAATCATATTTATAATACTTTTGAAAATTAATAGATTCCTTGATGGATACCCAATTAGGCAAAATCAGCAGGCCAAGTCCTAAATTAGAAGCTGTGAAGCTGCACTCAAAGTATTAGGAGGCAAAGTTCAAACAGAGATATGAAAAATCGAATATTTCTTTTTCTGTATTTTGTTTAATGTTTATAAATATTTTTTAATTATTAAATAAAATCATTATAAATACACGTGGATACATACATCTCACAATTTAGTGCATATTATTCTTCTATCTAATATACTACATAATCCATTTTTATATTAAAAAAATATTGTATAATACTTAAAGAGAAAAAAAAAAAAAAAAGAGCTTTCCACGTGCCTGAAAATCTGCTTTTTGTCCTGCTGAATATAAAAAAAGAAAAAGAAAGAAAATAAAATAAAATATTTGAATAATTTAAATAACAGAATACTTTTCCTATTTACTCAATATTTGTATTTTATAAATGTGAATGCGTGTATTGATTTATTTCTAAATTGGATAGAAGAGAAAAATGAATAGGATGCAATCTTGTTTAGCGTAAGGTAACGTGGAAATGACGTGTAAGGGAAATCATGAGACCAAAACAAAGAAAGTGACACGTGGCGAAAATGTATGACATAACGACGATAGGGTCTATATAGAGCGCACCCATTTCGCTCGAGTTGGTGGACTTGCGTGACTTTCATTCTTTTGTTTCCGTTTCTTTCTCGAAAGTTTGGGATTTGGAATTTGAAATTGTTGTGTTTGGGGTAGAATTAGGGTATTCTCTCGAGAAAATGAAAGAAAGTGTTGGCAACCCTTTGCACCTAAAGTCTGTGAACCACATCTCTCTCATCTGCACATCCGTGGAAGAATCTATGAACTTTTATCAGAACTTTCTTGGATTTTTCCCTATCAGGAGGCCAGGATCATTTGACTTTAATGGGGCGTGGTAATTGTTAACTGATTATTCTAAATTTCAAATCAAAGCATTTCAACTTCATCATCCAATGTTTGTTGTTAATTATGTTTATGTAATCTAATTTTGCTTTTGATTTTCTACTTACAGGCTTTTTGGCTTTGGGATTGGAATTCACTTGCTGCAGGCTGAGGATCCAACAAACATCCCAAGAAAGACTGAAATTAATCCAAAAGATAATCATATATCATTCCAGGCAAGTTTTTAATGTGATCGTCGCGTTCATTTTTTTTTATTCAGCATCAGATTAAATGCTTTGTTCAGTTTCGGGGTTGTGAATAGTTTTCTTACATCAATTATTTTAAATTTTAAAATAATAACTTATTAAAAATATTTATTATACTAAGACTATAAAAGTATAATAAATATATTCTTAAAAATTGATAAAAATGTTTTAATATTTTAAGAAGAACCAAATTAAAAACATAAATTAACTCAAGAGACTAGTATTCATTAAATCGCAAATTTAATTAAACTCATACTTTTCTCCCAGGTAAATGTAAGTGTTTTTTTAATCTGATAATTTTTCTTACCTTATAATGGGATATTTTGTTCTTTTCGAAACTAGAAAAAAAAAATACTAAACCATAGAAATAAGAATTTAATTAGAATATATTAATAAGTATTATGTTATTATTTAATCGTAGATTGTTGTATTATTAAGTTATGTGATCAATTAATTTTAAACTTATATATATTATGTAATCTAATTAATTGATATTGTAAAAAAAAGTATACTAACATTGTATTGAAATTGAATTCTAAAAATAAATAAATGTAGATAGAAATGTGGCGCAAATAGACAAAATCACCATGCTTTTTAGTGCAAAATTGTTTGTATTGGTTTCAAGTTTATAGCACTTGCAATGCCCCTGGCTTTAGAGAGATAAAAACAGGCTCATAACACAGGCGTTTTCTACTTACTGTTGTAGCATTTGTATGTTAGTGCGTGTTTTGATGAAGTAACAAAGTGATTATATATTTTTTGTCCTTATGATGAAAGCAGTGTGAAAGCATGGGGGCAGTGGAGAAGAAGTTGAAGGAGATGGGTATTGGTTATGTGCGTGCAATGGTAGAGGAAAGTGGGATCCAAGTGGATCAGCTGTTTTTCCATGACCCAGATGGGTTCATGATTGAGATATGCAATTGTGATAGCCTTCCTGTGATACCCTTAACAGGTGAGATGGTTAGATCCTGCTCACGTGTGAACCTTCAGATGCTTCAGCAGCAAATACAACAAGTTGTTCAGCAACAATAAGGTCAAGGGAGTGACGAAAGTACGTGGAAAATTAAAGTTGCATATATCCTCCTTTTTATGTTCTCTACTTATCAACGAGTCATTTTCTTCTTGATGTTTGCATTCCTTTGATGTAGTAAACAATATCCTAGTTGTTCCTAATAAAATAAGTATTGTTTCTTGTGCCACTTTAGTTTTTCCAAAAGTGTAAACATGCTTTGCTGGCTAATTTCTTGCATCATTTGCCATATGGGCACCCGCTTTGTTAGCAACCTTATGATCCAGGTGACCTCACACGGACATGGCAACAAATGAGAAGATTCTGTGGTTAACAAACTAATCATATTCAAGAAACCAGAGACTAATAATATTCTAGTATCTTTAGCTTTGGCCTTGATCATTTTGGTATATAGGTAAGATAATGTATAGTGAGAAACTGCAACCTTGTTTAGATCATCGATAAAGTTGTGGCATATTATCTGTTGACTCTTATTTTATTGCATTAGAAACAGAAAAAATATTCTAAATTAATTTAATTTCCAATCAATAACCAATCATGTGAATCGAATGAACCAACCACAGTGAGCAAAGTTAGGTGAAGGTAGTGAATCAACGAAATCATATGAGAATGCCTATTCTCAAACAAGCATTTCCATCATGAAGTGACTATTTCATAAATGCATACTTCTGTTCAGCATCATCAAACTAATAATATACAAACACATGCTTTTAGATACTATAAATGTTTTTCACAAGCTGACTCAGATAACAATTCGAAACTCAAAATGATTAATACAGATGCAATTTATTAATTGTATATTAGATGAGTCAGCATCAGCAAACAGACAGAAAAGCTGACTCGGAGATGGCAAATTTTTCCTCAATTATTGATTGCAAAAAATTGTAAAAGCTCCTCCAATCATTTCTTGGACCCCTCGTGGTGATTTTATTGCAGCCAGCTGGTCCAACTAACAAAATTCATACTTTAGTTTCAAGTGTATGTTAAATTTTAATATGATTACGTTAAAGGGGTTGAGTGAATGTAGTAAGACAAGATTGAGTGAAGTTAAGACAGGTCAAAGGTCTTAGAATGGAGTATTATTTTCTCCTCTTAAAATTTTATGTATAAAAAAAATAACATGATAATATTGTATTCAAATTTTATGTTGAATCAATAGACATAAAAGGGAAAATGTTTATTGAATATTGTAAGGATAGATACTAATATAAAATATTAAATTGGTATATTATATACATCAGAATATTGTAAGGATAGTTATACGCAAGAGAGTCACGAAGGTTCGGTAATTAAGAAGTATAAAAAGATTCATCATTCCATACTTTATATCCAACAAGCGTTTGTCGACCCAACAACGGTTGGTATCAATGAATGTAGAGTTGTTGGACTGACTAACATTTATTTAAAATGAAGTATGAAATTTCAATGTTAATATATAAGCAAGTGAGAATAAATTTTTCTTAGCTTTATATGTGGGAATAAAACTCTCCTTTAATAATTAATGAGCTATAAAATTAGCTAACTTTCTTCTATAGTACTTCATCATAAACATATTTATTCCTAAAACATATTGAATAGTCATTAAATATATTTTATAATCTTTTTACAAATCTTATTCCTAAGAATAAAAGTCTTAAGAAATTGATTTAATTGACAATGAAAGATTCCTAATAACAAGTGCCGCCAAAAATGGAGAGTTCATTCCCTAATATATTTCCTAACAGAAGCATTATACCTTTCCACCACTATCAACAACATAATAATGACAACAACAAAAACAATGAAGTTAAGTATAGTTTTAGACAACTAAGTTAACCTTTAAGCACAGATAAAAAGAAATAGATGGATTTTATAATAAAAATAAAACAAAAGTTTGTTGTATTGTAACAACAGCTTATAAAACGGCGTGACAATAACTCCTTATTATATACTTAACAAATGAAAGATAAGTTATATATAAAATAAAAAATATTTTGATAATCTAATCCTTTTACAATATTTATCTTTATTTTTTAAGATAAGTTAATTTGTTGGAAGAATATTTTCTTTGATGATAGAAGAGGTGAAACTTATTATTGAAGATTTTTTTTTTAAGATCCAGATTGTTTTGTCAAGAGATCCATAATTAGTTTTGGGCTGCATCCAAAGATAGATATCGACCTAAGCCCAACATTGTTTGGCTGAGTAGATGGGCCTAGGCCCAAAATATCTACAAGGGCATTAAAGTTATGTATGTCCAGAGCAGAATGAAAAATGCAATGCTCTAATGCCAACAGAAACTCATCACGAAAGAAGCTAATCATGATTTCATATAACAATTAGTCCCGAGGATCGTGCACACACTTTAAAAGCCAATTTATCATTAACGGTTACTGTATTTATAATATTAAATATTATATTTTTAATAAAATTTATTAATTTTTTATTTATAAGTCAGATGTTAAAACACTTAATGCGTATATAGAAACACGTTAGAAAGTGTGAATCTAACACAGATTCATAATTAGTATTGTTAAAGGAAACATAATTTCACTTAAAAAAGGACAAGATGATTTTGTTGCTAATATAAAACCATGAAAAGAAACATGCAAACGGCAAGGAATAAACAGAAACCCAAACTACATAAACAACATATATTTTCCATTATATGAAGATGTTACAGCCATAAACCAAGTGAATACATTGTTCATCACTGACAATTCATTCATCGGCAGGGACTGCATCCCTATTCTGCCCATTATTTCTCTTTTCTCTAAACCACACGCTTCTACACTAAAGAGCAGAAAAAGAAACAACAAATTAAGACAGAGAAATGCTACATGCACACGACAAGCGTATAATAATAGTCATAGATATAGCCTTGCAAGCACATAGAGGTTTTGATATATATATGTATATATGAAATTAAGGATATATGTATATAATTACTAGAGGCCCCTTGCAAGCATTTGCTCGTAATTTTCAATGGATTGGAGCCTTTGAATAAGCAGTTGCTGCCTGAAGTTCTTGATGAATGCATCAGCACTGGCGTTGATGTCTTCGGTGGGCTTCCTCTCTAGCTTCTTTCCCTCAGAAGTGTGTGTATTCTTTGCCCCATCTGAACCTGAAGATGGGTTTCTCTTCTCTCTCGAGTTGCTACTCTCTCCCTCTCTTTGCTTCTCTGATGAAAATGCTTCCTGGTTGAGGCGTGAAGGATGGAAATAGCTCTTTCTCATTCTTCCCGAGTCTCCAAAGAAAGGCCTTGGTGTGTTACAATGAAATGAATTGGTGCTTCATAGGCAGCCTCATGTGCTTCCTTAAATATATAGATAAAGAAAAGGGAATATGTGGTTTCTACTTTTTTTTTTCTTCGTGTCCAATGGGGTTTATACTTTGTATATAGTTGATACTTTTTTTTTTTTTTCATTAATCTTGGTGATAACTTTAATTTCACCTTGCCCCCACCCCTAGTGTTACCTTCAAACCAAAGTTAAAAGATGATGGAAAGCAAAATGATGCGGAGAATATCTGCCTCAACCGTTATACTAAGCGTAGTAAACGCATATGCTTTCAATGACAAAAGAACAGTAACGTTAAAATAAAATCAATTTGCCTATTGATTGAGGAAAGCTTAACTTTTCATCATTCGGTGAGTGTGAGATTAATATCATATATTTACATCTTCTACATCGTAAATAGTTTTGCTATCGGTTGAAATAATACAAAATTACTACGAATGTTTTTTATAAGGTAATTAGAGAAATTTCAAAGTTGTAAAAGAATTGTCTTTTCTAAGTTGAAATATCATTCAAGATTCAATTAGATCTTAGCCACCAATGTGGCATGTGCAGAAGACCATTCACTTTCATCTTGCGGCTTAAGACATGGGCATGATGGATTAATATCCTGCCGGGGGAAAAGATGCTAAACCTTTGAAGACGCCATGTTTGGCGAGTCAAGTAACAACGTTAATACTACTTTAATCGAATTCTTAAGACCAATGGGGGAACATTCATTGCGCATATATACCGACCCACCTAAGCCATAAATATTAGATTAGATTGGTGCATTGCATGAAAAAGGTTCTTCACAGCTAATAAAAATTAAATATCACGATACGCATGTGATGCCCATCCTTGGCTTTGATTGAGTGGCATGGGAAGCTGCTAACCCACATAGGGTTCTTAATTATTTCTAGATGTTCACACTATTTATCGTAGGAATGCCAAAAAGGTAGTGAAAGCTGTCTTGATTACATACATGTGCATATATATAAGAGCATCTTCACGAGAAATCTAGAGTGAGCCTCCACCGTTCATTGCCACTAATTTGGATGTTAACATATGTTTATTTGGCTTCAACACAGGAGTTTTGATAAGGAAAAAGGCTGAGGTGACACAAAGTAAATTTATAAACTATAGACATAATTAAACATGAGATGAATGTGATAAACGATAAAAATACTAAACTTTGTAAATTATGATTTTAGAATCTACAATATTATTTGTTATTATTATTCCTCTTTCATGCATATAGAATATTCCCCCCTTTAAGACAGAGATTATTGAAGTGGGTATAATTTGCTCTAATAAAGTTATTTCTATACCTATAACCAAAATTTGAACTCCCATTAACAAACTGAAAGTACTACACTGTCTAACAATTGTGTGAGCTTTATTGGCATTTATTATTTTATGGGACAAATTTGAGCTAGATAATATAAATAAATTTTGTATGGAGTTAGCATCTTGAAATGACTTCGATTCTATCCAATGCAAGAAGAATCATATTAATTATCCATATTCACTTATTATAATATCACAAACAAACAAAAGATAAGAGTTGTGTTGATGAAATATTCAAAATATTACTTATTGCAAGTTATTATATATATATATATATATATATATATATATTGAAATCACCAATCCAATTTAATTATTTAATGTTACAAATATTTATTAAATATAATATATTTATGGCATTGAATTATTTATATATTATTAATTTTAATGAATTATTTATTTGTTTTATATATAACAAAGAGAAAACAGTAAATTTTTTTATTTTTCTTTTTTATTATTAATTACAAACCAAATATTATTTATGTGTGAATACCATGCATAACTGGACTTTGATGGTCCAACCACAACTGGGCTTTATGGGCAATGGAGGCCCAAAGACAGATTGAACCCTTGACAATTTCAATTCAGTCCCTCAACGAAACTCACTGAAACTGAAATGATTGATTATTTATTTAATTAAATGCAGTTGAATATAATTAGAATTAAATTGATATTTCCCCTAATTTTATTTACCTTTTTAATTAAGACAATTAAAATGTGGGAGTGAGTGAAAGCAGAAGAAGAATGGAAGTGATGCAGCGGGTGGCGTTACGGTTGCCTGTGGTTCCGATAGCTTTCCAATACGGTGTCGTAATGAGCAGTTACTGCACAACCGGAATGGGAGTGTTGAGGAAGAAGATGAGCTCAAGTTCAGGTTCAGGATCAGGATGGTTTGCGGGGAAATTGCCGAAAATAGTGAAAGCTGGAGAGCGTGTTCTTCACCAGCCTGCAGAAGAAGTTGTTGGGAGCGAGATGAAGTCTGAGAGAGTGCAGAAGATCATCGACCACATGATCCGTGTCATGAGAATCGCACCTGGAGTTGGCCTCGCTGCTCCGCAGATTGGAATCCCCTTAAGAGTTTCTCTCTATTTTTCAATATCTATCTCTTTGTTTATGATTTTTATTTTGTTAGTTATTGATTTATAATGTGTGCAGATAATTGTTTTGGAAGATAGAAAAGAGTATATGAATTATGAAACAAAGGAAGAGATTAAAGCACAGGATAGAAGACCCTTTGATCTTTTGGTATGTCCATTTGCAAAACTACTGAAAATGAAATTTCATCATAAACATTCATTTAATTATTTTAAGGCAGGTGATCCTGAATCCCAAGTTGAAGAAAAAGACTAATAGGACTGCCCTATTCTTTGAAGGCTGTTTGAGGTAATGGTAATAGTTTATCCATTTTTCTAACACATTTGAAAAAATAAGAAGTTATATATAGTAATTTTTAATTAAAAATTATAGCATTTAACAGTAATAATACATTGCATTACATTGAATTTTGTAATTTTTAATAAAAAAATTACTATATATAACTTGTTAACCTATGCAATATTACACTAATTTAATGGAAATAATTTACTATTAACATCTTCATGTGTAACAACATTTTTGTAGTGTTGATGGATATAGTGCTGTGGTAGAGCGGCACCTTGATGTTGAGGTTGCAGGTTTTGATCGTTGCGGGGAACCCATCAAACTAAATGCTAGTGGTTGGCAGGCCCGGATTTTACAACATGAGTGTGATCACCTGGATGGAATACTGTATGTTGATAAGATGTTACCAAGAACTTTCAGAGCTGCACAAAACGTGGATTTGCCTCTTCCCTATGGGTGCCCCAAACTTGGCCCCCGCTAATGCAGTTTCTTTAACTTGATGTTATAATGCAGGTAACATCTTATCACAACGAGTTTCTTGTGCACATTAGCGAAAGGTTGACACTTAAGATCCTAGCATGTAGTAATTCTCATGATTTTTAAGTTAAAAAAATAATCTGAGTATGGGAATCAGTAAGTTTTCCCCCAGTTCTCAGGGTTATCACATTGCAACAATTGTTATTGCAATTCGCTTTTATTTTTCTTTTGTTATCAATTCACTTAATACAACTTTCAATGCGCTCTGGGTATTGATTTTGCTTAGCTTTTCTCTAGGTTGTGCATCTTACAACCAATTTGGAGTATGTACCATCAACATGCTGTGCTTGTTCTCTCTCTTTTTCAATATAATGTCGGGTGTTTATTAATAGTCCATTCAGGTCGCCCTGCTTTTTTGGTTTACCATTCTAAGGATCCTACGAAGATGATGGAGAATTCCCCTTCTAATGCATGAAAATGGAACATGGGTTAATGTTATGACAAGAAAAACAACTTGTTTTTTGTGAATTTGCCTTTGCCTTGCCGTCGGACATATTTTGGTACTAAAAATGCATCTTGATGTTCAGAGACCACAAAAATAATTCAAAGAAATAATGGCATGCATTTACACTGACGATAAGGGTTCTCCATAGTTGCCTTCCCCTTAAATAATAGTTTGCGAAATAATTACTAAGGAATTCCAAGTACTCATTTAATTCTGTACAAAAAACCCTTTACTCAGACGGAATGAATAACAGGGTTTGACTCTAACCATACATTCTGTCTGATAAAATCATCACTGCTTGGGAAGCAAGCCAGAGGATACACCAAACCCCGAGCAGAACCATAAGCTTGCCAGCAGTAGGATCTAGTATTTCCTCCGGAGCATGATGCAAGAAAAATATTTTCCAGATATAATCCTTCACATGGAGAGGCATCACTGCAAACAAATTTAATTGCTTCTCGGGTCGCTGAAGTTCCTTGTATATTAATGAAAGATATGTTCTCCACTTTCACAGCTGAGGTCTGCATTTCGATACAGGACATTACATTCTTGCAGCATATTATAGTTTCCTTGAATGTTTCTATCGATGTTAAAAGAAAAGTGCTCCCTCGGGTGTTTGAATTGAATTTTGATAGAAATGTTAAGGACTAATCCTCCTTGAAGATTGAGACAAATGTATGTGATTCTAGTGACTATATAATCAATGCAAATTATGCATTTAGCTATTATATTCTCCAAACTGAAAAATATTTCAAAAATTTATATACCTGATTATTACAAGGATGTCGTGAATCACAGTAGTATTGATTTATTATTATCGGGTTAGACACATTTTCCATCACGATATTCTGAAATGTGATCTTGGAGGCAAAACCATTCCCACCCTGACAAAAATTTTAGAGAAGTCAATCAATATGAACACCGCTGGGTGACATAAAGAGAAATAGAGTGCTACTGCTGTCAAGAAACTTACCTGCCATGTTTTGATTCTCACCCCATTATCAGTATTGGAAAGAGAAGCTCCATTAATAATTACATCTTGCACCTTCTCCCATTTGTTCTTTTTTCCCAAGCTACCAATGCTGTATAATAGGTTCCAGTCTCACGGTTAACAATTATATCCCTTAATGTCTTAGAGAACTGTAAAGGGAAAATTACTTTCACCTTATGCCATGGCCCGGACCACAAGATATGTTTCTGATCCAGACCCGTGAAGAATTTCTGACTACTGAGATGCAGTCATCACCTGATTGAGAACATAATGGAGTGAAATATTTTTCTTTGGACATACAAAAGTTTATTCTGGAACTTAAAAGTCTGTAATGAAAGTAATCACTATTCTTACTTTCGACTTCCATCTCATTATATAAATGATTTACACATTCATGGTGTTCCACAATTACATTAATGCCATTTTTATGTTCAAGTGCACATTAAAACCATAATACTATCATTCAAGATAACTAAACCTAATGTTGCAATTGGATGAGGATAATGTACCTGTTCTGATTACACTATCCCTAACCTCAACACCCTTTGTTGCACTAATGTGGATTCCATCAGTATTAGGGCTGAAAGCAGGTGCTAATACTTTGAGATTGGATGCAACAACTCGCATACAGCTAGTGAATGCCACGTGCATTTGTTGGCTGTTTAACAACACAAGATTTCCAATTTTCAGATTCTTGCATCTGTGGAAAGTCAGGGCCTGCAGTATAAATGTGGTTTCATATTCAGCCAATAGAAGACATAAGTAATATATCAGATCAGGGAAACAAACTGCTTCACTCCATATTTTGAAGTGTTACTAACCGTTGGAGCAGGATGACATGGCTGCAAAAGGACATTTCAAAGTCACCTTAGTTACACACCTGATTAAACTTCAACGAAATACGAATTTAACCTTGCTAGAAAACCATACATTAGTGGAGTTGATCTTGCAAGATCTGGCCCACCATTCCTGTCCCATTCCATTGATGCTTCCTCGCCCTCCACCATCTACCGTAAGGTAATTCACCCCATGGAAGTAAAGCCATTTGCGCTGATTCAAACCATGCCATACTAGAGGATCTCGCGGTGCAACTATTGTACCTGAGATCTATAATAAATTTGGAAATAATCAAGTAAATAAATATTTTCTGTAAAGACATACTTCATTCAGGAATTGAATGGAGAAAATAACAAAATTTACTTTAACATGGTGCATACCATCAAAGTTATCTTAGATCGACAAGGCCCACCAATGTCAATTGGATGGACAAGGAAAGTTTTCCCTTGTGGAAAAACCACATTTATGAATCCAGAGAGTGAACAAGCGATTTTCCAAACCTCCAGGAAGGCCTGAAAAGATAAACAAACAAGGTCAAGAGACATTTTAATAGTATCATTATGGTGAGTGCATATTGTGCTTGCAGTTGCAGGTGGGAGATTCATGATCCTGCCTAGTTCTAACAGACAAATTATCAAATATTTCATTGCCTATACGGAAACGTAAGAAACCGGGCTGCATGAATGACCCATTATTAAGATGTATTTGTATGTTAATTTTCTACTTAAATTTGGTTCACTAAGTTATTTTCATGTTGCAGTAGAATCTCTAGAAATACTTGCTTTCATACAGCATGATGGTATTGATAAGTGATAATTGTCAGTCAGTGATGGTTACAATTTTTAGATCAAGAAAAATACTGAAAAGAAAAAAAATGAATCCATCCGCAACATTAAATAAGTTCAAAACCTCCAAATTTGAGGCCTTTAAACAACAAATTTATGTTTCCAAATGGTGGGGCACGACGAACTTATTTGATGAAAGGAAAGTCAAAAGTAAAAAAAAATAAATTGAACCATTACCTCAGTGTCATTATGAAAGCCATCCCCTTTAGCACCATAATCGCCGACAGAAAGAACCCGTTTAAATCTGGTTCGGGTTTTGGTCAACCCCGAACGTGGGAGTTGAATAACAGAATCACATCCTTCTGCATGGATACGGGTCAGATACGGACTGACAAGTATGTTTATATGAATGAAGATAATGATAAATGTTAAAGAGAAACAATATCCGAGGTTCTTCATTTTGTGTCAGATTCCGACCATTTCACGCAGGTTTAGTGAGAGAATCTTAGAATAATTTGTTAATTTAGTCACTTGCTGTTTACTAGGAACAGTTAGTTACACACTCCTTCAACTAAGCCTCAAATCAGCATTTAGTAAACGAGAAAACAGCATAAAGCCACAAACCACATTACACACTAATGTCAGTGACAATAGGAGTGTTGTTTATGTTCATTCGATCATAACCGGACCTATGAAATTTTTTTGGACATAAATTAAAACGTTACATTCATTGTATACAAGCATGTCTGTGGTCTTGATGTGACGAAATCGTATAATTTACCATAAAATTTGTCTTTTGTTTGTGCAATACTTGCAAGAGACGAAATTTCCTTCCCGGGGTGGTCTTGTACCCTTGTTCTTTCCTCGTTTGGATGATTGGAACCAAATGATAAAATTAATAAATTATAGAAGTCCTGTCCCGGGCGCCAAAGAATTTCGTGTTCTGTCTGGTCGTTTTTTATCATCTAACTTGTTCAGAATCATAAAATTTTAAAGATTGAACACTCAAATTTATTTCTTAAAAGAATCACCCAGTCTCAATATAATTTGATTTTTGAAAAATAAAGATACCGAACAATATCCCAAGGTTATAATTAAAGTAGAATATTTTAATTCTTAGGTTGTTTTCTCTTCAATTTTAGCACATAATTAGTCTTTAAAAACATCAATTTAGTCCAGGATAAAATTATTTGCCACCTAAATTGGTTCAACAAAATGTTAATTCAAACAAATAAAAAATGTCACTTGTGCAATCTTAAAAACTATTTGATAACTTGCTTATATATATGACAGATGTCATAGGCTATTCCTGATTCATACCTACCAAGTAATAAATTGTCGTTTAAATAGTAAGAAACTATTACTAAGTATGTTTCACTATCCACATAAAATAGTTGGCTTAAAACTCTAGTATCAAGAGCGGACACTGAAAACTATAGAGTGATAGAAAATTGGCCAATTTACATTGTGATTATGACTGCATCTGATGAACAATGGGACACTTGAATCTGAAAACAAGTCGCATCGCATCAAAAGTTGGTTTCGAAAATGGGAAATTTCTTTGAAAAGAGACCAAGAGAGCAGCAGAATGAAAACCAACCAACCAATTCACTGGCTTTGATCTTGGTTGTCTCAGTTTTTGCTCCAACTGGATACAAGCTAAAATGAACCTAAGGATATGTATTCTCAGATTTTATCAACTAATATATATGTAGTTTAAATTATTTACAATCTCTTATTTCTGAGAGAATAAATCATTCTCACACTTGATATTGTTTACATTCTGATTGTAAATAAAATTGAAACAATCAAAACTTCTACTCCTGCATATTTAAACAAAAATTGTTGGCAAACTTGATCAATAAAGTTAATAGTTTTTAAATTAGAGTAATATAAATAATTGGAGCTAATTGTTAACAGTCAGTGACACGTAATGTAGCTACATAAGATGAGCATCTATAAAACAAAAGTTTGAAAAAATGAAGTGTAAGTTAATTTTAGTTTAAATATTCTTAATGTTAAATAAATTGATAGATATTTACTTACTATAAATTTTGCAAGACTTTTATAAAGACAAGATTAATATTGTACCATTAATTGTACTCCGTTGAAGGTTATTATAGATTTACTCAACATGGCACACATTTCAATATTTGGTTTTATGAGACGGGAAAAAGTGTTACTCCTGCACAAATTAAGATTTTTATTAAATAAGAAAAATTTATATATATATATATATATATATATATATGAAATAGATATTTTACACTCGACTTAGTTTAAAAATTAATAAAATAATAAATTATAATCTGTTAAATATAAATTAAATAAAAAATTTAAATAGAGTGTAAAATTTTTTAAATTTAGACTGATATCAGAATATATATATATAAGTTTATTTTAATTTTATTTTTTTTTATTTTTATTTAACTCTATCTTTATGGTTTAAAAAAAAGCACTGTGTCTTTCTCTCATGCTGTATTCTTAATTTATTTATTTATTTTCTTCTCAAAATCAAACAGAGCAAGTAATTTCCATTCCCATTAATTGCTAAGGTTGCTTTTCCAAGGGTGGGGTTTGGGATCATTATGTGATGAGCCATCACCCGTTTCACAAGGAAGTAAAAGCCACTGAATACGCACATAAAATTTTGGCTTCATATAATGCATTTGCTATCTCAATAAACACCAAAAAGTAACAGATAATGAATTGAGTGTCAAGGTGATATATTGTGGTTCTATTTGGACAGCTGTCACCATCAAATAGGCTCAAAACACATAAATAAGATAATTGATGGAAAAAACTCATATGACTTGCTAAGAAAGAGAAATACTGCATATTTGGTTGGGATTAATTAAAACAATATTCAAAAGCTTTCTGAAAAATGATAAAAAATAGTAAATTAAACCAAAATCATAAAAAAAATCTTCTCATTCAACTCCAACTTGTTTGTATTTACAAGAGTAAAACACAATTGATGAAGATTTTGAATAATTAGAAACTGAATTTTGTTTTTCAAATTTCTTGACAACTTTTTATGCGTATTTCTAAAGCGATTTCATATGTAAGAATTACATTTTTTTATTGACATCGATTTCCCTTGTACGATTACACAATTACATGTCATTACCTCACTATAAAAAAGTTGACCAATGACCACCATAACAAAATTTTTTTTTTATTAACAATTAAATATTATCAAGCGTTGTGATCATTTTTATTGGTATAATTTTCATTTAACTTAATAAATTGTCAGTATAAACTTTGAAAGTTTATACTAATAAATAATATATCGTACTATCCTTTGATATTTTAATAATACATAATAATGTTTTTATTAATAAAATTAGTTGTTGGTATGATATATTATATTATTATAAATTGCGAGTCGACAATACAGTATATAAATATTATAAATTTAACTTAAATACATTTTTATCCAATTATAAATTATTATATATTTATATTTGTAAAAATTGTCAATTATTATAATAATTCATATACGAGTTATCTTTTAAATATTATATGATTAAATGATACTATACATCTTATATATATTGCTCTCTAACTATAATTAAGGTTGCTCTAAAAAAAAGAAGATAATTCTAATCATGGCCAAGCAGAACAAAACTTTACACTGTATTTGCAATTTGCACTCATAGCAAAGCAGCTTAATAATGTGAAATCCCATTTTTGAGATTTGCTCATATAAATCACCAAAAAATAATAACGATTATTACTACTCAAGTACTCAACTCAACCAAAATAAAACATTGATTAAACATCTCTACCAGCTAACCATTGATCCAAGAGAATTTGAACACTGTTCCAAGTAAAAACTAGAAAAGAAAAGGAAAAAGGTTTGCACAAAACAGAGACTTGAATATTGTAAAGGCAAAAGAGAAAGAAAAACAGAGAGGTCATCATCATGTTCGCAACACGAATTCATGAATTCAACCCCGCCCTACCCTACCACCCTAAAACTAATCATTACATAAAAGACTATAACCCTCCGCGGAATATCCCTTCTCCGACCACCGTCGAAGGACGAGTCAATTGACAAACTACCTTGCTCGATGCTTCGCCGGTTTTGCCCGTTGCCCCTTATCCCCTGCTTTTCCAAAGGCGCCGCAAAACCCACATGCAGAGAGTCTGGGAGACGGTGGCTCAATCGCCGGCGAGACTTTTCCGGTGCGGTAACCGCGGGTTCCACCGTTGGAGCGGGTTCTCTGAAGTGGCGGCGGCGGTGCATGAAGGTCTTTAATGTCGTCCTTGTCCTTGTCCTTGTCGATGTCCTGTTCTTGGTTATTGTTGACTTTGTTGAGTTCCTCTGATAAGAACCTGTCGTCCCAAACGAAGCCAGAAGAACCTTGCCTTCTGAAGGACACTGCAGATCTTTGAAGACCAGCCATGGGCACAGGTTGTGTTTCTCTCTATCTATCTGGATCTTTCTCTTGAAAGCAAATTGCACATGAATATAAGTATCCTTTTGTGTGTGACTTTTTCTCAATTACTGCATAAATTAATTGAATGAAAGGATATTGAAAGAGAAAGAGAGAGAACAGCTGGTGAAGAAATTGGAGACAAGTGGTTAATACAAGAAAGAAGAGGTCATATTAAGACAACTTGGTCAATATCTCCTCCTACTCCTCTCATTTTATAATATCAATCTCTTCTTTAACTTCCACATCATTATATTACTGTTCCATCTAAACCCTAAACTAATATAATTTTAAATTTGATAACGAATAGTATGCAGTAGATTCTTATCTTCATTAACATGTATTTAAAAAAAATTAGATAACAGTTTAATTCCTATAAAGCTAAAACATTTGATATTGCTTCATAAAAAATAGTTAGGATGTTGTTACAAATTAAATAATTAATTTATTTTTATAAAAAACAATAAAGGTAAATGAGAAATAATTTTTAAAATTTTTAATTATATACTCGTTACGATAAAGGTACATGTGTTTGTGTTGAGTTAAAACTTATTAATTAACTCAATACTTAACAAATACAAGTTAGAAATACAAAATAAATTTTACTTACTTAAATTAAAAAATAATAATTTTTAAGAGTCAATCCTAAATATAGTAATTAGAATAAAATCAGTATTTAAATTTTAAATTTTTAAAAATATTGATTATTAATTATGATAGGAGCTTTTGGTGTTTTGGATATGTAACATAAGATAATTGAGTTGAATTTGTGTTAGTCAACTTAACGCTTTAAAAAAATAAGAATTAAATGCTAAATTTGAAAAAAAAAATTATCAACTCATTTCAAACGTAATAACTTGTACATATAAATTTAAAATTATTTTTTATTATATAAAAACAATTGAATGAACTTTATATTTTGAATACATTAAATATTTTAGTGAAAAAGTATCTTTATATGTAGAAATACACCTTAAATGAATTAGATTAGAATGTTAGCATAATAATATAAATTTTAAATTTTTTATTATTTTGGTACTATGAAACTTTTTTACAAACTAGTAGTGATGTTAATATGTTTATGTATTGATAAAATAATTATTTAAATTATAATAGTTATAGAATTAATCATTGTCATTATAAACAAAAATAACATTTTAATAATTAAAAATAATAATTTTTGAGAAACAATTTAGAATTTTATTGAAAATAAAATTATGGGCATGGTGACTTTATGCGCAACTTAGCATGACACACGGGGTGTTGGGTCCACCGAGTGAGTGTGCACACTACCTCCACCGTCCCTGTCACATCATAATCGTTCAATAAATGAAAGGAAGAAAACGCATTCACGTCCTTGTCGCCTTACCATGGTTTTGATAAGAGTAGTAATAACATGACAACAACAATAATAATGATAATAATAATAAATTAAGACATTACAAGTTATTTTAATCTTATAAAATAAAATTACAAATCAACTCATATAATAAATATAGTAAATGAAAGATAATTTTTCGAAGTCATATAATAAAGAGCTAATTGTGTAGTATATTTGCAATATAAACATATTAATTTCTTCATAACCTTTAATTTATCAATTGATTGTAATATATTTAAAAAGAAGGTTTGTAATATATTTTTAACACACTTTTTTAATACACTCTTAACTATCAATTGGAATTTATTAAAAGTTTGTAAAAATATTTAAAAAAATGTGTGGTTAGATTTTGTTTCTGTTAAAACCCTTTGAAAGTTTTAATTCTTTTGATCGTGAGTGTTGTGGTTTTGTTTTGTTCTTAATGCATTTCATTTCTTAAGTCAAGCAATGAAGTGAAAATAGCCGAAATAGTAGACTTGAAACAATCTTTGGTGATAAATTGTTTATGTATGCAATAAAGATAGCAACAAACGCAAGTATTTGAAAATTGGCAACTCCAACCTATACTTGCCTGCAGAATTAAGTAATGTGAGACTTAAATCAATATTTGGTCATACTTAGGGAGAAAACAAATAGCAACAATAATATATGCATAAATTCAGTGTGGTCCGCAAACATCTTTAAGAATACTATAGAGTTTACTAACCTCCCCAGTGATTCATATAAAAGGTTAACAACTATGAATAATCACGGCTACCAAAAAATAATATTTATAACAAATTTTTAGATAAATTAATAATTAACCAATCTAATAATAAGTGTAATGATATTTTTAAAAATAGCAAATTTTTAATACTAGTTATCAAATAATTAATGTAAAAATTATTTTTTACGCTAATTTCAACTTTCTATAAAAAATGTGAAAAATACTATAAATATAAACATGTTAAAAAAAGAAAATATCAAAATTTTAAAAAATATTTCTGTTCAACCTTCTTATGTTAGGCTAAGAATAAAATAGAAACCAATGGAGTTAAAAACAAAATTAGTGCTAAAAAAATATTGCTAAATTAGAGGACTGTAAAATTAAGATAATATATATATATATTTTAGTATCATTTAATAAAAGAAGAAAAAATACATTTATTTTCTTTCCTTATCTCCTGATTTTTTGAAGGAAACCTTTATTTAACGGATGCATTATTTTAATAATCGAGGGCTTTTTTTTAATAAATTTTTAAAAAATATATAAAATAGACATATAACTACATGAATTAAAATTTTATAGTAAAAATTATGTATTTCAAAGTTTTAAAGTAAAAGTTACATAATTTTTTAAATCAATTACTAAACAATTAATGTAAATAACACTTTTTATATCGTTTATTTTTTTAAAATCCGTGTAAAAATAAATTAAATATAACTTTTTAAATCAAACATTTATAAAATTGATATAAAATGTCACTTTCAATATTAGTTTTTCATAATCGATATAAAATAATTCAAATATTATATTTTAAAAGCACACACTATTAAAATAACATAAATTAATGATATTAAATACAAACTTCTTATTACATTCTTAAATTTTTGTTAGTATTTTTTGTTACGTCATTGATAAAAATAAACTTTTATTTATATTCTTAAAATTTTGTTAATGTTGTTAGTTATATTATTAATAAATATGAACTTTTATAAGTTATATCAATAATTTTATCTTTATTTTTTTATTTTTTTTAATTTAATTTATTAATATACTATATTGATAAACATCGTATATTTTTTATTTAAATATTTAATAAATACTAAATTTGAAGTAAATAAAGGTAAATATTAACGATGATCATTGTATAATTTTTATTTACATACTCAACTAAGATTAAATATTAAATAAATATTAACAATAAACATTAATAATATTAATAATGTTAATGAATATGGATAAAATATAAAAAATATTTGTTAAATTACCATAGAAATATTAACATTATTAACAAATACTAACAAAAGAAACATTTTATAAATTAATTGTTCATAATTAATGTAAAAAATAATAATTTTTTATATCACATTATTTACCTTGATTTTTTAACTAATATTAATTGTTAACAAGGGAATTAAATAAATGAAAAAATTTTAAGTGAGTCAGTAAGATTGAAGCAAGAGGTATGAAGTTATGAATCAAAATTCTCTCATATTTTGATGCAGACTAAATAGTTCAATGAAGTAAAATTTTACACTTTTGCTTAAATAAATATATAAACTACACTGATTCAACCGTTCAATCCCGAGAGAGAATCCTGATCTATGAACTTATTATTCAAACATTTCTCTTCAAAATATAATTTATATATAAAAAACAAGTAGTAGTCAGTGAGTTATCATTAGCAGTACCCAGAGAGGGAAAAAATTATATTTGTTGTTCCCCTTTTGATACATTATTATACACTAAGTGGTCGCACCTTGTTGATTATTTGGGCACATGAGGTGTTCAGTGCACGAAGGCTAGCTCATATCTGTTTTACTAGTTTACTTTCTTCTACAATCGATTTTCTAGTGATAAAATTATTTTGATTCAATTTGCATAAATGTAATTATTTTTCTATAAATTGTATTTTTTGGGAATTATATTTCATAGAAATCATAATTTTTGTAAACATTATAAGTATATTTGGTATATTTAAAAGATTTTTAAAATCATTTTTATGAGCATAGTTAATATTTTTCATTTTAAAAAAGAATTTACATCACCACCTCTTATTTGAATTTCTTTTATTGAGAAATATAGTTATTTTTTAAGAATGTCAGTTTTGTAAGAATATTTATTTTTTTCAATCAAGCATTCTCAACTTTAAAATTTTGAAAAATTTAAAATAATTTTCCTAATAAACATTCTTTGGTCAATTTTTTTTATAAATTTAATCTAGTTTGTAAATACTAGGAAGAGAACGAAGCAAAAAATTGAGAAAAGATGATTATCTCAACTAATTTACATCAATGTGATTATTTTAATTATTTATTTACGTCACTACATTATATTAAGTATTTTACATTGAATTAAGAAAAATTCAACAATAATTGATAACTAATAAATATAGTGTGTAATATACGAAAATTTTATCAATGATTGTAATGGATATAACTTTTTTTTTTTTTAAACAATGGCTTTATATATTTAAACAACGAATAAAGATGAATTCAATTTATTGAGAAATAAACTGATATTCTAAAAGAATATAAATTCAAATTTTATTTTTAATATAAGAAATTTATTGATGAGTTATCTATAAAAATCTCTATAAATTATTAAAAGTTTTTAATTTGTAATGAATGTTTGAGATCAAGCTACCTTAATCTATAAACATCTCTATAAATTCTTTTGATGTATTGTTGTTACAAAATTAATTTATAAAAAGATTATCATCATATTAGACATTCATTTTTTTTTTTTACAGATTACTCCATTAGCTTATGTTTGAATTAAGAAAAAGAATAAAAATAAGATTAAGAAAAAGTAATTTTTAAAAAATAATATTTTTAATCTCTTTCTTTATTTTTTAAATAATCCGGTCTGAATCTGAAAGATCCCGTTAATTTGGGTGCATGCGCGTTCTGCAGAACCTTTCTTTTTCAAATTTTAGGGCTTAAGAAAGAGCGTTCGTCTAAAACTAAAACCCTCACATTTGCGTTGAGCTCGAGAGCCATGGCGAACGAAGACTTGAGCAATTGGACTGATCTGCTGCATTCTTCCACGAAGCTTCTCGAACAAGCTGCTCCTTCTGCTCAGTTCCCTCCACTT